ACGAGTCAACAGAGAACTTTCAAAATAACCTTTCACCTGGACAGTGATTCCTGAGCCCAGAAGCGAGCCTACGAGCAGTAAACAGTTGTAGTATAAATTGGGTAAAGATCACATGGTAGGTCCAATTTTTCTCCAGATGTAAAAACCTGGAAGGCACTTAGTTCAGACTCGGTTCAAAGTCACTTCTTACCAACATCCCTGTCAGACACACAGTACACAGACACACGTATGTCTGTGTATGTAGTACGTTTCAGTGAACACCTCATTGGTCTTTGGGTAGCAGGGGGAATTATTTGCCAGGAAACGTGACCTCATCATAATTCTGCTGGAACCAGCACATGGTCTCCTGTCTTGGGATTTTGCGTTTGGTCCCATGGCAATCTGTCCTGTGCTGCTTGTCTGAGATGCCGAGGGCTGGCCTAAGAAATGCTGCATAGAAGTCCAGACAATAGGTACCAAAGCTTGGGTCATAATTGATCCACAGGTGGATGTGCTCCTGCATCCCAAAACCAGGGTTTCCAATATCTGAGAAGTTATATATTTTTTTCGTTTATTTTTTTTCTGTTTCTCCCACCTTCATACCTTTCTCCAGGATCTCACTTGAGATGGTTCCATGAACTGTGGAATGGATTGCAATCTTTCCATTTCTCCTAATACTAGAGGATCTCATGCTGTATGGAGCTTTAGAGAACACAGGAGTCTTGTGAGCTGTTCCAGCAACTTGGCTACCTCAGTGGTCTGTCTGCATCCTCCCACACACAAATGTTGAGAGAGCTTGCAGATTCGAAGCTCCCAACACACAGGCCTCTCCATTTCACCCTCATCTACCTCATTCACCTCCACCCATAGGTGATGGAGAACCCATAATTCTTAAGAATCATCTTAAATTTTCAACCTCCCATTTTGTCCATTCTTGGCAGAATCAATTTAGTTATTGACTGTGTGCATTTGGATCGTTTTCTGACCAACTCCCTCAAAGAAGCATTGTAGTCTTACACGGATAGAATTCAGGCATTAAATATTTACTCTATCAAGTGTGTAGTAGGCAAAAAAAAAGTCAAATAATTACATAGCACAGTATAAGTGCTATCATAGGTGTTTAATGAATAAACTACAGAGGACCTACAGGTGAAATTTCAATTAATCTTGAAGAATATAGGTAAGAGTTTACTCAAGAAGTAAGAATGAAGACTTCAGCAAAGTCCTAGAGGTGTGAAATTCTTTCCTTCAAGGATCAGCTCTTTCCAGGTTTTCAAGTTGCAGGTAACTTGATGGAGAATGATGACCAGGAGGAAATAATAGCTAATATTTGTATAACAGATGTTTAATATGGAATATGTGGCTTTCTACATCTACTATTTCTATTCAACACAATAGGTATTATTAATATACCCATGTTATGGGTGAGGAAGCATGAGGTACCAAAGTCCCGGATGTAGCACTTAGTTCCTCTTCAGAGTGGTCTCTTAATCACTACACTATTGGCAAAGTAACTGGACAGGGCAGATTAGAAAAGACTTGTATGGTGTCATGCAGTGTGCAACAACTGGGTCTTTTTGAACCAAATGCAGTTAACTGAAGAACAGCTAAAATTGAAGCATTGAAGTGTCTACCCCGAACAGGAGGCTTCCTCTGCTTCTCCCCTTTTTGCTTACCTTTCTTTCCCCAACTTATTGCCAGGTAGCAGCTGGTCATGTGAAGATTTGAGGGTGTCTGGGAACTACATACTGTAGTCAAAAATTAAAACAAATATCAATGTAACTACCTCTCCCAAACTAAAAAAACAAACAAAACACGTTATGTATTGACCTCAAGCAAAAATCAATTATTTCACCAACAAAATGGGTTTATTCAGAAACAACAACAAAAAAGCAGTTTGGTAAGTACAGACTCATGGAGCTACCAATTTTACCTTCTCTTGATTCAAGGCCAGCACTTCTGTTTATATAGCCTTTGGAAGGGTTGCTAAGTAATGATGCCTCCTTCTTCCTTCAGCTGGGGCTGGAAAGCAGCATCAATTCCTGTGTTAGAGATGCAAGGCATGTTGCATCCTGTAGTTTGCATATTGCATTGGAATGCATAGGAACTGTCTTCTAGCCTCCTGACCTCATTAAAACAAGTTTTCGGTATATTTATTTTCACACATCCAAGAATGAACTTAAGAATATTAAAATGGTAAAGATCAGTCCTTGTGGACTTGGAAGAGAGTGGAGAATGATAGCTTATAGGCACAGGATTTCTTTCTGGGGTGATGAAAATGTTCTAAGTGGTGATTGTGGCACAACTTTGTGACTGTCCTAAAAGCCACTCAATTGTACACTCTAAGAGGGTGACTTTTATGTGAATTATGTTTCAAAGTTGATATTTTGAAATACATTTATACTAGAAAATAGTGATAAATCTACCTCTATCACAGTCTTTGAAAAAAAAACAGAAAAAAAGGAATCAGTGGAAGAGAGCTAAAAAATTTGACACACAAAAACCCAATCAAGGTGACTTGGCTTATAACCTCTGAGAAGCAGCCTGGATCGTGACATTTATTCCTTTAATTGATATATCTTAAGCATGTCTATTACAATATAGATCGGTTCTGTGTGTTATGCTGGGAATATAGTAGCAGAGATGACTCACTAAATGACTGCTCTACACACAGTGATTGAGGGCATGTCGTCGAGGCAAGAATAGTCCAGAAAAGGGCCTCCCCGATGGCGCAGCGGTTGAGCGCTGGGTTGCGAGGCTGCCTGCAGCCTCTGCGGCGCTGGCTCGATCCCCGGCGGCTGGGTGAGGGTCCCACATGGTGCGCAGACCTCTCCTGCCGCCCGCTGCTCCCCTCAGCAGTGTTCTTCGGTCCTTCTGCCTGCTCTGCTCCCCGCTCTGGCTCTGGTGAATTCTCTCACCCTCCCGTGTTTCTGACTGTACCCAGTGCTTGTATAAATAAATAAATAAATAAATCTTTAAAAAAAAAAAAAAAAGAATAGTCCAGAAAAGCAAATCGGCAGAATTTCTGAGCACATCTGAAGATGAGGGTGCTCTGACCCACAAACAAACCTATGTGACAGGAACAACGACACACTTTTTATTAAGCACTTGCACTGTGCTAACCACTATAAGTGCTTCATAAAATTATTTAATTCTCAGGGCCTCCCTGGTAGCACAAGGGGTTAAGACACAACCTATGAAGCTATCCGCAGCCACTGCAGCACGAGTTCGATACCCGGGAAGGGAGCTCCCCACATGGCGCAGCAGACCTCTCTTGACTCCCCCTCTGCTTCCCTTAGCAGTGTACTTCGGTCAATCTGCCTGTTCTGTTCCCCGTTCTGTCTCTGGTGAATTCTCTCACCCCCCAAACCTCTGGCCTGTACCCCAGCTCTTGTATGCATAAATAAATAAATCTTTTAAAAAATTATTTAATTCTCAAGACTTTGAAATAAACTTTTTTTAAAAAATAATCTTTATAGGTCTATAATCCCATAGTCAAATTCCATTGGGTCAGACATGTTTCAGAATTCAGAAAAGTTCAACTTGTAGAAAAGTAAAATGATATTTATACTGTATATTATAAAACAGCCCCAGGGACAGCATCTCATAATCAAATAAATAAGATTTCTGGAATAAAAATGTATAATCTTAGTGTGATTTAAAAAAAGACCAGAAATAACCTCACTTCTCTTCAGGTTAGGTCTGATCATCATATTTTTTTTAATCCTGGTTTTATTTCAAGATTTATTTATTTATGCATACAAGAACTGGGGTGCAGGACAGAGGTGTGGGGAGGGTGAGAGGTTTCACCAGAGACAGAGTGGGGAGCAGAACAGGCAGATCTACTGAAATCCACTGCTGAGGGGAGCAGCGGGAGTCAGGAGAGGTTTGCTGCGCCATGTGGGTAGCTCCCTGATCGGGGATCGAACTCGTGCTGCAGAGGCTGCAGACAGCTTTATAGTGCTGTGCTTAACCCCTTGTGCCACCAGGGAGGCCTGATCATGTTACCAAAAAAAGTTCAGAATACAGGGTTTTGAGATTTGAAAATCATAAATAATCATTCAAATTTGGGTGACTTGCTCAGAATCACACAGCCAATAAAACAAAGAGACAGAATTTTAACCTAGGTGATATAACTTAACAAACTTTGGTTCCAAATTCCATGCACCATTCCTGTCAGGTAAATCCCTTGCTGTGGATCTGCGAGACCTTTCCCAGGGGATCTACTCAGGCTCTTTGGGAAGAAAGGGCCAGGAATTATGACAGATCTCAAAATGTTTTCCCTAAGCTGCAGAAACCCTAAGGAGAGAGCAAAAGCCCCTTCCCCTTCCCACCTTCAGGTTTCCCTGAGGACACAGGAAACGGGGCTAGAACACTTGCCCTTCCCTCCTCAACTTGATACTGAAGGTTGGGAGCCCCGCAGGGCAAAGCCCCACCCTGGGGCTCAGGGCTGAGGAGAAGTGTGGCTCTGTGCCCTGGGAGGGGGTGGGGCTTTGAGAAGTCCCAGGCGGAGAAAAAGCAACTCTCAGTTACCTGCCCGCAATCACGAAAGTGCCAAAGTGCTGGGGCAACGACCCCCCCCTTGCTGGAGAGTCACCCTGTAACACTCTGTCTTAAACTCTCTGATCTCCCTGTCACCCCACGCTTCCCAGCAGTGCCATTGATCTGAGGAGGAATTTCATGGCTAACCTTTGTCCCCATGCCTGGACAACTCACGGGGGTAACAACCGGCTCCCAACACTGGCCACAGAACATTCCTCTCACCAAACAAACGAACCTCCCTGCACATCCCCCACTCTGCTTTCAGTGACCCTGCGCTGGCGCTGGAGGCTTTTGCCAAGTTCTACCTGGAACTGGCTTCATCTCCTAAATCAGATGTTTGGCTGCTCTATCCCCTGTGAGAAAGAGCCATGCCAGCTGGACGCAAGCCTTCCCTCCAGGGCCCCTGGTGGCCAGGACCAGCAGAGACCACAGCTGTGAGCCCCTGAGCCCCTGGTCTGCTCTAGGACAGCCTCCCCAGCATGCGCCCCTCACTGCACCTGGCCTTCCTATTGCTGGCTCTGGCCACCATGGCCACTCCCAAGGCTGACAGTCAGTGTCCGGCATGTGGGGGGCCCGCCTTGGACCTGGAGAGTCAGCGGGAGCTGCTTCTTGACCTGGCCAAGAGAAGCATCTTGGACAAGCTGCACCTCAGCCAGCGCCCACACCTGAGCCGGCGAGTGTCCAGAGCGGCTCTAAGGACTGTGCTGCAGCGCCTCCGGGGGACCCCTCGGGGCGCCTTTTGGGAGACTGACAGGGGACAGGAATATGAGATCATCAGCTTTGCTGAGACAGGTGGGTTCCTGGTCTGTAGCTCTTCCTCGAAACCTCACAGCCAATAAGGGGAAGGAAAAGTTTCCTCTGCAACCCAATTCCTGATTCCTTCCACTGAACAATCCCAAACTCCAGCCTCCCACAGGACCTATAATCTCCTAATCCCAGATTCCCAAGCCCCAGGCACTCTCTGGTAGCTCAGATTTAACCAATGGTCTCCTGAAAAATGGATAGGCTTCACCACTCTTACATCTATCTACCGCCACACCCCTCACTGCAGGCCCCACAAACTTCTTCATTCTGTGTGTGAGCCCCCCACTTCCTGCACCCCATCCCAGGGACTGATAGCTGAAGCGTCCATCCTTTCTCCGGCCCTAGGTGTCCAGTTCCTGTTCCCCCATTCTCCCGGACGCCCCATTTGGGAAAAGGGGGGAAAGCAAAACACCAGGACTGCAGTCCATCACCCGACCCCTGCCCCCTCGCCTTGAACCCCGGGTCCCCATATCACAACATGTCAGACTCAGGTCAGGACTCAGAAAGGTGGATAAAGGAGAGAGGCGGGCAGAGGAACTGAAGAACTTAGCAGGCAGCTGGAAAGAGGACCAAGCACTCAGAGACAGGACCCTAGACACAGAACACAAAGTGATCTTTCTCGCCTCTGCGCTTCTTGCACGCTCTTTCTTGGATCTCTAAGACTCTTTCCACTCCTGACCCTTTACCCCTTATTAGTGCCCGCTCCCCTCACCCTTCGAACCCTAGCAAGCCTTCCCATCCTGGAGTGCTGGAGGGGAAAAACCCCACCGTGTCCTGAGGAGGAGGTATTCCCTCTCTGGTGGCCCCACACCCTCATTTCCAAACCTCAATTTTCTGTGGAGTTACCTATTTCTAGGTTTTCTATGAAGTCTCTCAATAGAATGTCAACTCCTTAAGATCCGAAATTCTCATTTATCCCTCATACTGTAGCAGAGACCTGTGTCTAGGGGAAGGCTTATACAATGCTCGCTGTGTGCTGGGCTGTTTGCATATATACCTCCTCGAGATGCTCAGAGCAACCCCGTGAGCATGTTCTGCTGCTCTCCCCATTCTAGAGGTGAGGAAACTGAGGCACAAAGAAGTTGAGTAACTTGCTTGAAGTCGCATGGCTTGTAAGACTGAAGCCAGAGAGTCTGGCTCAGGAACCCATGATTTTTTTTTTTTTTTTTAAGATTTATTTATTTATTTATTTATACAAGCACTGGGTACAGTCAGAAGTGCGGGAGGGTGAGAGAATTCACCAGAGCCAGAACAGGGAACAGAACAGGCAGACTGATGAAATACACTGCTGAGGGGAGCAGCGGGCGAGGCAGGAGAGGTCTGTCGCACCATGTGGGACCCTCGCCAGCGGCCGGGTATCAAACTGGTGCTGCAGAGGCTGCAGGCAGCTTCACAGCGCAGCGCTCAACTGCTACGCCACCAAGGGAGGCCCCAGAACCCATGATCTTGACACCACTCTGCCGTTCATGAACAGGTGGATACTCTAAAACATCAGTTGAGTTAACAACCGGTCTTTGCTATAGGTTAGCTCCACCACAGACTAGCATCTGCCATGATGGATGAGGCCCTATTCTAGCCCAAAAGAGGGTTTCTACTTACTATTAAGGACACAACATCGAGACCTAGATACTCAGGGCTCAAATCTTTGCTAATCCACTTCTTACTGCATGTGTGACCTGGGTTGTTAATAGTCACTTTTCCCATTTGTAAAATGGGGGACAATGGGAGGACAGTTGAGAGAATTAACGCGCTAGTACAGGAATTGTGTTTAGAAGGCTAAGGTGGGAGCAAGCAACCAATACAAGACTCAGCTCCTGCTCAAGAGGGGTGAGTGGCTGCTCAGAATGAGTTTTAGGCACAAGAGCTTGAGGGGTGTGCCTATCCATTTTTCAGGAGACCATTGGTTAAATCTGAGCTACCAGATTTGAGTAGCTCAGGACATGAGTTTTAGGCACAAGAGCTTACTGGGTCAGGAGTAATTTCTTAGGACCTGGTGAGATGGGGGAAGTCTTTCAGGAGAAGACAGCCAATGGACTGGCCTTGCAGAGTAAATTTGATTTCAGTGGGTAGAAAAGACTAAATAATAGCCTAGAAGGCAGAAAACACGTGACTGGAAGTCTGAAGGGATAGATTGCATTTGGAGTTGAAAAGCAATTTGGAGTAGACAAGCATAAGGTGGACAGTTGGGCATGAACCCTGCAGGCCTTGAACCCCAAAATCCTCTTTGGCTCTTTTTTTCACCTTTGTATTCCTGACCCTTCGCCCAGTTGTTGGTATATTGCAACAATAATGATGGTGACAGGTATCTCGTGGACCTGCCTCATGTCAGCCTCACAACTTCCTCATAAAGCAACTTTATTATTCTCATCTTACAAATGCAGAAACAGAGCCTCAAAGCATGATAATTTATACAGCCAAGGTCATATGGCTTGCAAGGGGTAATATTCAAACAGTGTTCTCTCTGACTTCAACGTATACATTCCACTTACTTGCTAATGCGTGAATGAGTCTGACATTCAGGTCAGAGGGGGCCCGATCTGAGACAAGGTTTGGAAGTGAAAATGACTACGACTGGATTCCACCTTTTATATTTGAATATTTTAGCTTGAAGTTTTCATTCCAATTTAAGCTATCATCTACACCACAGTGTGAAAGACAGATCCGAGGATGATTCCTGCTGGAGATATGAAGTGAGCGAGCTCAGGGAATGGGGGAAACTAAGGCAGGGCTTTTTGTAGTCTCCAGGCTCCTGAGAGCCGACTGTGAATGTCTCCCAACTCCACATCCAGTAACACCACATTGACAGTTTGAAATCAGCCGTGGTGGGAGAATTTTTAACACAGAAATGGACAAACACTAGAAATGAGGAATTTTTTTTTTTCGTTAAACATGTCTCAGCACATCAGTGCTTGGTCTGAAAATGCAAGTTCTCTGCCTCCCACACATCACAGAGGTGGGACCAAGGCAGGATAACCCCACGAGGCACTCCTGTTCAAATGGGGGATAAGGCAGTGGGAAACAGCCACCACTGATCCATAAAAGTTCTGATGTCCAGCTGGGCATGTATTTTAGTCCACCCCAACTCTAGAATTTTCTTGCTCAGAGGCTCGTTCTACACTCTGAGTGGATGTGCCTGTCCTTTTGAGAGCCCACCACTGCTTCCCGGCTCTCAGAAGGACCCGCTCAGCCTTGGCTCCAGCCTCTGAAATATCTTTCCTGCCAAATAGGAATTGGCCTATATTTTTGCAGCCAAGCAGTTTTCTCAACCTATTTCCTGCCCATAGAAGTTGGGGGGGCTCAGATATGTGCTTTCATTTTGAGGAGTCTCTGTCCCTTTTACTCTGAACTGCTGCAAATTTCACGATCAAAATTCTCTAGAACTCTACTGGCCTTCTAAGTCACAAATAGTAGTCGGCTCAGTTCGACAAAAAGCACCCTTTTGCCTATCAAGACAAGCCCCAATTTGGGTTACAAGTCAAGGGTGTTTGGGACAATACTCTGAAGACTCTTACAAGCCCTTTTCTCTAGTTGAGAGGATTCATAGACCATCATGTTAAGTTTTAGACCTTAACAAAGGGTCTTACAACTGGTGCTTTATTTGTTTTGCTCTTCACTCTGGGGTCCTGTTTAACTGGCAGTGCTCTGGTTTGATTTCTTACTTTGAGAATTTTTGTCAGACAGAGGCAAGGAATGAAAAAAGATTTTATTGTCCAATCGAGCAAGTCCAGTTGGAAATATTTTCTCTAAATTCTGCTTGAAAATTGAACAGTTCCTTTTTTAGTTCTTCTCACTTCTGAAATGCCTTATCATAGGCAGCTAAAATAAGCCAATTGCCACTTTCAGCATTCCACCTCGAAATATCTTTAGCTAAATTCACAATTTTGTTAGATACCGTCTCTAACTTCCAAGTTACCACAGAAGATAGTCAATACAGGGCGCAGGTTCCCTGTCCCCAGCTTCCAATAACACTTTCCTCACTGCTCTTCCTGCCTTCACTAATAGTCTCCTCGCCAACCTCCCATCCTCTGCCTGCCACCCAGCCCAAGGCCAGTGCTGCCTACCTTAGGTCTTTTTTTTTTTTAAGAATTATTTATTCATGCATATAAGAACCGGGGTACAGGCCGGAGGTGTGAGGGGTGAGAGGATTCACCAGAGACAGCAGGGAACAGAACAGGCAGACTGACTGAAATCAGTCAGGGGAGCAGCAGGCAAGCCAGGAGAGGTCTGCGGCACCATGTGGGAATCTCCCTGGCCGGCCGGGATCGAACCCGTGCCATGGAGGCTGCGGACAGCTTCACAGCGCTGCACTCAACCACCTGCAGCACCAGGGAGGCCCCTTAGGTCTTTGTTATGGCAGTACTCCTCCTTCCGATACTAATAACTATTTCAGCCATTAATTTCAAAATCAGCCCAGGCTTAAGACAAACAAATAAATACCACCTCATTATTTCCCATGATTTTGTTTTGACTGCACTTGTCTAGACAGTTCTCTGCTCTCTGTGGTAGAGCTGAGGTCGGTCACACAACTGCATTCAGCCAGGAGCTCACAGGGGCTACAGCCTCCAGTCAGCCTCTGGTCCTCCAAAGCCTTGACATGGCTCCCCATCCAGCAGTCTAGTCCCGGTCTCTCTGAAGCAAGATGACTGGCTTCCAACGGGATGAAGCTCCCTGTGTTAAGTACTTATCAAGCTTTTGTTTGCTCCGTACTTGCCTATGCTTCATGGATGAAATCCAGTCACATGACCAAGCTCAGAGTTAATATGGAAGGGATTGAACAAAGGCATGACTATGGGGAAGTGTCCATTGGGGGCCAACAAAGGAATATTCTACCATAACCCCTGGTGGTCACTCTGGTGCTTAAGAAAGAGGTTCTAAGGCCTCCCTGGTGGCGCAGTGGTTGAGCGCTGGGTTGCGAAGCTGCCCGCAGCCTCTGCAACACCAGTTCGATCCCCAGCCGCCGGCGAGGGTCCCACATGACACACAGACCTCTCCTGCTGCGCCGGCTGCTCCCCTCAGCAGTGTATTTCGTCAGTCTGCCTGTTCTGCTCCCCGCTCTGGCTCTGGTGAATCCTCTTACCCTCCCTTGCTTTTGACCGTACCCAGTGCTTATATAAAAAAATAAATAAATAAATAAATAATTTTTTTTTTTTTTTTAAAAGAAAGAGGTTCTATCAGTAGGGTGCTTAGGAACACAACAAGAAAAGAATCATGACATCAATCATTCTTCTTCTAGTATTTTGGTATTGGGACATTGGAAGACCAACTAGGAGGAGCTAATTAAAAGGTTCAGTAGAATCAGGAGCTGTAGCTGCCATTTTGGGACATCACAAAGCTGGCAAGGCTATCGGAAATGTAGATCCACTGAGAAAAATACCTGAAATAGTCTTAGACAGAGAGGTGGAGATGAGAGAGAGAGAGTACTTTGGCTCTGAGAACTATTAAGAGTAGTCTTCTTCCTGACTTCCAGTTCTCAAGAAGCCTAGTTGACATTTATTTGCTGCCATTTTATGCCCATGAGAGAACTGGTGGCATTCCCACAATAACGCACCCTCACTTAGAACAAAAAGATAAGGGGGTGGGGAAGAAAGTAAAGGTAGCTAAAGCCAATTCATTGTGGAGATTTAGTTGTTTCCTAAAAGGATTTGCACTTCATTCACCACTAAGTTTTTGAGACGACGAATTTTATGACCTCACCAAGTTTGGGAAAATAGCTCTGGTGTCAGTGTAAATTAAGAATTAAAGAAGTAGAACATGGTCATTCACTGGAGGTTTATGAGTTCCTACTATGAGATAGGTGCCAGGGATACCACGGTGAACGGTGCAGGCACAATCTCAACTTCATGAAATTTATGTTCCAGCTGGGGCTGGGGAGAAGCAGGAAAGAGAAGTGTCTCATAAAGAAATGAACAAAAAACCCAAGATGATCACAGAGACAGTTAAGCAGGATGATGACAGTTAAGCAGGATGATGCATCCGAGAGATGGAGGAAAAGTTGCAGGCTGCTGCAGAGAGGTTAGTCAGGGAAGCCTCTCCGAGGAGGAGACATCTGAACTGAATGGCAAAAAGGAGCTGGGGGCCTCTCTGGTGGAGCAAGGGGTTAAGTCTCAGCACTATGAGGCTGTCCACAACCACTTTAAAGAAAATAAAAAGGAACTGGTCATTCAAAGATCTTGGAAAGACATTCCAGGCAGGAGGAACAGCAAGTGCAAAGACCACGAGGCGAGCCCATGTTTGTTGAGTTCAAGGAGCAGAAAAAAGCCAGGACAGGTAGTTAGGGTCATTGAGTGGAAGAATATCCATTTAATGTCCACGCAAGTTTTCTGTGTTAAGGGGTTAGATTTTATTCCAATAATGATGGAAAGACTTTGGAGATTAAGCTGATCAAATTTATGTAATAAAAAGGTCATCCTGGCTGATTACTCTGGAGAATAGTTTTGGGACAGAGTGGACCCCTTGATTTTTTCGTTTGTTTCCCTTTTTTGTTTTTCCTGAGAGTGGCCCACTTGTGAAGTTAGTGCCAGAGTGCAAGGAAAAGATGGTTGCGGATTGGACTAATGTATAATAGAGGTGGGAAGAAATGAAATTATATTATGAATTGGAGATAGAATTGACCGATCTTGCAGAGAATTTCAAAGAAGGAGATGAGGGCTCTTCAGGTTCGCCCTTAAACAATGCTTTTACAGGAAAAGAGAAGATTGAGTAAAGAAGGAACATTTTTTGGACCGGGGGATAAATTACAGTTCTTCTTTGAATGTGAAAAGTGTGGGACATCATTGGTTATCCACTCGGAATATCATATCAGCAGCTGGATATGCAAGTCAGGGAGACTGAGTCAGGACCCAGGAAAGAGAGACAGAGAGAGGGGGGTGTGGATTAGGGAGTCATTTGCATATACATAGAACTGAAAGCCTTGGGATTTAATAAGAATGTTTTGGGAGAGAAACCGAGAAGAGAAGCGAGCTCAAGACCGCCAACATTTAGAGGTCAGACAGCGGAAGGGACACTGTCAGCAAGAGAGCAAGATGGGGCAGCCTCCCACGATGGGAGATGGAGCGAGGAGGAGGGAACGGGTAACTGCCAAAACAGCTGCAAGGCCCAGAAAGACAGACATAAGGAGATGAATGGCTGGATTCAGCATGTAGGAGGTGCTGGTGGTCCTGACGAGCAATTTTAGTGGAGTGGAGGGAATAGACACCCAATGAATATGTTTCAGTTCACAAGGTGAGGGATGAAGCGGGGATACTGGGCACTAGTAATGGGGCAGGACGAGACACATAGACATTAGAACTACTGCTGTGGGCACAAAATCTGGGGATGGGGAAGTGACCACAGGTTTGCTAAAGGTGATAAGAGGGTAGTGGTGTTGTCATATCTAAGGACAGAAAGAGCATGTATGGGAAGGAAAATAATTTTTGCCTGGGAAAAATTGATTTTAATGTGCTGGCAAGACATTCAAGTAACAAACTTGAGAAGTTAGTTTAGGCCCAACCCTTGGTAATACCCAAATCTATTTGTCCAGTACCGAGGTTCAAAATCGCCTGGACTGAGCATACAGATTTGGAAATCACCTGCATAAAAATAGCCTTGGCTGACCATAAGAGCTACCCTTAGCGTGGAGGAAATGAAGGTCAAAGACCGAACCTGGAAGGGGGGCCTCCCTGGTGGCGCAAGGGGCTAACTGTCAGCACTGTGAAGCTTTCCTCAGCCACTGCAGCTCAATCCCCGGCCAGGGAGCTCCCCACATGGCACAGCAGACCTCTTCTGCCTCCCCACTGCTCCCCTCAGCAGTGGATTTCAGTGGATCTGCCTGTTCTGCTCCCCACTCTGTCTCTGGTGAATCCTCTCACCCCCTCCCCACTCCTCTGGCCTGTACCCCAGCTCTTATATGCATAAATAAATAAATCTTTTTTTAAAGATTTATTTATTTTTTTATTTATACAAGAGTTGGGGTACAGGCCAGATGCACGGGAGGGTGAGAGGATTCACCAGAGACAGAGCGGGCAACAGAACAGGCAGACTGATGAAATGGGCAAGACAGGAGAGATCTGCTCATCATGTGGGTTACTCTGAGGCTGGCGGGGATCTAACCAGCACTGCAGAGGCTGCGGACAGCTTCATAGCACTGCGCTCAACCGCCTGTGCCACCAGGGAGGCCCAACAAATAAATCTTTAAAAAAAAAAAAAGGGGGGGCCTCCCCTGGTGGCGCAGGCGGTTGATCATAGCGCTGTGAAGCTGTCCGCAGCCTCTGCAGCGCAGGTTCGATCCCGGCCGTCCAGTGAGGATCCCACATGGTGCGGCGGACCTCTCCTGTCATGCCCACTGCTCCCCTCAGCAGTGTATTTCAGTCAGTCTGCCTGTTCTGTTCACCACTCTGTCTCTGGCAAATCCTCTCACCTTCCCGCGCATCTGGCCTGTACCCCGACTCTTGTATAAATAAATAAATCTTAATAAAAAAAAAGGACAAAACCTGGAGAATGCTTGCATTCAAGGGGTGGTAAGAGACAGAAAAGTCAGTAAAAAAAAATTAAGGAAGACTCTTAAGAGAGTTGTGATAATGAAGCAAAGAGAGAGATTTTCACTGGGCACAGAAAGGTGTGCCCAGTGCTACAGAGAGCTCATATATCTGGGAATGCAAAAGTAGATGGAGACTGCTGCTCAGGCCAGAATGACCCGGGCTCCTTGTGTCCACAGGCCTCTCCGACATCAACCAGACCCGTCTTGATTTCCACTTCTCCTCTGACCGAACCCCCGGCGGCGTGGAAGTCCAGCAGGCCAGCCTTATGTTCTTCGTGCAGCTTCCTTCCAGGGCCGTCTGGACTTTGAAGGTGAGGGTCCTTGTGGTGGGCTCACAGGACGCCAACCTCACCTCAGCTACTCAGCAGCTGCTCCAGGTGAATGCTAGCGGCTGGCACCAGCTTCTTCTGGGGCCTGAAGCGCAGGCTGCCTGCAGCCAGGGGCACCTGACCCTAGAGCTGGTTCCTGAAGGCCACGTGGCCCAGCGTGCAGTCCTTCTGGGTGGGGCTGCCCATCGGCCTTTCGTGGCGGCTCAGGTAAGACAGGGGGGCAAGCACCGGGTGAGCCGACGAGGCATCGACTGCCAGGGAGGCTCCAGGATGTGCTGTCGACAAGAGTTCTTTGTGGATTTTCGTGAGATTGGCTGGCACGACTGGATCATCCAGCCCGAGGGCTACGCAATGAACTTCTGCACAGGGCAGTGCCCGCTGCACGTGGCGGGCATACCTGGCATTGCCGCCTCCTTTCACACCGCAGTGCTCAACCTTCTCAAGGCCAACACGGCCGTGGGCACGACCGGAGGGGGTTCGTGCTGTGTGCCCACAGCCCGGCGCCCGCTGTCGCTGCTCTACTACGACAGGGACAGCAACATCGTCAAGACCGACATACCTGACATGGTGGTGGAGGCCTGCGGGTGCAGCTAATCCATGTGTGGCGAGGGCAGCCCAAGGTGGGGTGGGCAGCAAGCCCTCGCCAGAGGCCCTTCCTCGAGAGAATGGCACAATCCTGTGACTGCCTCTGTCCAGAAGATGGACCTTCTCCCTGGGCCACTTATGGAAATTTCCCCAGGCAGAGTGCACCCATCAAGCTCCACATGCTCGGCTACCACCTAAGGGCGCCTGACCCACCTCCAACTGTGAGCAGTGTCATCCAGCTTCCAGGCAGACGCCTACAGCCCGCCCTGGCCACCCCTGATCCACCATGCCGGCCCATCCTCTCCACTGATGGCACCTGCTTTGGGCTGAGCTGACCGGCTCCTTCCCCTGATGTGCTGTGGCCTCAGAGAGCCCCTTACTGAACTCCCCAATGATCAGATCACTGCTCCCCAAAGTGAGGCAAACTCCTGTCTCTCAAGCCCCTTTACCTCCAAGTTGCCCGGGGGGGGGGGCTGTCAGGGTCTGCGAGGGGCACCTGCATCCATTCTCTGTCCTGCCCTGTCCTGCCCTGTGCCCCCAGGTCCTGGCCCTGGCTGGCACTACTTGAACCCCTTTGGCCCCTGGCTTCCTGCTGAGCCTGACTAAGGGGCGCCACAAGCCAGAGAGCAAAGGAGAGGACACAGAGGTCAGGGCGTTTCTCGTCCTGGTGCCTCATTTGTGTGACTTTCCCTGGCCACATCCCTGCGCATCCTGTCTGACCCCCATCCCATGGTTCCTGTCTCCCTGCGTCCGATCACCGCTTCCACACTGGGAGCTGGCAATGACTTTCTGAGCGTCCCCCGGAGGCCTTAGCATCCCCTCGCCCTGCCCGCCCTTCTGTGAATAAGCCCTTCCTCAAGTCTTCTTATTGGGAGAAGACCGCTGAATGAGTGGGTCTTTCCTCTCCTGTCAAGACCCTGGCGGACACTCACCAGGCGACAAGCCTGCCTGCCCTGCTCACTCCTGCTTCTCCTCACCCAGGTTCCTCAGGGCAGAGTTACTGCCTCCACCCCACACGTCAGGCCTCTTGCCTCTCCAGGCAGCCTCCTCTTCTTCCTTAGACTCCCTCCACCTTCCCAGAAACATCTCTGCCAGCTTCGTGGCTAAAAAAAAGACCTGAATTCTGCTGCTCCTCTTCTGTATTTTACCCAAGACAAGAGACAGGCCCTGCTCTATCAGCAAGCAGGCCAGCAGCCTGTGGGCACACTGGTGCAGCAGCAGAGAGTGGCTCAGAGCTGGCTGCCTCCCTTCACCAGCCCAAGGCTGCACCCAGGAGCCTTGCCCGGAAACTAGAATGGCCCTGGGGGCACTCGAGTGAGACAAAGACAAGGCCTGGGATGAGGAAAGGGAGGCGTTTGCTCTGCGATGGGCCTCTCAGACCTTTACCCCCTTCACTCACCCGCTCCTCCCTCTGGTGGACAGCCCTGAACCGTGGGGTCGATACTGTCTGCAGCCCAAGGCCGAGTTTGCACAGAGCCCACGTGTCCGCTCCTCTGGGTAACGTGATGTCTGTGTTTGCTCAGCTTATAACCGCCCCCAACAGAGTCTGGGAACCCCAGGGGAGGAAGCCCGGAGGAAAGGTCTGAAGACGACCCTCCTGGAGGGACGCAAGTCTGAGCGGCCTGCCGTAGCTCGCCCACCTACTCCGACTGGAGCTCTGCGAAGAGGGGACCCAGGGGAGTCTCTTTCTCCCCCCTTGGCAGCGTGTCAGCTCATCCCACCTCACCTCGCTCAACCTCAACCTGACCTCCTTCCTAACTGCAGCCTCAGGGCCCTGAGCAAGCTAAGGTGAGGTGAGGAAGCCGCCTTGGGGGCAACATGCTAAGGGATGCCCAGAGCAGTGATCCATCAAAATAAACGCTGTCTTAACGTGATATTTTAAAACATCAAAATAAATGCCCCCAAATCTATGATGAATAAAGCCGCAAACGTGAAAATAAAGGCAGGCTCAGTGTTATTCCCTTTCTTTTTGGCGCTCTGATTTAAGAAAAAAGGAAGGGGGAGAAAGTAGTTCTATCCCGTCCACATCTGTTCTCCCAGAGCCCCCTGGTCCCTGCCGCTGTACTCTGGGGCTTTCTCCCCTGGGCAAGAGAATCACTGAGACCTCCTCCTCTTCCTTACCCCCCCCCCAAGCTGCCCCCAGCCCCCAGCCAGGTTGGTGGTAGGGCGGGCCTGTGAGGCAGATGGCTGGGGTATTTATAACCCGAGCACTTCTTGGGAAAAGTGACTAAGATGCTAAGAGCATATTTATAGCTGGGTTCTGACGTAAGTGTCAGTGGGGAGGTAGGGCCGGGCCAGGCACAGCAGCAAGAGGGTAGGAAGAGCTGAAAATTGGGGGCACCTGACAGGGGAGACAGGGAAAGGGTCAGTGCCTCCTGCAGCCATCTCTTGCTGCTTCCCCTGACTCTGCCGCCTGGGGCCTCCAGGTAAACCCTCTGATGCTTCCCTGGGGGCCGGTCTCAGTTCGAGGGCCCCGACAGCAGGGCCAGGGAGCTGTCGCTGTCGCTCGCCAGCCCCGGCCCGCGGAGAGGGAGCCGGGAGCCGGGCAGAGCGCGGGCCAGCGGGGCTGGGGTATGGGGAGAAGTGCAAGGTGCACAGGTGAGTCCCAAAGTCTCAGTCTCCTTCTGCCGGCGCCCGAGTCTCCAGGAGGAGCCGGCACCCCTCCCCAGCCCTTGCCACGTGGCAGCGGAGCTGCGGGCCCCGAGGACAGCCCCCGCTCTGGCGGCGCCCGGGGAGCGCGCAGAGACCAGCTTCTCGGCCCCGCGGGAGAGCAGGGTCCCCAGAGGGGGGGCTCGGGGGCACTCGCAGGCCCGCGCGCCCCTCGGCAGCCCCTGCCCGGGAAGCGGGTGGCGCGGAGCCGGCGGCCGAGCAGCGACGCGGCACTGCCCCGCGGTGGACACCGGCGGTACTGCAGCCCTCCCGCCGCGCCGGGGGGCCCGCCCGCGGGTGACGCGGGAGCTCAACAGGCGCCGGTTCCGAAGCCCACTCACCTCCTCCAGCATCCTGAAGAAAATGGGGCATAAGAAGCAGCTAGTATGGGCCTACCCTCATGAGTTCAAGGGGGATCCCCTCCATCCCATTTTAAGTTACTGAGGGGCCTCGCAGGTGCTGCAGGGGGAAGGTCTCAGCACTATGAGGCTGTACACCGCCTCTGCAGCACCAGTACAATCCCCGCAGGGGCTACCCACATGGCGCTGCGGACCACTCCTGTCTCCCCCTGCTCCCCTCAGCAGTGGATTTCAGTGGATCCACCTGTTCTGCTCCCTGCTCTGTCTCTAGTGAATCCTCTCACCCCCCTGTACCTCTGGCCTGCACCCCAGTTCTTGTATGCACAAATAAATGAAAGTCAATCTTTAAAAGAAAAGTTACTGAGAAAGTGTGGCAAGTTAGGGCTGGAACTAGAACTAAGGTTACTGCATTCTCATTGCTTTGCTCTTAAAAGTCCATAAACCTTCCGTTTCCCACTGTCATGGAGAGGCCTGGCTCTGCTTCCAGGATGCCCCGAGTCTGGGCAACTCTCACAGTCCCCTGGCAGCTGCCATGCCCTCTGCCAGCTGGATGGACTCTGTCCCGCTGTGAGATTGCATGACCACTGCCCCTCACCTTTCTGGGTCTCCCCAGACATCACAGTTACATCCCCCCAGCCCCATGTTCCAGCCTCCTCCACGTTGTGCTCTAGTCCAACTGGACTCTGGGCCGCCAGCACAGGCAGGGTCAGGGGGTGACTCCTGCGCTCCGTGGCACTGCCACCTTGGCCTGGACAGGAGGACTCCGTTCCTCCCGCCCATCCCAACCCCTCACCCCTGTCCCAACCCCATCGCTGCAAATAAAGAGACCAGAGTTCTTCTGGCCCAGAGACTCCCAGGGAAATAATCGCTGCAGGTACCAGCCACCCCGCCGGAAGAGCCGAGGCAGTGGTGCGGGGCAAGCCAGGAGCCGGAGCTGTGCAGGGAAGCCACCTGGCCCCACCTTGTGCATGTGGAGTCCCTCCCCAGAGCCCAGACCTTGGAGACCAAGCATGTGAAATCATCTTCTTTCTTGCATCATGCATGTCCTCGTTGCCCCCCCATACCCCTACCTCAAGCCCAGTGAGTGACCAGGGCCAGAGGGTGAAACCTGAGCCCCAAGGGGGAACCTCCACCCCCTGCAGAGTCCTGATGGGCAACACAGCTGGCCAATCCCAGACTCAGAGGGTGGGCCTGCTGGCTGACCACTAGGTGAGGGACCCCAGGCTGCCGGCTCTAAAGAGGCCCCGGGTCAGAGGCAGACGTGAGCTGTGAGGACCAAGCTAGTAGGGCTGCTACGCACGGGACCCTGGGTGGTCCGCGTCCTGCCCTCCTGAGCCCAGGCGAGAGAACACAGGTGGCTGCGCAGGGCAGGGCAGGTGTGCCACCGGGGCCTGCCGCTGCCCTGGCAGTGCCCAGGCATCACGCAACAGAAAGAGCAGCTGCCATGCAAGTGTCCCCCCGGAGCCGGGCCCGCCCTGCCGCACAGCTGCAGCTGGTGCTGCTCTGGGCCTTGGCGTGGACACAGGGGACGGGCTCTGCGTGTCCCTCCTGCGGGGGCCCCGCCCTGGCACCCCAAGCAGAACGAGCTCTGGTCCTGGAGCTCGCCAAGCAGCAAATCCTGGAGGGGCTGCGCCTGACCAGTCGTCCCGGAGTCACGCACCCCCCACCCCGGGCAGCGCTGACCAGAGCCCTGGGGCGCCTGCAGCTGGGGGGCGAGGCTGCGGCCCGCGGGGAGGAGGTCGTCAGCTTCGCGGTCTCAGGCGGGCGAGGGCGGGGCGGGGCCGGCGGGGCCGGGAGGCCGCGGGAGGAGGAGACCGGCGGGGCGGGCGGAGGACTCGGGGTGACCGGCTGCTCCGGGGCGGGGGCGGGGCCGGGCGGACGGGGCTCGCGGGCGGGAGGTCGCTCACCGCCCCTTCCCGGTCTCTCCCGCAGAGCCCCCCAAGCCGGCCTGCGGCGCCGACCTCGCCTTCCGCCTGCCCGCGCCCCGCGCCCGCCGCCTGCGCCGCGCCCGCCTCTGGCTGCACGTGCCGGGCGCCTGCGGGTCTCCCGGGGGGGGGGGGGGGGGGGGCGCCCGGGAGCGCGAGGCCTCCTGGCGGAGCTCCGAGTGACCGCCGCCGGCTGGCACGCCCTGCCGCTGCCCTCCCGCGGCCTGGCCGGCGACGCGCGTCCTGAGGCTGCGGCTGGACTGCGGCCCCCCGGCCCGCCACCGCCGCGCGCCGCCCCCGCGCCCCCTGGACGCCCGCGACCGGCGCCCCTTCCTGGAGCTGAAGGTCCGGCCCCCCCCGAGCCTGGGGCGGGCCGGGCCAGGAGGAGGACCCCCACCTGTGACCCCGAGACTCCCCGCTGCTGCCGGCGGGACCGTTACGTGGACTTCCAGGAGCTGGGCTGGCGGGACTGGATCCTGCAGCCCGAGGGGTACCGGCTGAACTACTGCGGCGGGCAGTGCCCCCCGCACATGGCGGGCAGCCCCGGCCTCGCCGCCTCGCTCCACGCCGCCGTCTTCAGCCTCCTCAAGGCCAACACGCCTTGGCCCCTGGGCGCCTCCTGCTGCGTCCCCACCGCCCGGAGCCCGGAGGCCTCTGTCTCTCCTCTGCCTCGACCGCGACGGCAACGTGGTCAAGACAGACCTGCCGGACATGGTGGTGGAGGCCTGCGGCTGCAGCTAGCTAGGGAACTGGGGTTGGGAATGAAGAATCAGGTTGGGGATTGCAGGGGTAGGGCACCCCGGGCGAAGGGGTGTGGCACCAGAGTCCTGACTCGCACCCCCACCCCATGGGCCGCGGGGCCCTGCCGCCGGCCACTGCTACCCGGCTCCAGGGGACACTTTCGTACCCGGACTCCACCTATTCCAGGGTGTCGGGGTGCGGGGGGAGGGGAAGCGTGTCCTCTAAAGGAGCCTGCCCAGAAAGGCGATGTCCTACCCCAGCCCCTGAGAGAGGGTGGCCGCGCGAGGGGGAGGGAGAAAAGGAGAAAGTAGAGCAAGATTAGCCTCTGCCCTGCAGAGAAAGCCCTCTCCTGAGGGGAGGAAGAAGCTTTGGGACGGGGAGTAGACTGGGGGAGTGGACTGGCTGAGTGTAGGGCCTGTTGCAGGGAGGGTCCAGAGGGAGGTGCAAGGGGAAGGTATTTAGAAGAGCCCCCAGAATGGGAGTCAGGCAAGAGGGGTGTTGAGCCTGAGGCATTCCCTGGTTTTTCCTGGGTGCAAGACCCATCGGAGGGGCAAACATTTACACCTTCCTAATAAAAATGAAGGAAAAATCCGCAAGTATGAGTCATAAAGTAGGGTTGGGGTGATCGTTCCAGAGCAGTGTTTCCTGATGTTTGTTCTGGGGCCCCTGGAGGTCCCTGGGAGCCTTTCAGTGTGTGCAAGGGAAAGCCAGTTTCCTAATAACACTGTTTGCCGTTTTCATTTGCATTACCTCAAAAGCATGCAGTGGGGTTTTCAGAAGCTGCATGGCAGGTGGTGACATAACTTTCTGACCCCACTGGTGATAGGATGGGTGCTTGAGCTTACACTTTTTTTCAGCCTTAATTTCTAGTATGGTAACTTGATATGAACCACACGCCTTTTAAGAGTTTAAGGAGGTGTTGAACTAAAAAAAGTGTGAGAATCGCTGCCCTGGAGGCCTGGGTGATGAGGTGCCCAGGCAGGGGCACACACAGAGTCCCTTCTTCTTAGTGACCCTCTGGGTATCACTGTTGTCTTGGTCAAAGTCATGTGGGGGACGGAGGCTCAAATGGGGCTTCTTGTCTGTGCCCCCACAATTACAACCTATCTTTCTAGGGCCTCAGACCTCTTCCTAACTTCATCTCTCCCCCTCGACTCTCAGACTGAGCAGTTAACTACTGACGCTCCAAGCCCAGGGGTGAGGAGCAGAAGCTACAGATAAAGGAGTGTCTCCTTTCACCCACTATGCTTTTGGCCCTCTCTCATGAAGAAAAGTCAGAGAGTCGGAACTCCCTGGTGGTGCAAGGGGTTAAGACGCAACCTATGAATCTATCGACAGTCTCTGCAGCATGAGTTCGATCCCCGGCCTGGAGGTACCCACATGGCGCAACAGACCTCTCCTGACTCACCCGCTGCTCCCCTCAGCAGTGGATTTCACTGAATCTGTCTGTTCTGTTCCCCACTTTGTCTCTGGGGAATCCTCTCACCCCCACACCTTTGGCCTGTACCCCAGTTCTTGTATGCATAAATAAATGAATCTTAGGCCTCCCTGGTGGCTCAAGGGGTTAAGCACCACACTATGGAGCAATCTGCAGCCTCTGCAGCACAAGTTCCATCCCCGGTCAGCCAGGGAGCTACCCACATGGTGCAGCAGACCTCTCCTGTCTAGCCCACTGCTCCCCTCAGCAGTGTACTTGGGTCAATCTGCCTGTTCTGTTCCCTGCTCTGTCTCTGGTGAATCCTGTCACCCCCAGCAACTCTGGCCTGTACCCCAGCTCTTGTATGGATGAATAAATAAATCTTTTTTTTAAAGATTTATTTATTTATTTATACAAGCACTGGGTACAGTCAGAAGCGCCGGAGGGCGAGAGAATTCACCAGAGCCAGAGCGGGGAGCAGAGCAGGCAGAAGGACCGAAGTACACTGCTGAGGGGAGCAGCGGGCGGCAGGAGAGGTCTGTGCGCCACGTGGGACCCTCCTCCAGTGGCCGGGGAGCAGCCGGGGATCGAACCGGCGCCGCAGAGGCTGAGGGCAGCTTTGCAACCCAGCGCTCAACCGCTGCGCCATCGGGGAGGCCCCAATAAATAAATCTTTAAAACAAATCAATCGATCGATCAATCAATCAATCTTTAAAAAAGTCAGCGAGCCTAAAGTAGCTGCCCCTTCCCCTGCATCTGGTCACCATGGCAACACAAGTTCAAAGCAACAGGATGCACCCCTAAAGTTAGCCGCCACCACGCTGCCCTGCAGCCCGCGCCCCTGTTTGTGTGACCGCGCACCTGCCCTCCCGAGCCCTGGGCGTCCCCGGCCCTCGCGCTGGGCTCCCGGGGGCTTTCGTGCGGCGCCCGTTAAACCTCCTGCTCCTGCTCCGCGCGTCTCCGCCGGCGGCCCTCGCGGGTGTCACGCCCCAGAGCGGCCAGCAGAGGGCGCAGCCGCCTCGCGGCGCGGGAGGAGCGGGCGGCGCGGCGGTGGCACAGCCCCCCCGAGCGCGGGGATGGCGAGCGGGGTCGGGGGGACAGTGCCCAGCCCCGGGGGTCCCTAGTGGTCGGGCGGGCGCGTCCCTCGGGCCCAGAGCCTCGGCCGCGCCTCCTCTTCCCGGCTGCGGGGGCGCGTCGCTGCCCCGGGCCCGGCCCCGTCGGGGCTCCGTTTCTGCCCCAGCCCTCCGGGCTCCATCCTGAGGGGCGGATAAACCTGGGGTGCAGAGCTCTACGCTAGTACCCGTCAAAGGTGATCGTCCTGTCTCTACTGTTCTCTTTCCGGAGGAACTTTCTTCCGCCCCCAGCCCCCAGCCCCCCAATTTCGCTAAGTGTTTTCCCGACTGCGGCCTCTTCGCGGCGCCGGTCCGGGATCCGCGCCGGGATTTCCCGCCCGCCGCCGCGCGGAGTTGGGGGGTGGTGGGGGCAGCGCAGGGTCCCTCCGGGGAGGGGGAGGATCCTGGGGGTCCTGGGGGTGCAATAAGCCGGCACCCCCTCTCGCGCGCCCAGCTGCCCCGCCGCAGCCCTCAGAGCGGCGAGGGCGCCGGGAGGGCGGCCGGGAGGGAGCGGCGCCCGCGGCCAGCGAGGAAAAGTTTTGCAAAAGGGAAAAAGTTTGCGCGTCTCGCGGGTGGTCCCGGCGCGCGGCCCGCGGGAGGCGGCGGGGCCGGGCCGGGCCGGGCCGGGCCGGGGCGGGGGTGGCACCGAGGCTGCGCCGCCGGGCCCTGCGCCCCCGCCCCGCCGCGCGCCCCGCCGGACCGGCCTGGACCGCGCGCCCCGCGCCCGGCGCCGGACGAGGTGAGGGGGCGGGGGACCACCTGGGCGCGTGGGGGAGGGGCGGGGCGCCGGGGGCCCGGGCCGCGGAGGGGGGCGGCGCGGGCGAGAGGGGGCGCGGGGCCGGGGCGGGGGGTCGGGCGCAGTCTCCCCGCGGCCCCGCGTCTTCTCCTCTGACAGTTGCGCCGCGGGCGCGGGGCCTTTGTCTGCGCCGCCGCCCCCGACGCCGCGCCCGGGGGCGTGAGGGGCCCGCGGCGCGGCCGGCGGGTCCGCGCGGTCGGGGGCGCCCCAGGTGCCCGGCGCGGCGCGGGGGTCGCGCTCCTGCGAGAGGGGCGGCCGGGGCGCCCCAGGTGGGCCGGGTGCGTGTGTGGAGACAGCCGCGGGCGGGGGCTCGAACCCCTCTTCTGTCTGGTGGCAAACGTGCTTGTGGGAGCGTGTGTTTGGGGGCGCGGGGTGTCATCGGACCGAGGAAGGGGACGGGGAGACCAGCGGCTCGTTCAGGCCCTGGGAAGGCTCCCCAGAAGTGTGAACCCCCGTGTCCCGAGAGCGGGGCCGAGCGCCGCGGAGGCGTGAGGAGACCGTCCCGACCCCTGACCCCGGACCACCGGGCAGCCGGGCCGGCCGCGGGGACCCCTGCCGGGGGGCGGGACCGCGCCCCCGCCCGCGCGCGCCCCGGCCCCCGCGGGAGCCGGCCTCGCCCCTCCTCCGGCCGGACCACCCTGCCTGCCCCGCGCCCCGCTCCGCGGCCTCTTTCAGGCCCCGTGACCCCGAAACAATCCGCCCCGGGCAGCGAGCTCGGGGACCGCACGGGGGCCGGGGTCCCCCGGGCTGACTGACGTTTTAGGGGCCGGAGAACCGGGGTCTCCGTGGGACGGGGCTTCGCGGTCCAGCGGGGAGAAGGCGGGGCTCCCGAGAGGTGGAGGAGCCGCGGCGGGGAGGCTTTCCCCAGGGGGCGGGTCCGGAGACCCCCGCTCTCCCCGGCTTCCCCGCCGGCGGCGGAGACCCGCCCTTGACGTCACCGAGGGGTTCCCGGGGGTCCGCGGGGGTCCAGCCCGGGGAGCCCGCGGGGCCCGGCCCCTCCCTCGCGCCCACACCTGGCTGTGCCCGCGCCTCCCCGCGCCGCCGCGCCTCCGCCCCGCGCGGGACCCCACTCTCCGCGGGCCCCCCAGGCCGCGGCGGCGCAGGGCCGGGGGAGGCGCCGGGCGCGGGCGGGGGCGGCGTCTGCAGCCGGAGCCCGCGGCGGCGACTTGGGTGGGCCGGCGGGCGGGAGGGCGGGCCGGGGGCGGGGCCGGCCCGGGGAGTTGGGGCGCGGGGGCGCGAGGGGGCTCTGGGAAGCCGGGCCCCGGAGGAGACGGCCCCGGCCCGCCAGCGCGCCCTGCCCCGTCCTGCTCCCGCGCCCGAGGGACTTGGCGGGGCTGGGGGACCGCGGGGCGCCCCGCTCCCGCGCGCGGGGAGCGCGGGGGGCTGCGGCGCGCGGGCCGGGCCGGCCGCGTCGCCCCCTTTCCAGCGCGGCTCCCCGAGGCCGGGCGGCGGGGCAGCAAATGACCGGGCGCGCATGTCTGGGGGGTCTCTGTAGTGTCCGGGGGTCGCGTGTGAGCTCCCGCCGCCCTCCGCGGGTGAGTCGGGGGAGGGGGCGGGCGGCGCCCCCATCCAGCTGCCCGCCAGCTGCGCCCCCCGCAGCGCCCCGGCCGCGGTGGGAGGTCTTGGATGCGGGGTCCGGATCTCCGTGCGGAGAGGAGGGGCCAGCGGCGCGGCCGGGCTGCGGGGCTCCGGCTGGGTCACGGGGTCCGGCTCCGCGCCCCGTCCCACCCCGCCCGCGCCCGGAGTCCCAGCATCCCGGGATCACCCACCGCGCGGCGGCCCCGCCGGCCGCGCCCACCCGCCGCGCCCCGCCCCGCCCCGCCCGCCGCGCGGCGGAAAACCCGGGGTGGAGCGGGGGCCGGGAGCGGCGCCCCCACGCCCTCCCGCCCGGCCCCGCGCCGGCGCCGGCTGCTCGTCCCGCCGCCCGTCCTGCGAGCGGGGCCAGCGGGTTCGGGGGCGCCCAGGTCCAGCGCACCCCAGAGTAAAGCCGGCGTCGATCCTTTGTACCCCACAGACCGGGAGCCCCTCAGAAACCGCCGCCCTCGGCTCGCCGCGGCCGCCCTCCGGAGCGGGGCCGACGGCCGGGGCGCGGGCGCCCTCTGCGGGGCGCGGGCAGGACCGCAGGGGGAGGCCCCGGTGGCAACAGCCGAGGGACGAGCCGCCAGCCCCAGAGCGCCCAGCCAGGTGCCCCCCGGGGGCTGTGCCACCCCTCCAGGCGGGCCCTTGGCCAGAGCAGAAGGAACAGAGCGCTTGTGGAATAAAGTCACCTGAGGCTCACAGAGGCACACGTATTCCACAGCCCTCCCCTCCACACACACGCGCACACACACACACTCACACGCGCACACACACGCTGTCCGGGCAGAGTTTCCCAAGTTTCCATCCAGTTCCCTAAAATATCCCCAAGACTGTCTCTGCTGCTTTTGGACTGCTCCCCTTGCCCTGTCCTGGCTGAGTAATGCCCTCTTCAGGTTGATTTCCATGGCGGCGGCCTTGGGGGGCTGGGGCACAGGAAGCTCTGCCCAGGATCCCAGCTCCAGCTTATTACCTGACCTTTCCTGCCTCCCTCCCGCCTCTAACTCGCCAGTCTCCTTCCTCTTGCAGTTCCTCACACTCTCCCCTGAGACGCCATGTTCAACTCGATGACCCCCCCGCCAGTCAGTAGCTATGGAGAGCCCTGCTGTCTCCGGCCCCTCCCGGGTCAGGGGGCCCCCACCATGGGGACAGAAGGTCAGTGTCTATATCAGTCCTTGGGGGCTGGCATAGCTTTCACCTTTCCGTCTCCCACCTGACGCCCATTCCCCATTGTAAGAGTATTTGAGACCCTATCGTGTGGGCTTGGAATATGGGGTCAGGCCTTGCCGGTTTTTTTTTTTTAAGATTTATTTATTTGTGCATACAAGAGTTGGGGTACAGGCCAGAGGTGTGGGGGGTAGGAAGATTCACCAGAGACAGAGTGGGGAGCAGAACAGGCAGACTGACTGAAATACACTGCTGAGGGGAGCAGCGGGCGCGACTGGAGAGATCTGCGCCATGTGGGTAGCTCCCTGGCCAGCCGGGGATGGAACTCGTGCTGCAGAGGCTGTGGACAGCTTCACGGTGCTGTGCTTAACCCCTTGCGCCACCAGGGAGGCCTAAGGTGAGGTCTTATGCGTCCTCCATGCCCATCCCCCACTCCACCTGTCTCTTTTCTAGGTCTGCCCTTCTGCCACCAGACCAACCTCATGTCTGGCCCCCACAGTTACGGCCCCGCTAGAGAGAACAACAGCTGCACTGAGGGTGAGGCCTCAGGCGACTTCTCCCTTTCTGCCCCCCTGGGGCTTGTCCTGAGGGACAGAGGGGAGGGCAGGGGACTTAACTTGGAGGAGGAAAGGCTTGGGGATGGGAGCAAGGGGTGCACAGTGCGACCGAGAGGTCACGGATGGAGTCAATACAGAAGAGCCAGGCCGCGGTCTTTTCCCTGAGTCGGGACCACAGGCCTGGCGCGTGGAGAGACGTCCCTCACCATGCCTGTCTCCCCTGTCTCCCGCCGCAGCCCCTCTCTTTCCTCCTCCCCGGAGTACAGTCAAGTTGACCAAGAAGCGGGCGCTGTCCATCTCCCCTCTGTCAGACGCCAGTTTGGACCTGCAGACAGTGATCCGCACCTCGCCCAGCTCCCTGGTGGCGTTCATCAACTCGCGCTGTGCATCTCCCGGGGGCTCCTATGGTCACCTCTCCATCGGCACCATGAGGTGCAGACAGCCCCAGGCTAAGAGGCCCCTCAAGACCCTGCCAAACCCCATAAAAAGCCTCAAGCCCTCAGACCACCTGACCCTATTTGAATTCTATCCGTTCAAAGGCGTTGAAGCCTCCTCAGTCTGTCCCTGGCACTGCCTCAGGCACTGCCCGTGCTAAGTCTTCCAGAAACACTCCACACCATGCAAGAACTCCTGAGACACTGAGGTGATCGTAACTGCCTCCCCCTCCTCCTCCTCAGCCCATCTCTGGGATTCCCACCCCAGATGAACCACCAAAAAGGGACCTCGCCTTCCTTTGGGGTCCAGCCCTGTGGTCCCCATGACCCCACCCAGGGGGGCCTGATGCCGCATCCTCAGCCCCGGGGACCCCTTCCAACTTGCCAGGTGAGAGTCCTCATAGTGCCACCCGATTTCCCTCAGCTCAGGGCAGGGGGGGTGGACTTTATAAGGGAAAGGTGAAGGGAACACGGGGGTAGAAAAGTTTTCAGTAGCAGGAAAATACAAAGGCAGGGGTGTTGGGAGTCACTGGATGACTCAGACTCTCCCAAATGAGACCCCCACCTTTTGCCCACCCCATCACCAGTGCAGTCTGAGGAGGAAGCCTCTTCCAAACCCAGGGGTTCCAGCTGCTTGGGTGGGGGAACTCAGGGCTGGAAGACCTGGCTGGGCTCCCTCTTCCTTCTGCCCACTTCTGCCTTCATCACCCTCACCTCTTCCCTTGGGGAAGCTGAAGTCTGAGCTGGACATGCTGGTTAACAAGTGCCCGGAGGAGCCCTTGGAAGGGGACATGTCCAGCCCCAACTCCACGGGCACGCAGGTAAGGGGCAGGGCGCGCTGGGCCTCCGGAACCGGAGCCAAACAGACGCGTCACCCCCAGTGACCAGGGGGCGCCTCTCCTGCCTAGGATCCCCTGCTCAGGATGCTGGACGGGCGGGAGGACCTGGAGAGAGAGGAGAAGCCGGAGCCCGAGTCTGTGTACGAGACGGACTGCCGCTGGGATGGCTGCAGCCAGGAATTTGACTCCCAGGAGCAGCTGGTGCACGTGAGCCCCAGGGGGTAACAGGAATGCCGCCTGCAACCTGCAGGACCGCGGGTGGGGCTGTGGAATCCGGGGAGGGCAGAAGGGCAGGGGGTTCTGAGATCAGGGCCCAAGTGCCCCCGCTGGGCAGGCAGAAGTGTGAGGAGCCGGGGCCTTGTGGATGCTGCCAGAAACAAGACGTGGGCTAGGATTTTTTTATTCTTCCTGTTCCTTCTTCCCCCGTGCGGTGGAGCCAGGGAGGCATGGGGGGGGTGGGGGGGGGAGTAGGGGGTCAAAGGAAGGTCTGTTCTGGGTCTCAGGAGCCTGGGGGCCTCGGCAAGCCCTTGCGTCTTCTCCTGCAGCACATCAACAGCGAGCACATCCACGGGGAGCGGAAGGAGTTTGTGTGCCACTGGGGGGGCTGCTCCAGGGAGCTGCGGCCCTTCAAGGCCCAGTACATGCTGGTGGTCCACATGCGCAGGCACACGGGCGAGAAGCCGCACAAGTGCACGGTGAGGCCCCGCGCTGGCTCCCGGCCCTTCCAAACTCGGTCCCCCACCTCCCTGACCCCCCTCACTGCCAAGGCCAGGCCCCAGTATGACGTTTGTCTGGGCGCTTCGCCCTGGTAGGCCTCTTTCTCCATAAACACGTATGTGAAAACTATTTTGTGACTGTTGGTATAAAGAGGGTCATATCAATATTATATGTTAGAACACTTAATATGACCTAAAAGCTACTTTTCCCTTGATTTTATTTTTTTTTAAAGATTTATTTATGCAGGGCCTCCCCTGGTGGCGCAGCGGTTGAGCTCTGGGCTGCGAAGCTGCCCGCAGCCTCTGCAGCGCCGGTTCAATCCCACATGGCGCACAGACCTCTCCTGCCGTCCGCTGCTCCCCTCAGCAGTGTGTTTCGTCCCTCTGCCTGTTCTGTTCTCCACTCTGGCTCTGGTGAATTCTCTCACCCTCTCGTGCTTCTGACTGTACCCAGTGCTTGTATAAATAAATAAATAAATCTTTTTAAAAAAATCCTTCTTAAAAAAAAAAAAGATTTATTTATGCATACAAGAACTGGGGTATAGGCCAGAAGTGCAGGGAGGTGAGAGGATACACTAGAGACAGAGTGGGGAACAGAACAGGTGGATTGACTGAGGTACACTGCTGAGGGGAGCAGCGGGGAGACAGGAGAGGTCTGCTGCGCTGTGTGGGTAGCCCCCTGGTAGGCTGGGGATTGAACTTGTGCTGCAGTGGCTGCAAATAGCTTCATAGGTTGTATCTTAACCCCTTGCATCACCGGGGAGTCTTTTCCCTTGATTTTAAAAGGAATGTAAATGCTCTTGTGGGGCCTTGGAAGTACTGTGGGCCCCAGGCCCCAGGCCTACTGCTCTGTCTGATGGAGAAACCCCTCTAGACAACCCACTGAGGCAGAGTAAGTTCCTAGTGCGGGGGGAGCTGCTCCGGCCTGAGCATGTGCTCAGTGCGTCATCCCTGCGTCCTGCAGGCAGCGTGTCCCCAGCTGCTTCTGTCCCCCGTTCTTTTTTTTTTTTAAGATTTATTTAATTTATTTATGCGTACCAGAACTGGGTGTGGGCCACAGGTGTGGAGGGTGACAGGGTTCACCAGAGACAGTATGTGTTTCCCCAGTTCTCACCTGCCCTTGTCTCCAAATTTCGGGAATTCTGAAGCCCTGATGCTCCCTCAACTGAAATTATATTTGCTCGTGTATATCCCAGTTGAGATTTGGGGTTCCTCTACTGTCCACGTCCTTCTGTCTGAGAGCTACCCTTTCACCCCCGTGACCTCCAGTTTGAGGGGTGCCGGAAATCATACTCCCGCCTTGAAAATCTGAAAACGCACCTGCGCTCACACACGGGCGAGAAGCCGTACATGTGCGAGCACGAGGGCTGCAGCAAGGCCTTCAGCAACGCCAGCGACCGCGCCAAGCACCAGAACCGCACCCACTCCAACGAGGTGAGTGCCGTCTAGCCTGCCCCCCCCAGAAGCCCCTCCTGGGGAGTTTCCTCCTAAGAAGCCCCTTAGCCAGCACCCACTCCTCAGAGGTGAGTGTCCCGCGCCGCGTCAGTCACCCGGAGAAGGCCTTCCCGAAACCAAAAATTTCCATGTACCGCCGGCCCCCCCTCGACCAGCCGAAGGTTAACCTCAAACAGATCTGTTCTCGCTAGTGGCCCCTGGAAGCTTCAACCGCTGAATTCGTGAGGTGTCCCCGACCCGGGTCTCCCCCTCACCTTTCCCAGACTGGGGACATCAAGGGCCCCACTCTCCTTCCTTCCTTGGGTGCTGTGTGCGCCCCCTGACCCCTCATCCTCACTCATGCCCCCACTTCCCCACCCCTTCTACATTCTTCCACTCTGATCCCTTGACGTCCGGCTTCTCTCTCCGCTCGCTAGAAGCCCTATGTGTGTAAGCTCCCCGGCTGCACCAAACGCTACACGGATCCCAGCTCGCTGCGAAAGCACGTCAAGACGGTGCATGGCCCGGATGCCCACGTGACCAAGCGACACCGCGGCGATGGCCCCCTGCCGAGGGCCTCTGCCCTGGCCACGGTGGAGCCCAAGAGGGAGCGGGACGGAGGCCCCATCAGGGAGGAAAGCAGACTGACAGTGCCCGAGGGGGCCACGGTGAGCCACGGCCCGGCAGCCCCGCCTGCCCAGCCTTCTGTCCCCGCCTCTGCCCGTACCGCGCCCGTGGCCAGACCTGCAGCCTCGTCCCATCGCTGCTCCTGGGGCTGCCCCAAATCTAAAAATTTTACCTACATGCATTATTTTTTTTAAAAAAAAAGATTGATTTATTTGTGCATACAAGAACTGGGGTACAGGCCAGAGGTGTGGGGGTGAGAGGATTCACCAGAGACAGAGTGGGGAGCAGAACAGGCAGACTGACAGAAATACACCACTGAGAGGAGCAGCGGGGAGACAGGAGAGGTCTGCTGCACCCTGTGAGTAGCTCCCTGGCCGGGGATCAAACTTGCACTGCAGTGGCCGAGGGGGCCACTGCAGCTTCGTAGTGCTGAGACTTACCCCCTTGCGCCACCGGGGAGGCCCCCTTAATGCATGATTACATCAATGAGCTGGCTCAGCCGGCTTGCGCAGAATTTGGTGTATGGTTCCAGAGCTTTCGCATGTTTAATTTCCTGCGCTCCTCACAGCAATTTCATGAGAAAGGAACTTTCCTCATTTTCGGATGAGGAAACTCAGGCAGAGCAATTGCCTAAAGTGATAGAACTAGAGCGTGGCTTTGAGCCCAGGCTCTCCCTATCAACTCCTCTCCCCCAGTTTGTCTCCGCCCCTCAGGCTCAGCCCTCCCTACACCTGTAAGCCTCCCTCAGCCCCAGAAGTCACTGGAACTCAAGCTTTAGCCACTCGCCAGGTTCAGGGAACAGTGGGAAGGGGAAGGCTGCCGTGCTCAGTCCTCATCTCCCCACAGAAGCCACAGCCCAGCCCTGGGGCTCAGTCGTCCTGCAGCAGTGACCACTCCCCAGCAGGCAGCGCGGCCAATACAGACAGCGGTGTGGAAATGACTGGAAATGCGGGCGGCAGCACGGAGGACCTGTCCAGCTTGGATGAGGGGCCTTGCATTGCTAGCTCTGGTCTGTCCACTCTTCGCCGCCTTGAGAACCTCAGGCTGGACCAGTTACATCAACTACGGCCAATCGGGCCCAGGGGCCTCAAACTGCCGAGCTTGACACACACTGGTGAGATGTGGTGGGGTGACTGCTGCACTGAGATCGGGTTGAGTGGGAGATTTCACCCTCAGGGCTACCGCACGGCACCTCTGTACGACTAGAAAAAGGCCTCCCTTCCTCAGACACTTTCTTTCCATCTAGCAGCAAACCGTTGTCAGGTGTAAAGTCTGCGGTGTGAATGCTGTCCTAGGGGTGTGCAGTGGGCGGCCCGTGCGGCTGCGCATCACAGCCCTGCACCCTGGTGCCCCGGAAGCAGAAGGGGCACGGGAGAAGGAAGCAGAACTGAGTGGTTGGCGTTAAGGAGCCTGTCCCTGGCTTCCAGGACAGATCATCCCATCGGGAAGTCGGGGGGTGAATCAGGAGAGTCCCTGACCACCTTGCTTTTCGCCCCGTCACTTGCAGGTACCCCTGCGTCCCGCCGTCTGGGCCCCCCGGTGTCTCTTGACCGCCGCAGCAGCAGCTCCAGCAGTGTCAGCTCCGCCTACACGGTCAGCCGCCGCTCCTCCCTGGCCTCCCCATTCCCCCCGGGCTCCCCACCAGAAAGCGGGGCGTCCTCTCTGCCTGGCCTCACACCCGCCCAGCACTACCTGCTCCGGGCAAGATATTCTTCGAGCAGGGGGGGTGGCACCCCACCCTCTACAGCACCCGGCCTGGATCGCATGGGGGTTCTTCCTGCCTCTCCCTGGAGGAACCGAGCCGAGTATCCAGGATACAATCCCAGCGCAGGAGTCACGCGGAGGGCCAGCGACCCAGCCCGGGTTGCCGACCGCCCTGCCGCAGCCAGAGTTCAGCGGTTCAAGAGCTTGGGTTGTGTCCACACACCGCCGGCAGGCGCGGGGGGAGGACGGAACTTCGAGCCCCTGCTCCCAGCCTCGGTCTACTCGCCGCAGCCCCCCAGCATCACTGAGGATGTGACCATGGACACCAGAGGGCTGCGGGAAGAGGCGGAGGTTGGGAGCTCCATGATGGGCAGCGGTGTGGCCCCTTACGTGGACTTCCCGCCTTCTGATACTCTGGGATATGGGGGGCCCGAGGGGGCAGCAGCTGAGCCTTATGGAGCCAGGGGTCCAAGCTCCCTGCCTCTTGGACCTAGTCCTCCTACCCACTATGGCCCCAACCCCTGCCCCCAGCAGGTGTCCTATCCTGACCCCACCCCAGAACCCTGGGGTGAGTTCCCTTCCCACTCTGGGCTGTACCCCGGCCACAAGGCTCCAGCTGGAGCCTATAGCCAGTGTCCGCGTCTCGAACACTACGGACAGGTGCACGTTAAACCAGAACAGGGGTGCCCAGTGGGCTCTGACTCCACAGGACTGGCCCCCTGCCTCAATGCCCATCCCAGTGAGGGGCCTCCACACCCACAGCCCTTGTTCTCCCACTACCCCCAGCCCCCTCCTCCCCAGTATCCCCAGTCAAGCCCCTATAGCCAGCCTCGCCCCGACTATCTTCCCTCAGAGCCCAGGCCTGGCCTGGATTTTGACTCCCCCACTCACTCCACAGGGCAGCTCAAGGCTCAGCTTGTATGCAATTATGTTCAGTCTCAACAGGAACTGCTGTGGGAGGCTGGGGGCAAGGGAGACCCTCCGGACCAGGAGCCTCTCTTTCAGACTCCCAAGTTTCTAGGGGGGTCCCAGATTAGCCCCAGCCCTGCCAAGGCCCCAATGGCCCCATATGGACCTGGTTTTGCACCTAACTTGCCCAACCACAAGTCAGGCTCCTATCCCGCCCCCTCACCTTGCCATGAAAATTTTGCAGGGGGGGCGAGCAAGGCTCCCCAAAGAGCAGCAGCACCACCTCGCCTTCTGCCCCCACTGCCCACCTGCTATGGGCCCCTCAAGGCAGCGGGCACCAACCCCAGCTGTGGCCATCCTGAGGTGGGCAGGCTGGGAGCGGGCCCTGCCTTGTACCCGCCCCCTGAAGGGCAGGTGTGTAACCCCCTGGACTCTCTTGACCTTGACAACACTCAGCTGGACTTCGTGGCTATTCTGGATGAGCCCCAGGGGCTGAGTCCTCCCCCTTCCCATGATCAGGGGGACCGCTCTGAACACACCCCACCTGCCCCCGGGGCCCCCAACATGGCTGTGGGCAACATGAGTGTCTTACTGGGATCCCTGCCTGGGGAGACCCAATTCCTCAATTCTAGTGCCTAAAAAGTGGGGAATCCCACCTATCACAGGTCCACGTTTCCTAAGGGGGTTTCATCCCCACAGACAAGTCAGGAGGAGGAGCCAGAGGCCCCCGGTGTGCCCCGGGTGGGAGGTATGGACTGGGGACTGTATACAGTCTGTAAATGTTTCGAGGAACAGTTTGATAATGACACTGTTTCCTGATAATAAAGGAACTGCATCAGCAAGCGCCGCGCCTCATGTCTTATTGCCCTGGGGAGGGGGCAGGAAGACAAGCAGGAGTTAAGCTCCCCACTTTTCTCTTTGGAGAATCTCCCTCACCCCATGCCCACCCTCGAGGCAGACTCCCATCATGTGGAAGACAGAGGATTTACCAGGGTGTCCTCAGAACAACACACACCTGTGGGGAGCCTGTCACCCTAAGGGAGCTGGAGTTTGTGGAGAGCACCTGCTCACTCCGCATGCGGATTCCAGGACCTTAGAATTCTGCAAACAGAACTTCCGGAACTGACCGCTGTGCTCTGAGGACGTGCGGGCTCGCGCGCATGTTCCCTACTCACGGAAAAGCTCGTTTTCAGCAGTAACTTGTTAACCTGTATGAGCAGAAACACAGTTGGGGGCTATTTTCTTGTCCCTTGTTGATATCTTTAGTAAAAGCTTGGGCTGGAGAGGGAGCGGCAGAGCGGCTCTCGACGGCTCTCCCGGCCTCCCCGCCCCCCCCCCCCCCCCCCCCGCTGCAAATTCATTTAGACGCCGAGTCTTCCTATTTTTTTAAATTTTAATTTTTTACATCATTGTTTATTCTTCAACAGTATTTGCTTCCCCACACCGCCTCAGGTGTAGCCCTTCCCCAAGGCCCGCGGGCTCCATCACCTCCGTCCCCTGGGCTCCTCCCTCCCTCCCCTGGTCCCTCTCCCTGCTCCCCTCCTGCAGGATGTCTCTGGTTTATAATTGTCCATTTTTGCTTTGTGGTGTGTGTACCCGGCTGCAGAGGCTGCGGACAGCGTCACAGCGCTGCGCTCCACCGCCTGCACCGCCAGGGGAGGCCCTGAGTCTTCATGGCAGAGAACTTGGCCCGGCTGTCCTGATGCATTCATGGCAGAGAACATCCGCTGGCCTGACGCAGCAGCACCGCCTCCACACCGCCTCCACACACACACACACACACACACACAACACAAACGGGCGGAGAAACATTTCCTCCTCCTGCTGCCTGGCTACGGGAAGAGGCTGGGGAAGTCGGTGAGCATGATCTGGACTAGCTGCCCAGGGTAGAGGGCATGAGCAGCGGGGTCAGACGTCTCCTGCTCTGGCCGAAACAGGGTGGGCCCAAACACAATCCCCAGGTTGTGGGGGGTCATGCGATTCTTATCCGCGTGTGCTATCACCCTGCGGGCAAAGGTCGACAGGTGGGGCCCTCAGCAGCAGTTTGGACACTTTAAATAAATCCAATCCTTCCGAGGTTTGAGCAGGGACGGTCCACTCAGGGGTCCCTCCTTGTGGTCACCAAGGAGGGAGCCCCTGGGGAAAGGGAAGCCAGTGGAGAGACCTCAGGGTACCCCGCGCATGTACACCCTATGCTACAGGACTCCTTCCCAGCTTCTGAGACTGCCCCAGAGTCCTCTTCGCTCACACTTCAGGAGGCTTTAACTCAATGGCCGCCCTTCTCCCTGCCCAGCCCCGACTCGCCACACAAGCCATCAGCTCTGTTCCAACAGGAGACAGAGGCAGAAGGAAGGGAGAGGTTAGATTTCTTGTTTCTCTCGTTTCTTACTTAGTTCCTTGTTTCCCTCACGGCATCCCCGGGCTTGCTCGGCCTCCAGTTCCCCATTTGAGGCCGAACTCCTGAAGCCCCGCACAGACTGGGCCTGGTTCCTCATCTGCCCACTGAACATAGGTGCTTCCCTACAATCACCCCATCTGACCCGAGTCCCTGCTGCAGCCCCCTAAGCCTCCCTTCACCTGAGAATGCCTTGATTTACCTTTCATTCCCGATTCCTAAATCATCACCCCTCGGCCCTCACCCCTCCCCGCCTGAGCAAGACGTCCGGTCGTCCTGACCTGCACAGATGCTCCAGGAGGCTCCGCAGAGTGTCGTGGTTGGGCTTTGGCATCAAGCTTATGGCTTTCTGCATCTGAGAGAGGCGCTGCTCGGCCTCGGAGAGCGCTAGGGAGAGGTTCAGAGGGAGGGCCTGGGGGTGAGGCCAGGGAAGGTGCAGGGCACGGTGGGTAAACTTCCCCGTGCGGGTGGGAGGCAGCAGCAGTCTATCATTGTTTTCTTTTTCAGCCTTGGAATTCTTTTACCTCAGTCCTCTAAACAGTCCCCAAAACACTGCAGTTGGCGTGCGGGTTGAAGGTTATGTTCCACCTCCACGCTCAGGGTGGGACAGAAGAGGGTCTATTGCTTACAACGCGCTTCCCCCCATCTCGAGGGTATTGCCCCGACCCCCACCTCTTACCAAGGGCAGCACGGAAGTGAGGCAGCAGCAGGGGGGGCACCAGAGGTTGGGGAAGCTCCCTGAGAAACAGTTTCAGGGCTCCAGTGACCACATGGATGTCATCCCACTCCGCACTGTCCAAATCTAATCGGTTTTCTGGAAGAGGCAGGTGCAGAGGCATTCAGGGCTCAAGAGGCGAGGGGGACTCAAAGAGATATCAGGCACTGGGAGACCTCGCTGAGGCCGACCACCAGCACGTCACCGCGGAGCAAGGCAGGAGAGTTGGGAAAAAGCCTCCCAGGGACAGGGTACTGGGGGGACGTGTGGGGGCAGGCAGGATGCATGTAATTTTAAGGGTATCAAGGACGTTCCTTGTAAGTACCTTGTCCTGGCTGTTCTGGGAACATGTACCTGCCGTCGGAGGTCACCGCCCGTTCTGCAGCACGTGAGGAGAGACAAAGTTAGGACGCACAGCCCCAGCCAGCAGGCTGCCCTGTCGCCCAGCTCCCGCACTCGGAGCCGCCTGAGAGGCTGAGGCACAAACCCTGGGTGCCACCACTTGCCCATAGGCCTTCTCACCTCTGTCCACCAAGAAGCGAAGTTTCTGGACCACTGCCAAATTCCCACTGACCCGGTAAATGCCATCTACATCCAGACCTAGGAGGAGAGGCCGGGGCGGGTGAGGATCCCTGCTAGAGTGTGTGTGGTGAGGCCGGGTGAGGCGTTCCAGGGGGAGAGAAAGGGGGCGGAGGGAAGACCAGTGGAGGGAGGTGGGGGATTCTGGGGGATTCGAGGCCCAGGCTGTTGGAAGGGCGGGGGGTGGTTCTGGGGTCTCTGGGGAAATGACCTCTCTTATCCACAGCAGCAATGCAGAGCTGCACAAAGCTGGGCACGGTGTCCCCTTCCCGCTGGCACAGTGATTCCAACTGGCAGCCGAAGACCTGGTCTGTGGGAGGTACAGGGTGAGGAGGGACGCTGTCACCCGAGTCACCCCTGGAAGCTCTTCTCAACACAGGTGTTCACCCCAAAGCTGACCCGGCTCTCCTGGCTGCCTGCCCCAGGCCTAGGCAAGGGGTGCACCCACGCCCCCCAACAATTTGCAGAGGTGGGAAGCAGCAGGGGGCGCACAAGGCGCTGATCTGGCTGTGTCCCGCTCTGCTCTGAGCTTCGCGGGAGTCTTCTGGCCCCGGGCGGGGCTGAGGCCCGGCTCAGGATGCCCCAGCGCGCTCCAGGGCGCATCAGGGGGAACGCGCCGCGCGGCCACCCACCTCGGAGCAGGCCCCGCTCCTGCAGGCTCTGCAAGGGCGGCCTCTTGGCGATGAGCCGCTTTAGTTTGTTGCGCACGCGGTTCTGTTCGGTGCCTTCAGGAGCCCGGCCTTGCGAGAGCAAGTGGGGGGCGGCGGGCATGAGCGCAGTGGCCGGCGGAGCCTCGGCCCCGGGCCGCCTCTCCCTGCCCCCCCGGCCCCCCCCATACTGGAGCTCCGGAGGCCACCGAGACGCAGCAGCGGCCTGGACACGCGCTCCGACTCCTCCTCGTCGTCCTCCCCCGCGCTCAGCTCCCCCAGCTCCGCGGGCCCCGAGCCCGACAGGCGCAGCTCCAGGGGGTTCTCGCGATCCTAGACCCAGACGGAGAGGTTGGGAGAGAACCCTGCACCCCCAGCCCGAGCAGGGAGGCCACAGTCAGCCGCTGGCGTCCCCCAGCCCGTGCCACCCCCAATAGCCCCTGAACACACCGTTCCCAGCGTCTCTCTCCGCGCCCCGCGCCCCCGGCGCCCCCGGCGCCCCCGGGCCCCGACCCCTCCCCATCTCACCAGGCGCTCGATGACCGCCCGCAGCGCGCGGTGCCAGGCCCTCAGCTCCGCCTCCTGGTCCGACTGCAGCAGGAACTCGTGGCCAGGGACCGTGCGGATCTGGGGGCGCGGGCGGGGAGCGCGGGTCAGGGCGAGGCGCTGCGGGGGGCCCGCCCACCGTCGGGGGGAGGCGCGGGCGGCACTCACGTGCAGGACGTTGCGGCGACTGGACAAGTGGCGCCCGTGGGCCAGGGCCGCCCCTCGGAGGTCCACGCTGCTCTCCGGGCGGCTGCCCGCCGGCCCCTGGCGGTTAAGGAGGAAACTGAGGCCCCCGGGCTGCCGCCCTCCTGCTTCCCCTCGCCGCGGCCCTGGACGGCAGGGGAGGCCCAGCGCCTTCCTCTGCCCCCGCCCCCCTCCTCCGCCCCGCGGCCGACCCGAGGAGGGTGAACATTGTCCGGAAAGGCCTCCCGCACCCATTTTCCTCCATCCGCGCCCCGTTCTCTCCTGCTCACCCAGACGGAGGAGGGCGCGGCAGGCGGAGGCTCGCGGTAGAACACCAGGCTGTTGCCGGCCAGCACCACCCACGACGCGCCCCAGCTCTTCCTGCGGGCAGAGGGCAGCGGCCGCAACGCAAGGGCCTCTCAGGGCGGCCGGCGGCCAGCACCCCCCAACACCCGGGGCCACCCCAGGGAATCCGGAGCCCCGCCCCAGCAAGTGCCAGCTCTCACCTGACCTTGCGCCCACCCTGGGCGATCTTGGTGACGTTGAGCTGGCCAGACTTCTCCACCTCCTGGGGGGGCCACAAGTCACCCAGGGCTCCTGGGCGCCCACACAACTTTCCCTGCGGGCTCGCCCAGGAGTGGGGCCTTTGAAGTTGGGGGTGGGGGGAATGGTTCAAGAGGATATCCAGAGAATACTCAAACAGAGGAAGGTGTTAGGGCCTCCCTGGTGGCGCAGGGGTTGAGTCTCAGCACTGTGAAGCTGTCCGCAGCCACAGCAGCACGAGTTCCATCCCCGGCCAGGGAGCTACCCACACGGCGCAGCAGACCTCTCCTGACTCACCTGCTCCCCTCAGCAGTGGATTTCAGTGGATCTGCCTGTTCTGCTCCCCACTCTGTCTCTGGTGAATCCTCTAACCCTCCCCCCCATGGCTCTGGCCTGTACCCCAGTTCTTGTATGCATAATAAATAAACCTTTTTTAAAAAACGGTCATTACTATTTTTTTAAAAAAAGAGGAAGGTGTTCTTAAGAAGGCATCAGGAGCTGGGCGGGGGGGGTGCTCGCTGGGCTCTCACAGGACACGGGAGACTCACATGGGGGTCCTCCAGGACCTGCGGCAGGGGCCTAGGGGACTGCAGGGCAGCGGGCTGGTCTGAAGGGCAGAGCTGGGAGCTGCACTGCTGGCGGCAGGGGGCACCCTGAGGGAAGACATTGGAGAAACAGGTGGAGTGACCTTTGAACTGGGAGTCCCTGGCTGTAAGGGGAAGAGGGGTGCGGATGTGGGCTGGAGGCAGGGGGTGTGGTGGGTGATGAAGAATATCTTGCACAACAGAGGACGTCGTAAAGGACAACTTGCTGCATGAGATCCAGATGAGGGATCGCTCTCACCTGGGGGTTGAGCCGTTCTGGGGTCCCCATGTCATCTCCTGGGCTGTCTGCCTGTGGCTGCAGGTCACTCTTGTCCCCGCTCAGGGTCGGCGACTGGTCCATGGAGCCAGGGTTCTGGGGGGAGGAGGGAGAGCTATACCCCAGCACCACCTGCAACACCCTTCTCGCAGCTGTCACCATTGTCTGGGTCTCCCAAGAGTCCCAGAGGCAACACACCGCCCTGAGGCTCCGTGGGGAGAGCAGGCTGCAGGCAAAGGGTCAGCGGGGGTGGAGGGGCTCACCAGCTCCCGGGCGCGAGTGCGGCGTGGGGGCTTCCAGGACTTGCAGCCGGTCAGCGAGTTCACGTAGAAGCAGCGTCCGGAGTCCGGGTCCAGGTGCTGCTCCCAGGCGTCCAGCCTCTGCAGCGGGGGGCAGGCGGGGCTTGGGGGCGGGGAGGAGGTGCCGCGGCGAAGGTCCACCAGGTTGCAGTACACAGGGGGCTCTGACATGGGGGGCGGGGGTCCGGCCTGCGGGGAGAGGGGAAGAGAGAGGGTGATCCCCCGGCGCACCTCCCGGCCTCTCGCCTCCCACCACCTCTTCTGTCCCCCGCATTTTCTCACCACCGCGGGCTGGGGTGTCCCAGGTGCTGGGGGAGGAACCCTGTCCCCAGCCGCTGGGTTTTATTGTATTCCTACTCGCTCCCTCAGGGCTTTGCTTTCCTCCTCACTTCCTGCCGCCAGCTTCCCTCCCCCCCACCCCACCCCACCCCACCCCACCCCGGCCACAGGAAAGGGGAACAGCTTTTGGTGTGTGTGGGGGGGTGGTGAGGAGAGGGCGCCGCCTGCACGCCCTCACATCCTCCCGGGTAGAAGCAGGTAGAGGGGAGACGACACTGAGGCGCGGCGGGCCGCTTCACCCTCTAGTAAGTAAGAGCGGGAGGCGCGGGAGTGACAGCTCTAGAGGGGACTTGCTGCTGCCCCGAGCTCCTGCGCTGCAAGACAGGACCCCGGAAAAACCCTGCCCTGGGCGGGAGCCAGGAGGAAGAGAGCCCGGGGCCGAGCAGCGGCCTTTCCGGCCCTCTCCCGCGCCCAGGGACCGCGCCTCCTCCGGGAGGCCTGCCCAGGCCAGCAGGCGCGCTTTTTATTTATTTATTTATTTATTTATTTATTTGGGTGAAGGGCAGGTTTATTAGAAAATGGAAAAAGAAAACGAGAGGCGGGCCAGAAGCCGGGCCACCTCAGTCACTGCTCTCGGCATGTCTTCCTCCTGTCCTGGGTGTGTGGTCACCCCCCGGGCGGCCCCGGGAGGCAGAGATTCTGCGTGTCCTGCCATGCAGACCGACGCTGAGACTCACCGGGTCGGCGGGGGCCTCCCTCAGCAAGTCTTCCTGGGAGCGGGACCTTCCACCCCGGCCTTGCTGCAAGGGCTGCAGGACGGCGGGCCTCAAATTGGTGACACTGACACTTCGACACATTTTGGGGGGAAGAGGAGGAGGCTGCTTGAAAGCAGCTTGGTCTCCACCTGGGGGCGACTGGGGCAGGTGCAGTTCCTCCAGGGAGCCGGGAAACAGCTTTGGCCCTGGGACAGCGAAACCGAGAGGAGAGGGAGGCGATCAGAGGCGCGATCCGGACTGAAAGGGGTCACAGGCGGAGCGAGGGACAGAGGGAGGTTATGGAAGACGACATGAGGCCTAGAGGGCTTGAGATTTGGAAGAGAGGCAAGGCGGGCACCGGGTGGGCATGAGAAGTAGGTCGGTCAGGGAGACTAAGAGGAGGGCCAGCAGAAGCCTGAAGGAGGAGGGGCCTTCCAATAATTCCCGGCACCCAGGGGGGTGGCAGAGGGGGCAGGGCCTACTCACCAGGCTTCCAGAGAGCTTGGCTGGGGGGGCTGGTAGTCGGGCTCTGGGGAGGGGTGGATTCTTCTATCATGTAGGCAGCCGGGACAAAGATGGGCCGCGAGGCGGAGGGGGCGCCCAGGCGCCTTGCCAACCACCAGTCCGAGTTGGTCTTTCGAAGCAGCAGGAATCTGTCCCCTTCAGCCAGAGACACCTGCTGGCCATCTGCCCCCGTGTAAGTGAAGGCATAGAGGGCGCAGAGCCGGGACCCCCGAGAAGGACTCCGGGACCCCAGCCCCAGGCTCCCCCAGGTACTTGGCCACCACCTGCCCGATAGCATGGCGGTCAGTACTGTCACCTGTGGGAAAGAAAGGTGTTGGAGAGCCAGGAAAGGACAGGACTGACTGCCCAGAGGCAGAGAGACATGGTTGTAAGGGAGCAGAGTCACGGGGGAGGCAAGGACAGGAACCCTGGGGCCAGGGAGAGGGGACGATCTGGCAGGGGGTCAGTAACAGGCTTTTGGGGCTGAGGACTTCTGGGGGATGTGCTGCGGAGGAAGTATATAAGTAAGGTGAGAGAGGATGTGGTCAGCAAGACTGTGAGACCAACCATACAGGAAATCAGGGGAGACAGCCTGGCGTGGTGATTTTCCCCCCATTATCTGGGGCCCATCAGAAGGTAGACCCGTCCTTGTGCCGGCGGGACTCTTGAGCAGGGCCCAGGAAGAGGAAGAAAAAGAATCAGCTTGGAGGTAGCAGAGGGGCGAGGAGACAGAGTTCATGACCAACGTTTTCAAAAACCATTTGTCACCTTTTATTAACTGCTCATCAATAGCTGTTTCCATTACCAAGCTGCAGCCCACCTTAGGCCGTTTGCTTCCTGTGCAGAGTCAGAGAGACAGACACAGCCAGCCACATTGTGAGAGGAAGCCATTTTATCTAGTTGGAGAACGTGGCTGGGAGAAAGAGGGAGGGGTTTAGTGTTCGAGGCAGAGGTGAAAACCACCATTTTCCCCATCCATGCAGAAGTTGTTTTTGAGAGCTGGGAAGCCTTGCTGCGATCCTTTCTATATAAGCCTCTTGGCAGGGCCCTGCTTTAATGGGTGGGTTCATTCTTCATCCTCTTAACAAGGACTGACCGAGCACCTCCTGTGTGAAAGGACGTGTTAGGGACTGGGGTAAAAGAGTGGAGAGAGATAGACAGAGCCTTGTGGTCTGGAGCGTCAGTACAGCTCTGAACTATTGACACAACACACGTATTCATTACCATGGAGTCAGGAACTGCGAACAGGCAGTGCAGGATGCCCCGAGAGCACATGGGGGTGGGTGGAGGACGGATGTCAGCTTCTCTCTGGCAGAAGGTAGGAACTGACTTCCTCGATCAACCGTCAAAGCTTTACAATTCACGCTGGTGCTTTCTCCTTACCTGACCTCGCCCCTTCCCCCTTTCTGTGTTTCTTCACTGGGCTGTGTGTCTGGGTTTGGAGAGATGGAGGAGGAAGTACCCCCCATCTTGGTGACATCGGAGGGCCACCTCTCCCCCACCCACGCATGATCTGAGCTCTGGGGTGCAGGTGTTAGGATTGTGCCTCAGTCACCTAAGTTTGTTTCACTTTCAACATGCAAAAAAATCTACCCCTCAACTCCTCCCATGTCCAAAACAGTGACCAACATCCCCCGCCATCCATTCATTCACCGGATGTGAAGTGCTCGAATCCCATGCCCCTCTGCCTCTCTGCCATCGCTCTTGCACTTGCATCTCCCCCTTGATGACCACCTTCCCATGAGCTTTTACACGTGCCCAAGTCTCCCCTTTATTGTGCGCTCTGGTCCTCACCCTGTCACTCTTCCTTTTCACAAACTTGTTGAAAGAGTTGCCTGCACCTGTGGCCTCCACTTCCTCCCCTTCTCCTTCTCTCACCTTTTTAAGGTCACTCCTCACTGGGGTCACCCCCGACTTCGCACGGACGCTTTGCGGTCTTTCTGGCGCCTGCCACCTCAGCAGCAGACAAAGCAACGGACTGTTCTTTCTTCTAGACCCTGCCGGCACCCCACTTCCTTTCGGGCAGTTCCATTTCTGTTGCATGGGCAGGCTCTTCCTTTGCTTTCTCCTTAAACCCCAAAGAGCTGCCTGAGATCCTACGCCCTCTGCATTCTGTACCTCCCGTGAGGTCTTATTCTCTTCCAGCTCAAATGACCTCCACATGCTACTGAGCATCCTATCTCCAGTCCAGATCTTTCTTTGGAACTCCAGTCTATTACAGTGTCCACTGAAAAAACCCACATGGGTATTTCACAGGTACCGCAAACATAGTACGTTGTGAACTGAATTGGTCGGCTTCTCCCACAAACCTCTCTCTCCCGGTTAAATTGAAATTCAATGAACATTTATTGAACGCTCGCTACCATATGTGCCAGGTAGGGCCTGCCTGCTAGGCAGTGTCAATTCAGATGACAAATATGGGCCCTGCCCTCCCACAGCAATTCAAATACAGTGTGACAATCACTACGACAGGGAAATACTGTCATCTCTTGGCGCACATAGACGCTGGACTCAATTGCTCGTGCTAGAAACTGGACGACCGACCCGAATTCCTCCTTCTTCCTCACCACTCTCTAACTGATTACTAAATCTGTCTGATCTACTTACTTTTAAAAATCCCCACAACGGCCATCTTCTTCAGCTGGAACAATCTACCTCCCAATTAACCTCACTGCGTTTAGTTTTGCTCCCGTTCAGTCCTTTCCCGGCAGAGCAACCAAAATGACCTTTCTAAACACAAAATGCGCTTCCGCTGCCCTGGCTTAACCTTTCAAAGATTTCTCATTGTCCTCTGAGTAAAGTCCAAATTATACAGTGTGCTTTCCAGAGACTTCTCCCCTCCAGCCCAGCCTTTTCACTCTCGCCACTGAAAACTCCACGCTCCAGCTACACACTAATTCCTCACATTCCTAAAGTGCACAGAGGGCTCTGATTCTTTACATAAGTTGTTCCCTCTGTTGAAATACCTCTCACGCATCTCACTGATCTTCACCCAGCTAACTCTTACTCGTCATTCAGTTCTCATCTGAAAGGTCACTGGCACAGGAAGGCTCTCTCTCTCTCTCTCTCTCTCTCTCTCTCGATTTATTTATTTGGGGCCTCCCCTGTGGCACAGCGGGTTGAGCACAGCGCTGTGAAGCTGTCCGCAGCCTCTGAGCATGGGTTCGATTCCTGGCCAACCAGGGAGAAAACTACATGGCGTGGCAGACCTCTCCTGCCTCGCCCACTGCTCCCCTCAGCAGTGTCCTTGGTCTGTCTATCTGTTCTGCTCCCCACTTTGTCTCTGGTGAATTCTCTAACCCTCCTTGCACCTCTGACTGTACCCCAGTTCTTGTATAAATAAATAAAGCTTTAAAAAAATTTTAAAATTTACTTATTTGTGCATACAAGAACTGGGGTGTAGGCCACAGCTGTGTGGGGAGGGGGCAAGAAGATTCACCAGAGAGAGTGGGGAACAGAACAGGCAGATCCACTGATATACACTGCTGAGGAGAGTGGCGGGGAGACAGGAGAGGTCTCCTGCACTGTGGGTCAGCTCCCTGGCTGGGGACTGAACTCATGCTGCAGTGGCTGGTGATAGCTTGATAGCGCTGTGTCTTTAACTCCTGGGCCACCAGGGCAGCCCCTCTTAGCTCCTGAGTCTGGTGGGGATCCAAATTAGGAGCTCCCACAGCAAGCTTTACATTCCCAACCATAACTTGCATCACATTTTGAAGATTATTTGATTTTCTGACTTTCAGGAAGTCTGCGAGCTCTGCCAAGGCAGCAGCCTATATTAATTTTGTTGATAATTGTATCTTCACTGCTTTGTATAGTTTCTGGCACAAGCTAACCTCTCTGTGCCTCAGTTTCTTCAGCAGTGAATGAGAAGGAAAGAACCTATCCTTAGTTTGCCTGTATTTTGCTAAACAACTATTTTGTTACAGCAATTTCAAGGGTAGAAATTTGAAATTTGGCAGGGTTCAGATTGGTGATTCTTATATTAAATGTGGCACTGACTAGGGTCACTTGGTATGCAGCAGGCAGATGGGTTAGCCGGTCTGGCGAGCTTCACCTTAATAGGGATGGCTGGAATGCTGGGATCAGCCGAATCTGTCAGTCTGAATGTTGGCGTGAGACCTTCCCAGTACAGCAGCCTCAAGGTATTAAGATTTCTTACCTGGCAGCTCAGGGACAGGAGCGTGCGCCTAGAAGCTGGGTAGATGGGGTAACCTTTCTTACAATCAAAAGATCCTGAAACACCATAGATTTTTTTGAGAATTGAACTAGTTAATATATGCAAAGTGCTTAGAAAGGTGCCTAGCTCGTAACTACTAGGGACTTAATTTTAAAGGGGTACAAAGATGAATAAGGCTTCATTTCCCATTTACTCCTCATATAGTATGGATGTATCCTCGAACTCTTAGCCTTCCTATTTCCCCTCAATCGGACTCCAACCCTCTCAGCTTCTCTCCCCCTTAATGAAATTGTTTAGCTGTAGCTGCATTGTAAACTTGTTAAATCGCTATTTAACAGTCATATTCCTTTATTAAGATAGCCACACGAATTTCGATTGTGTCACTAAAGTAAGTTTATCCTAACTCCCTCCCAACTCATAAAACTACCATCCCTATGGGGCCTCCCCGGTGGCGCAGCGGTTGAGCGCTGGGTTGCTAAGCTGCCCGCGGCCTCTGCAGCGCCGGTTCGATCCCCGGCTGCTCCCCGGCCACCGGAGGAGGGTCCCACATGGCGCGCAGACCTCTCCTGCCGCCCGCTGCTCCCCTCAGCAGTGTCCTTCGGTCCTTCTGCCTGCTCTGCCCCCCGCTCTGGCTCTGGTGAATTCTCTCACCCTCCCGCGCTTCTACTGTACCCAGTGCTTGTATAAATAAATAAATTAATTAATTAAAATACATGCCTCTTTAAAAAAAAAAACTACCATTCCTATGAACTCGGACGGGGAGCGGGCCACTGCGAGTAGCAGCTAACGAGACATTATCATCTCAGCCTCGACAGGGAAGGCCGAGGGCGCTCGGCCCTTTGGAGGCGTCCAGCGTGCGAAGCCCTGAAGCCAAACGCCTGCCCCGGCCCGCCCACCAGGAAGTGCCGCTCTAGCACGGCGTCTCGGGGGCCCCCGTCTCTATGATATCCTCTTCCGGTTTCCCAGCGCTGCATGCCGGGAGAAAGAGTCCGTTGTCCGGGACTCTCTAGGCCGACCGCCTACTTCAGAACTCCATTTCCCGGCGTGCCTCGCGGCGGCCGCTCACCCTGCCGGCGGGACACCGCTTCCGGTTGCATCAGCGTGGGAGCCCCGGCGAAATGAGACTGTTCGTGAGCGAGGGCGCCCCTGGGAGCCTTCCCGTGCTGGCGGCGGCCGGGCGGGCCCAGGGCAGGGCGGAGCTGCTCATCAGCACTGTAGGCCCGGAAGGTAGTCGGGCTGGTGCTGGGGGTGGTGAATGAGGGGCGGGACCGAAGCGCGCCCCGCTCGTGCAGCAGTTGTCTTCACCAGCCTCCAAGCGCCCCCGACCGCCCCGTGACCCTCGGCCACCCCGCCGCCTTTCCCTCCCAGTCACATCTCTCATCACCCACTTCGCTCAGTCGCTTTCAGTATACCCCTCCTCGGAAGTCTCTAGCCTCCGCTTTATCTTCCCGCACCCCATTTCAGTGACCCTCCGTGCCGTCAGCCTGCTTCCCACACCTCCTGTGCACCCCACTCCTTCATACACTCACCCGCACCCTCACTCGTGTGACAACCCCCAGGAGCCTTTTTGTCGTTCTTAGGAAACCCCTCTTTAAACCGCCCCCTCCCACCCCACCCCCACTCCCCCCTTCTCTGGGGCTTACCGCTTCTCATCGCCAGTAACCATCTGGGTGACTCCAGGGGGTTTCTTGTCAGTCCTTCTAGGTGTCCCACTGTTATCTCAGGCCTTTCTCAGACATCCTGGTTACTTTCAGTTGTTGTAGTTTTGGGCTGCAACACTACCCCAACACCACCACCTCCCCTGCAAGTCCCATCTGTTGCTTCCAGCTGGCAGTCTCAACTGCTGGTCTGGCCAGCGCATTCTCGACCCACCCCTTTCAGGTCCTGCTCTGGAGCTTTTAGGTTGAGACTGCTCATCTTTCTTCCCTTTTACCCTGAGCAGCGAATGCTAGGTTTTGTCCTTTTACATTGACTAAGCATTTCTTTTCTTTTCCTTGTTTTTCACCCATTTTCCGTCTGCATCAGAGCGTGTGGTCCCGTTCCTGACCCGGCCAAAGGTCCCTGTCTTGGAACTGGATAGTGGCAACTATCTCTTCACCACAAGTGCAATCTGCCGGTCAGTCTTGGTCTTTGATCCTGGGGAGGGGACTCAACCAAATCAGGGTCTGCTGTCCTATATGACCTTATTCGCAACCACTTTTTCACTGTGGGGTGAGAAACGGGCTAGACAAATGGGGCCCTCTTATTTCACTCTCCTTTGTCTCCCGAGCAGATACTTCTTCTTGTTATCTGGCTGGGAGCAAGATGACCTCACCAACCAGTGGCTGGAATGGGAAGCGACGGAACTGCAGGTGGGATTGGGACATGGGGAATGGCGGGCAGGCGGTTGATCCCCATGGCCTTCCTGACCCGTATTCCCTGCATTTCAGCCAGCTTTGTCTGCCGCCCTGTACTCTTTAGTGGTCCAAGGCAAAAAGGGGGAAGACGTTCTTGGCCCACTCCGAAGAGCCCTGACTCACATTAACCACAGCTTGAGTCATCGAAACTGTCCTTTCCTGGCAGGGGTGAGTTGGACCTTCAGATGGGGATCAGGGAAGGCTGCATGTCATAAGAGTTAAGAAGGAAGACGTATTCAAGGTGTTCAGATCCCAATATGGCCACTTACTAGTGGTGTAACCTTGAAAAATCACTAGACTCTGTAATTTTCTATTGGTTTTTTCTTTGAGTTGGGGGCATATATTAGTCCCCGCCTCATGGGTTGTTGTGAGGATTGAGATCATTTGAAGTGCTTAACACCAACATGACATGTGCTCAGCGCTTAGGAAATGTTAGATATTATTATTACCACTGGGAAGAAACCGACGGCGGTCTTACTGTGTACCTTTTTCCCTTTTTTCCCCAACAAAGGAGACAGAATCTCTAGCTGACATTGTTTTGTGGGGAGCACTGTATCCATTACTCCAAGACCCAGCCTACCTCCCTGGTGAGACCTATAGGGCTATTGCTTCACTCCTAACCCTAACCCTGCTGAACATTGAATATTGAGGACCCATTTAAGGTGTAATTTGACAGGTAACTTTCAGCTATAGCAGAAAGATGACTGAGGGAGCTGGGAAGGCACCTGGAGAAATTTTCACCGTCAAGGGGAGGTTGACCACTGCTGCCTCCCCTTTCCAGAGTTTTGCTGATTTTCTCCCTGTTTTCTCCCATACCATAGAGGAGCTGGGTGCCCTACACAACTGGTTCCAGACCCTGAGTTCTCAGGAGCCATGTCAACGAGCTGCAGAGACTGTGCTGAAGCAGCAGGGTGTCCAGGCCTTGCGGCCCTACCTCCAAAAGCAGCCCCAACCAGGCTCCCTGGAGGGGAAGGCTGTCAGCAACGAACCTGAGGTTTGCAAAAGAGCACAGGGGTCCCCACAGAGCCACGGGGTCTGAGGGGGCGGGTGGCATGGAGAGGGACTTTGAGCATGGCCACTAACTCTTTCCTTGGAGAACAGGAGAGCATTTCTGTACACCATGTGCTCCCTCACCTGGTGTGGGACGCTGTCTCCTCTTCCTAGGAGGAGGAGCTGGCCGCCCTGTCTGAGGAGGAGATCGCCATGGCTGTGACTGCTTGGGAGAAGGGCCTGGGAGGCTTGCCCCCTCTTCGGCCACAGCAGAAGCCAGTGTGAGTAGGTGCGGGCGAGTGGGGTTTGGTGGCGTAAGTGGAAATTGTTGATTTAACCAATATCTGTCTGCCAGGGCTCTTTTGTTAACCTCTTTTTAATTTTCCACCTTTTTACTCTCAGACTTCCTTTTTTTGGTCTCCTGGCTTTTAATTTTGGACATTCCACTCTTTATTCCCAGCTTCGCCTGTGTTTTCAGTTACTCTTTACCTGTTAAATAGCACTTAAATGTGTTTTTCCAGTTCAGATCGCTATTCTAAGCTGCACACATACTTGTCAGACTAGCTGCTGGATTCCTCGCCGGCCACAGTCAGGGCACACTCAGCAGATTCGGAAGCAAAACCTGTCATCTTCCCCATCTACTTCCTTTCTCCTTTATTCACCTGCGTTAGTGAGTGACTCCTGCCTTCCAGCTGTAAACCTAAACTGGGATTGGTGTCATCCACGCTCTTCCCTTATCCTTTTCTGTATCATTTATTCTTCTGCCAGGTCACTGATTCTGACTCCTAACTAATCCTTGAATCCATTCCTGCTGCTACCTAACACCAGGCACCCTCTCTTACTGTCTCTCTTGCCACCCCCTACTCCATGCTGCCACTGGAATGTACTTAAAACTGCACATACTATTATCTCATCCTCTTTTGTCAGAGTCTTACAGTTTTCCTTGTGTAGTTCCCACGGCCTGTCATGGTCTGACGTTCAGCATCGTATTAGTCAGTCTTCTACTACACTGAGAGAGTCTCTGCGCATGCACAGATTCCGCCATCAGAATGAAATACTTGTAGTTGTGGACATAGTCAGTATCTGAGTGTCCACCCTTCGCCAGGCCCTGTGTACTGATGCACAGAAGGGAAAAGAGCAGACCAGGTCTCTGCTTTTGTGGAGTTTGGTCTAGTGCAAGAGATGGCTATTTGAAAAGCTGTTGCACGAATGTATAATTACAAGTTTTGGCAGGTCCTACGAAGGAAGAGAACAGGACATGGTGAGGGAAAACGCCACAGGAGATTAACGTAGAGGCCTCTCTAAAATAAAGTGACATTTGAATTTAGACTTGTGAGAGGAGTAAGAGCTAGTCAACAGGGGCAGAGCTTGGGGAATGGTGTGCGAGAGGCTGGACAGGGAGCCTGGATATTTCAGGATGGACAGTCTGGTCAGGGTGAGTTCTGAGAGGGAGGCTGAGACAGGCCATCACACTGGTGCGTTTGCACACGCAGTCCTCCTGCCGTGCTTGCGGCCTGCCGGCCCGATGTGCAGCCATTCCTGATGGGGCTGATTCAGTCTTTTCCTTCTCCGCAGAGCTGGAGATAGTCCTCATGGGCGCTCCTGTGGTCCCATTGTATTGTAGTTGTGAATGAGACGGAACCAGAGATGACAGGTCAACAATGTTTGGAAAGTTGAAAGGAGGCCTGGTGAGGGGTCACTGCTGAGATTTGGGGGTGGACACCAGGATGTGCTGTCAAGGATGATGAAACAGGAAGTGATGGCAGACTTAAGTGCCATTTCCTGGGGCTGATCCTGGAAAGGTGGGCAGGAGAGAGAGAGTTGCTGAGAAGGAAGTGGCCAGTGTCTGCTGGTTTCAGTTTGGCCGTGAGGAAGGAAAACATAGGTCGGCATAGACGAGCCAGAGGGTTCAGAAGGACTTAGGAAGACGTGTATGTGGGGTAGCGAGATGTTAGCACTTCAGGGAGTGAGAGAGGTGGTCCTGTAGCACCTGAGGAGAAGGGGCAATGTCAGTGTTCTTGGGTGGCATCACAGTCCGGGGAATGATGAGTGGTAGTGACCAGACAGAACCAAGAAAGAGAGGAAGCCTGGGAGGTTGGAGACTGAAGACGAACCAATGGCAGAGGAGCGGCCAGTGGAACAAGAGGGAGGGAGATCAGTGTTAGATGAGACTTGCCAGGGCCGGGAGTAGAGCTTGCTCGCTCTGCACAGGGCCCTGTGCTTGTAAATGTTGGGGATTGGTCCCGTGACTTTTGGAGGGAACTTAAAAGTCCTGTGTATTCGGGGGAGAAAAGACTTCGGATATACGTGTCGCTGTGACGGTGGAACAGATGTGTGTCTGGGTGTCCTGTGCCCTTTTGTTCCCTTTTGACCCTCTTCTTTCCCCCATGGAATTTTCTCTTCTTTCCCAACCAGGCTGCCTGTGGCTGGAGAAAGGAACGTGCTCATCACCAGTGCCCTCCCTTACGTCAACAACGTCCCCCACCTTGGAAACATCATCGGCTGTGTGCTCAGTGCTGATGTCTTTGCCAGGTGGAGCCAGCTGCTGATGGGGGGTGGTGCCTGCAGGAGGAGTGGGCCCCAAAGAACCAGATGCTGCCAGGGTGGATGCTGGAGGGATCCTGGGACGTGGGGGTGCTGAGCTGGAGCTCACCGTGATCGCCATGTTCCCTTCCAGATACTCCCGCCTCCGCCAGTGGAACACGCTCTACCTGTGTGGGACAGATGAGTATGGTACCGCCACAGAGACCAAGGCTATGGAGGAGGGTCTGACCCCTCAGGAGATCTGTGACAAGTACCATGCCATCCATGCCGACATCTACCGCTGGTTTAACATCTCATTTGACATTTTCGGTCGGACCACTACTCCCCAGCAGACCAAGTAGGTTCCTCTGATCACTTCAAAGCGGAGGATAAAGGCTGGGGCTGGGGGCAGTGAGAAGATCCTGATAGCAGAAGGAACTGGGCTGGTAGTTTATACCCCAGTTCTGGGAAGTGCTAAAGACAGGCTGTCAGGGTCAGTGGGGTGTCTGAGGGCTCTGTGCTCATCCAGTGAAACTCCCTACAGATCACTCGATGCCTTTGCCTTGGGGGGCCTGTAGCCTGGCTTCTCGGGCACTTGGCCCAAAAGAGTTTGGGCCCCAGGTCGGGTGGCAGGAGGTGTTTGCCACTTCCTCTGCCTGTTCCTCTCCTGTCCTGCGTTCGCCTCGCCAGGATCACCCAGGACATCTTCCAGCGGTTGTTGACGCGCGGGTTCGTGCTGCAAGACACCGTGGAACAGCTGCGGTGTGAGCGCTGTGCCCGCTTCCTGGCCGACCGCTTCGTGGAGGGCGTGTGTCCTTTCTGCAACTACGAGGAGGCCCGGGGTGACCAGTGCGACAAGTGCGGGAAGCTTATCAATGCCATTGAGCTCAAGGTGAGCGGAGGGTCTTGTAGGAGCTGGGAAGACCTAATTCTCATCTCCAGGGACCCTCAGTCTGTCCCTCTCGGGGCTTTTAGTGTTCAAGATCTTCCCCCAGTGATTCTTCTCTACTCCAGCTCTCAGCAACTCATTTATTTGCCAAATACTTACTGAACATATACTGTGTCTTAGCTTTGTGGTGGGAAATAAACAAGCTGAGTTCACACTTCCCTACCTTTGCTCCTGCTCAGACCACCTGATCTTTACTTTCTTCTCTACCCTAAATACTGCTCATCTAGTCCACGTTTACTCATTTGTTGATTCATCCATTTTATTCTAGGAACATTTTTTGAGTCCTTAAAATAGGTTAGTCACAATTCTAGGTACTGGGAACGCAGGAGTGAACAAGACAGACTTGTCTAGTGTGGGGAGCAGACCAGTACTCGACAAGGAAGTACTAGAGTCACTTATTGTTCTTGGGGGAGATGTTCCAAGACCCCTGATGGATTCCTGAATCTGAGAATAGTGCTCGCTCCTGTAGGTGTCTTCCCCATACATGGCTAGCTGCGATCAAGTTTAACTTATAACTTATACACCATGAGAGAGAACAATAACAACAAAAGAAGACAATTGTAGTCATGTACTATAAAGAAGGATATGTGAGCATGACCTCATAATATTCTATTGTACATAATCTTTTCAGACCTCAGTTGACCTCGGTTAACTGAAACTATGGAAAGCAAAACCGTGGATAAGGGGTAACTGTGGTAATATTACAGAATAAATTACGGGCAAGATGGGATAGCAACTTCTGGGGAAGAGTATAGTTTGGTGATCAGGGAGGGCTTTTCAGAGGAGGTGATATGTGAACTTAGAGCTTACTGAAGAATGAGATGGAGCGAGCCAGGCCCACTCTTACCTTGGGGGTAAGAGTGTTCCGAGCGGAAGAACCTGGCCTGATGGTGGCTTGGGTGGATGAGCAGCAGCAAAAGTGAAAAACGAAAGAAGGACTTGTGGTAGATTTTGGAGCAGACGCCATAGAACTGGATGGCCTGGACGTGTGGCGTCCAGGGAGCCTAAGGACACGATGGCTTGTAAGGTTTTGGCTTGAGCAGCCTGGGTGCGTGGTGGCGCCTCTCAGACGTAGGCCGGCTGGGTGAGCAGGCTCCCCGGGGGCGTGCAGTGGTGCTGTTGCGCTTGTTACCCTGGTATTCTCGTAGACATCCAAGGAGAGCTGCCGGGCAGGCAGTTGTATAGAGGCATATGGAATTCCAGAGAGAGGTCCTGAGAGAGTTAGTTTTTCACCTCCAAAAACTCAGATCAGGGCCTCCCTGGTGGCGCAGCAGGTTAAGCACAGCGCTGTGAAGCTGTCCACAGCCTCTGCAGCGCGGGTTTGATCCCGGCCAGTCAGGGAGATTCCCACATGGCGCGGCAGACCTCTCCTGTCTCACCCTTGCTCCCCTCAGCAGTGCTTTCGGTCCGACTGCCTGTTCTGCTCCCTGCTCTGTCTGGTGAATTCTCTCACCCTCCTGTGCCTCTGGCCTCTACCCCCGCTCTTGTGTAAATAAAAAAAATGAATCTTTAATAAAACCCAAAAACTCAGATCAGAACTCGCTTGCAGTCTTTGGTTACTGAGCCCCACGTGCCTACTCCTCTAGCCTCCATCCCTCCAGTGTCTGTGTCGTCGGTTTGTACCATGAAAATAAGTATCAACATTTTACTTTGTAAAGGTTTGCACTTGTTTTTCATGCAGGCCTTCTCCCCCTGAGCTGAGTGTGATCGCCTCAGGAGAGGACTGTATGTCTTCTCTTTCTTGCCCCTTCTTCCTCTCACAGCACATGTGCACAGTGTGGGGCTTCCTGCCTCTCTGTGCTCAGGAATGCTTTTTCCTACCCTTTGGAGTGGGGAAAGTGTGAAACTGTAACAACTATGCTCACATCAGTCTCCAAGCACGGGGAAGGCCCAGGTAGTGGATGAGCTGACTGGACACAAGCATGAAGCCAAGTTCTATGGCACATTGGCGCTCACCCCTTTGCTCTCTCCCTTCGTCTGGTTGGGGCCCCGGCCGCAGTCCTGACCAGGACGGGCCACCTTCACTCGCCCCTTTTGAATTTCCCTTCACAGAACCCTCAGTGTAAAATCTGCCGGTCCTGCCCTGTGGTGAAATCCTCTCAACACCTGTTCTTGGACCTGCCTAAAGTAAGTGGCCCTCCCCTTTACCTCACCTGCATTGCCCCTCCTGCCTCCTCTGCCACGTCCTTACACCGAATCACTCTCAGATGTCTTAGATTCCATGAGAACTCCTACGTGCATTTTGTGAAAGGATGCCACACATTTAGGGGCACTGAGGGAACGCCAGGCCCCCTGGCAGAGGTGTTTCCTGCGCTCATTGTCCTTCTGTTTGCTCACAAGTCTCATCTGCATGTGGCGGTGCTTTTATTTTTTTTTGTTAGTACAAATTTGATCACGGCATTCACATTCCTCCGCCACCTGCTTTCTCTCACATTTACAGCGTGTCTTCACCAACTTTCCACATTAATAGATTTGCCTCCTTTTTTAACCTTTTATTTGGAAATAATTTCAAGCTCTCCTCCAAAAGTGCAGGAACAGACAGTTGCTAGAACAGAGAACCTCACTTTCTTTACCCTGACAGCCCTCCTGTAGCCATTACCCAGATTCCTACTGTTAAGGTCTTGCTCCATTTGCTTTAGAATATTCTCTCCCTCTGTTTACTCAGATACTTGAGTGTGTTTCCCAAGAAAACAGGCATATTCTTGTATAACCACGGTGGAGTTAAACAACTTAAATTTCATTCATGGTTTCTGATCTACATCCACTTTCCAATTTTGTCAATTGTGCCAGTACTATCCTTTATAGCTTTGTTTTCCCTTTAGTACAGAATTAGTTTTCATATCTCTTCACGTGTTTGTATAGACAAGCAGATATATTTGTATGTTTGAATAATGTTTTGTTTCCCCTTATATTAAAGAGCACACTATATATTCTTTTGAATATTGTCTCTTATTTAACAGTACATTCTGGAAATACTCCTTATCAGATCATTCCACATGAGTTCATAGAGATCATCCTGGCTTTTTTTAAACAGCTGCATAACGCTCCATTATGTGTGTAGATACCATAGTCTATTTAACACATTTCCTGTTTGCCATTTAGCAAACTGTGCGGTACAGATGTGTGTTGTAGTGAGTAAACGCATGCATATTTTTCTATTGTTGGAAGTATATCTTAGGGTAAATTCCTTAGAAGTGATCGTTTGCAGTGTCAAGGATAAATGGGTATGAAGTTTATTGCCAAATTTTCCTCAGTGATTTTCCTTAACACCTGTTGTTCCACTTTGCATTCCCACTGGTCCGTGCGTGTGCCCGCCTCCTTGTCGCCTCGTGGACAGGGTGCGCTGTCTGAGTCTTCTGTTAATGGTGCTGTGGTATCTAATGTGGATGAATCACATAAATGGTCCCTGAAGAAAATTCATCTTTGTTTTTCTCCTTATAGAAGTGATACAAGCTTGTTTTAAAATTTTTGATTGGCATAGAATATGTCATAAAATTATAAATTCCCTTGAGAAGAAAGCACTGATATACATTTGCCTTCAGAATTTTTGGGGGGTTTGTATTAACCTGTTTTTTTTTTTTTTTTTTTTAATAATAGGATTATATCATCTGTTGTTACTTTGCAGTTTGTTTTACTTAGTAATGTGTCTCAGAGATTATTTTTCTTGCCAGTTTATATTAGGTCTACCTCACTCTTTTTAGTGATCTTCTAAGTATTTCATTACATCGATACCCCATACCTCTTTAAATCCTATCAAAGCAAGGAGTTTCAATTTTCTGTTTTGCTGACCCGTGCCCTTCTTTATGTACATGTCGCTACGCTCCTGTGAATCTTTCCGTTGAGCAAGTTCCTAGACATGGGATTGGTACATCAAAGTCATGACTCTTGATTTTAATTACATATTGATATTAATTATATATAATTCTGTATCGTATATATCTGTCACTTATGCCAACTGTGGATGAGACTTTCCTAAATCAGCCCATGTCCTCCTCTGCCACCACAGCTGGAGCAGAGAGTGGCGGCGTGGCTGGGGAAGACGCTGCCTTGCGGTGACTGGACACCCAACGCCCGCTTCATCACCCGTTCTTGGCTTCGGGATGGCCTCAAGCCACGCTGTATAACCCGAGACCTCAAATGGGGAACCCCTGTACCCTTAGAAGGTTTTAAGGACAAGGTAAAAGCCCTTTAATCTTTATTCACATCTGGCCCTTGGCCAGCAGAAGAGTGTCGATGATGTCTCGTTTCAGTCTGACACTTAGGGTTGACCTGTGTTCCTTCACCCTACCATGTGTGCCCCTCGTGACTCTCCAGGTATTCTATGTCTGGTTTGATGCCACCATTGGCTACCTGTCCATCACAGCCAACTACACAGACCAGTGGGAGAGATGGTGGAAGAACCCAGAACAAGTGAGCAGTTCTTCACTAGCCTGTTGGTGCAGGGGGGATGGTGTGCGTGTGTGTTACAGGTGTTGGAATTGGGTGTCTGATCTTCCTTGGGCCTTTGACTATCTCAGGAATTCTGTCTCCTAACCTTATTCACAGGTGAACCTATATCAGTTCATGGCCAAAGACAATGTTCCTTTCCACGGCATAGTTTTTCCTTGTTCAGTCCTAGGAGCTGAGGACAACTACACCTTGGTCAGCCACCTCATTGCTACAGGTACCACAGATGACTGGAGAGGGTTCTCTTAGGGAATAAAGGCTGAGGCAGTACTTGGAAGAAGATCCTGGAGAGGTGCTAAGTCTTGAGTAAGGAATTGAGAAGAAATAGATAATTAGAAATGAGAGCTCAACCCAGAAGTTAACAAGAATCTGAAGAATTCATATGTCTGAAGCTACAACTTTGCAATGGGTAGAAGCGAAAGGAATTTTAAAAGGCCAGAATGGACCTCCCTGGAGGCCTAGGGGTAAATCTTAGCGCTACCACCAGGGCGGCCTACAGCTCCGGCCTGGATCCCAAACTAGGTACAGCAGACCTCTGCTGTTTTACCTGCTGCTCCCCTCAGCAGTGTATTTCAGTAGCTCTGCCTGTTCTGCTCCCCACTCTGTCTCAAATGCTCTCACCAGCCACCCTACCCCCGCACCTCTGGCCTGCACCCCAGTTCTTCTACGCAAAAATAAAGTCTTTAAAAAAAAAAAAAAAAAGGCCAGAATGGAGAGGACGGACGTCCCTGAGTTCTGCACACCAAGTACTCCAGGGGAAATGTTGCTGGGAGGGAGGGGGAAGAGCTAGTGGGCCACAGAGGGAAGAATGTGGTTTGAGCAGCTGATTCTCCTCCTCTTCCTCCGTCCAGAGTACCTGAATTATGAGGATGGGAAATTCTCCAAGAGCCGGGGTGTGGGAGTGTTTGGGGACATGGCTCAGGACACAGGGATCCCTGCTGACATCTGGCGCTTCTATCTGCTGTACATTCGGCCTGAGGGCCAGGACAGTGCCTTCTCCTGGACAGACATGTTGCTCAAGAACAACTCTGAGCTCCTTAACAACCTGGGCAACTTCATCAACAGGTGGGACACGGTGCGGCATCATGGTGAGCGGTCGAGTTGGAGGGCTAGCTGGGTTGGGGCTGACTGCTTCATGAAACTGGCCTGCGCAGAGGGCTAGGATGTGCGCGGGAGGTGCTGGGGAGGGGGAGGACAACGTGGAAAGTCAGTTTCTTATCACTTGAGACTGACTTCTGTGCACGCTTGGGGGATGTTGAGGTATGATTCAGCAAACTTGTTCACAGATTTTCGTTTTAATTCTCTTTGAGAATTGGAAATGTGTTCTCTCCTACCAGAAATTTCACTCGCAGGCAGCTGAAGAATTCAGCTGAAGAAAGGGGTGTAGCGTAGGGGTAGGAGACTTCCGTTGTGCTCGAGTTTTGTCACTTGAGGGAGGTGAGTAGGGAGAACAGAGTAGCTGTTTTCTTTGACACACAAGGTGACAAAGTACATACATCAACCTGGCATCATTAAATAGCTGAAACAATCTTTGATTGTTAACACTTTGGGCTTTTAAAGAAGCATCTTCCGTGGCTCCCCCCGCTTCGGGTTTAGTCGTTACCCATATTTCCAAGAGGGAGTACCTGTTGATAGCAAGTAACGTGTATTTCAGCCTGATCATTCTGAGCACTGACTTCTTAGAAATAAAACAATTACTTAACTTTATCAGGTTTCTTTAAGGGGTATCTGTATGTGAATGTCTTGTTACATGCAGAGTCACATTTTTATGGGAGAGAGAACAGGGATTAATTTGCCTTCCAGTGTGAGGGAGCCAGGAGGTGTCCGTTCCGAGAAAATGGAGAATTATGAAAATCAGCTCAAATCTCTATAAGCCGCCTGGGCAATAACTCTTTTTTCCTCTGCTTTCCTCCCCTGTGCCCATCAAGAGCTGGGATGTTTGTGTCCAAGTTTTTTGGGGGCTATGTGCCTGAGATGGTGCTTACCTCTGATGATCAGCGCCTGCTAGCCCACGTCACACTGGAGCTCCAGCATTACCACCAGCTGCTGGAGAAGGTTCGGTGAGTCACCTGCACCCACTGGGGCGGTGCGAGCCCCGTCCTGGGCCCCTCTGACCGTACCCCTTGGCTTGCCTGATCCCTCCCCAGGATCCGGGACGCCCTGCGCAGCATCCTCACCATCTCTCGTCATGGGAACCAGTACATCCAGGTTAACGAGCCCTGGAAGCGGATTAAAGGCAGCGAGGCTGACAGGTAGCTCCCCTGGCGTCAGGCTGACCGCAGGCCCAACGTGGCCAGTAGGCTGTCGTCCTGAAGGTCCTGAGATTTCTTTTTCCGCAGGCAGCGGGCAGGGACAGTGACAGGCGTGGCAGTGAACATCACCGCCTTGCTCTCCGTCATGCTGCAGCCTTACATGCCCACGGTCAGCGCCACCATCCAAGCCCAGCTGCAGCTCCCGCCTGCAGCCTGCGGCATCCTACCCCCCAGCTTCCTGTGCACCTTACCGGCAGGACACCAGATTGGCACCGTAGGTCTCTGAGAGACAGCACAGTCTCTCTTAAAATGCCTACCTTTCCAGGCAGCCTTTGAGGCAGGGTCAGAGAACTTAGTTTGGGCATGAGATTCTTATAGCCATTCTCTCAACCCCTTCTCCACTCACCCCATGCTGCACGTGGGTTCGTTTCTGATACAAAACCCTTGGTACTGTTCAGAAGCCCAGTATTTTCTGTCATGTACATAACCCCACTGTTCTTCATGCCCTGGCACATACAGCGAACTGCTGTGCAGTCGCTGTCTGAAGGAACACCGGGGTTACCAGGCCACCATCGTGCGGGTGGGAGGGAGGTGAGCAGGGAGAACAGAATAGCTGTTTCTGTGACACACAAGGTGACAAAGTACACACCTCAGCCTGGCATCGTTAAATAGTTGAAACAGTCTTTGATCGTTAACACTTTTGGGCTTTTATAGTGAATGCCAGTGCTGCTTCTGATTATTCACTAAAATCATCAGGTCCTTGCTCGGTGTTACACTCACATTTCCTCTGAAACAGCTAACATGTCAGGCATTGGGGGTGAGGAAGTCCTTTGCATCGTCTGGTAGAGTTTATGCCTAATCAGTGAATGATTCTAGAACTCTTTTTTTCACAGATCAGTCCCTTGTTTCAAAAATTGGAAAATGACGAGATTGAAAGCTTGCGGCAGCGCTTCGGCGGGGGCCAGGTGAGAAAGCGAGACCGCGCTCCCCAGCAGCCGCCGCAGCGCCGTCTCCCTAGTGTCCCCAAGTAGGCCTCCTCAGCACTCTTGCCATCTTTTGGTCCTGCTGCTTCCTCACTACAGTTTTTCTTTCCTGTCTTAGCTAGAAGAGCCCTTGAAGTTAAAGGTAACCACTTTCCCGAGGCTTTCTGTGAGCCTTGAGGTAGGAGGGCTTTGTGCTGGCAGGTGGTAACCGTTGTTGTTCCCCAGGCAAAAGCAGCCCCCGCGCCGGTTGTAGAGGCCGAGACACCAGCTGGGCCACAGCAGGTACAAATGCTGATGGATGAAGTGACAAAACAGGTACAAACCTTTAGCCTTGGGGTGCTAGAAAAGCCGAACCTGAATAGGTCCTTTCTAGCCTGACTGTTCCCATTCCCTGCCCCTTCCCTCTTAGGGCAACATTGTCCGTGAGCTGAAAGCACAAAAGGCAGACAAGAACCAGGTTGCTGCGGAGGTGGCTAAACTCTTGGATCTGAAAAAACAGTTGGCTCTAGCGGAGGGAAAACCCCTGGAAACCCCTAAAGGCAAGAAGAAAAAGTGAGACCTTGACTCATAGAAAGTCACTTTACTGGATACGGACAGTAATAAATGAACGTACAACCTCTGTACACATGCCAAGACCCTTTCCTTTCGTCTCCCCGAGCTTCCCCTACTGAACATACGCGGCTGAGGGTCGCGTCGTTGGCACTGGTGAGGAAGTAGCCACTTCCGAGAAAGGCAGGTAGGCACCGAGAGGGGCGGTGGTCCTGAATGTTCACGTCTGGTGCAGATTGACCATGCGGTCAATCAGAGCCCTGCGCGTTGCCTCCACTTCCCTGGTCAGGCGCTCGATTTCCTGCTTGAGCCGCTCGTTCTCCTCAGCGAGCTGTGCCACCTTCCTTTCATTCTCCTGCTCCTTCTCCTTCATGCGCTGCTTCCCAGCTCGGGCCGGGGACTGGCCACACTGTTTCCGCTTCTTGGGTCTTCCTTGCTCTTCCTCCTCTTCCTCCTGAGCCAGGGAGCTCTGACTGGAATCTGGAGAGCGAGGGCTCTGGGAGGTGCTCGTGACCTCTGCTCCTCCTGACTCCTCAGCCAGCCAAGCCAGAGAGGCGGGGTCGAGAGTGGTGAATGTTTTTGATTCTTCCTTCAAGGAAACGAGCAAAGGCAGGCTAGACATTAGCTGGGAAGGGAAGGCTGAGACTCCCCCTAGCTTTAGGCTAGCATTCTCACCTCCTCATTTCCAGGGGTGGCGATATAGGGACCCCCATTTTCATCTGAGGACAGCACCTCCTGCAGGTCCTCATACCAGGCTTCCAGCTCCCAGCTGGACAGTGTCCCGAAGGAGAAAGGCAGTGACTCAGCTGTCATCTTTGCAGTTGGATCAGGCTCTAGAAAAGTACATGCTCAGGATGAGGCTTGGGGCAGGTGTTGGAACACACTGCATTAAGACAGGCTGCAAACTGGCCTGCGACCTGTGTCTGTAGGTCACTTTCTCTTGGAACACCGTCATTTGTTTACATGCTGCTTATGGTTGCTCTCATGCTCCAGCAGTGGAGGTGAGTAGTTGTGACAGAGTGTGTAGCCCGTAACCTCTAAAATATTTACTCTCTAGCCCTTCAGAATTTACCCGCCCTGGTCTGTAGTAATAGTACCTTGAAGAATCAAGTTCCTGCATATGCATTCTTTGGGGATCCTAGTGAAAGTCCTCAGTCCTCCGGGGAACCCATTGGTAGTTTCCAGAGCCAATTACCAGACCATTTGTGCTCCTTTCTTCTCCTGTGTGGGGAGCTCCAGCAAACAGTCCTTTGGGTCAGTCTAACCTTGACAGGGACTGAGGTGTGCTGAAACAAGCCAATTACCTTCGTTGGGGTTGACTGCTCACTCGGAGCCAGCTTTCAATTAGGACATGCTCTAAGAATAGTGATTCGGTCACCTTGTTAGGGGTGGACCAGGAGATGGAGGGTGGCCTGACTGCAAAACTTTGCTCAGATTCAAACCCCCCCCTCACGTAATCACTAGAGGTTTTCTTAACTTCTTAGGGTGCCAGTAAAGGGAACCTAACATAAACACTATGTCTTACGGGTTGATTTTGAGAAAGGATTAAGTTTACCTGCTTTCAGGTGTGGTGATGTATGAAGATACACTTCCTTCTGGAACACTGTGGTGATCAAAGATAAATGTTAGTCATTTGTGGAAGGGGGAGAAGCAGGTTCTTCTGTCTCCAGCCTCCTATTGGTTCTGCCTTGCTCCCTGTCCCGTAGCGCTAACGGCCCCGTAGCCATGTCCAGGGAGAGGAGAGCCTGGCCCTCTTTATTTTTAGTTGCTGACATTTGTAGTCCTGATTACATAACAGCAAAGCCCTGGCCAATTCTGCTTTCTCTAAATTTAAGGCAGGCCTTAAACTTGCCACGGTAAGGACTAACTACTAAGAAGGGAACACATCAATCAAATGACATTTCCCTAATTCCATCCCCACACTGCCACCCCCCAAATGTACATTTCCAGCCTGGATCTCTCCTGGGACCTCCAACTCTGCTTGCACGTCCTGTCTGATCGGCCGCACAGACTTAATATGTCTGCAAGTAAACCGTTGTCTGTCCCTTCCCCCTTCCAAGATCTTCCCCATCTCTGCAAAATGACAACTCTAGTTGATTAAGCCAAAAAAGCCTTTATCATCCTAAATTCCTCTCTCCTTTCAAACTCCACATTCCAAACCAGTCCGGCAAAATTTCTTAACTCGTTCCTCAAAAACCCACAATCTAAACTCTTCTCACCAGCTGACTTGTTCCCAGTTTAGATTTACTATCCTTTCTTAGATTGCTGCAGCCGCCTCCTGACTGCTGGTCTCCAGGTTCTGCTCTTCCCAGGTCTTCACAACGTAGCCTTTCTAAAACTTGGTTATGTCATGTTCCTCTGTTCACAAACCCTCCATTGACTTCCAATTTTACACACGTTAAAGGCTACAGAACATGCACAAAATGGCTTAGACGGCTTTGCGCACTCAGCTCCTTCCTGCCCTAGATTTATCCACCGCTCTCCCTCGTGCTCACTTTAGTCCAGCCTCCAATTCTCTGAAGATACTAGGCAAGCTCCCACTTTAGGATTTCTGTTCTTTCTGTCCCTTCTGGAAAGCTCTTCCTACCATGTATCTTCATGGCTTACTATCTTGCATTAGATCTTTCATTTAAATGTCACCTCCCTGTAACCACCCAATGTAAACCTGTAACTGCCAACCTGAGCATTCAGTGCTTCCATGCTTTAGTGTTCTCCATGGCACTGAAATATTTGTTTACTGTTCACCTCCTCTCACTGAAATGTAATCTCTGCAAGAGCAGAGATTCCCTCCCCCCCAATTCATGAGTTTATCCTGGAGTCTTAAACTACATGGCACATAGTAGGTGTTTGCTAAAGCACATGTTAGGAACAACTGGATAAATCCTCCCCGAGCTCTCATAGTGAAGGGAGGGTGAAGCCCAGAAGCAGCCCCAGCTGCCTGTCCCCAGGGACTGGAGACGCAATATAGGCCTGAGTGTTTCTCTGCAGGGCTGGTCCCTGGAGACGCCTCCCTGCCTTCCAGTGGATGGGCCTGGCTTTCATCAGCAGTGGTGCCCCGGGCCAGAGGGCTGCAGGGGGCCGGCCTGATGCAATGGTTACATAGATTAGTTGGAGACAGGACATGGGGAAGAGGCAGGGCCCAAGCCCAGGGGAAGGACAATACACTGGGGAGACCCCAAATGGCGCCCCACACTTGTGATCTAAGATGCTCTCTCGTGCTGGAGGCTCGGGGGCATTGGAGGAAAGGGAAAACCCATGGCCACCACTCCCTGCATCGGCATCCTTCCCGCCCCAGCACACGTGAGTGTCCTGAAGGTTCCGCACTCTGTTAGGGTGCAGAAGGGCCGCCCCGTGGCGGGTCCAGGAGCCCCAGATACCAACGTGGCCGTGGAGGCACCGAGACGCTCGGGCTGACAGGGCTGGGGGTGGGGTGGGGGCAGTGGCGCCGGTGACAGGGCGGCGGTCCGGGCTCCGTGCGGGGGTGTGTCCGGCCCCGCCCCGCCCCTCCCCGCCTCCCCCAGGCAGGGCTAGCCAGGAAGCCGGGGGTCACCCGAGGGCAGCCGGGGTGGAAGATGGGGGGGCTCGCCCAACTGCACAGTCCGGGGGAGCAGGGCCGCGCTCCAGGCAGGGGTGGGGTGACGCTGTCATCTGAAGGCAGAGGGGTCTGCAAACCGCACACGCGAATACGGGACCCCGCCCGCCCCGGCCGCCCACTACACCGCGGAGGCGGCGCGGTCCCACCCCGAGCGGAGCCCCCACTCCGAGGGCCGCCGGCGCTCGCGGGGACGGGAGGGTAAGCAGCGGGTACTCGCCTCTCTCCTCAGATTCCGGCTCTGATTTTGGCTCTGTCGCTGCCACCCGCTCATCTTCAACATGATACGCTCCGCTCCGCAGACTCAAGCCTCTGACCTCGGCCGCCGGGCGCAGCGGCCTTTTAATAAGGCCTTGCCCTCCTCTCAGGGGCGGGGCCAGGGGCCGGCCAATCAGGAGGCGGCACGCCGGCGCTGGCCCCGCCCCGCCCCTCGCGTCCGCCACTCAGGGGCCCCGCGGCCCCGCCCCCCGCGCTCCCTCCCGATTGGGGGTCGACGTCGCGCTGGACCCGGAAGTGGCTTGAGGTCACGCGGCTCCGCGGAGGCGGCGGTGAGTCATGCGCGCGCGCGGAGGGGCGAGGGGGAGGGGAGGAGGGGGCGGGGATGATGCAATGTTTGGCAACCGGTGTCTGCGCGCGCACGCGCGGGGCTGCGGGGCGGGGGGCGGCGCGGGGGGGCGCGGGGCGAGGGCGGGGCGCCTGCGCTCCGCACCCAACGGCCCCAACGGCCGCAGCGCGGCCGCCCCTGGGCTGCCCCGGGAAGCCGCGGCTTGTCTCCGCGAGCGCGCGTTCCGCCCACCCGGCGGCGGCCCCTCCGCCCGCAGCGGGGCCTCCTCCTCCCGGCCCGCCCGGCGAGCGGGCGCGGGCCGCTGAGCCGCGTCTGTTTCAGGGGCTTCCCCGCGGGGCGCCCCGGGGCCGTCTGCCGCCCCCGCAGGGCACCTTCCCCCGCGCCCTCCCAGGCCGCGACGAGCGCCCTCCGCCCGGGGCCCGCCCGCCCGCGGCGCCGGTGCCTGCGCGAGCCCGGGGCGGGGGCCCCGAGGCTGTCCGCGGCCGCCCCCAGGGCCCGGCCCGCCCCGGCCTGCGCCTCGCCGATCCGGCGCGAGGAACAGCCCGCGAGCCGCCGGGGCTCAGGGAGCGGGCGGCGGACGTGGGGGCCGCCTCGACTCAGCGGCCCGCGCCACGCGCACGCGAGGGGCCGCCGCGCCGTCGGGCGGACAGGCCACGTGGGGCCGCCCGCCCTCCGGCGACGCCTGGCCGCGGGGGCTCGGCCCGCTCGGGCCCGGCCGCGGTGACAGCGGGTCACGTGGCGGCGGCGGGGCGGGCGGCCCCGCGCTCCACCCGGAAGCCCCGGGGCGGGCGGGGCGCGTCGCGACTCTCCTCCCGGCGGCCCCTCCCGGGCCGGCGGCCCGGCTCCCTCACAGGCCGGGCGGCGGCGGAGGCCCCTCCCCGGGGAGGCTGCGATTGGCCGCCCGCGGCCTGGGAAGAGGCTCTGATCCTTCCGCGGACGGCGGGGGGCGGGGGGGCCCGCGTGGGGTGTTTGTTCTCCAGGGGATTAATGGGGGTTGTGGGGGAAGGGCAGGCGCGCTCCCGCATGCGCACTGCGGCCCTCCTGTTGGCTCGTCGGAGTGCGCTGGGCGGGGGCCCGGCCCCGCCCCTCTCCCGTCCGGGCAGCGGCGGCGGCGGCGGCGGCGGCGACGGCGGCGGCGGCGGCGGCGGCGGCGGCGGCAGCAGCGGCAGCCTGCGCGGTGCCTTCTGGGAACGGAATCCCCAGGGCTGCCCCTGGCCCCCATGGCGCATGCGCGGGAGGCCGCTCGGTGATCCGCGGCGGCAGCGGCGGCGCTTCCTGCTAGGACCGGCCGGGGCCGCACCGGAGGCTCGCGCGCCGCCGACCCCCGCCCGCCCCTCCCACTCCCCTCGGGCCGCGACTGCGCAGGGCGGGGCCGGCCGAGCCATGGGCCGCGGTGAGTGCAGGGCCCGGCCCCCTCCCCCCGCCCCTCCCCCCGGCCGCGGCCCGGCCCCGGCCCCGGCCCCCCGATCGCGCCGCGGCGCCCGACTTCTGCCCGCGCCGCCCCCCGCGCCCCGCGCCCCGCCCGCCGCGCCCCAAGTTCCTTCCTACTTCTGCCTCCCCCTCCCGCCCGGGAGCGGCCGGTGACAGGCGCCGGCTCGAGGGAAAGTTCCGCGGCGGCGGGAGGGCGGGGGGCGCGGGCGCCGGCCGGGGGCGCGCTCGGGGCGGGCCCGACGCGGCGGCAGGAGCGGGGCGCCCCCCTCGCGCCCGGGGGTCGCGCCTCTCGGGCGCCGGGAGGACAAAGCTGGTCCCGGCCTTTCTGCGAAACCTAAATGCGCCGCTCGGGATCGGCCGGCGGGGCCGGCGCGGGCGTCCGCGGGGCGCCCCGGGCAGTTGCGGGGTGACCTCTGCGGGGCGGCCGCGGGGCCGGGCTCGGGAACTTCCTCGTGGTCTGGGGTCGGGGCGCCCGTCCCGCCGGGGGGGCTGCGCTGCCCGCGGGCCCGACCCTTTGTACGCGGGGTCCGTGGCCGCCGGCCGCGGGGTGGACCCGCGTCCCGGGCGCGGACGAGGCCGGGAGGCCGTGGGCGCAGCCGGCAGGTCCCGGCGACCTTCCCGAGCACTTGTGCGAGCGCGGCGCTCGCGGGGCGCCCTGGGCCGCGGCACGCCCCTGAGCTTGACAAACGCCTGACAGCCCGGCCGTCCCCCCTGTGTTGCAGGTGTGGGCTAAGCCGGCCGCCCGGCTTTAGACTGGACCCCACGATGTTTGCAGAGATGTTCAGGTAGCCGTGGGGGGTGACAGAGGGCCCCGCTTCGTCCGCGCCCCCAGCTCTCCAAGGCCTTCCCCTGCCCCCGAACCTTCTGGGTCTCCCCCGACCTCCGTGTTCCCGGAGAGCTCGGTCCGGTACCAGCCCGGCTGAGCTTCCCCGGTGCCCACGCTGGTGTCCGCCCCCAGGCACGTGGGAGCCGACTACACACAATGAATGGGGGCAATGAGAGCAGCGGAGCAGACAGAGCTGGGGGCCCTGTGGCCGCATCTGTCCCCGTGGGCTGGCAGCGCTGCGTTCGGGAGGGTGCTGTGCTCTACATCAGGTACGGGCCTCGGCGCCCCCCACTTCTGCGCGGGCTCTCTTGTTGCCTGAGTTTTCTCTTTCTGTTCCCGTCTGGTACCTGAGGGCTCTGGCCCTCGGTCACCCTCCGCTGTTCTGGCTCCCGCACCCGCTTTGCTCCCCGTGCCTCTGCTCTTTCCACCCTCCCCTTCCTTTCTGGGTCTCCCCAAGAGCCCTCGGCATCTGCTCTTTGCGGGAAGGCCTTTGGCTGGGGAACCGGGCCTGGGTATCTCCTGGGTCAGCGGGGACTCAGCCCCGCTCTCCCCCGCCCTCCCCCAGCCCAAGTGGCACGGAGCTGTCTTCCTTGGAGCAAACCCGGAGCTACCTCCTCAGCGATGGGACCTGCAAGTGCGGTCTGGAGTGTCCACTCAACGTCCCCAAGGTGAGCGTGGAGCCAGAGCGCGCAGGGGGGAGCCCTGGCGCTTCCGCTTCACGCAGCTCGCCGGCCGGGTCGGCCCTCACGGCTCCCGTTCCTCAGGGCCCTGTCCATGCCCTCTACCCCTCTACCGCACAGGTTTTCAACTTTGACCCTTTGGCCCCGGTGACCCCGGGTGGGGCTGGGGTGGGGCCAGCATCAGAGGAGGACATGACCAAGCTGTGCAACCACCGGCGGAAAGCCGTTGCCATGGCAACTCTGTACCGCAGCATGGAGACCACCTGCTCACATTCTCCTGGTGAGTCTTCATCGGACTCGGGGCTGAGGAAACTTCAGGGCTTGGGAAAAGGGTCGCGGGAGGGGCCGCGGGAGGGGGCGAGGGGCGGCGCAGGGAGGCTGGGAACTGAGGGGCGGTGGGTGGAGAAGTCAAAAGCAATGGCTTGGAAGGGGCGCCCCAGGCTGACCTTTCGTTTCTCATCTGTTGCAGGAGAGGGATCGAGCCCCCAAATGTTCCACACTGTGTCCCCAGGGCCCCCTCCCGCCCGCCCTCCCTGTAGAGCCCCTCCTCCAACTCCACTTAATGGGGGTCCTGGCTCCCTTCCCCCAGAACCCCCCTCAGTTCCACAGGCCTTCCCCCCACTAGCAGGCCCTGGGGGGCTCTTCCCACCGCCAAGGCTTCCTGACCCAGTCCCTTCTGGAGGCAGCAGCAGCCCCTGTTTCCTCCCAAGGGGAAATGCCCCCTCTCCAGCTCCGCCGCCTCCACCTGCTATCAGCCTCAATGCCCCCTCGTACAACTGGGGAGCTGCCCTCCGATCCAGCCTGTTGCCCCCTGACCTGGGGTCTCCTCCAGCTCCTCATGCATCCTCCTCACCACCGACAGACCCCCCTCTCTTCCACTGTAGTGATGCCTTAACACCCCCTCCACTCCCCCCAAGCAATAATCTCCCCGCTCCCCCCGGCCCCCCTGGTCCTGCCACTCAGCCACCAGTGTCTTCAGCCACTATGCACCTGCCCCTGGTCTTGGGACCCCTGGGAGGGGCACCTACAGTGGAGGGGCCTGGGGCACCCCCCTTCCTTGCTAGCAGCCTACTCTCCGCAGCGGCCAAGGCACAGCACCCCCCGCTCCCCCCTCCCAGCACTTTACAGGGCCGAAGGCCCCGTGCCCAGGTGCCCTCAGCTTCCCACTCTTCACCCAGACCCTCGCAGCGCCGCCCTCGCAGGCCTCCCACTGTCCTGCGGTTGCTAGAAGGGGGAGGTCCCCAAGTCCCTAGAAGGACCCGGCCTCGGGCCCCGGCCCCCCCCCCGCCCCCCAGCCCTTTCCTCTCCCTGAGCCATCCCAGCCTATCCTCCCCTCTGTGCTGTCCCTGCTGGGACTCCCAACCCCCGGCCCTTCCCACTCTGATGGAAGCTTTAACCTCTTGGGGTCAGATGCACACCTTCCTCCGCCCCCAGCCCTCTCCTCAGGGAGCCCGCCCCAGCCCCGGCATCCCCTGCAGCCCGCCCTGCCCGGGACCGCCAGCGGCAGCCTCAGCAGCGTGCCAGGTACGAGTCCGGTCTAGCGCTTCAGGCCCTCTGGGTGGTGGGCAGGGAGGTTGGGGTCTTTGGGGCGCCGGGAGAAAGAGCCCCCCTCGAGCTGAATTTCTCTCTTCCTTTTCAGGTGCCCCTGCCCCACCAGCTGCCTCCAAAGCCCCCCTGGTCCCCAGCCCTGTGCTTCAAAGCCCGTCTGAAGGGCTTGGGATGGGGGCGGGCCCGGCCTGCCCTCTGCCTCCCCTGGCTGGTGGGGAGGCTTTCCCCTTCCCCAGCCCTGAGCAGGGCCTGGCACTGAGTGGAGCTGGCTTCCCAGGGATGCTAGGGGCCTTGCCTCTCCCTCTGAGTCTGGGGCAGCCCCCGCCCTCTCCGATGCTCAGCCACAGTTTGTTTGGTGTGCTGGCTGGGGGAGGGGGCCAGCCTCCCCCCGAGCCCCTGCTGCCCCCACCCGGGGGACCTGGCCCTCCCATAGCACCAGGCGAGCCTGAAGGGCCTTCGCTTTTAGTGGCTTCCCTGCTTCCGCCACCCCCCTCGGACCTCCTTCCACCCCCTTCCGCACCTCCTAGCAACCTCTGGCTTCTTTCCTGCCCCTGTTGACCCTGGGCCCCACAGCTGGGGATGGGGAAGGATCTGCAGAGGGAGCCGGGGGTCCAAGTGGGGAGACGTTTTCAGGTTTGGGAGACTTGCCCCCCCTGCTATTCCCCCCACTTTCAGGCCCCCCTACCCTCATAGCTTTAAATTCTGCGCTGCTGGCTGCCAGCCTGGATCCCCCCTCGGGGACACCCCCCCAGGTGAGGATGGGGGTGAGTGGGCGGGACAGACGCGAGAGAGACTCGGAGATGGGAATCAGAAGCTTTCGGTTTTAGGCCTGAGCTCTGCCTCGGGGCCTTTGGCTGGGGGTGTGCTGGGGGTCTGCGCAGTCCTTGGCTGGGGGTGTGACGGCCGCGGGAACTAGGTCTGTATCGGAGGAGCGGAGGAGCGCGGCCTGCTCCGCGGGAGGGATCGCCGAGACTGTGCCCGCGGAGAGGTGTGCGGCCCGCGCGCCGTGGGCTAGAACCGGCCGTTCTTTCTGCTTAGCCTTGTGTCCTGAGTGCCCCCCAACCTGGACCACCTACCTCCAGTGTCACCACGGCAACTACTGACCCGGGGGCCTCCTCTCTGGGCAAGGCCCCCTCCAACTCAGGGAGACCCCCCCAACTCCTTAGCCCTCTGCTGAGTGCCAGCCTGCTGGGTAAGTTTGAGGAAGGCTCCGCTGCGGAAGAAAAGCAGGCAGTGAGAGCGGGCCGGGGGCGGGGGGCGCCCGGGGCAGGGTCTCGGCCCTGCAGCAAAGCCTGAAGCGAGGAATGATGTTTGCTCGGAAGACCCCTGACTGTCATTCCTTCCCAGGTGACCTGTCTTCGCTGACCAGCAGCCCTGGAACCCTCCCCAGCCTGCTGCAGCCTCCTGGCCCTCTTCTCTCTGGCCAGTTGGGGCTGCAGCTCCTCCCTGGGGGGGGAGCGCCTCCACCCCTCTCAGAGGCGTCCAGTCCCCTCGCCTGCCTGCTACAGAGTCTCCAGGTGAGGGTGAGGGCGCGGGCGGGCGCCTGCCGGTTTCCTCCCGAACGCAAAACACGGGCGTTCTGAGTGTCACGGGCGTCCCGCGCTGCCAGAGCAGAGACTGTTGGAGACCGACGGGAATTTGGTTTTTGTCTGCAGATCCCTCCAGAGCAGCCAGAAGCACCCTGTCTGCCCCCCGAGAGCCCCACCTCAGCCCTTGAACCGGAGCCCGCCAGGCCTCCCCTCAGTGCCTTAGCCCCTCCCCACGGTTCTCCTGACCCTCCAGTCCCCGAGCTGCTCACTGGGAGGGGGTCAGGGAAGCGGGGCCGGAGGGGAGGAGGGGGACTTCGGGGCATTAACGGTGAGGCCAGGCCAGGCCGGGGCCGAAAGCCCGGCGGCCGGCGGGAGCCTGGTCGGCTGGCGCTCAAGTGGGGAGCCCGTGGTGGCTTCAATGGACAAATGGAAAGGTCCCCCAGGAGGACCCACCACTGGCAGCATAATGGGGAGCTGGCGGAAGGGGGTGCTGAGCCCAAGGATCCATCCCCTCCTGGGCCCCATTCTGAGGACCTTAAGGTGAGCGCGGCGACCGACCGGGAGGTCCGGGCTGAAGGGGGGGCCGGGCCCACCGGGAGCTTTTCCTCACTTCCTACACACAGGTCGTCTTTCCTCAGGTGCCTCCAGGGGTGGTTAGAAAGTCTCGTCGTGGCCGGAGAAGAAAATACAAGTGAGTGCCGGGCCCCCCAACCCTGGCTTCCCCCTGCTGCGCTGACAGGCCGTCTGAAGAGTAGCTTAGCTTCCCCAGAGGCAGGGCTCGCCTGAACGTGAGCAGGAGCATCCGCCCCTGCCGCCCTGATCGCGTGTCCTCCTTGCAGCCCCGCCAGGAACAGCAATAGCTCCCGCCAGGACGTCACCTTGGACCCCAGCCCCGCGACCCGAGTAAGTGCGCGTGGGCGCGGGAGGGGGCGCGGGAGGCTGGGGGGGGGGGGGCTTCCTGACACCAAGCCCTTCCGTCCCTTTTCCACCTTCCCCCTCGCGCAGCCGGCTGTCCCTCTGCCTCCCCGGGCCCGCCCTGGCCGTCCTGCCAAAAACAAGAGGAGGAAACTGGCCCCATAGCAGCCATACCTGGAGCTGGACCTGACCCTGACTGGGGAGAGCTGAGTGCTGAGCCTTGGGAGCCCCTGCCGGCCACCTGCACCTGTGGACAGTGGGCGGGGGCGCTCCTCCCACTCAGAGCACAAAGGCAACCCCGCACCCTACAATCCCGTCCTGAGCCATTGCAGGGGGTAGGGAAGCTCACCCCCTCCCCCCCAAAGCCATGTCACTGAAGAGGCCTGGGGGGGTGGTATAAGGCCCTCTCCCCACCAGGCTAAGGGGAACACCCCCTTCCCCAGGTCTTTTATTTAAGTTATTTTTGCACAAACAACTTTTATATTTAATTCGACTTCATTGCCTCCCTTCTTGAAGCCAGCAGGCTCAGTTTACAAACCTGTGAGCTACTGTTGGCTGCTGCCCTCCTTCCTTCCCAGTGAAAGGTACAAAGCAATAAGCATCACGCACCCTCCCCGCCCGACACCCCTCTGCCTCTGGCTCAGGTTGCTCAAAGCACAGACCCCTCTTCCCCCGTCCCCAGGTTTGAAACACATAGCCTCACTGCAGGGTGTAGCCAGCCTCCCTCTACTCTCCTCTGGGATTCGAAAAGGGGGTCAGGGGGCACAGAGAGCCCTCTGGGCCTCTCCTCCCACACACACTACACTGCCCCTTCTCCCCCGTCAAAATGCTCAGAGACGTTGTGATGATGCGACTGAGGATTATGCAACGTGGTCCAACCGGAGCGGCCAGCACGACCAGCTGTCCAGGGGCTGCCTCCTGCCTTTTCTTTTGTAAAGACGAGACCCTTGGGAGTTTTAATTCTGTTTTGTACTTGCCCTGCGGGGCCTCCACTGCTTTTCTATGGGAGACACTCTTAATTTAACAGATGAGAATATTTTGAAACTCTGGCTCTGACTCCGTGCTCATTTTTTCCTTGGCTCCTTGGTAAAAAACAGGTTAAAGCTCGCATCGCCCTCTCGCAGTCGCGGGGCTGGGCCCGCCACCGGGCTGGGAATGCCTCTCGGTCCTGCCTTTTCCCCAGGAAGCACAGCAGAGACCACACCGAGTACAACAGCTTTTAATGGTCAGAAACAGCTGTACGGACTTGCAGCCAGCCGGGGCGGGGGGGGCCGCGCGGCAGGATGGGACCCAGCGTCCCCACACCGGGCAGCGCGGTACTGGACGCGGGCTAGCGTGTGGCTGGGCCCGGGGCCGAAGGAGAGACCAGCATCTAATCCCCCCCAGCTGCCACTCTGTGTGCACCAGAGGGGTGTGAACCCCACATGCAGGAAGAAACCCCTGGCCCCCAATGTCGAACGGGATGGGGATGCGAGAGTTACAGTTACGGGGGAACTACGTAAGCTGTTAAGATCCGAGGGGCGGGGGTGACCCCCGTGCTCCATCCCCCGAAGGCGCTCACTTGCCCAGTCTCTTCATCCGTTCATCAATGTTGGCAAAGTTCCCCTCAACCGTGGACAGGTTTTCACGCATGGTTGTCTGCACCTAGAAAGCCAGAGACGTCTTACTGTGGGCGAGGGCCGGGTACTTACTGGCCGAGGAACAAGACAACGCGGAGCCGGAAGCAGCCCGCGAGCCCCGCAGCGGAGCGCGGCGCAGCAGTTCTCGAGCTGCCCGGGAGCGCGTCCCCGCAGGCGGGCTCTGCGGACTCGCCCCGACGCCCCCGGCGACAGCCCTTCGTCTCTCTGATGCGACGAGCCGTATCTGATTTTGTTGAAATGTGGGTTTTAGTGGTTCAAAATTTTAGAACACTGTGCTGCAGGAAGAACACATTACACCAAACGCTTCGTGTATTTTTTCATTCGTCCTGACGGTCCCCCGGGCCGGGCGCGCACCGGGAACGCTTTCCCTGACAGAACGGCGCTGCCAGCCGCCGAGGACTCGCTCTCCGCTGGGCGCAGCTAAGAGAAGGCCGACCCTTACTGAGAAGCTGGTCCGTGTGCCGGAGGAGAGGGCGCCGACCCGTGAGGGGACACACCTGCGTTAAGAGTGTAGTGTTGTCCTTGAGGGAACTGGCAATCATCTGCTGTGTGGTGTCCAAGTGTGTCAGGAGCTGCCCAAACTGCATAGCTACAGGAAAGAGCGGGCAGGTTAGACTCTGCGGCGAGGGGAGGGAACACGGGTTCCCCCCTTTCCAGTGCCACGCAGCGCCCCAGCAGGGCCCGTCCCACCTTGCTCATGCAGCTGCTTGATGGTGACAAGTCTCTGCACCAGCTCGGGGAGGGTGGAGGCAACGGGGCTCCAGCGCTGAATGGTTTCATAAAGCTGGTGCACCTGGAGGGACAAAAGGCAGCGGAGCGGAGCGGCTGGGGACGGCCAGGCCTCCGCGGCGGGGGCTCGAGCTTTCTCAACTGGGGAGTGCTGTGAAGATAGCGGCCGGGGGCGTCACCACCACCAGGACCACAGGGACGCGAGGAAGCAGGGAAGGCAGGAAGACAGGGAAAGGCATTTCCTGACCTTGCTCTGCGTGTCTGCATCTTCCACAGAGGCTTTATGCTTGGCGATCTCATTCACCTTCCCCAGCACGCTCTGAAAGCACAGATTTTAGGGTGACGATGTGGACTCCCAGAGCTGCCAGAGTGGCGAGTGCTCCGCAATCCACCACTTAGTACCTGCAGCCGGGCCTCCACTTGGTCCAGAACCGCGAGGTCCAGGGCGCTCACCTTTGCCTGCAACAGCTCTACGGTCTCCTGCGGTGGGAGGTGGGGCGGGGTTCATGAGAGGGATTGGACTGGGGCGACTCCACAGCCCACCGGAGGTGATGAACGTACAGCTACGGCTCCAAAAACCATTCTCAAAGCAAACCCAATCCAGGATCCCCCCAGTAATCAAATACCTCAGTTCCTTTTAGACTCACCATAAGACACGCTCCCTGCAGGCCTGCAGAAAGGGGATTCTGGTGGGAATAAAGGAGCAAAGGAATCAGTGAGTTTGTATTTGCATGTGATCACCGCCGCCTCCCGTGCTTTCTGCCGCTAGCTGGCCACCCGCTGCTGACTCTGGAACTGAGGCCCTCTTCGGACTCCGCCCAGGCTTCTGTGGAATGCTGTGGACCGTAAAGCTCAGGGTGTAGGGTCTGAGGTTCAGACCACGTATAGGAGAGCACCTGACCTGAGCATCCTGATCACAGCGCACAGTTGCTTCCAGCTCTGTCAGGCGCTTCTCAAGTTCTGCAACCTAGGGAGGAAGGAGAGACCTGCCATCAGCCTCCGTGCTGCGGTGGGGGGGTGGGGGATGGCAGCCACTCTCTGCTCGTCTACGCTCCGCCGCCCCCTTTCTCCTGTACTCTGCCGAGGGATTCCTTTCCCTCGAAACATCCCTAGTCACACTCTTGACATCTCAGCACAGCAGCTGGACGCGGAAACACGGAGCACGAGACATCAAAACGATCAGAAACTTTCCCAGCACCCTTTACCCAGCTCGGGTGCCTCGCAGGGAGGCAGGAGTCTAGGGCCACATCCCTCTCGGTCCCTCAGCCAACACCGCACGCATACTTACTTTGGCGGCTTGGGAGAATTTGTCCTGCTCAGGCCGAGAATGCAGTTCATATGTGACCAGGCTGCTGTCTAGGAGGCTCCCACTGGTGGCCTTTGCCCCTGAACCAACTCCTTTGCTGTTCTTTGTTGCTTCCAGCTGCAGCAGCAGGCGCCTGGTCAAGAGACCGAGTACTATCATGATTTGAAGGATGTGGACCGGTCCAGTCACGCTCATTAAAGAACAGCTAGGCCATCTTTCTCCTTAGCATCCCTGTCAGTACATGACTCAGTTCTTCTAATACCCCAAACAGCATTGTTTTCCCAACAAAACGGGGCACCCACTTAGCCAGAGCTCCATCGGGGTCAGTAAGGTTGATCGCGGCATCTGGGCCCAGCAACTTTTCCAGGTGGGATGCAACCAGCTGCTGCTTCAGGGCAGCCAGCTGTTTAGCCAGCACCACAGGGGTCAGCTTCTCCTCGGTGGCTGACTCCTTCACTGTCGTCTGGTATAAAGGGAAGTAGAGGGGCGGCAAGTATGAATCAAGGGGAGGGGGAAGGCTCAAGACCCTTATGGACAGCTGTGTCTGGAAGCCACCAGGGCATTTCTTAACACTGAATGTAGATCCGTGTATATTCCCAAACTCTGACCACCTCAGCCTCCTTACCCAGGAGCTCAGACAGTCTTTCTTTTCCCAGTGGGAGGCCCTCCTCCGGCACCACAGAGCGAGAAGAGAATGTACAGTTACCTTGATTTTCTCAACCTCGGTGGTCAGCTCCTGGACCTCATGCAGGAGCCGCTGGTACTTCTGCTGGGGGGTCTCCTTCACTCCCAGGCCCTCTCCCAGCTAGAGAACAAGCACAGATGAGGACGTCACCTCCCAGTCAGGGACTCTAGGAATCCAGCCGGACTCTGAGCCTAAGTTATAAAGGCAGTGATAGCTGGAGGCTTACAGACCCTCCAGAGCAAGCAATGGGATACAGCACCCTCCACTGCATCTTACTGGGCTCCTCAGAACCCACACTAGAGGGACACAGGAGTCCCGACTGTATCCCTTGATCTCCCTAAACGCGTGCCAGGATCTCGGCACCACTCCCATCAACACACACGCCAACAGACCATCTCGTATTCTCCAGACTCATAGCCTGTCCTCTTGGTTTTTCCAATACGGTCGGAGAAATCTGCAAGAGAAAACGGAAGTGAAGGCCTGACCAGGCTCCGGGCAGCCGTGGTCGCATGACTATGCCGGCGTCCACGATGGGCCCGCTCCCCAGAGCAGCACCCAGTAAGGCCTGAGGACTGGCTATTCCTGACCCATTTCCAGTCTTACCAAGTCCCTTTGTCCCCACTCTCTTGTCCTTGAACTTGTCGTAGGCGGCATTGGGGTTGACGATGATGTGCTCCACACTTGTGCTCGTCAGCTCCTCCTGCAGGAACAGGTAGGTCAAGCCAAGGGCAGATTCTTTCCACCACACAACTTTTCCAATCCCTCAAACCCCCAATAACCAGGAGACTGGTCCGACATGCCCAAGGGGAAAGAAGGCCGCTCCATCCCTAGCTTCCGACCCAGGTTCAACCTAGGAAACGGGAGCTTCCTGCTAACTCTGGAGTCTCAGTTGTATAAATATTAACACACTGATTAGCTGGAAACAGGCAGGGTAACCTCCCCACCCACTCTGCACAAAAGCCTGCCCGCACCCCCACCCCATCCAGTGGGTCCCTCCCAGTTATCTGGCACATACCTCACACTCAGGGCAAGAGACCAACCTGACCTCTTTTAACCTCCCCCTCCCCAAAGTCAGTTTCCTTGCCACTGAGAAGTCCGTTTTCAAGCTAACCCCTCCTCTCTGCTGCGAGGAAAGAGGAGGGGCAGCAGACAGACTCCTGGCGCTGAGTGAGTGTCAAAACCTTAACATGCCGCTGAAGGGAAGACACCTTCCATGCTACAGGAGGGCTGGCAGAGGGCCTGACCAGAGGTCCTATTTCCAGGCTCCAGGAGGTCAGGGAGCTGAGAGGGCAGAGAGAAGAGGCAAGCGACTCGGCATTACTTTGTAAGGGCCATCTTAGAAACACAAGCATCAGCAGGTATCTCTTGCCACAAGCACGACATGTGGCTGGTACCGCGTGTGCGAAGTCCTGAAATGAGGACAGCCCGGCAGAAGCTACAGCACCGGCCTCTTCTCCCTGCCTCCTCTGCTGCGCCTCGAGCACTGGTGTGCCTCCATAAACACAGGCATGTCAGGAAAGGGAGAGATTTTATTCTAGAAATTGAGCAGAGGCTTCCTCCTGACTAGATACCTACTTACTATTCAGAGTCCACAAACTACACCAAGACTGGGCCCTGAGATTTGATGTCTCGCCTTCATTTAAGTCTGGCAGCTCTGACTACTAAGGGAAGGGGAAGGAGACCAGGAGTCCTGTTCTATCTGGGAAGACAGCTCTACCTCCTACCGGAGGAAGGCAAATGAGTCTTTAACAATGTTCTTTACTCTGGGTGCACTACAGAATCACTTGGAAATTGTTTAAAAAAAAAGAGAGAGAGAGAGAGAGAGAGAGAGAGAGAGAGGGAGGGAGGGAGGAAGAGAATCATATTCTGTTGAGTATGACTGAATTCTCTGGGGTCAGGCCAGGACAGTAGGCCAATTTAAAAGCTACCCAGATGCCTCTAATACATGCAACCAGGGCCGAGATGCCGTCTGGGGGCGGAGGAAGAAGGGGGTGGTGATGGGGAGACGTCATCAAGAGCAGCAGACAGAGATCCAGGCCCATTCCGGCCTGCTCTCCCGGGAGTCCGTGTGAACGGCAACTTTTAAAATAGGGAGGTGAGGCGGTTAGGAGAAAATACCAACTTGTTCTTTATCTCTTCGGGGAAGTGCGGGCTGGAAGGGCCAGGGCTCCAGAGGAAGGGAAGAAGGGCTCACCGCCCACAGGCCAGCGCACAGGGGACGCGGTAACTGAGTCTCAAATGATCATCACTTTACTCTGCGGCGCTACGGCCGCGACACTCGCCAGCTGAACACTGCGAGGTCTCCGAGAGTGTCTGGAAAGGACTCGTGGCAGGGAAGACAGCCACCTTCCTTCAAGTTCACACTCCAGAACAGGCCACTCCTCCCGGGGTGATGCAGACTCATTTAAAAACCCTCTTAAAAAGAGGACTGGGAGGCGGGTCTGCAGACCACGGAAGGAAATTCACCGGGGCTGCTGTTTGTCGAGCCCGTGCTATGGGCCGGGCACCGGGCGGCTGCCAACCTACTTTGTTGTGTATTTTTCCTAACAGGGGAAGGGGTGTCGTAGAGGGCGAATTCTCAGCACACGGGCTCCAGAGTGCTGGACGGGGCTTTCGTCTCATCGGTGCTGTGGGGCACATCTGGGGCAGACGGCTGCCCGCTGGCCCGCCCTAGGGTCCTCGTGGCGCCTGTCTGGAGGTGCTCCTGGCACTCGGTGGCCAGCGGCACCCACTCTGCCAGGGTCCGGGGATCTGGGGCGTGGGCCTAACAGTGACTTGTAAGGTGGGGACAGGGCTAAGTAGAGAGAGGAGAGGGTTAGTAGACAAAAGGAGAGAGAACTGCCCATCACAGCACACCCCGTTAAAAAGCAGACGAAAGGTAGGGCTTCTTACCAGCTCCTTGCGGTTCCCCAGAGGTGAGAAAATCAAGAGTTAAACGGAAAGGGAGTGGGGGAGACAGGGGTGAGGGAGGGGAAAAAAAAAGACAAAATTTTATTAGCAAATTGTCACATGCACTACATGACAGTCTTCACACACACTGCACCACGGGCCCGGGGGAACCTAGCAAAATTTGGGGGCCAAGAAATTTCAGCTGAGGTCGCCATATACCCCAAGAGACAGAGCTTGGGACCCTTCCTTCTCTGGTGGTGAGGATGTCATGAAGCTGTGCCATCCACAGCAGCGGTTTAAAGCCACCTGACAGCTCGGAGTTAGATGCTGTGGCAAGCGAGCGGCACGGAACAGGGAAGTGAGGGGAGGGAAGGCTGAGGTGGGGCAGCTGCGGCACGGAGCGTGTGAAGCAGAAGCTCTATAGAGTGCGAAGGCCTGCAGGTGGCTGCGGGCACAGAATTCTCCGGGGGACTTTCCCTTAACAGTTCATGGCTCAATTTCCCCTGTCTCCCAGGTTCTCCAGCTCTGAAGAATGAGGCATCTGAGGGCAGAATCACTCACCACAGGGTCTGACGTGACTTCAGGTTAAGCAGAACAAAATACATCAGGTACAGATTGTGAGCTTAAGGAAACGTGAGTAACCTAAAAGCAGCCCATTCTCATTCGCTGCCGCCAGGAGAGGCAGGGCAGAGCCTGGTCCTTTGTACGGGCCCGGGCGTTTGTGCTCCCTTGGGCGGTGGGCCACCCCGGCGCGCGGCCGGAGCCGGCCGTCAGGGCGTGCTGGCACAGCCCGGACACCGACACGCGCGGCGAGCAGCCCCAACCCTCCGTTCACAAGATTCACAGGGGTGGGAGGTGGACAAGCGAGAAAAGGTGAGATACATCAAGAAGACCTTACTTTGGTCCAGGCCACCACAGCTCCTGCCTCTAGGCAAGACTGGCGCAGGCCTGCCGGCCGGGGAGCCAGCCTCATGCCCTGCCTCTCCCACAGCCCTGCAGGCAGGTGGCGATGGCTCGGCACATGTGAGAACACACGATGGTGTGAGACATGTGCTTCCTGCTCCAGAGCTCTCGGTGAGGTTCCCCTAAACCTAGACCTCCCCGTCCCGGGAGGCATCAGGGTCCAGCCCGGCCACGACTCCCCCTTCGGCTCGGGGCAGAGGTGGGTCCAGGCCCCTGGTCCCGGCCGGGCGTCTCTGAGCAGAGCGGTGTAGACACTCACAGGTGCACACATGCAGACACACGGAGGAGGCACACACACCACCTTTCTCCTTGCTTGGGAGAAGCAAGAAGAGAGCGGACAATGGGCCATAAGTTCAAGTTCAGATCATGAGAAACAAATAAAATAGGGGAAAGACCGAAACAGTTTTAAAAGGTGGCGTGTTTGTAAATAGTACAAAACACCCCAGGGGTAGCCTATGGATGGGGGTGGGGATGATGAGATTTTAGGTGTAATGCCTACAACCTGGAGTAGCTACAGTCACCACAGAAACCTATTACACCCAGCCACCTTGCCTGAAGAAATCCTAAATGCCCTGATCCCAGCTGCCCGGCACACGATTCCCAATCCCTTTCACTAGCGGGTGCCCAGACTAAGTGCCTGCGCCTCAAAGGGCAAACCTGAGGTTCTAGATCAGGCAGGGGAGCGGCCTGTGCCGCGCTGAGTCTGCTCAGGCTCTATGCTGACACCGCAGCCAGGGGCTTCAGGACCACGGGACACAGAGGATGGAGAGCGCTACAGAATAAAACTGCCAGATGGACCAACATGATGCTGACCATCCACCACTTCTGAAGGAGGGACGGAAACACAAAGACTCGTGAAAGCACAAATAACCCAAGTCAGTGTCTTGAAACCGCACAGAACACGCCTGTCCCACCCCACGTACCTTCCTCTAATGGCGGAACACGGGCGAATATGAAAACGTGGCTTTTTGTGGGGGTAATCCATAAGCCGCCAAGAGTGAGGCCGAGGGCCGCCGCCCTTGTCCTCGTTTCTAGAATGTTAAAAGCCACTCCTTCTCTCTCATCTCCATTTCAGTCTAAGAGGAAGGCAATCCCCTTCTAGCGTGTCTAAAAACATTTCTAGCCTCCATGTTTCTATCCCATCCTCTGCTGGACAGTTTTATTCTCTAGACCTCGCAGGAAGAGACAAGTCCTGTCACGGCTGTGCTAACCTGGTTAATGATCTTTAAACGCAAGGCCAGTGAATCGCTTAGTGACCCAGCTCAGGACTCATTAGAATGTGAGACGATTAGCTACAACAACAGCACAGTGACAGAGCATCGCATGCGGGATGGCAGATAAAAAAACATGCAAAGAAGCATCGAATGGTCTTACTTGTGCAAACTAGTGTCCAGGCAAGGTGGTGAGGAGGGAGGATGGGGGGAAGCATTAGGAAAAACTCACGTAAGTTTAAGTGTGCCAGTAGTCAGCAAACAGTCAAGCATACGCTACGACGTCTCCCTCTGCGAGGGAGAGACCTACCCCTCTCGGGCTGGCGGGGCCTCCAGCGGCTCACCCAGTGCCGGGCTGAGGCCTGTCGCAGGGCCCCACCAGCTACGGTCAGGGCATGCCCCCCCCACGTGGCACAGAGACAAGGCATACTCATGGCATACAAGGAGACTACATACTGTTTCTAGCGGGGTTTTCTACATTTACCCCCCTTGCTCCAGCAGTTCAAAGCCAGGAGCAGAATACACAAACTCAAAGCAGGTTGTGGGCCCAGGGGAGAGGAAATGTCAACTGGGAATTGGCTTCAACAATTAGACAGTTTAATAAGTTTCCAAACGAGCCACCAATCCCATCAACCCAGAAGTGTCCTCCTTCCAAGGAGGGCCTCCCAGATGGGCAGGAAAGGGCCAGTCTGTGCTGTCTGCTGGCCCATTCACTTGAGAACACTTTACTTCCAGCTCCTGTGGTTTTACTAAAGGGCTGTAGAAAAATCAGGACCATCTTGACCAAAATTAAAACCGTTGACTATTTTCTTTCCCCATCCTCTCCCCTATGAGAATTAAAAAAAAAAAAAACTTTTTATGTTCAGGTTAAACTAGCAGTTACAATTTTTAAAGGGTATTAAAAGGCATTTCCCTCAACGGCCTGATTTCTTCCACAGTGGACAATCAGGTGAAAGACATCAAGACAGGGAGGGTCAATGTTGTTTGACTATCCCTTTCAAGTCTGAAGTTACCCCCCCATCCCACCCCCCAAAAAAAAGGTTCCATAGGAAGCTATATTGGCTCTCTCCAAGGAAGGGAACTGAGCGGTGACAGGCAGGGACGAGAAGAGAAACTTTTTGTTCTATCTGCATGTATTACCTACTTTTTAAAACAAATACAATTACAATTGAAAATAGTCTGGAGACTAAGGCAGAGCAATGCCATCACCAAGGATTAAGAAGGTGACTGAAAACCTCAGGCTGCAGCCACAGTTGTGGCGATGTGCCCCGTAGCCAGTGCCAGATCTTGGAAAAGGAGGTGAGGAGAGAGGCTGCTTCTGGATTGTCTAAACACAACCACCGCTCCTCAAGTTGCACATTTACGTCAGTATTAAGAGCAACAGCAGAACCATTACTCAGCTGACTTCCCGAAAGCTACCCTCACAAAGCCTATAGGGACATGTAGGGCCAGACGCATTAGCTGACACCAGGAAATATCTCAGCCCCCTCTGCCCAGCCCCCACTTCCCCAGGGCTCCTGAAGCAATTGAAGGCCTTCCCACCCCACTCACTCCTCAGCAAAGAGTCATTTAGCTGAGGTGATGGAGGCGACTGATCCTCCTGCATTTATGCCCAGCTCCGATGCACTGCTGCCCCCACATCTTGGGCACTATGTTGCAGGAAGCAAACATGTACAGTATCTTCTCCCCGTTAGTCATTTCACTCAATGCTACTAAAATAAGCTACTCAGTCTCAGCAGGGAGAAGCAGCCGGCCAAGGTGGCACATTCAGGCTCTTCCACACCTGAATAGATGTCACTTTCTTTTTATTAAAAGATATTCCTTTTGTGCAACTCAAAAGGAAAACCACAATGTATTTTTTTTTTTTTGGTTTGGAAAGGGAACTACGGTGATACTACCTGTTTGCATCTCAGTGACAAAGGGACAAAGTTTCATTCATTATATCATGAAGACTTGATATTTTATAGAGAGGTCTAGGCCAGATTTGAAACTAGGCCATTTCTGAACTGTGGCAGAAGAGTGAAGTCCTCAGCACGTTACCTGCCCTGGAAGCCCAGGGACAGCTTCCTGGTAAGACGGGAGAGAGGTGCATACCCAGGTCCTTCAGCTATTACATCTACAATTATCTCCAGGTATTCAAGCTTGGGGGACAGACTGACATGCCAGCAAGTACAGAAGCCACAAGAAACACACCACTGAGAGAGGGGACTGGGAAGGTGTTCCCCACTGAGTAGGAACCACTTCCACAAGGGAAAATCAAATAAGAAGTAAGTACGCCAAGCCATACATCATAAGCCAGCAACCAGCATTTTCCAGAACTAACCAGCCCCACAGACATAGCCACAGACTGACAGACACACATCTTGAGCCTGTTCCCACTGACTCTTGGTCACAACGGTACTGAGCTTTCACACCATCAGCGTGACCAAGTCCAGCTCTCTTTGGAAATAACAGAACCTAAAACACACTCTATAAGATATGCTAATAGAGCGTGGTTCTCCATGGCACTCACAGAGTTTTTACTACGTTGATTTCCCTTGATTAAATTTTGTGTTTTCTTCTATGTACTTCTTATATATAGCCTAACTCCCCCATTAGCCTACTCTCTGAGAGCAGGGCCATTTATTTCTTGTGCATTACACAAAAATCAACATAGAATGAACAGACTCAATAAACAATGTTAAATGGCTCCCCTTGTGATAAAAAAAATGTGTTCACAGTTAATTTCTTCTGAGAGTTTTGCTGTGATCCGAAAGTATTACCAGGATCTCTGCTCTTATGTTGATATAATAGTTTTAAGTTATTCTTCATATTTGTTTCACTCTGGACAGGTCACCTATTTTTCTAAAATCTTCAAATCAGGGCCTCCCTGGTGGTGCAGCGGGTTGAGCGCCGTGCTGTCCGCAGCCTCTGCAGCGCGGGTTCAATTCCCGGCCGGCCAGAGAGAAACCCACGTGGCATGGCAGACCTCTCCTGCCTCACCTGCTGCTCCCCTCAGCAGTGTCTTCGGTACATCTACCTTTTCTGCTCCCCACTCTGTCTCTGATGAATTCTCTCACCCTCCCTCCTGCGCCTCTGACCTGTACCCCGGTTCTTGTATAAATAAATAAATCCTTAAAAAAAAGCCCTTCAAATCAGGGGCTTAGATTCTAACAAGTAGTCTCAGCCACGGAGGTGACCCAAATGGTGCAGCAGACCTCTCCTGCCTCACCCACTGCTCCCCTCAGCAGTAGATCTGCCTGTTCTGCTCCCCACTCTGTCCCTAATGAATCCTCTCACTTCCGCACCTCTGGCCTGCACCCTAGCTCTTACAACAACAACAAAAAAAAGTAGTAAAAAGGAAATGTCCAATGGATACTGGCTATTCAAATAGAAGACTATTTCCCTATATTTTAAAGTCTAGCTCTTGGTAAAATACTCATGAAAACATGTTAAGTGAAGTATTTTATAAAATAGGCCTATTGGGCCTCCCCTGGTGGTGCAGTGGTTGAGCGCTGGGCTGCGAATCTTCCCGCAGCCTCCGCAGCGCTGGTTCGTTCCCTGGCCGGTGGTCGGCGAGGGTCCCACATGGCGTGCAGACCTCTCCTTCCACGTGGTCCCACATGGCATGCAGACCTCTCCTGCTGCTACCTCTGCTCCCCTCAGCGGTGTATTTTGTCAGTCTATCTGTTCTGCTCCCTGCTCTGGCTCTGGTGAATTCTCTCACCCTCCCGCACTTCTGACTGTACCCAGTGCTTGTATAAATAAATAAATCTTTAAAAAAAAAAAAAAAGGCCTACTGCCTAACAAGCAGTTTATAAGTGCTCAGACTTCATGATTCACTACCATGGACTAGCCCCCAGGGGCCTAAGTTACTAATCCCATGCCTGTTTTGAGGTATTTTCATTTTATTTAGTATATGTGCTGCCAAAGCGAGCGCTTGAGATATTTCATTTAAAAGGCCCTACACCTGGTCTTGTCAGTTATAATATCACTGAACTGACCCCTTCCTGGCACTGTCCACTAGTGGCTACCAGCCCACAAGCCCTCTACAAGCTCTGCAGCTACATACCACCCAGGCTTTTGGGTTGGCACACCCGCCTACTGCTGTGGCTGTCCAGAAAAGGGAAAGGGCCTGCCCAGGGGAGGGAAGTAGGGGGCCTGAGGCAACACAGAACCTTACCGCATCAAACTCCGCTTGGTCATCCTCAGGTAGGTCGCTGGTTTCATAAACATCTGGCTCGTTCCTGGCCTGCAGGTAGAAGCAGTGACCACCCAACCTCACTACCCAGCATCTGCAACACGCCCGGCCCCGCTCCATTTGTACAAACTAACAGAGAAGGCAGACTGTGATGCCGGGATTCTGTCCCTTCCACCTGCCCCCTCAACTGGACGTCAGTTGTCATGTATTAGAGGGCTGGGCACGACAGTGGGGACAACTTGGACCTGATGGTAAGTGGTGGGTGTACGTGATAAAGATGTTACCCTGGAACTGAAAGGGAGGGGGCGAGGATCTTTGGGGGCAGTCAAGTCAGAAGCAGGAGAGGGCTATTCTCGATGGAAGCCCTGGACGCCACCCTCTGGGCCCAAGGGTTCAAAGTGACTCAGGACTTGACTACCCGCGGTCCTGGGACTCGAACCCAGCCGGGGAAGGCGGGCAGCGCGGCACAAAGGCGGGCGACACGGTGGGAGAAGCGGGGAGCGCTCGCGAGGGCGGGGTCGGGGCAGATTATCCTCCTGGCGCGAGAGCTCTGCCACGCAGCCTGCTCCTCGGCAGGGTGAAGGCCACCACCAAGTGACCGAGCGTGTGTGTCTGGAGGAGGGACGGGGCTGCTGGGGCGCCGGGATGGGTGCAGAGAACGCTCGGTCACAAGCGGCCAGTGCCCTGGGCCGAGCTCTGGGCCCAGGGGCCGGAGCCCGCCGGAAGGGGCCTACTAGGCCGCCCCTCGGCCCTGCCCAGGCGGTGGAGGCGTCCGGCGGGGCCCCGGCCGGCGGGGGCGAGCGGCGGGGCCCCGGGCGGAGGCGGCGCCGCGGGCGGGCGGGGTCACGGGCGAGCTCTGGGGTCCGCAGGAGGTCGGGGGCGCGGTCCTGGGGAGCCGGGCCGGCCCAGTACTCACAATGCCGGGGAGGTCGGCGTATTTAGGGTCCGCCATGGCGGCGGCGAGGCGGGGCGGGGGGCCGGGGCCTCAGTGGAGCCGGGCCGGTGCTCGGCCAGGGGAGAGGCTGAGTCCGGTGTCAGGCTAAGGCGGCGGCGGAGGGAGCGGCAGAGGAGGCGGAGGAGCGAGAAGTCTCGCGAGAAGTCTCGCGATAGGCGTCGCACAGGCGCCGGGGGAAGCAAAGCTCGCGAGAATAGCCCCCGGACCCCCCCCACCCCCGACCTTGGCGAGGAGGGGATTGGCGAGAGAGGCGCCAGGGAGTGAGGTAATGGCGGGGCACGCCGCTTGGGATTGTGGGATATGTAGTCTTGGCCGGACGGGGCTTGGGCGGGGACCGATAATACACCTTGGGACTCGCTCCACGCAATATTCTTTCATTTTACTGCAAATCTATGCAAGACATTTTATAATTCTTATTTCTCAGATGAATAATTTTGGACCCCGAGAAATTAAATGACTAGACAAAAGTGGCTCAACTAGCCATGCTGTGGCACAGTCAGGACTTCAAAAACAACTGAAATTTAGTAAAGGTTTAGTCGTGAAGAATAAAAAAGTTAGGTGATATCAGGTTATGGCTCAGATAAAATACAGAAGCCTGGTTAAATTTGAATTTTCAGATAAATAATAGTTTTTTACATTTGATCTTAGCCAAAAGACCGGAAAGTGATAGATAAATAATGTGGTTTTTTTTAGCATAAGAATTTCTCATATCATATTTGGAACATATTAACACAAAAATTGTTCGTTTTTTACCTGACATTTAAATTTAACTGGGCATCTTGTTTTTATTTTTCAAATCTGGCAATCCTATGTCAAGCTGAAGTGGAACTTTATGTCTGTATGAATATTCTTTTTGCTCTTCTTAGCCACTTGACTAATATTTTTCAGCAACTTGAATTTCTCAGTTCAGTAAAATTAAAACAACAGCAAATCTTTTTGAGGCTAAACAGAACATTGCACCTTTTAATGTTGCTAAATGAATACATAAAAAAGAAAGAAAACCTACTTACACTATTACCATCATTATTTATAAAAGTGGGAGGGACTGCCTTAGAATAAAAAACACTTCTTTGAATTTTTTTTAAGGTTGATTTATTTATGCATACAAGAACTGGGGTACATACAGGCCAGAGGTGCAGGGGGTCAGAGGAGTCACCAGAGGCAGAATGGGGAGCAGAAGAAGCAGATCTGCTAAAATACACTGCTGAGGGGAGCAGCGGGTGAGACAGGAGAGGTCTGCTGCATCATGTGGGTAGCTCCCTGGTTGGGGATCGAACTCGTGCTGCAGTGGCTGGCGATAGCTTCATAGTGCTGAGACTTAACCCCTTTCACCACCAGGATGGCCCAGTTCTTTGAATCTTAAGAAATTGAACTTTATGAAAAACTTACCTGATTATGTGGGGTATTTTTTGGGGGAGGGGGGAGTGACTGGCCATGGATTAGCATTTTGAAACTCCTTCACTAAGGAGGCCACCCTAGACCCCCTGGGGGCCTGAGGTTGGGATGTTTCCCAGGATGTTTTCTGAGCATGCAGGATACTGCAACAATTAAAAATAGTGCCAGACCAAGTGACTGGACAGATGCCTATTTTCCTGAGTTTGGAATTCATTGTCATTCCATGCATACTCTCCTGGCTCCTCCCCGGGGCCTCTGCCCCTCTGTCGCTATAGTCCTATTGCCTTCCCATTCAGTTTCTTACTCTGGACCCCTTTCCTTCAGTTTCTGTAAGATTCAAGGTAGGTTAGAGGTATAGGCCCCACTCAGGAAAGTTCTGAGTGTAGGTCTCTCAGAGCAGGCCATCGCTCACCCTGGCTTCAGAGCCCTTCAGCGACCTTAGACACTTACCAGACAAATTGCTAAGCAGAACCTCTCTCCCCTCCTCCTTTCTCCCATCTCTCCACTCCTCCCTTTGGCCTAGAGCCTCAACTCCTGCAGTCTAACTCTGTTGGCCAGCAGAGGCCGGCTGATGTGGAGAAAAATCAATTTGGTCGGCTTCTAGGAGGTTCTACTCAGGGGCTGCAGGAGTCTGACCTGAATAGAGGAAGGACAAGGACTCTTTAGGTTTGGCTTCCCCCCGCCAAAAAAAAAAAAGAATATGGAGAAACAGAGACCAAAGGCCCGAGAGAGGGGCAGGGGTGATGGTGCTCCATGCAAGGATCCCTGGGACAGGACCTGGTCTTGCTGGTACCTGAACCTGCCTGAAACCCTCAGGAGGAGGTCGGCCCAGAGGCCTTTCCCAAAGTCCTTACCCACCCCCGCCATCATCCTCCACTACTTTCTGACTCCCTTTTTCTCGCAAGCTATTCCCACCGCCCTCCCAGGCCCTGCCCTTGGGGCAAAAATGAGGATTTTATCTGCTTTTGAATTCTCACAGCCCAGTTCGTCTTCCCTGGACCCGAGACCCGGTGTGCGGTGCTGAGAGCAGCAGGGACCTCCGGGCGTGAGGGACAAGGGAAGAGCCAGACCCTCCCCTGAGCCTCCTGTCTGTGACATGAAGCCGGGCCCCCCAACTCGGTGGGGTACAAGCCACCGCCCTTGAAGGCTGAGAGGGTTGGGGGCCGAGAGAGGGTGCGGGGGACCGGGCCTGAGACGTGGGCGCCCCTTGGCGAGGCTGTGGCGGGAGAGGGTGTCCGGGAGCAAACGGGGTGGGGGTGCGGGGACGGCCCCCCAGCCCCGCGCCCTTCCAGGGGGCCGGCGCCCGAGGGGGGCCGGCCGGGGCGCGGAGAGGCGCGCGGAAGGTGACACCGCGGCAGAGGTGGGGCGCGGGGCCGGCGCGGAGGGGGGCGCCCCCCGCCGGCCCAGGCCCCGCCCCGGCCCCGCCCAGGCCCGCAGCGCGGCGCTGCAGCGAGGGGCGGGAGGCGCAGCCGAGCGAGGACCAGACGCCCGGTCGCCCGCACCGCACCCCGCACCGCAGCCGCGAGCGCGCCCGGCCTGCTCCCCAGCCCTCGCCTGGGAACCCGCGGCGTCCTCGGCCCCGAGCCCGAGCGCCTGTCCGCCCCCCCGGCCTCCGCTGAGCGCCCCCGGCCCGAGCGCCCCCACCCCGCGGCCGAGCCCCCAGCGCCGGCGCCGCGATGGCCGAGCCCAACAACGAGTGCAGCATCAAGGTGCTGTGCCGCTTCCGCCCGCTGAACCAGGCCGAGATCCTGCGCGGGGACAAGTTCATCCCCATTTTCCAGGGGGACGACAGCGTCGTTATCGGGGTGAGTGCCGCCCCTCAGGGAGTTTCGGGGAGCGGCAGGATGCTCTTTCGGGCCCCGCCAGCCCGCGCCCCGCCCGCCGCGCGGCGCCCCCTCCCCGCGCCCGGCCTCCGCCCGGGGCGCCGCGCCCCTCCCCTGCCCGGCCTCGGGGCGGCTGGGTGTGGCCCGGCCGGGCCCGCGGCCAGGTCTCCGCAGAGTCGGCGGGGGCCGCTCGCCGGCGATCGGGGACCCAGCTCCCCTCTGCCGCTGCTGCGCGGGGTCCCCACTCGCTAGGGCCAGCCCTCTGATGCCTCCCTCTCCCCCCGAGAAAGGGCATCTTCGCTTTGTTGCTGCTCGGATCCGCACCCCCACCTCCCGGGAAACGAAGTGGGGGCGCGGGGGGCTCATGGGAGGGGGCAGTGTGGGTCCCCGCGAGGCAGGAGTGAGCGTGCTCTCCGGGACCAGCCCCTGCACCCCCAAGCAGTTACGGCGTGGACTTGGGGGGAGGGCATAGGTTCAACCCGGCCAAGGGTTTTCTGAGAAGGAAATACATCCATGCCACACCCAGTTTGGGGGCGCCTCGGGTCCTAAAGAAACGTCTGCCTTTTCCTCCCAGGTGCAGTAGGAAGAGGGTTTAGACACCACCCCCCAGTTCCAGCTAGCGAAAATAACAGAACCCGCAACACTCAGTGCTTGCTTATTCATCCTTTTTCCCCATGATCCAGTAAAAGAGTAGCAAACCACCTCCATCCACCTCATCACAACAGCCCCTGGCCTGTAGCAGAGCCCATGAAGAAGGAGGCCTGATATTTACTGCGAGCTTGTTACCCTGCACAGGTTTCTTAACCCTCAACATTCTTACAACAGTCTCAAGCAGGTATTAATATCTCCATTTTACAGATGAGGCAAATGAGGTCCAAAGAAGTCGAATGACTTTCTCAAGGTCACACTAATTCATGTGTGTGAACCTCAGTGTGTGACTCCAAGGCTCACGGCTTTTCCTCCATACCACACTGCCTCTGCAGATTTCTGTTCCGGACGTTTCTCTGTGATGGTCCAAACAGAATTCCTAAGGAATTCCTCGCCTACCCCCCTCGTTTTCCAAATTGGTCGGGACTGTCAGGATATGGGATGAAGGGATCCAGTCGGACTTGAGGGGTGCTGTTGGAGAAGGGAGTTAGAGAAGGGAGGGTCCCCTAGGAGGACAGTTCTCAAGGTCAGTGGCATTTCTTACCTATTTTTGATCCACAGTGCCTGGGACAGGTGTGTTCATTAACTGACTAAAGGAAAGTAGAGCGGGGGGCGGGGGCCTTCTGGGTCAGTGAGAACGGGGCTTGAGTCAACATGCCTTTGGAAGAGACCTACTTACATGACCTCTCCCTAAGGTCCGTGGTCTGTCCCCACACCGAGCTCACACCCACACCGAGAGCGGAGATGGGTGCTTCGGCCTCTCGTGCTTGGGTGTCAGTGTGTTTGCCACCTCGAGAGGGTCCTCACCTCCCTTTGCCCCAGAGACCTTAGCCCTGTGGTCTGGTCAGTTTTTGGTCTGGCCAGGCTCAAATGAGACCAGGATCTAGCGGGGAAACTGCTCTCAGTGTTCTGGGCAGCAGGCGTGAGCTGTGAGAGTTGGTGCCCCCCGAGACACAAAGGCTGAGAAATGGGAGGGATGTGGCTCAAAAGTCTTCTACTTTTAAACTTGGCTTCCTCAGCCTAGGTTTGTCGGATGAGACTGACACAGCTCCATTCCCGCCCCTCCAGCCGTGGTGGACATGGGGTGATGCCGGGAGGCCCCGTGGTGTCCAATTTGCTGAGATAAACAGGAGAGGCAGTGGGGTGGGGGACAAAGAGGGCCTCTTGCCAGAGGGATTTCCTTATCTCCACACTTGGCACCTCCTTGCCTGTCCTTTTGGCCTGATATTTGTAGGGCTAGGGCTGTGCCTTTGTCTGTGTCTGCGTTCTCCCCTGCCCTCGCCCTTCCTGTCAACGTCTCACTGCAAGATAAATGCTTTTGAGGGGCCATTTTGTTTGCAGCATGCCTGCCCAGCCCTTAGCCTCTTTCAGGAGGATGAGGGCTACAGGAGAAGTGATTTTAGAAGAGACCCTTGAAGGTCCCAACGAGGAAAGGAAATCGACCTTCTTTCCTCTTCTCCGCCAGCCCCCTTTGGGGCCCGGGGCGTGGGAGATTGTCTGAGGCATGAAGGGAGCATGCTACCTCAGGGTGTCTGGGAGGTGAGGGAGAGGGAAGATGGGAGAGGGGGGTCTCTGCCCCCAGCGCCTACTCTTGTTTCTCGCCTACTCTTGTTTCTCGCCTACTCTTGCAGCTCTGCACCTAGCGCTGGGCACCGAGTCCCTGGTATTCCTAGGTTGTCTCTGCTTGGCAAAGGGTCAGAGAATAAGCTGGGGAGACAGCTCTGTAGGACCCTTCCTCTTCCCTACTCCCTTGGCCATCCCTGGCAGGCTGAGGTGCAGGGCACAGCGGAGTTAGTGGCTGGGCAGTGGAAGGGGGTCTGGGTCACCGTGTGGTGTGTAGCTTTGGCTTCTGTGCTATTCAGCGTCCGCTGTGACTTTTCACCGGGCCCATTGAAGGCCTCTCTCTGCGCTGGTCTTGGTGGGCACCGTGTCCAGCGTCTGCTGCCTGGGCTGCTGCATCTGCATCAGGTGTGGGGGAGATGGTGAGAAGGAAGCACCGCTCCCTCTTCCTTCTCCCTGCCCCCTTCATTCAAGAGTCTTCTCCACCCTGCCTCCTCCAGGTCTCCCGATGGGTAAGTGGGTTCTTAAGGCCAAAAAAGGACTATCAAGTATCTCATTTGGCGACACGAGGCTGAGTCCTGCAGGATAATTGGAGTACAGTCAGTATTATTTGGGGTGATTCCACTGAAAATTGAAGGGGGGGCGAATCCTCCCTTACGTTTGGGGGAGTCTGATAAAGAAAACGGAGAGGGAGGGAATGTGGAATGTTCACCGTGGCCAGTGTCTCTCCAGCATTTCCATGGCAACAATCCCCAGGGGTGTCACCATGGAAATCAGGCCCGGTGCTGGGAAGTTCAGTCTCTACCAGGTGCTTGGTGAGGGTAAAGGGGTGGTCATCTTGGACCCCACTTAGCCCCCATCTTAGCTTTAGCCGGTGCACATTATGGAAAACGACACGGAGGTGGCTGGGAGGTGCGCACGGGCGGGGACACCATGGGCAGCTGGAGTGGGAGAACTGAGCCCCGGGCGCTGGGGCGCGAGAGAGGCTTGGGGAGAAGGTGATGGGTGAGGAGTCCTTGGACTGCGGAGGGTAAGAGAGAGGCAGGAGCTCAGGGGCACCCCTCACAGGTAGAAGGTCTCGCTGAGGTAAAGTCTTCCAGTCGCTAACTCTGTCACAGGGTCTCCCACTACCCAAAGGTGGGCTAGTGAGGGCACCGCCTTCGAGAGGGTGGGCGGGAGCGTCCACACTTCTGGGGATGGGCTGGACGTCGGAAAAGGGGAGTGTTGAAGGGTTTAGTTATGTCTGGAAATGCCCACGTGGGGGAAGGGAGAAGGGGAGGGGAAGGAAGAGCCTTGATACGAGTCTGACGCGGTGTTGGCACTTCGCGTCTGCGATCAGTGTGGGTTTAGAGCCAGGCTGGGTTTAGAACAGCTCTCTGCCACTCAGCCGTGTGACCGCGCACGCTACCTCGCCTCTCTGGACGTCAGTTTTCACATCTATGCAATGGAGTAATAAGAGTCCCTGCCTCTTAGGTTGCAGCGATAACGAGATGAAGCTTATAAACTGCCGAGCACAGTGACAGGCACATAATATACTCCTGATAAAGATTAGATGTTGTTGTTTTCTATACGCTGTTTCCTTCCCGGCGAGCTTTTGAAATAATTGGAAACAACTTCCCCGCTGAGGTGGTGTTGCAGTCAAAGCCCCTGATTTCCTCTTGTTTCTTCCTCCATCAGTGTTTCAGTTTATTCAACATCCTGTGGGCCAGAAACTGTGCTGGATTTTTTTTTAAAGATTTATTTATTTATGCTTATAAGAACTGGGAGACAGGCCAGAGGTGTGGGGGGTGAGAAGATTCACTAGACAGAGTGGGGAGCAGAACAGGCAGACTGACTGAAATCCACTGCTGAGGGGAGCAGCGGGCGAGTCAGGAGAGGTCTGCTGTGCCATGTGGGTAGCTCCCTGGCCTGCTGGGGATCAAACTCTTGCTGCAGAGCTTGCTGATAGCTTCATAGTGCTGTGCTTAACCCCTTGCGCAACCAGGGAGGCCCCAACTGTGCTGGATGTTAGGGAACACCTGCCTTCAGCACTTTGGGGGACTCAAGCTGCAGAGTGGTCTGGGCACAGGCCTGGGGTGGGGCATCAGAAATGGCTTTTACTCACTGCACACGCCTCCAGATTCTGGCGAGAACCCCCTACAACACTCTGACTTAAAGTAATTATGTGTCACAAGAGTTGTAAATAATCGTGGTGTTTCCCATGTGAGTAGAGGCAGAAGAAGTAGAAAATCACTGGCCTAGTTATTCTCAGAGAAAGATCTGACAAAATGAATTCATTCTGAGTATGATCAATAGAAAATTAAAAGAAACTTGCACCTTCACAGAAATAAAAACCTTAAGATTAAAAAAAAAAAAAAAAAAAAGGAAGACCTAAACTGGGTCTTACCCTCCCAGAACCCTTGGATTATAATCCCTGTGTGCGGCTCTCACCCATCCTCAGCTCTTGGGTGCCTTTTATCCTCACGAGTCTCAGAACATCACCTTCTTTCCTCTGCAGTTCCTGCCTTCTTCCGAGCCGAGGCTGAGGAAAAGGCTTCCTCGGGCAGGAATGGCCTTCAGCACTTGGAGAGCGCCCTCCATTTTAAGGCTCAGGGCACCATCCCATCCTGTGGCGGGGAGGGTTAGGGGGAAGGGGTGTGGAGACAATGAATGGGGTGTGTGCATGTGTGTGTTTTGGCACCTGTGTTCCCAGGGGTGAAGGGGTGGGGGCCAAGGTTGGCTTGAGAGTTGTGTTTAATCCCCGCTGGCGGCGGGCCTGACTTGGTGAAGCATGGCTGGAGCTCATTGGTGGAGAAGAGGTCGGAGTCACGGGCCTGAGATAGACACGTTTTGTTTGTTTGTCCTGGCCGCTAGATGGGAGAAACACTGAGGTAGATCACTCAAGAATTAAGATATATTTTTGTTTGATAACATTAAACATCATTTGATAACTACATTAATGTTTGCTTGTTGACAATGTTGAAAACATAGAAAACCATATAGAAGAAACTAAAAATCACTCAAAATCCTTATCCCCCCCCCCGAAAAACTGTTAATAATTTGATGTATTTGATGCCATCCATTTTTTTTCTGTGTATATACATATTAATTTTAATAGCATTGTATCCTAAACTATACATTATTTTGTGATCTATTTTTTCACAAATATAAAATATCATGACTTGTGCCATAACTCAATATTGTACATAATTTTATTATTCAAAAGTATTAATTTTTGAGTAAGTCTTACATGGTCATATGACAAAAATTGAAATGATATGAAAAGGTAAAAATAGTACTTCAGTTTTAATATGCATTTATTAACAGTGAGTTGCACATCAGTTTCTATTTTAAGAGCCATTTCAACATCATAGGACGTTATCTATGGTACGATGGCACTTATTGGGGAATAATTTACCTGCGGTGCACAAAGCTCATGTAGACAGCTGAATGAATTCTATACATGTGTGATACCCATGGAACCCCTGCCCACATTGAGATCTAGAGCTCACTTGTGTCCCCTTCCAATCAATACCACCCCCAACTGACTGCTATTTTGTTTTTAAGATTTATTTTATTTATTTATGCATATGAGAGCTGGGGTTCAGGCCAGAGGTATGGGGGAGTGATTCACCAGAGACAGAATGAGGAGCAGAACACATGGATCCACTGAAATCCACTGCTGAGGGGAGCAGTGGACAAGATAGGAGAGGTCTGCTGCACCATGTGGGTAGCTGCCCGGCTGGGGCTCAAACTTGTGCTGCAGTGGCTGCGGGTAGCTTCATGGTGCTTAACCCCTTGTGCCACCAGGGAGGCCCGGTATTTTTATTTTAGAAAAAATTTAAATCTAAATTAAAGGAACAAAAACTCCTAAATTTTCATTGTCCAAGGATAACCACTATTAACATTTTTATGCAAAGTTACATATACATAATATTTTTTTACAGAAATGGGGTGATCACTTACATGTAGTAAACAGCATTTTGTGCATTCCTTATGTCACTAAATATTCTTTTATAATGTCATCTATAAGATTTTATTTTTTAATTCAAAAACAACATCATTACATAACATTTAAATGTCACAGAAAAAGTGAAGTTTAATTTCCTGTCATTCTGCTCCCCAGTGATAACCACCATGAACAGTTCTTTTTTTTGGGTTATGGTTCTACTTATTTTTATTGAGGTAACATTAGTTTACAACACTGTCTAGGTGGGCAGTGGACGGTGTGGACATTTAAATGTTTAATAGAATTGTCCTCCAGAAAGTCTCCACCGGTTTACAGTACTCTCTTCATTTCGGAGCACACCTTCACAGCGGCCCTCACTTTGTGGAGTTTGTTTTCAGATCAATAGTTCAGGTAGATTTTTTCCACAAGCCATATTTTTCAAATATTTTTGTTATTAAATATATTATAGTTAGGAGTTTTCTTTTATGCAAAGAAATAAAAAAAGAAAGCAAAATAAGGTGCCGTTGTCGCTCCCGCTTTCATTATAATGTTTTTGAAATATAATTCCTGTTTGTGGTTAAAAAGTATAAACAATCCAGGATACAGAATGCCAAAGGAAAGCTTCCTCTCTCCCAACTTCTTTCCCCAAAGTAACCTCCGTTAATACTTTTGTATAATTCCATCTAGAAAAAAAAATTCCTATTTATTGATATAATGCTCTATCACATCTCCAGTTCTAACCAAGTTTTGTGACTTTCCTTTATTAAAAAGTGTTACCTGAATTCCTGTGTTCGGAGACTCAGCTTTATATTTCAGTTGGACGAACATGGGCTTTGTAGATTTGACAACTGAGTCACAGTTTCTTTATACAGTTGAGCAATGTGGGGGTTAGGGGCACCAGCCAGGCAGTCACAAATTCATGTTTTTTGTTTTTTTTTTAAACTGGAGAGACAAATGGCTCATGCAGAGAAAGCTCACACACACACCACACACTCACACGGAGCTGGCAACACGTGAGCTCACTCTTACAGAAATAATTTGCTTCTTCCAGTTATGACTTACTACCCCATCCTGATAATTTTTTTACATTTCTGTCAACTACTAATGGTGCAGTGTAGGTCTGTGTGTGTAAATTTTGAGCCTTTATAACAGATTCGTGTATACTTTGTGGTAGTAAATGATAAAGTAGGCTGGTCTCTCCATGCAGGTTATGCAGTCACGACCTACCTCCCTTTTTATTCATTGCTGGACTCTGTGGTTCATCTGCAAGTGTTTTCAAATTGTTGCAAATCTAAAAAAGAAAAAGAAAAAAAAAGCTTTTAAACTTGTGTTTCTCACGGTTCCTCTGAGGGTAGGAGGCGGGGAAAACAACAGAAAATGTACTTTTTGTCCTGAGTGATTTGCTTCACAGTCTTCTTTACATAAAGCTGATTTCTTAAGTGAGACCCATATTTCTGATTTCATATATCCCTTGCACAAAGAGGGGGCTCCTGTTAATGTCCCGCAACAGCCCAGCGACTCCCTGCTTGTGTATTCCATCTCTGCATGGGAACCCCACTGCACACATCCCGAACCGTGCACCTTCCACTGAATACACCTTGAAGATCGTTCTTTATCGGGATGTATGGATCTGCTGAGATAATTTTATATTTACTTAAAGATGGATTGTTTTCGGCTCTCCACAGCTTGTGACCCTGTGGTCTTCTCCCCTCTGGCTTCCCAGGGAGCGGGGCTGTGGTGGTGGGGTGCCGGGTCATCATTCTAAGCCTGCGTCAGGGACACCCTTCTACATGCACACAACTCCTGGTGTCAGCACTAAGTCTGGGTTCTCCCCAGCATCATCCACGCACATGGAGAGTTGGCGAACCCCCCGGGCTGACGGAAGGGGGTTACCGGATTTCGTCCCCCTCACATCCTGCCTGCTGATGTCCGCCATCTTTTACCTCCTCTCCAGGGGAAGCCGTATGTCTTTGACCGTGTGTTCCCCCCAAACACCACTCAGGAGCAAGTCTACCACGCCTGCGCCATGCAGATTGTCAAAGGTAATGTTTTCTCAGAATGTATTTCTCAGGCTCCTTACTCCCCACCCCGCTGGTCCCCACCATTGTGCTTTCTCTGCCGTCTCTCCCAGATGTCCTTGCTGGCTATAATGGCACCATTTTTGCTTATGGACAGACATCTTCAGGGAAAACGCACACCATGGAGGTGAGGTTCTGACTTCCACGGGCGGGCGTTGAGGAGTGGGGTGTGGTCCGCAGCCTCAGTGGGGGAGGGGGTGGGGCTGGGAGGAGCTGGGTCCTGAGGTTAGCTGGGGACTGACTATGAAGCAAGGGCAACGTGTTCGTGGCCGTTTCCAGGAATCCTTCAGCCTGCTGCAGTCACCCTCCTTCCGCTATTGCACTGTTTTGCTTTTTCTGGGAAAACAGCGGCAATGAAATTCCAAAGGGCTGCCCTGTTAGCTCCTCCTTCCACTAAAGGCTGACACGGCAGTGCCGTCTCCCAACTCAGAACGTGCTTGTCAGCTGTCACCTTTGTGTGCACCTGTGTGCTGCTGAGCCTCATGCTGGAACCCCCTCACTCCCCAGGGGAAGCTGCATGACCCCCAGCTGATGGGAATCATTCCTCGAATTGCCCGGGACATCTTCAACCACATCTACTCCATGGATGAGAACCTCGAGTTCCACATCAAGGTGACGGGAGCTCATCAGAGGGCGGTGGGGCGGGATGAGAGTCTGAGCCCCCCTCCTTGTCTCCCTCTGGTCACCTCAGTTGTTCTGTGCCCAGATAGCGTCTGCTCTTTGCCTCCCACTACCAGCACTTAAGCGTCTTTGGCATCCGAGTGCCATTCGCTTGGGCGCCCTCATCACGTGTCCGTAAGCCGCTCTCCTTCACCCGCTTTCTTTGTCCCTCACCAGGTTTCTTACTTTGAGATTTATCTGGACAAAATTCGTGACCTTCTGGATGGTGAGTGGTCACTAACCCCAGTAGGTGGTTGGGGGCTTGAAGAGGGTAAGGAGAAAAAAGGTTACATTGCTCCTGGGACGAGGTGTTGTTTGGCAGGGATACCGAGGGCACTTGGGGCAGACACACTCATACTCACACTCGTAATTGTGTCTCTTGCCTCCACACACCAAGAATTTCCCAAAACCCAAAGGGTCAGAGGATGAGCTTCGATGCCCAGGCCTCCGTATACATGGCTGGGATGGGCCGGAACCCTCAAGTTGGAATTTTGGAGGCGAAACAGTCTTTGGCACATGCAGGGAGATGAGTGGCACCTCCTTCCCTTTGCCCAGAGAAGGAATCACCACCTGAATGGGGTCGGGAGGGAAGTTCTGACCTCGCTCATCCTGTATTGTCTTGATTTAGTGACCAAGACAAATCTGTCTGTGCACGAGGACAAGAACCGGGTGCCATTTGTCAAGGTGAGCATGGGGATGGGGTTACTGCGTCGAGTGTGGGCATGGGAGGAGAGGCCGGTGACCCAGAGCCTGGAGAGTGGATGTCCTGGAGGAGAGAGCTGTGCCAAGGGAGCAGGGAAAGTCTGGGGACTGGGAAAAGGCACTCTCTTGAAAAGCCCTGTGGACAGTGTGCCGGGGACGGAACTTGCAGATCCGAGGTGACGGATCACCTTCCATTTGCCCCCTGCAGGGTTGCACCGAACGCTTTGTGTCCAGTCCGGAGGAGATTTTAGATGTGATTGATGAAGGGAAATCTAATCGTCACGTGGCTGTGACCAGTGAGTGGAGATATTAGGGACCCTTGAGTCCGGGGATCTGCCTGTCCTCTGTGCCCCCTGGGCCTGAGGGCTTGAAAGTGAGCAAGGAAGACTGGAGGGATCAGAGGAGGAGGGTGCTTGTCTGTGCTTGTCTGCTGCTGCGGGGGGCAGCGGCAGGGCCAGTGGGTGGGGGTGGCTCTCGCACTCGTCACTGGGGGCTGAGGACCTCAGTCCCACAGCGGGTCTTACAGGGGACTCCCCCCTCTCCTGCAGACATGAATGAACATAGCTCTCGAAGCCACAGCATCTTTCTCATCAACATCAAGCAGGAGAACATGGAGACTGAGCAGAAGCTCAGTGGGAAGCTGTACCTCGTGGACCTGGCGGGGAGCGAGAAGGTTGGGGGCCAGTGGGGGTGGGAGGATAGGGAAGGAAGCTTTGGGGGTTTGCCAGCTCTTAAAACACAAAGTAACTTTTATTGAGATAGAATTCACATCCCATAGAGGTCGCCATGTGGCACTCCAGTTGGGGGGTGTTTACTGTTTTCGAGGTTGCGCAGCTACCACTAGCCCCAGGCCCTTTCACCACCCACGGGGACAGCCACGCCCTCTTTGCCACCCCCCACCCCTGGCAACCAGGCATCTTTCTTCTGTCCTTGGACTTGCCTCTTCTGGACATGCCACATACGCGCAATCTGTATGTGAATGTCTGGGGGGGTGGCCTTTGGCAACAGTTTAGGGGAGCAGAGGAGGGACCTTCTCTGCGCTTTCTTCTCCCCTCTCGTCCTTGGACTGAGACCTCCTCAGTGGAACTGCCGTGGCACACTCATCCCCTAACACCCCGGCCCGGCCCGTAGGTGAGCAAGACCGGAGCCGAGGGGGCCGTGCTGGATGAGGCCAAGAACATCAACAAGTCACTGTCAGCCCTGGGGAATGTCATCTCCGCGCTGGCAGAGGGCACGGTGAGCGCCTCGGCCCCCAGCCCCCCACCCCACCCCTCTCCTGCCTCCCGAAGCGCCCAGCGCCTTGTGCCTGATCCACGGGTTGCTCTCTTTTCCGATTCCCTGTTGGGTTTATCTTTCTGATTCACGGTCTTCCTCCTCCCCCAGAAAAGCTACGTTCCGTATCGTGACAGCAAAATGACACGGATCCTCCAGGACTCCCTGGGAGGCAACTGCCGGACGACTATGTTCATTTGCTGCTCACCGTCCAGCTACAACGACGCAGAGACCAAGTCTACCCTGATGTTCGGGCAGCGGTCAGTGGCACAGGCCCGGGGCCCCGCCGGCGCGGCCACTCCCTCCCCTCCGGGCCCTGCACGCCTCAGCCCTCAACGGAGGCCTCATGTCTGTTCTTTCCTCCTCGCCCAGAGCAAAGACCATTAAGAACACCGCCTCCGTGAACCTGGAGCTGACTGCCGAGCAGTGGAAGAAGAAATACGAGAAGGAGAAGGAGAAGACCAAGGCGCAGAAGGAGACGATTGCAAAGCTGGAGGCCGAGCTGAGCCGGTGGCGCAACGGTTAGCAGGGCCTGGGGCTGAGGCTGAGGAGGAAGAGGAGACTGGAGCCAGAGGGGCCCTGTTTGGGGCGGCGTGAGAGGAGAGCGGTTTCCCAGGGGAGCTGCTCTTCTGGCAGGCGCGGTGGGGCAGTCTCAAGGAAGCGGGGGCCGGCTGCCCTGATCCCACTCTAGTCAGGTTGGAGATCCGCTTGGCCCCAGAGGAGGAGGCTGGGAGGCCTCGCAGGCCAGGAGCTTGGGAGAAAGGACCCCAGGGTGCGGCTTTCCCTGCTTCTCTCACCCCGCCCCGCCCCTTCCCCAGGAGAGAACGTGCCTGAGACAGAGCGCCTGGCTGGGGAGGAGGCCGCCCTGGGAGCCGAGCTCTGTGAGGAGACGCCCCTGAACGACAACTCCTCCATCGTGGTGCGCATTGCGCCCGAGGAGCGGCAGAAGTACGAGGAGGAGATCCGCCGCCTCTACAAGCAGCTGGACGACAAGGTGAGGGCCCGAGCAGGTGCCCGGTGACCTGGGGAGGCGCTGAGGGGCTGCAGATCAGCTTCTACTGACCTTTCCTGGTTTTATTTTTTTTAAAGATTTGTTTATTTATGCATACAAGAGCTGGGGTGCAGGCCAGAGGCATGGGGGTGAGAGGATTCATCAGCGAAAGAATGGGGAGCAGAACAGGCGGATCTACTGAAATCCACTGCTGAGGGGAGCAGCAGGGAGTCAGGAGAGGTCTGCCGCGCCATGTGGGCTGCTCCCTGGCCAGGGATCGAACTCGTGCTGCAGTGGCTGTGGACAGCTTCATAGTGCTGAGACTTAGCCCCTGTGCCACGAGGGAGGCCCTGCCCTTTTCTCATCTTAAATGGGATAAATGCTTGTTACTGAAAAGTGGAAAATAAATAAGAACATATAGAAGAAAATTAAAATCATCCATCATCTCACTGTTCAAAATCACATTTTGCTTTTTTGCAGTCACATGCCACGCAATAGATGGATGTAACTTTGCATCCGTTTTTTATTCAGCCTCATATAGTGAGCAGTTTCCTACTTTGTTAACAATTCTTCATGAAAGTATTTTTAAATGGCGCCAACAGTCCATTTATCAACATGTATTTAACGATTCACTTTGTACAGGACTGCTAGTTTATTGTTTGCTTGTTTTTGCTGCCATGAAAAACTCTAAATGGCTGTCTCTGCCATCCTGGATAATGAGCACAAATGTTTGTGAAACATCAGACGTTTTCTTTCCTTCCTGTGGGCATCGTGTGGGGCGGGGATGAGGCAGGGGTGGGGGTCCTGTTTTCCAGCTTCTGCTCTGCTCCATATCCACCCTCCGGACTGCTGCGGTGCAGAAGGCTGCTTTTGAGTGATTTGATTAGATGCAGTGGAGTCCAGAGTGGGATTTCTAGGTTCAAGTATATGAACACTTGAAGGCTTTTTCTATGTGTTGTCAAGATCCTGCCAACCTCCAGGAAGAAACAAATTTAAAAATGAGGTCAGGAGTCAAAGAAAGAAGCTGAGGAAAAGATTTATTTTTAGGATATGGGGTTTTACCTCAAGGCCTAACGCATCTGGATTTTTACAGTGATCCTATCTCTGCCCCCATCCAAAATGTCTAAACTGGAAAGAGTAACTTCCCCTGCACCCCATCTCTCTCCCCGCTTCCAACAGGATGATGAGATCAACCAGCAGAGCCAACTTATAGAGAAGCTCAAGCAGCAAATGCTGGACCAGGAAGAGGTAACAGGAGGGAGGAAGACGTGGGAGAAGCATGTGGGTCATCCCTGGAAGGCAGGAAAAGGATCTTTCTTACAACCAGTGAAGAAGGGGCTTGCTTTCTTCTAGACGTGTGGGGCTAAATCGGGAATTTGCTTAAAGCACGGCTTTTGGCATCTAAGTGCTTCTTTATTCTGTTGCCCTATTTCTTTTTTTAAAGATTTATTTGTGCATACAAGAGCTGGGGTGCAGGCCAGAGGTGTGGGGGGTGAGAGGGGATTTACCAGAGATAGAGTGGGGAACAGAGCAGGTGGATCCACTGAAATCCACTGCTGAGGGGAGCAGCGGGGAGACAGGAGAGGTCTGCTGCGCCATGTGGGTAGCTCCCTGGCCGGGGATCGAACTCGTGCTGCAGTAGCTGCGGACAGCTCCAGAGTGCTCCGTCTTAACCCCTTGAGCCACCAGGAGGCCCCTGTTGCCCTACTTCTGAGGCGCCTGCAGCTTACCTCCTCTTGACTTGCTTGGCCCTTAAGTCTCTCCCAGCATGGACCTGGGAGGGTGGCTTGGCGCCCCCCCACCACGGGGTCCTAGCAGTGGTCACTGGAAGCACCTCCCTCCCTCCACAGCTGCTGGTGTCCACGCGCGGGGACAATGAGAAGGTCCAGCGAGAGCTGAACCACCTGCAGTCTGAGAACGACGCCGCCAAGGACGAGGTGAAGGAAGTTCTGCAGGCGCTGGAGGAGCTGGCAGTCAACTACGACCAGAAGTCCCAGGAGGTGGAGGAGAAGAGCCAGCAGAACCAGCTCCTGGTGGACGAGCTGTCTCAGAAGGTGGTGAGTGGCTGGGAAGGTGGTGAGCGCACCCTGAGCTCAGGACCTCTCTGCGCCCCGGGAACCTCTGCCTCCCGACAGGCATGGATCTCGCTTGCACTGCTGTTCAGTTCGCCGAGAGGCCTGACTCATCCTGTCACTACCCTTTACCCTCTGACCCCTGTCACTCCCAGCCCCCTTTGCGGGCCCTTGTTCTCCTTGTGGCAGCCCCCAGGGTTGTGAGTGCAGGGAGAGGCCGCTGCCCTGGCTGGGCGTGGCGTGGGAAGACGGTGACGGGAGGACCCGGGGGACTCTCGCAGGCCACCATGCTGTCCCTGGAGTCGGAGCTGCAGCGGCTGCAGGAGGTCAGTGGACACCAGCGGAAACGCATCGCCGAGGTGCTGAACGGGCTGATGAAGGACCTGAGTGAGTTCAGTGTCATTGTGGGCAACGGCGAGATCAAGCTGGTGAGTGGGGCCAGAGGCCGCAGCTTTGCTGGGCCGTTCTTTCTCTGGGCGTTAGTGGGAGAGACGGGGGGGGACAGTGAGGCCCCGACGGGTGCAGGGGAAGAGCAGCCACAAGCACAGGTGGTCCAGCGGGGCCTGGCACACACAGCCGTGCTAAAGGGTACTGGGTACGGAAGCAATGGGGGTGTGCCTGGAGCAGGCTCTAGAGAGGGGGGCACGAGTCTGGAAGGACAGATGCCGTGTCTGTGGCCGCGAGGGGACCCGTCGGGGGGGGCTCAAGTGACCGCAGAAGGAAGTCATGTTGCTCATAGGGGAGAGGTCAGCGCTGAGTCTCTCAGTGCTCGTAGAGAATGTCGTGGGAGCTATGCCAGGTGACGCTGCCGAAGTGGCTCAGAAAACACCTGAGTCCGTGTAGGCCTGGGCGCGGGGACAGGCAGAGCGGAGGGATGAATCAGGATCCCCCACCCCAGAGGAGCCCCCTCCTTTCCCCCCCGCCAGCCGGTGGAGATCAGTGGGGCCATCGAGGAGGAGTTCACCGTGGCCCGACTCTACATCAGCAAGATCAAATCCGAGGTGAAGTCTGTGGTCAAGCGGTGCCGGCAGCTGGAGAACCTCCAGGTCGAATGTCACCGCAAGATGGAAGTGACGGGGCGGGAGCTCTCCTCCTGCCAGCTCCTCATCTCCCAGGTGCGTGGCCGAGGCCGAGAGCCCTTGGGTGCCGGGGAGACCATGTGTGACTCTGTGGTGGGCGATAAGACTCCGAGCACCCACATTTATGTCTAGGGCCTGGGGTCAACTGAAATCGAAGTCAGAAGAATTTGAGGTAGCAGGGGAGGGTCCAGGCCAGAGAAGTGAAGGTTCAGGGGTGTACTGCCCCTGAAGGGTGGCAAGGAAGGGCCCCGAGGAACGGCGCGGCAAAAGAGAAGGGCCGGGAGAAGTAGTTACGGGGGTTGGCACTGCCTGGAGTTGTGTCCTTTGTCACCTGTTGTCTTCCTCTCACCACCCTTCTCCCACCAGCATGAGGCCAAGATCCGCTCGCTTACGGAGTACATGCAGAGCGTGGAGCTGAAGAAGCGGCACCTGGAGGAGTCCTACGACTCCCTGAGCGACGAGCTGGCCAAGCTCCAGGCCCAGGGTGAGCCTTCTTCACCCCCCGCCCAGCTGTCTACGCATGTGCTGCGCGGCAGGCTTTTGCATGACTTCCTACATGAACCGTAACCCTCCATTGCTCTCTGCCCCTCCTGAATCATAGCGGATGTCCCAACCCAGAGCCATCCCTGTGAGAACATTCTGGGCAGCTGTCCCCTGCCCTGCCCAGAGCTTTGGTCACCGGGGAAGTGCTTTCTGGATGAGGCAGGGGTCATATAAGCTGTCCCTCCCTTCTTTCCCTCAGAAACTGTGCAGGAAGTCGCCCTCAAGGACAAGGAGCCAGACACGCAGGATGCAGATGAAGTGAAAGTGAGTGGACAGGTGCGGGGGACGGGTAGGGCTCTGCTGCCCTCACTGGCTGGTGTCTGGATGTCCAGCTTCGAGCTCGGGGGCGGGGTTATTACAGAAGGCCCTGGAGCTGCAGATGGAGACTCACCGGGAGGCACATCACCGGCAGCTGGCCCGGCTCAGGGATGAGATCAATGAGAAGCAGAAGACCATCGATGAACTGAGAGAGTAAGCATCCCCGCGGGCAGCTCCCCGCGGCACCTCCTGGGCATCCTCCCTCCTCGCGCTGTGCTGTGTCCACTTGCATGCTCGCTCTTCACAGCCCAACTCCAGGCGGTGCAGGAGTAAGGACGAGGCCCCATCCTCGAGGCTTCGCGACTGCTCGGAGCCTGAGGCCTGAGGGGGCTGCTGAGACCGGAGGGAGCTGCAGCAAGGCTGCCGGGACTCACCTGCATCACAGGGGAAAGTCTGAGGAGCTGCTCTCCCCCCGCCCCTATTAACATCTTTCTTCCTCTCCGTGTCTTCCTTGCTCTCCGCAGCCTGAACCAGAAGCTGCAGCTGGAGCTGGAGAAGCTCCAGGCCGACTACGAGAAGCTGAAGAGTGAAGAGCACGAGAAGAGCACCAAGCTCCAGGAGCTGACGTGAGTGGCCGGGCCACCTGCTGACACTGACCTGTAGCCACAATGCCGCCCTCCCTACCCCCCCCCCACCCCGCCCCGCCGCTGCTTCTCAGACTGGCAGCAGAGGCAGGCCCCAGGATAGATGTGGATTGGTGACCACAGGAAACAGATTCTGCCAAAGGACAATTTGATGGGGTGGGGAGCGAAAAAAGAGCTTCCAGAAGTGACCTTGTTGAGTATTATTATTATTTTTTTAAGGATTTATTTATTTATGCATACAAGAACTGGGGTGCAGGCCAGAGGTGCAGTGGGTAGGAGGATTCACCAGAGTCAGAGTGGGGAGCAGAACAGGTGGATTGACTGAAATCCACTGCTGAGGGGAGCAGCAGGGAGACAGAGGTCTGCTGTGCCATGTGGGTCACCTCCCTGGCCGGGGATGGAACTCGTGCTGCAGTGGCTGCGGACATCTTCACAGCTGAGACTTAACCCCTTGCGCCACCAAGGAGGCCCTGACCTCGTTGAGTATTAGCTGACATGGAATGGCTTTGTGATGTTCTGTCAAGTGTAAAAGGCAGGTCGCAAAGCAGTGGGTATGTTATAACCCCAGGGGGTTGTAGGGGATGCGCGGGGTGGAGAGAGTACGGAAAGACGGACACCAGCGTGTTGATGGTGACGTGATCACAGTAGTGGAATCGTGAACTTTACGTGAAACTTGTCTAACTTGCCTTTCTTTTTCTTTTCTAATTTCTAATGTCTATAGTGAACATGAGTAGGTTGTATAATAAATGAATCACAAAATATGGATAAAAGAAATGGAGAAGCAGGAAAGAGAGTTCTGTTTTCCTTTTCTTCCAGATTTCTGTACGAGCGACACGAGCAGTCCAAGCAGGACCTCAAGGGCCTGGAGGAGACAGTTGTAAGTGGTTTCCTTCTGTGCCAAGTAGCAGGGCTGGCTGGGGGTGGGGGGGTGTCTTCCTTTCTCCCCCCTGATTGCTTTCTAAGCCCACTCCTCCGGCCCTCTGCCAAGGCAGTGAGTGGCTGAATCAGGACACATGTTTTCCTAAAGGATGCGTGCGTGACTCACCTGACTAGACAGACTGAAAGTTCCAGTAGTTTTGGAGGGAGGAGCTGAGCTGGTTTTGCCCGTCCCCATTTGTCATCATTCTTCCAGGCCCGGGAACTCCAGACCCTCCACAACCTTCGCAAGCTGTTCGTTCAAGACGTCACGACTCGAGTCAAGAAAGTGAGTGCCGCCCTCAGGGCCTTCCGCGCCTGTGGTCTGTCCCTTCCTTGCTGCAGGGCGCCTAGCCAGGCTGGCTCGGTCTGTCTGGGCAGGACCCTTGTCCCTCAGCCCAGCCGCGCCTTTCTCTCTGTCTCTAAGCAGAGTGCAGAAATGGAGCCCGAGGATAGTGGGGGGATTCACTCCCAAAAGCAGAAGATTTCCTTTCTTGAGAACAACCTGGAGCAGCTTACAAAGGTTCACAAACAGGTAAAAGTGGGGAAGGGGTGCAGAAAAGGCTTGGGGCCAGGTGCCAGGATACCAAATCCTTGGAGGCCCCTCGGATTTAGGAAAACCTTCCTGCATGTCTTCCTTGTGTTCCCCATGGAACCCCGCTTTATACTATACTTGGGTCCGCTTTTACCTTGTTCTTTGTTCCCCGGCCTATTTCCCCTTCTCCAAGCTCCCGACCTGCATCTGCTCAGAGTTGAATTCCCCAGGCCTGTGTAGTTGGAGGGAGAGGTTGAAAGTGAAAGAGGCGTCATAGACCTGGGCTCATACCTGCAACGGGGGATACTGGTCAGGCTTAGTCAGAGGCAGAAAGCCGTGAGGCAGGGAGCAGCCAGGGAAGTTGGGCTTTCGCCCGTGGAGAGAACTCCATCTGCCTAGGCCTGGGGCGGCCTGCAGGGAAAGTCAGTGAGTCCTCCAGATGGCCCAGCCAGCCCCCGCTCGGGGCACTCCAAGCTGGTGTGTATTAAGTCGCTGCCTCTGTCCCCTCCTTGCTGCTGCGGCTCCCTAGGTGGATGACTGGGTTTCAAAGGTATGGGGGGCAGGCCGGAGGGGCAGTCCTAGGAGTCAGGACAGGAAATGTTTGGTGCATACAGAGCAGGAGCACCCTGAGAGCGCCGGACAGCTCAGCCTGAAGACGCAGGCGACAGTCTGTCAACCGGCTGCTTTATCTGGTTCATGAAGTCAGCCCTAACCTTGGCTTCCTTCCCTTTCAGACCTACCTTAAGATTCTGTTTAAACTCACAGTCTCAATAAACGAAAGTTTAAATTTTTTTCTTCCCAGAACAGTAAATACTCAGTACATCTTTTTTTTTTTTCCCTTTTTAATAATGAAGAAAATCCCAGAGTTGTGTCCAGGGATGGTCTGCAGGCTTTCTTGACTTTATCTGGGCCTGCAGAAGCCTTCGCTGCCATCTCTTCCCCTTTGCTTATGAAATTGTAACGGCGTCCAGAGAAGTTGAAGGACAGGGAAGAAAACATTGTGATGAGTTCTGCCTTCTTTTTTTTTTTTTAAGGATTTTTTTTTTTTTTTTTAATACAAGAGCTGGGGTACAGGCCAGAGGCTGGAGGGTGAGAGAACAGACAGATTGACTGAAGTACACTGCTGAGGGGAGTAGCAGGCGAGACAGGAGAAGTTTGTGGCGCCATGTGGGATTCTTGCCGGCCGGCCGGGATCGAACCCACCCTGCAGAGGCTGCGGACAGCTTCACAGCGCTGCACTCAACCCGCTGCGCCACCGGGGAGGCCCTCTGCCTTCTTTTTAATTTCTGTGTTCATGTTCTTTTTCCATCCAAATGCATGTTATATAACTTTTACCCCAACTTTTGTGTTGTGGTAAAATACACAAAATGTAACCTTTACCACCTTAATATTTTTTTTTACCACCTTAAGTCACTTCAAGTGCACAGTTGAGTGTTGTTTGGTCTGTTTATGATCTTGTGTAACTTCACCACCATCTACTCCCTCATTCTTCTTCTAAAACCAAAACTCTTTACCCATTAAACAATAGCTCCTTATCGCCGGTACACCAGCCTCTGGCAGCTACCATTCTATAGGACAGGGACTCTTCATGTCTTATCTCAGTAGACACAAGACTGGAAAGGAGAGCAAGAGATAAGCTCAGTTAAACAGAATCTTCAGGGGCCTCCCTCTTGGCGCAAGGGGTTACAGCGCCATCAAGCTATTGGCAGCCTCTGCAGCATGAGTTCGATCCCCAGCCAGGGTGCTACCCACATGGTGCAGCAGACCTCTCCTGTCTCCCTGCTGCTCCCCTCAGCAGTGTGTTTCAGTTGATCTGCCTGTTCTGGTCCCCACTCTGTCTCTGGTGAATCCTCTCACCCGTATACCTCTGGCCTACAACCCAGCTCTTGCGTGCATAAAGAAATAAATCTTTAAAAAAAAAAAAAAAAAGGAAATAGAATCTTTGTAGCCAAGACCGCCATCCTATTACAAATTAAGCTAAACTGTTGTCACAGAAAAACCCTGTTTCTAATCTGCAGATTGTCCAAAATTAAAGTGTTTCTAGCCCTACCTCCACCCCACCCCTGCTATACCGATTTCCCCGACGTCTCCCAAGGCCAGCTCCTTTTGCAATCTCTGGTGCCACCTGTCCTGGGGTAACCCTGTGAAAGATCAGCACGTCTTTCTGGCTGCCTGGCGGTGCCGCCCTGCTCGAATTTAATCTAAATGGGAGTGGGGCAGCCCAGGAAGCCTGGGTAGTGCACACAGATGTCTGTGAGACCTCAAACATTTTCTTTCCTTTCTATGGGGCGCTGTGTGTATGTGAGGGGAGGGGATGGGGTGTATGTGAGGCGGGGTCCTGTTCTCCAGCTTCTGCTCCTGCTGTGCACCGCATCTCACTGCACCCAACGCCATATTCACCCTCCAACCTGCTGCTGTGCTCTCGCCGCCCACCCCTGCATGCCCATGTCTGGGTGAGGGGTGCTCATCCCCATGGTTGCCCTGGGCTGTTGATTTGGCACAAGTCGTGACAGCTGTGGGGCGTCTAAGCCAGGAGACTGGGGCAGGATGCTGTCACAGGGTTCTGAGCCGCAGTGTGGAGTTAGTCTGTTTTGCTGTCCAGAAAATGCTGTCACTTGTGAATGCCTGACCATGTTTGCTCAGGGAGAAGGAAAGAATGGGCTGGAAAGGCATATTAGGTGAAGGGACTGAGGCCTCGGGGAAATGAGGCCTCTGCCCCCTCTGACTGGATGTTCCCTTGTTCTCTCTCCGCGCCCCTTGGGCCTCTCCACGGCCTCCCCACTAGCTGGTACGTGACAATGCAGATCTGCGTTGTGAGCTTCCTAAACTGGAAAAACGACTTAGGGCTACGGCTGAGAGAGTTAAGGCCCTGGAGGGTGCACTGAAGGAGGCCAAGGAGGGCGCCATGAAGGACAAGCGCCGGTACCAGCAGGAGGTGGACCGCATCAAGGAGGCCGTGCGCTGCAAGAGCTCCGGCCGGCGGGGCCACTCTGCCCAGATTGGTGAGTGGCGTGGCTGACATGTTCCTCTGAGGAGACCCAGCAGATTCCCAGGTGTCTAGCGGCTAAGTGATTGCTTCTTCCCCGCTTCTCGTCCGTGTCAGCCCTCAAAAAGTACAGAAGTGAATTAACCTGTAGACAGCTCAGTTCACCTCCTGCCAAGTGGCCTCAGGGACTGCGGCGACTGCAGAGTCACCTCTTCATGGCCACTTCCCTTTCTTTACCACAGCGAAACCTGTCCGGCCCGGCCACTACCCAGCATCATCCCCTACGAATCCCTACGGCACCCGGAGCCCTGAGTGCATCAGTTACACCAACAGCCTGTTCCAGAACTACCAGAATTTGTACCTGCAGGCTCCGCCCAGCTCCGCCTCAGAGATGTAGTGAGTGACCATGGTGTGGGCTGCATCCAACACCGGGCTCCATGCACCTTATTCAGCGTGAGGTTGGGTCGAGTATTGGGTAAAACTGAAATCCTAAGTGATTTCATTTTAATCCCGTCTCAACTTCACGTCCGTGACCAGAAGGTGGGCATCTGCCCTCCCTGACCCATGTTGATCGTCCTCTGTCCTCTGGGAGTTGGGGGGCATCTCAGTGAGGGTGCATGGACTCTTCTGGTCTCAGAGTAATGGGTGGCGGGTGCAGAGGCTGCCTCTCTCCCCTCTCCATCCAGCTTTGCCAACTCCTGTGCCAGCAGTGGGGCCACATCTTCTGGCAGCCCCTTGGTCTCCTACCAGAAGGCCAACATGGACAACGGTGAGGGGAAAAAAATGGGTACTGGCCTTTGGGGTCCCCGGGGCAAGTTGAAAATATAAGCAGAGCAAATGATTCTGACCTGCAGCTCCACCACCAACCAGCCCCTCAGAGCTTGGACTTTCTCAAGCAGGTTCCTTTCCCCTGTCACCACCCCTGTCTTCCCTTCCCCGTTCCTCTCTTGTGTGGGGGCCAGGGAGGCGTCTTCTCAAACAGAATAATGATGCAGCTTGGTGTAGCCTAAGACAGAGTGCCATAGACCCAGGAGGCAGCTGTGCCCAAGTCTACCTTTTTTCTCTCCGGGATCAGGATGTGAGGGCTGGGGGTGACTGTTTCCAACACCCACTCTCCTTTTCCTCTTCGTTTTGTTCCGTGTTCTCGATGATGATCTCTCCAGGAAATGCCACAGATATCAACGATAATAGGTACAGCAGCCCCCCATCCCCTCACCCCCCACCCCCACCCTCACGTTCTCTGGGAGGGGCCAGAAGCAAATATTAAATTTCCCTCCCGCCTACTTAGAGCTTCCCCAGAGCCCTCAGGGCTAGAGAAGGAAATGAAAACCTCTCTCGCCATCACTGTCCTCCGGGGGCCGGGTCAGGCCCCTGCCTTGGTGCAGAGCACATCCTCTTTCCCCACTCCCGGTTCCAATTATGGGGGCTTGGGGGATCTCATGGGCATCTGATGGCCTGACCTTCTCTCCTCCCCTTGGGGACTTTGTGACCTTGGGCAAGTCCGCCCTGTCACTCTGGCCTTGACTGTCCCTGCACTCCTATGGCAATGGGTAGCCCCTGCCCTTCGCTGCCTCTCACGAGTGCTGGGACAGGCTCTCAGGCTGAGCGAGCTGTCATCCTGCCGGGTCTCTTCCTCCAGGAGTGACCTGCCCTGCGGCTATGAGGCTGAGGACCAGGCCAAGCTTTTCCCTCTTCACCAAGAGACGGCCGCCAGCTAATCCCCCTGCGGACTGCGGCAAACCTGCACTTTCAGGTACCTTCAGGCTGCATCCTCTCACCTGCCTCTTTTCTTGCCCTCAGCTTTTCTTTTCCCGCCTGTTTTTGTTTGTTTTTTGTTTTTGTTTTGTTCATCTCAAAACTTTTACTCCATATCGTTGTCCTGCTGTCCCTTTTCGGGGCCACATCTGTGCTGCCCTGTCGAGTGGACACTGGCCTCCCCTGCCCCCAGCGCCCTGGTTGGGGCCGCAGTGCTGCCCTCCTGCCGCTAGGGGTCACTGCCACGCCTCCTACATCGTGAGCAGGGTCGTGTCCATCTAGAGCGCTGGGTCAGAGGCAGTAGATGAGGGGCCTTGGGGGAGCATCAGGTGTAGACCCTTCACCTGAAAATGCTGTCAGTGGACAGGTGTTTTCTGAACTAAGACATCTCCAGCAAAGGAGATGCTTGCCTGATTTCTGCACGGTGTCCTGTACTCCTGTGTCACTAATAAGCTTTAGGAAATGCCCCGTGAAGTCTAATTCTTGGCTCCTCCTTCTGCTGGGTCCACACTCCCCTCTCATCCTGCAGTGTGGGTGGAGAATATCTCCAAGACCCCCTCCTCCACCTGTGTCCCCTGGTCCCTCCGCTAGCAGCTCAGGCACCCGCCCAGGCCTGTATGTCACCAGGCTCCTCGCTCTGTTTACCTTGGGGCCCTGAACTGGGAACCAGGACCTTGTTTTATTGTCCACTGTGGCCCCTTGGAGAACTAGAGATGAGAAAACATGGCCAGTCTCATCCTGGGCTGCATCCAAGCCAAGCCCTCTGCAGGGTTTTCCCGGGGAATCAGCCAGGCACATACAGCAGAAAGGCAAGAGCAGCCAGAAGCAAGGATGGGGGAGGAAGAGTTAGGGCAGGTCGGGTACGGCCTGGGGGTGGGGAGGGTGGCATCTAGTAGGTACTGGAACAGGAATAGGACTGTACACCTAAGTTTGTACAAATGCCGCCTGTTCCTGTTCAGTGGCTGGGGTGCAAGGCCGCTCCTCACAACCTCTTTCTCTTTCTTCCCCAGTTTCTAAGAGGGACTGAGGCCTCTTCTCAGCATGCTGCAAACCTGTGGTCTCTGATACTAACTCCCTCCCCAGCCCTGTTGTTCAACTGTACTATGTTTGTCTTCTCTTACTCTGTATCTCTTTGTACTCTGTATCTATATATCAAAAGCTGCTGCTATGTCTCTCTTTTCTCTGTCTTACTCCCTAAATATCTGATGACATATTTAGCAATTTCTGAGCATAGTACACCCTCCTCATTTAGGGCAGTAGGGAGGGGGGTGACTGTTTCTTCTTTCTCTATGGTATATGCGTCTCTCACACTGAGTGGTCTTAGTCACGGAGATGATAAAAGGAAAAACCGAAATTTGAGGCCTGTGATCCTTCACACACACACACACACACACACACACACACACACACACACAAAGCCTTAAGCAGAAGATGTCTTAGCAACATAAGAAGTATAGAAATAGACTCTTTCTCCCTCTCACATGTAGCCCAGGGGAGGGTAAGATGGAAGGACAGCAAAATTATACATAGAATTTTCTTCTTGCACCCGTCACCTGACCTGAGGGAGTCTGGGTGTGCACCTCTTTCCCTCTCCCCTTCTTGTTCTCCCCTGGACAACTGAGAACACGATTACTCAAGGGACCACTTCCCTTTTCCCTCAAAACTCCTTCTGATATTCTCTACCCCAGAGCTCATGACCAGAATCCAGAGTTGCTTTAAAATAGTTTGGAAAGTTGAGGCAGACCGCCCCAGCGGGCATTGGTCTCCTCTGTCCATGGTGACAGTTACGGACAGCACAGTTCAAAGGACTGCTTCCTTGGGGCTGGGGGGGTGAACAGGCTGGGAGACTCCTAAGGGTGTTTTTTGTTTGTTTATTTTTTTTTTTTTTTTTTGCCACAGCGGTGAGCTGGGCTCCTTTCTCTCCCATATTGGGCTGTGTGTTCTTCCCAACCTTTTGATTTGTGGGCTCCCAGCTCATTGGCAAAATATTTATTGTGAGGAGCCTTCCTTTCAAGCTGGAGCCTGACTTTCCCCCTGCTATATATTTAAAAAAAATTTTTTTGGCAGACTTCCTTCTATAATGTCCCATCTGGCATTAAGTGCACTTTAAAGACAGGGGCAGGACAGATTTCCCAGAGATGGAAGAACCCAAGGGGGGTGCTCTTTCCCCCACCTCCCCACCGGTCACTGACAGGACTGTTGGTTTGGTTTCTGAGTCCTTTCCTTCCACAGGTGCTAAGCTGGTTTCCCAGGTAACTGCAGGGGTGGAGAGTGAGAGTCCTAAGCCAGTCCAGATCAGCCAAGTGTGGTGCCCAGATAAGCCAGTGTTAACCTGGGCTGGAAGACCAGGGCAGCATGGCAACCCACCATCTAGCTTCTCAATCAGGAAAGAAAACTCGGAGTGAGTGCGAGCTGGCAGACACAGCCTGCACTGGCCTGAAGAAGGTCCCTTCTCTCTGTGTCTGTTGGGCCCCTCTTAGCAATTAAGGAAAAACGCAGGGAGAAAAAATACAAGGGGGGCTTTGAAGAAATCCAAGACAGTGATATTCAAACACTCCATGAACAAATCTTGTCTAGAAAGTGAGGCAGGCCTTTGCATTTTCCTTATTTCGTGGACAATGCTCCATGTGTTGAGGAGCCCCCGAAGAGTCACGAGAGACCCTGTGGAATCTAGTTTGAAACCCCCTGCTCTGAGGAAAGGAGCCGAGTCTGGCTCCCTGCCCTCAGCCCACAGCTCATAGCACAGAACCTTCGCTGTCTCCAGACCCAGCTGCAGAGGAAGAACCTTTGCACCTGTCAGCTCGTGCTCACCTTAGCCAGCCTGGCGTTTCAGGATCAAGTGGGGTTTATGTCATCTTGCCACCGAGCGATTCTTTCCAAACACTTAAGAAAATGTGAAGGTGTAGGGCAGAGGAGCGCAGGGACAGAGGGGCAGCCTTCTCCCGAGCAAGATGTAAGGGAAATGTATTCACTTACATAAATAAGAAACACACGCACAAGAGCCTTCGCCGGAAGGTTCCGTCGACATCCCCTCCTCCCCACCACCCCGCCGCATCCCTTTCAGAGAGCCAGGGTCGCAAGGGGCACCTGGCCTGCCCGCTCACATCTGCCAAAATGTTGCATGCCAGTGTGGAAGACAAAGCAAACTGCACAAACCCCAGTGTGTATTTGCTTGATGTACATAGATACCTTTAAAATAAAAGAAATTCAATGATGACTCTGTGGTGTTGTCAATCTCTACCCCTCCCCACTGTCATGCCCTGCCTTGCGTGTAATGTCATTAGACAGTGTGGCGTAGATCCTTCCAAATGTGTGCTGTGTATTTATACACAGGTTTTTTTCCTGCTTGGGTATCTTTTCATGTCGATATACGTTGATTTACTGTATTAAAAATATATATTTATATATACAGCTGACCCTTGAATAACATGGGTTTGGACTGGACTGTGTGGGTTCCTTAACACAGATTTTTTTTCAATAAGTACAGTCTGGGGCCTCCCCGGTGGCGGAGGGGTTGAGCGCTGGGTGGCAAAGCTGCCCGCAGCCTCTGCAGCACCGGTTCCATCCCCGGCTGCTCCCCGGCCACCGGAGGAGGGTCCCACATGGCGCGCAGACCTCTCCTGCCGCCCGCTGCTCCCCTCAGCAGTGTGCTTCGGTCCTTCTGCCTGCTCTGCTCCCCGCTCTGGCTCTGGTGAATTCTCTCACCCTCCCGCGCTTCTGACTGTACCCAGTGCTTGTATAAATAAGTAAAGAAAAAGAAAATAAATAAATAAGAGAAGCATAATGCATTAAAAAAAAAAAATAAGTACAGTCTGCCTCCCATATCTGCAGTTTTGTTAGGGGGAAAGGATGTCCTGAGATAATCTCATACAGGCTTTGTGGACGCCACCCCCACTCCAGACTAAAGCCATCAGGACATTGGGAAAGACAAATCCCATCACCACCAAGGGGAGGGTGGCTGGGACCTGAGGGTGGAGTTGGGCAGCCAGGTTGGATATAAAAACCAAACACGTGGGCCTTGCTCGCTCTCTGGCTCGCGATCGCTCGCCTCCTGGCTTCACCGCTCCTGGCTGGCGGCCAGCTCTCAGAGCGCCATTTTGGGATTCCTGATTGGCGGATCGGGTAGGACTCATTTAAAACTTTGTCTCCCACTTTTCTCCCAGAGCTGTACATTTCCTCATTTCCCCTTCCCTTGTAAATAAACCTTTTATTAACCTTTCACGTGTGCCTGCAGTAGAGCATTAATAAGTCCTTTTAAGCGCGCGGGTGAGGACCCACAGTCAGGCACCCCGTTTTGTATCGGGGTTGCTCTACAACAGTTTCTGCATCCACGGATTCAGCCACCCTTGTGTGTCTATTGGTTGTATCCTCTGACTTGGAACTGGGGGACACGGAGGGCCAACTGTTGGGCAGTTGAACATCAGTGGGCTTGCTGTCCTTGGGGGAAGGGGTGCTGAAACCAATCCTCTGCAATACCAAGGGATGACTATAATTAAATTGGGGGGTGAGTCAATAGTCACACAAACCTTTTCAATTGTATAGGAGTCAGTGGCCCCAGCCCCTGTGTTGCTCTAGGGTCATGTTCTTTTCCTAGATCTATGTTCTGATTGACTCAGCCATTCCACACTGGTGGACATCTATCTAGGTTGTTTGTAATTTTTAACAAAAAAATGTCCTCTTCATTTTTATCCCTCAATCTCAGCATCAGCTCTTCCCTCTCGGCTGCCTCTCCACCTCTCTCTTGACAAGAGCTCAATGCTCTTGTCCAAGGTCATCTGTTGCAGTCGCCCTCCTGGGAGCAAGTCTCTGTTTCCTCTGTTCAGACCACAAAGCTTCTGAGGTGAAAGAACCAACACAGTGGGGTAGCTGGAAGCAAAGAGGCTAGAAACCTGACAGGCTGTGTTGCTCCCGCTCCTTCTGTGTACCCCGCCTTAGTTTCCTCTCCCAGCCCTGGGACAACTAGTCTCTGCCTCATTCCTCAAGAGCCCACCCATCTCACTCTCCTGCCTTAGGCAACACCTTTGTCTGCTCTAAAGGGAAAATTAAGGTGATTAGTATGGAATTTTTCACCTCCCCCTCTCTCCCCACCAAATCTGCACAGCTCCCTTCCTCACTTCCCTTGTCTGGGCAAAATCAAGTCCTTTGTAGATCGTTCATTCTTGAGACACCCAGAAGCCAACACATAAAATAACTAAGAGTGACGCAGACTCGGGCAACTTGCATGTTCCTCGTTACCGTCGGTCTCAGCGATGACTTCACTTGCCCTTGTAAGGTCTCCCCGAAAAGTCTCTCCTTTACTTTGTGTTTTTATACAACTGACCATAACTTCTCTCTTACAACCTATTTTCCTAGAAAAATCCCAAGCTTCCCACCGGCTTCCTCACCCCCCCCCCCATTCTTCATTCCACATTGATCTGACTCTTGTTCTGCTGAAACTGCTTTTCCAAAGGTGACTGGTCACCAAACACAATGGGCACGTCTCTGTCCTTGTCTTGCTTTGCCGCTCCATGATACTGGACACTCATCTGCATTCTGTCCTCCTAGAAACTCAACACCTTTGGCTTTTGTGACTGCTCACCTGGTCTCCTTCTGTGGCACCTCTTCTCTATCTGCCCCACCGGCCTCCTAAAGGCTGGTCTAGACCAGGATTCAGCCCTTGGTTCTTGCTCCCAGTGAGATGTCTGCTACATCCTCAGATTGCACAATAATTAAATCTGGATCTCCATCCCAGCCCAGAACATTCTGCTGAGTTCTGGGCCGTATGTCCAGTTCTCCTCAGGTGCTCAAACAGGGCCCTGGATTCCAGAACCTTCCCTGCCCGGCGCGGGCTCCAGGCTCCTCCAGCCCCCCCGACCGACCAGGGCACCGCCTCGGGCGGCGGGCGCGGTCAGGCGGGGCTCGGGCGGCGCTCGCCTCGCAGTCGGGCCTCGGGCGGGCAGCGCCGTCAGGCTCCAAAGTCCTTTCGGGCAAACTCGCCTCCAGCGTCCCCGGGGAGGACTCGGGGATCCAGAAGCGCCTGCGGAATAAGCGCAGGAAGCGATTTAAGTCTGGACCTGCAAGGCCCGCCGCCCCAGACCCGCGGGGCGAGGAAGGAGCCCGGGGCTGCGCTCGGGCGGGCGGCTGCGCGACGCCGGGCAGGCCCGGGCGGCGGCGACCGCCGCGAGGGAGCCCCTGGGGGGACCCGGCCCGGCCGCCCGCAGCCCCGGGGAGCGCGGCCGGCCCCGCCCCGGCCCCGCCCCCCGACCCGCCCCCGGCCCCGCCCCGCCCGCCGCGCCGGCTCCCGACGGCCAGAGCAGGGGGCGGGGCCGGGGACTGGGCGGGGCCATACCGCCCCGCCCCCCGCGCGGGCCGGCCTCCGGTCACGTGAGCGCGGCGCAGGTGAGCAGCGCTTCCGGGGTCGGAGCCGCGATCGCTGCCGGCGCCGCTGCACTCGGCGGGGCGCGCGGGAGGCCATGGCGTCCTCTTCGGTCCCGCCGGCCACCGTACCGGCGGCGACGGCGGGCCCCGGGCCGGGCTTCGGCTTCGCCTCCAAAACCAAGAAGAAGCATTTCGTGCAGCAGAAGGTGAAGGTGTTCCGGGCGGCCGACCCGCTGGTGGGCGTGTTCCTGTGGGGCGTCGCCCACTCGGTGAGCCCCGGCCCCCGCCCCGCCGCCCCGGCCGAGCCCCGGCCCGGCCCCGGCCTCCTGCGTCCAGGCGCCGCGGCCCGAGTCCCGCGGCTGCCGCCCTTCCCCCGGCCGCCCTGCCCTGCCCTGCCCTGCCCGCCAGCCCCGGGGTCCCCCGCGTGCCTAGCCGCCCTGGACTTGGGGGGCTGTCTGCTCTCGTCGCCTCTGCCCTCGCCCTGAACGCCTTCCCGCTGGCCTCGCCTTCCCCGTCTGAAGTCCAGCTCCCTGTTTCCTTCCTGCCAGATTCAGCCCCAGCCCCGGGCCACGGAGACCGGCCAGGGCCCGGCCCCGGCGCGCAGACCGGCTGGGGCGGCCCCGGGCGGGGGCTGAGGCCTCCCGGGAGGAGTCCGCGTGCGGCAGGAGCGCGGGACGGTAGCTGGGTGAGGGGCTCGCCCACTTTTCTTTCAGGTTTGCTTCCCGGCTGCAGCCTTTCACTTTGGCACCTTGGTCCAGGCTTCCCAGACCTAACCCTGCTGCCCTGTCCCTTTCCAGAGTCCAGCGTTTCAGAGAAACGCCCCACCCCGAGCCTGGGGGTGCGCTTACCTGCATGTGCCCTTGGTTTTAACTGCATCCCTCTTTGATGTTACGTGAGGGTGGGTCGTTTTTGACGGAAGAGAGGGCTGAAATCTCCTCCTGGGCACACCGTGGCGGTGAACTTGAGAAGCAGGAACTGATGTGAAGTTATGGCCTGGGAATCAGGAGGAGGTCGGAAAGGCTAGTGCATCTTCTTTCCTGAGAATACCTTAAGTGAAGGAAACAGCCATTCCTTCCCTCAGTCTGGAGTGGGAGGGATGCAGTGACCTTGAATGTGGCAGGGAAGATTATAAATCACCTTCCTTGAGTTGTTACGGCAGGGGTGTGGAGATGAAGGGGGTACAGAAGAACACACGTTTTGTCATTTCTTAAAAAAGATTTATTTATTTATGCATACAAGAAACAGAGCGGGGGGTGGGGGGCGGTGAGCGGATTCACCAGAGTGGGGAGCAGACCTCGCTTGTCAAGTTCTTAATTTGTCGTTTAGAATGTTGTTTGGGCCCGTTTCCTCCCTTTTGCGTTTGTAGCTCTGTGCATTGCTCCCAGCTCACTGGGTGGTAATGTGAGCCTGGGGCACTTGGCTGGGCAGCCTGATGTAGACAGGGCTGCCTTTTCTACGTACCTGCCAGGTGACTCATCCTTCCCCGTGGAAAGCTTAACAAGGAGGGTTTTCCTTTGGCAGGGATTGGGGGTATTACACATAGGCCTGCCTCAGCTTCCCTAGGTATATATATTTGAGCTTCAGCACCCCACCCTCCAGCCAGCACACATTTACTTCAAGTGTCTGGAATGGAGAAATTGCTTGAACATATGTCTGTGATGATTCAGGCTGCTTAACAGCAGGTGGTGAAGAGGGGGCACGGAGAACTATTGCTGCATTTCAGGCTGCAATCTCAAGTGACTTTTTTTTTGTTCTGGAGGAATGTGTTCTGTCCTCCTTTTCTACTGAAAATGAGAGGAGCGGGTTTTATTGCAGTGTACAGAATTTAGGTTAGCTGCACGTTGTAACCTCCATCAAGTTCAAATAAGGCCAGGCCAGGCGTTGATTTATTCAGTTCACAAACACGGAGGCCCACTGTGTGCCCACTGTGTGCTAGCTGGACTCCTGAGAGATGCAGATGACTGGAAGTGGTCCTTGCCCTTGAAGAGCTCACAGTCTCGGTGGGGAATTTACATAAACTAGAGCTTGGAGTCATATGATAAGTGCGCTGCTGAAGGCAGGTGAAGATACTGTGGCAACACCGGGGAGAAGGCACATCTCCTCGGGATTTCGTAGTGCAGGAACTCCCTTTCCACCCTTTCCAGCCGGAATTAGACAGCTATTTCTGGGGTGAGGAGAGCATGTGATCCCTGCAGCTTTGGGGCTGTGGGTTGGCTTGACTCTGGTGAACAGACGCCTAATGAGCTCACATCCTCCACCTGCTTCCCTTCCCTCTGAAATCAGCTGCTCTTCCCTTGCCTGCCACCAGGCCGGTGGGCCCCTGAGCGGGGAACTGGGTCAGAGGCCTGGAAGGACTGGTCCTGCTTGTAAGGACATGGACTTTTCTCTCTCGTTGCCGGTGACCCCCTCCGAGTCCCATTAACTCTCTTGTGTACTTTAAAAATGCCTTTTGATTTGTTTTTAATGGAGCATGGAATTGTTTGTCTTGAACGTCTTGAGTCTGCTGAGGGTTGTTTTTTTTTTTTTTCTCTAGAATTTCTCACAGCTTTAAAAATAGTCCTGAGTCGCTTGCAGGGTTGGCCTAATATAAAACGACTGTTGTGAGCATGAAGGCCCACGGGGCGGGAGTGTGAGGGACTGTGTGTGAGGGTTGCTTTCTGCAGGCCGTCGTGGGCAGCAGAAGAGGGGGGCACATTCTCTTGAGCATTCTGTCAGGCATATGCAGAGCCATTGTTTTTAAAGGAATGAGGCTTGAGCTGCCTTTTTTCCGACTCTTGCCCAGACACAGTGTCTGAGTAGCTCTCCAGACCTCTACTCACCGCCTCCCGCTTCTCGCTTTGGTTTATCAGATCAATGAGCTCAGCCAGGTGCCTCCCCCCGTGATGCTGCTGCCGGATGACTTTAAGGCCAGCTCCAAGATCAAGGTCAACAATCACCTTTTCCACAGGTGGTAACCTCTGCCCTTCTCATGTCAACCTTCCTGGAACAGAATGATACATAATTTTTAAGAGTTAAGATTTAATGAGTTGAAGATTTTAGATTTAGAGGCAGCTTAAGAAGCTATATGGTCTAACCCGCCCAGTACAGAAATTCAGTATTGTACAAAGAAACCATTAAAATAATTTCCAATTCCCTGTACCCTTACATGTATGTCCTCGTCTCTCCTGGCAACTCCATGATATAAATACACTTAGGTGCCCTTACCATTAGTTTTTGATAAGGACTCCCTGAAAGAAATATCTCAAGTCCTCCTAGTAACAAAAGGGGCCGTTCAAAACGGTGACACCTATCGCCGGTTTTAGGATAGTACTGACTGGCTTGAGATTTGGGAGCAGCTGCTGTTTGGCTGGGCAGTACCTGTGGCTCAAGCTCCCTGAGCCACAGTCTCCCCTTTTATAAAATAGGAATAATGTCCCTTTAAAGGGTCTCATAAGAGTTTTATGAGAATCCAATAAGGTAATATGTGTGAAGGTACTTTTATAAACTGTCACGCCCTATACAGATGTGAGGTAATACTGTTACTTTGTTTTCTTACCTTGAAAACTCTTATTGCAGGGAAAATCTCCCCAGTCATTTCAAGTTCAAGGAGTACTGTCCTCAGGTCTTCAGGAACCTCCGTGATCGATTTGACATCGATGACCAGGATTACTTGGTAAGAGTCCGTTATGGCATGAGAGTAGTCGTCTCCCTCACAAATGGGAATGCTTGGGACAGCCATGTTTGAAGAAGTGAGAGCAGAAGACTGGGGAGCCCTCTTTGCTCATCCCTAGGGCTGTCCCTACGCCTCTAGTTCAGCCCTCGGTCCTCCCAGGCAAGGTGCGGAGCCCCATGAAGGCAGGCCTGGGGTGGCCTCAGCAGGCCCGGTGCGGACCTGCCTCTGGCTCTGCCCCTGGTGGGGCCAGTTGGAGTGTGTCCTCAGGCTCTGCCAGCAGGGAAGCCAGACTTGACCCCAGTGGGAGGATGTGTTGGCCACACAGAAGCTAATCCAACACCCGTGGCCCTCCCCAGGGTTGGGCTCTTTCCCAGGGAACCTCTGAAGGCAGCTGGGGTGTCGGACAAACTACGACTTGTTGTCTTGTCATGCATGTGTTATGGTGCTTGACTAGTCTTAGGATTTTGTGCCTGCGAATAGCCTGAAATGACTTAGGAAGCAGAGCAAAGGTGCCAGCGTTCTCTGGCAGGGACGAGGGCCAGCACCCCAAGACTGGAAGGAGGCCGAGGGGGCGGCTGCCTGGGAAGAACACCAGTGCGCCCTCTTTGCCCCAGCTCTCCCCCTGTGCTGTTCTGTATTTTCCCACCGGCCTCAGTCACCAGCTATGGATGCCTGCTTCTTCCAGAGGAATAAAGCTCGTTTCTAGTTTATGTTTAAAAAACAAAAATAAGCAAGAGTCTTGGAAAGTATGATTCTTTACTGTGTTGTAATCACAGTCATCCTCAGAAATCTGTTGGAAGCTATAAAACCTATCCTTGAGGGAAAAAATGTAGATACGTTTAAAGTGTTGCTTTCGATTTTATTTATTCCATATTTGGACATTAGCTTAAGAACCTCTGCTCAGCCATTATCCTGTGGCTTGCCTCTCCGTATCAAGGGAGAGGAAAGAGCCTCGGCCTGCTCTGTGTCCCCAGGTGTCCCTTACCCGAAGCCCGCCGAGTGAGAGTGAAGGCAGTGATGGGCGTTTCCTTATCTCGTATGATCGGACGCTGGTCATCAAAGAAGTATCCAGTGAGGACATTGCTGATATGCATAGCAACCTCTCCAACTACCACCAGGTCAGGCCTCGCGCTAGCCTCCTCCTTTCCCTCCCTTTCCTACTGACAGCTCAGCTGCCAGAGCGCGCGGGGAGACTTCGATCCCTTTCCATCCCTCGGGCCCATTTTGCTTCCCAAGAAGCATTTGACGCCATGTTTTTGAAGCTAGGAATTTTTTAAAAAGGGCTTCTCCATACCTACTTGAGTTTGACTAAATGGAAGAATTTAGATGTCTTCTTTCCCATTTGGTACTAGAACTGCTGGGGATTGATACATAAAGGCCCATATGTAGCAAAATATAAACTATAGACTAAGTTAGAATTGGGTGAAGTGTTCATACCACATAAACTATCAGGAATAAAAGGAAGTTTGGGGAGAAAATCGGGATAAAGTGGACAGTTGGGATAAATTACAGGGAGAAGCCATGGTCACATCCTGCCCGAGTGGTGGTAGGGAGCTCTTATGTCTGATCAAATGAACTTGGAATGTGGAATTCCTCGAATATTTTGGTGGTTAAAACACTCCCTGCATGTCTTTCTACTAAAGAAAAACCTCTCCAAGATCAATGAGCAAGGAGTAAATGACAGATCTAAGTAGAGTCTTTGTTTCTACAACAAATACTGAATGTCTGTTGTTGGTGGGGAAAAGGGGAGAGAAGCAGTCATCGCCCTTGAGAACCTCGGTTTACTGGCAGAGACCAGGCAACCAGTTCAGCCCACAGCAAGGTGCAGAGTGCCCTGGCTGTGTAGAGAAAGAGCACCCCAGCTCACCTGGGGAAAGAGGTACACTGGGAAGGCTCAAAGAGGGTTGTTTTTTGTTTGAGAGAGGGTATGGGAGAGATGATACTTGAGCGACTAGTAGGTGCTAACCATGGGACGGGGTGGAGGAGAACAATCTAGGCTAGGGATGACACCGCTTGGAAAGGCACAGACAGAGCCGTGAGAGAGCTTGGTGCCAGGCAGCTGGAGGAAACTCAGTGTGGCTGGGATGTGGTCTCGTGGAAATAATTAGGGAGGAGCCAGATTGTGAAAGGTTTTGTAAGCCCCACAGAGAAGTTTGGGCTTTTTGCTGAAGATGGTGTGCAGGGGAGTCACATAGGCGTTATTGAGTAATAGTCCATGTGACAGTAATGTAGAGAATGCTTTGGAGGGGGAAATTCTGTGAGAGGAGCTATCAGTTAGGAGGTAATCTAGGTGAGACATGACTGGACCCTCCAGCAGCGATGACAGTGGAGATGGGAAGGAAGACCTTTGGGAGAGTTGTGGAAATTAAGGCAAATTCCAGGTTAGGGACAGCAGGGTGCCTACTTACCAGCAGCCAGGAAGCAGACAAAAACAGGTGTTGGGGGACGACACTCTGACTTAGACATGTTGAGCTGGGGTTTCTGCAGATCGCCCAGATATAGAGACCCAGTAAGTGGTTGGGCTGTGGATTAGCCTTAGGAGTCTAGATTTCATAGTTATGAGAATAGAGGATAACTAGAGCTGATAGATGATAATAGGTGAGATGATTGAAGGGAAGCGAGAGCAGAATCTAGAGGAGCAAGGAGAAAAACGAGCCCCTACAGGAGACCAAGAGTAGATGGATGTTTTTAATGTTTATGTCCTACTGCATTCTGCACAGGAGTTGACGCCGGAAAGAATTAGAAGAGGCGTCTGATGGGAGCGGAGGGGAAGAGGGCCTAGCGTTGAAATGCGACAGGGATTTGGATTTGGCGACCGAGAGATTTGGAGGAGGGCGTAGAGAATCCAGCGGAGGAATGAGGTGCATAAGTCTGATGTCATTGGTTTGCGGTAGGAATGAAAAATCAGTGGACCGGTCGCGGACTGGTCTCCTGAGAAGGCTGGCTGTGAAGAGGAGGAGGCAGCGATGCCGAGAGAGAGATGGTAGCATGAGGAGAGGAATGTTTTTTAAGAATCTGAAATACAGGCCACCATGCAACCGATTTTACTCTGGGAATCTGGTCCACCAGAAACACCAGTTTACATAAAACCCGAAATGAGACGGAATTTCTAATCCTGGTTCTGTGCCCATTTGCATACAAAGAGTCAAAAATAGTAGGCCAGCACCTCCATGCTCCGTCTCAGACGTTGTTCAGGGTGAGGCCGGAGGAGACGCTGCAGGTCTGCTTTAGACAGACAGAATAGACCCAAGGCGAGAGGGTTCAGAAGCTGCATGGATAGCCAGGGTGGTCTCTGGCGACCGCCCACCACGTCTGCTGGAAGCTCCCGGGCCCAGGCTGGAGTGGCAGTGCTGGAACTGCATTCCATCCCTGGGCCTTGGCGTGTGTTGCTCAGCCCCTCACGTTCCTTCCTCTCTCGCACCTCAGTACATCGTGAAGTGCCACGGTAAGACGCTACTGCCCCAGTTCCTGGGCATGTACCGAGTGAGCGTGGACAACGAGGACAGCTACATGCTTGTGATGCGCAACATGTTCAGCCACCGGCTCCCTGTGCACAGAAAGTACGACCTCAAGGTGAGGAGAGGGCCGCTGGCCCTGAGCGGGAGACTCCTGGGCCTCGGAGCGGAAGGGCCTGGGAAGGCCCTAGGTGGTTCGCTGGAAAGGAAAGAAGGCCTCGGGCCTGAGGGCATCTTGGGGGCGGAGTTCTGACTGGTCTTTTAGCCACTGCTGACTTGGTCTTTGGTCTCTCCACAGGGCTCCCTCGTGTCCCGGGAAGCCAGCAATAAGGAAAAGGTGATACTAACTTTAGGTGACAGGGTGAGGGATGGGGGTGAAAGAGCTCTTCCTAGGAGAAAAAGGTAGGGGTCACCAGCCGTTTATCCTTACCTTAAAGTGCCAGAGTGAAGAGAGACCTGTTTGCACGGAGCACCGGGAACCGGCCCTGGCACCAGCCCAGGTGCTCCGTGCGGAAGGAGGGTGCCAGGCCCCGAGGGCGCAGTGCTCGCCCTCTGCCTGCTATTCCGAGCCTTGTGTTCAGCCTTGTTTTTGCTTAAGGAGAAAGAAAAGTCAACACAGGGGGTCTTGCCTGAAAGCCATAAGCAGAAAGTGGTTGGGTGGGATTTGGGGAACAGCTGCAGTGACTGAGTCCGGGGAAGCGGCGGGAGGCGAGCGCACACGCTGGGCAGCAGCAACAATGAGCGTCTGAGGAGAGCCGGGCTGTCAGCCCCTCGCCGGCTCGGAGGCTCCTGAGGCGGAGCCCGAGACTAGAGGCAGGGAGTTGGAGCCCGGGGAGGTGGCTCAGTGGCCAACATGTCTCTGCCTTTCTCAGGTTAAAGATTTGCCCACCCTTAAGGATATGGACTTTCTCAACAAGAACCAGAAAGTTTATATTGGTGAAGAGGAGAAGAAGGCATTTCTGGAGAAGCTAAAGCGAGATGTGGAGGTGACGACTGGCGTAGGCTGGGAAGTGGCCGTGTCCCGGGAGGTTTTGCTCCCCCCAGAGCCGCTGTCTCTCCCAGTCACAGTCTGAGGGAACACCTGCTCCCTTTCCTTTATTTTTTGGGATCTCTGCATATACTGGAGTTGGGAAGCCCCCAAGAAGAGCTATGGAGAGGGTGGCTGGGATGAGCTGAAAGGATGAACTTAGAGCCCAGGACATTTAGGCTCTACAGGGCGATGGTAGACTCCCGGCCCTCAGCTCTTATGCCTTTCCCAGGAGGGCCCCGGAGTCCAGGGGTGGGGGTGTAGGGTGGGGCCCAGAGTGGGAGGGGGCCTTTGGGGTGTCTGATCAGTCAGTTTTGGCCTCAGTTTCTCGTGCAGCTGAAGATCATGGACTACAGCCTCCTGCTGGGTATCCACGATGTCGCTCAGGGTGCGGAGCCGGAGGAGGAGGGGCCTGCGCGTGAGGAGGAGCAGGAGGGGGACGGGGACTGTGGCCTGCCGGGCCCACCCCCGATGGTGGGCTCCTACAGCACCTCCCCGGAGGGAATTGGCGGCTACATCCATTCCCACCGGCCCCTTGGCCCTGGAGAGTTTGCCTCCTTCATTGATGTCTATGCCATCCGGAGTGCCGAGGGTGAGCGAGCCGGGGGAGGTGAGGGGTGGGCAGGGTTGCTCTTGGGGGACAGAGACCAAGGTGGAGGACAGAGAGCTGGTTCACAGAGCAGGTCTGACTGCTTCCTGGGGAGCAGGGTCGGAACTGTACTTGTCTTCATTGCTGGTCTCTCCCCAGGGGCCCCCCAGAAGGAGGTGTATTTCATGGGCCTCATTGACATCCTGACACAGTATGATGCCAAGAAGAAAGCAGCTCATGCAGCCAAGACTGTCAAGCATGGGGTGAGGGTTCCCCCAAGGCCTTTCCTGGCTTGACTTTGCCGTGGCTTTTCTAGGAGTCTCTGAGAGAGCCTCTTGTGCTGAGTAGGGGGTGGCGTGAGGGGCCGGCTGGGGAAAGGGGCTGGATGAGGACGGAGGGCGGGGAGTGGGAAGAGCCTGGGGTGACCTGATGGTGTTCCCACCTCATCTCACAGGCTGGGGCCGAGATCTCCACTGTCCACCCCGAGCAGTACGCCAAGCGGTTCCTGGATTTTATCACCAACATCTTTGCCTAACGACGGCGCGACTCCATGGGGACCGCCGCTTCGTTAGAGGGGGCGGGGTTCTGGGAGCGTGGGGCAAGGGTGGGTAGTCAGGCCACGACTGCTCTCCTTCCCCCTTTGCTAAATTCAGGCCGCAAGCCCCATGTGGCTCGAACCTGTTGAGCAGGCTCTCCCTGGCCCTTTTCCGCCTGGTCCGGATGTCTCCCTCTCCCCTCCCCGCCGAGTCTGCTTGTTTCAGCGGAGTGTTGCTGTCGACTCTCCCAAGTGCCTTGATCTTTGTCAGATGTCCTGTTCCGGTGACATAGGAGGAGCTGGGGGAGGGGCTGTTTGCCATCGTCAGGACCCGGCTGGACAGAGGACCTGCTCGGGCTCTACTCTGGATGCACTTTGCGGAGAGACTGGACTTCGCGGATAACTTCACGGGACTCCCAGCGGCGCCCCCTCTTCCCCGCGGGCCCCGGCCCAGGACTTCCACGACACTACAGCTGCGGGCACAGGCCTGCGCACAGACGGCCGCCCCGGGAGCCCTTCCGGGCTGGCACCTCATCGAGGGGGGCACCTAAGAGGACTCATGCTTATCCAGGGAGTTTTAGAAGGCCTTTGTCAAGGATTGCCTGTACTGCGGTCTCTGCTGTCACCCCACTTCTGGCTCCGCCCCTGTACTTCCCCCGGGCACAGCAGCCCAGTGATGAGCGGCCAGCCCAGGCCAAGGTGTTTGCCGCTGCTCTTCGCCAGCACCTGACACCCTTCCTGGGGCTGGAACCCTGCACGGCACAGGCCCGGTTCTGGAGGGTGGGCTGATGGGACAGGGTTTTAAGGCTCATTCCCCATCTTAGCCGCCCCTGAGCTTTTAGTCCCAGTAGAAGGGACTACCTCTGCCTGGCCCGGCCTGGTCATTCCCAAGTGTGGGAGCCCCCTCTGCTCCCCGCGGGTGTCCACCTAGCATCCATCCTGCCCTGACCCCTCCTCTGAGGCTTTTTCCAGTTGATCGGTTATTTTGTTCTCCTCCGTCCCATCTCACGCTGCTGCTGCTGCGTCTCCCAGGGACAGATGGCCGTCTTTGTCATCTTCACTCTCCGCCCCCAGAGGAGTCAGAGCCATCGCTCAGTCCCCCGGCGCCTCCAAGCCTGGTGGAGGTGATGTGCGAAAACCTCGGAACGCAGAGAACCCTGAGCCAGTGTCCCTCTCCCCTGCCCCAGTGCTTTCGGGGCTCGGGTGGCCCCTCTTCCGTCCCCCTGGCGGTGTCTTTTTTTTTCTTTTTTAACATGAAGATGTGTGCCAGCCAGTGACTTGTGGCCTGGACCGGCCTGTCTCACAAAAACGCATGAGATCATAAAGGAGAATCCTCTCCCGTCCATCTTCTCTGAAGGAAGTAAAGAGGAGCCCCCGTGTGGGCGTGGAGCCCTGCTGTCTCTCCCTGAGGGTCCCGGTGGATCTTTGTCATTCCAGCGTCTACCTGTCCCCTGTTGAATGCAATAAAACTGTGACACCAGCAACTGTTCTTTAGAAATGGGTTTTCTGACCATGTGGCTGATGCATCATGAGCGCTGTGGTCTTTGTCATTTGTTGCTTCTGTTTTTCATCATTTTTGTTTTATTAATTAAAAAAAAGATCTTGTATATTTACTCCCATTGCTTCACTATACAGAAAATAAATTATTGAATTAAAATTCTTTTACAGAAATGCCTCTTTCTTCCTCTCCCCCCTCCATTTTTTTTTTTTTTGAGGAGTCTGCTTGGGGTACGGAGACCAAGAGAATTCTGGGCTTTAAGATGCCGGGTCCCTTAACCAGGATGTGGGTTTCTAGACAGACTGTGACCCTAAAAGGTTGTGAGGGGCGTGCATGGGGATGGAAATTTATTTCCCCAACCTTGTGGAAGTTCAGGGGTAGGGAGTTCAGGGAACACAGATGAAATGACCCCTTCCTCCAGCGTCCTGGGCCTGATCACCCCCGCATCTGTAAAGGTGAGTGAGCCCCTGCACTTGAGCTAAAAAGAAGGAATTCAGAGTCCCCCCGGGCTTCCTGGGAAAGACAGGCTCAGCCTGCAAGGCAGGAAGAGCTTCAGGGCCTGGGAAAGTGAAGAGAAAGTGACGGGCCTCCCGGGGGACACAGGGGGACACAGGGCGGGGCTGGAGGAAGGGAGGCCGTGGCCAGTCTGGGAGATGCTGCTCAGCGGGCCCAGGGGGTCCCGGGGCTGGTGGAAAGACCAGGCTCGATGTGGCCCCAGGGGCGTGAGTGGGCCTGGAGGCTGGACGGCTCTGATGTGGGAAGCAGAAGGAGCAGAGCTTCCCCCCTCACCCCCACTTTGAGAGTTTTTAACTATTTGAACCTCAGACTTGCCCCACACAACGTCCCGCGACACCCCCTCCTGCCTCACCCCCACCCGCCACCCCTGCCCAGGACATTTTCTCAAAAAATGAGCTCCCTTGGCACTCTGCACCAGCCTCAGCAGCCCCGCGCGAGGACGCTGGGCGCTGACCAATGCCCTCCGGGAGCAGCCTGGGGGTCCCGGCAGGTAACAAGCGGGCTGAGGGCCGGGCGTGAGGTTGGTCCCGGGGGCTAATTTCCAGAACGAGCGCTTTTAAATGCCTGCTCTTCCCACCCTACATTGTTCCCCAAAGGCCCCTCTAGCATGAAGATCTCCAAAAAGATCCCCGCACCCCCCCCAACGTCTTCCCCGTCACCCCCACCCGCCACCAGCCCGGAGGCAGAGAGGGTCCCCCGCGCGCCCGGGCGCGCCTCCGGGGAGCCACCCCCCTCCCTCGGCTCCGCGACGCCACCCCCTCCCTCCAAAGACTGGGACGGCGCCTCCATTTTTGTTTTGGGGTGGAAGGGCAGGGGCTCGTGGGGAGAAGGGGGCAGAAGAAGCGGGGACGGGGGCAGGTGCTGTCCTCCCGCCTTCCCTGCCCCTCGGTCTGCACCCCCTGCAAATTGCCCCCCACCTTCTCGGGGTCTCCCCCCCCTTGTTGCTAAGGCCCAGACCGTCATCCCAGCAACAGCCTCAGTCATGTGACCGGCAATGGCGGCGCTGACGAGAGGTAGGTGAGCCCGGCGCCCCCCACACCCCCCGCGCGCCCCCCGGACCCCGCTCGCACCCCCCGCGCGCCCTCCGCTCCCACCTAAGCCCCCCTCCTCCGCCTCCTTGCCCCGCGCGCGGTGCCGGGACCCCCTCCACATCCCGCCGACCCCTTTTATCATCCGCCAGCCTTGGCCTCCATTTGGGGGTCCTGGGGACCGAGATCGGGCAGACGTGCACCCCCGCCCAGTGCTGGGGCTCCGGGGGCCCGGCGAGAGGGGGCTGTGGGAGCTGGTTCCGGGTCGAGTCCTGCAGATCCTTGGGGGAGGGGCGGAGCTGGCTCAGTGGATCCCCCGGGATCTCTGCCCTCCCGGCAGGGGGGCCCTCTCTGGAGTGAGGGACTGGCCCCGCGGCCGGCCAGCCGGGGTGCCCGGGAGGAATCAGGGACCCAGCACCGACTGTGGCCCCGCCTCCCTGTTCCGTGCCAGCGGGACCTGGAGCTAAGGACACCGAGGTCCTGGGTTCTCTGCCGGGAGGGCTGGGTTTTCCCCTCAGACGGCAGGAACCCGGGCTCTAGGGGTCGAGTTTCACTTTCTGAATGCGGGGGTGCATCTGGCCTTGAGGGGACTCTGATGGAGGCACAAAGGAGAGCTGCTCCCCTTTGGATCAGTCAAGAAATTGAGGTCACACTAATGGCCCCTCTTTCTATCAGCTGCATTCGGAGGTGCTGTAGAGACAGCCCGGTGGCGGAAACTGCCAAGACTAGGAACATTTCCCCTCGGCCCAGCCCCGTGGGAACCGCACCCCTCCCGAGTGCAGACGCGGACGGGGTGACCGGCCTCCGGGGTGCGGGGTCCTGAGATGACAGCGAGAACTTTGTTGCTGCAGGGGCTGCTGCCACTCCGTTGGCCTCCACGCTGACTTCAGCAGAGGGCCCGGGGCGGGCCGGGAAGGCTCCCTGAGCACAGCGGGGCCGCATGATCTGGGAGTGGGGAGCAGGGCAAGGAGTCTGGGGCCCAGGAAATATTCTTGTCCCCGGGATGGGAGGGAAGTAGCGAGGAAGATGGGAGGGAAGTAGCGAGGAAGACGTCCCCGCGGCGGACGGTCCCTCCCTGGCTGCTCGCGGCCGGGCTCAGCTCCTGAGAGCCGGAGGCGGGGGAGAGAAAGAGCAAAGGCAACGAACGTGTTGAAGTTTCTTCTTTGGCGGCTTGGCTTGGGGAGAGCCCGGGCTGCAGCTCCGCGGGACGCGGGAGAGGCAAGGGAAGGGAACTTCTGTTTGGTCTCTGGCCTGGCCGGGAAACCGGTGACATTCGCCATCATAAGCCTTTTTCTTCCTCCCTCCGGCCAGTCCCAGTCAGCTGAGTGTGGAATAGAGGGGTCCGCAGCCGGCATCTTCCATGGGCTTCCCAGGTATCTGCCTCCTGGGGGCACCCCAACTTTCACCATGAAGTGGGTTACCCCCATTTCATGCTCCAAGTCATGCCATGCCTAGTGACTCGTGCCAGGGTGCCGGCGGGCCCTGGGCCGCGGGGAGGGGCCTGCGGGAGTCAGGCACGGGGCGTCTCACCTCCTTCTCCTGTCCACCCGCCAGGTCACACAGCCTACAAGTAGGGACAGGGACAGAGCGCGCCTGCATGCCGATTCTAAGCTCCTCAGGATCCAAGTGAGTAAAAAGCAGGGTCAAGAAGTCTCCCTCCCCTCAAAGAACCCAGGTTTTGCCCAGAAGCGGGGAGGGCCGGGGAGGGCCGCAAAGCGGCTGTGATCTCGGGAGGAGCCTAAGGCCAACAAGACCGCCTCTTGCCTTCAATGCTCACAATCAGTCTAGCAACTTTCCTGCTCCCCAGTGGGGGCTGGGGTTTGAAAGATAAGAGGGCCCAGGACATGAGCTCAGGGGAGGGGCTGGGGCTGGAGCCGAGAGGGCAGAGGCCACATAAGGTTGCAAAGGAACCCGGAGTGGGAGGCACTGAGATTTGTCAAATGGGGACCCCCCACCCTGAGTCCCTTTCACCCTGGGGGCAGTGTCGTTCGTCCTGTCCAGAATGGCAGCCTGCGGAGGCACCTGCAAGAACAAGGTGACCGTGTCCAAGCCCGTGTGGGACTTCCTGAGCAAGGAGACGCCCGCGCGGCTGGCGCGGCTTCGGGAGGAGCACCGCGTGTCCATCCTCATCGACGGCGAGACTTCCGACATCTACGTTCTGCAGCTCTCCCCCCAGGGCCCTCCCCCGGCCGCCCCCAATGGGCTCTACCTGGCCCGCAAGGCCCTCAAGGGGCTGCTGAAAGAGGTGGAGAAAGAGCTGAAGAAAGCTCAGAGGCAGGGGGAGCTCATGGGCTGCCTGGCTCTGGGGGGTGGCGGGGAGCACCCTGAGCTGCACCGCCCGGGCCCACCCCCTCTCCGAGCAGCACCTCTCCTGCCCCCCGGGGCCCGGGGGCTGCCCCCGCCGCCCCCCCCGCTGCCCCCCCCTCTGCCTCCCCGGCTGCGGGAGGAGGCGGAAGAGCAGGAGAACACCTGCCCGATCTGCCTGGGCGAGATCCAGAACGCCAAGACCCTGGAGAAGTGCCGGCACTCCTTCTGCGAGGGCTGCATCACCCGCGCGCTGCAGGTGAAGAAGGCCTGCCCCATGTGCGGCCGCTTCTACGGGCAGCTGGTGGGCAACCAGCCCCAGAACGGGCGGATGCTGGTCTCCAAGGACGCCACGCTGCTCCTGCCCAGCTATGAGAAGTACGGCACCATTGTCATCCAGTACGTCTTCCCGCCCGGTGTCCAGGGGGTAAGACACGACGCCCGCCCTTGCCCTGACTGACCCTGCGCCGACCGGGCTCCTTCTCTGACCTGGGCCCGGGGAGGGTGAGTGCCCTTTCCCAGCGTGCCCTGGAGCCGGGGCGCCGGCTCCTCCCCTGCAGGCCCCACCACCCCGAGGCCCACCGGAAGCCACGGGCATGGACTACCCCTCCTTGATGACCTTGCCTGTGGGCAGCTGGCCCTGGCAGGGCAGGTCTGCAGAGAGGTGGCCCAGGTGCAGGCCGGCACAGCAGGAAGCGCTGACCCTCTGGCAGCTGGGAGTGTTCCTCCCCCAGATTCCTAAGACAGCAGAGGGGAGGGCGGAAGGGAAGCCGGGCGCCAAGAGCCTACAGGTGTCTTCCTGCCCGAGGGGGAGTAATTTCCATTTCCCGTCTGCAATGCCCCGAGCAAGGGCAAGAGGGAGATGGCAGCGCTTAGGCCGCGGCAGGAAGCCCGGGAGAGTTTCAGGTGGAGATGGGCAGGCCGAGCCATAAATTACTCCCAGCCCTCGCATTTCTGCTGAGTTATCTGGGGAGTAAGACCAGCCGCCGGCCATTACTCTGGAGAATCCATTTGTTGCTGAATTGAGACTTGAGGGCTGGAGACAGGGAAATAATCTCTTAACATTAAGAATTCTGCCCGGAAGCAGGCTCCTGCGGCCCGGCCCTGTCTCCTTCCCCGGAAGGCCGCCGCCCGCCGGCCCCAGGAGCATTAGCCATGGCCGCAGGCGGAGACGGCACCGCCCCTCTGCTGGCGTCCGGTGCTGTCCGCCCGCCTGCTCCCTGCCCACTCCGCTCTCCCTCCCGCCTAGGCCGAACACCCAAACCCCGGAGTTCGGTATCCGGGCACCACCCGGGTGGCCTACCTCCCGGACTGCCCGGAGGGCAACAAGGTGCTGACCCTGTTCCGCAAGGCGTTCGACCAGCGTCTCACCTTCACCATCGGCACGTCCATGACCACAGGGAGACCCAACGTCATCACCTGGAACGACATCCACCACAAGACCAGCTGCACAGGGGGCCCCCAGCTGTGCGACTCCTCTCCAGCCCGCCCGGCCCTTCCCCCTCCTCCATTTCCGCCAGGAACAGCATCACCCTCCCGCCTCTGGGGTCCTCTTAACTGGAGAGGGCCACCCCCAAACCACCCAGCCATCTCTCTCATCCCCGCTTCTCCTACCTTCCCCCCGGCCGACGGCAGAGCAGCCCGCAGAAATAAGCAGAATTGGGCTGAGTTAGCTTAGGCTGGGTGACCCCGAAGGGAGGGTGAAGGGAGCGGCCAGATGGGGCGCCCAGAGCGGGGTGAGCCTGAGGGTCCGCTGAGTCGGTCCCAACGGCTGATCCTGCCTCATTTCTCTCTGCTGCCAGGTTCGGGTACCCGGACCCCACCTACCTGACCCGGGTGCAGGAGGAGCTCAGAGCCAAGGGCATCACCGACGACTGAGGGACATCCCCTGGCCAGGCCCCCGCAGCTCGCCACTAGGACCCGACAGAAGCCTCTGTCCTCTCCTCTCCCTCTGCCCCCGCAGGGCACCGTCTGACTGGAGTTCAGAGGGGAGGGACAGTCCCGTCCCCTGTGCCCCACTGGCCAAGTGCTTCAGTGCAGTGTGAGCCGCTCCCTTCTGGCGAGCTGACCTCCCGGCTCTGCCCCCGCCCTGTACATACCCCGGCCCTGCCCCTCCGCTGCCCCGGGCTTGTTCTGGTGTGTGCTGTGCTCCGGTGACGAGGCTGAGAAAGGACCCGGGTCCGGAGGGGGGTCTCTTGAGCTCCCCACCCCGCGCGCTCCACCGCTGAACTTCGGGTGCAGGGGAGGGGGGCGGTCTGCGCGCCCCCTGCCCCGCGGGGCGGCTGCGTGTTCTCCTGAAGCCACCCCCTTCCACCTTGACCTTGTCCTTTCTCCCCCGTGTCTGTCTGTCAGTCTGTCTCCCGCTCTCCCCTGCCCCCTATAAAGGAGCCTCCGTACCCCGTTCTGGACTCGCTGCCAGACTGTAGCTTTTAATTTAATAAAAATAAAGTAAAATATGCAACTCTCTCTGCCACACCCGATCTTCTCCGCGGGCGGGGTGGGGGTGGGGTGGCGGGCCGGCCCAGCGGGGCGGGGGCGGCGCGCGGGCACCCCGGGGTGCCCCCCCCCCCCCGCTGCGGCCCGGTGGCCCGCGGAGGGGCCTGGCGGGGGCCTCGGCGGGGTCCGCGGGGGCCCCGCGGCGCCCCGGGTCACGCGCCCGCGCGGGCGTCGGGCGGGGGGGTGGGTCCGCGGCCGCGCTCGGGTTGCGAGGGAAGGAACCACCCTACCCCTCTGGAGAAGTTTGGCTGGGGTGGGAGTCGGGGCGGAGCCGGGCAGGGGGCGGATTCCGAGGCGGCAGCTGCTCCCCGGACGCGCGCAGGCCGCAGAGCCCCCCGGCTCCCGCGCCCCCTCGGTCCTGAGACTTGGAGCAGACTTGGGGTCCAGCATGAAGCCCCCGGATCGCCCGGCCCCTGGCCGCACCGACCGGATACTGGGGGTCATGGGGGGCATGCTGCGCGCATGCGCCCTACCCGGGCAGGAGGGGGTAAGAAAGGGGAACCGCCGGGGTGTCGGGGGTCTCCAGGGAGCTTCAGGGGAGCTGCCCCCCACAACTCACTTTACTCGCCCACAGGAACTCTGCGGGGCAGTTGCAGGAACGCAAGCGCTCCATTAGGAGGGCACTGGCCGCGTTCTGGGGGGCGGCCTCTCCCCTCGCCCGGGGCCCCTTTTCCGACAGTGGGTTTTGACAGGACGGGGCGCGAGCGCGGGCGGGCGGGCGGGCGGGCGCCTCACGGCCCTTCTGTCCACAGCCTCCGAAGAGAGCGCCGCTCGGGCTGGGGGGCACGGGGCCGGAGTCCGACTGCGCAGAGGGGGGCCAGCCCGGGCCCCGCGAGCCCGAGGTCCCCGCCTGGGCCGCGCCGCCGGGTAAGACGCGGGGCGGGGCGGGGCGGGGGCGCAGGTCGCCGCCGGCGCGAGGTGCCCCAGGACCTCTGCGCTGCTCTCGCTAGCGTGAAGGCTGGCACCCCACTTGCGGGACCCCCGTGTAGCCCGCGCGCGTCTCCTCGCCCTCCGGCCCCCGCGGGCGCCCCGCTCGGCCAGCCCCGAGCCCCGCGGGCGGAGTGTCCTGCGGGGGCCCCGCCCCTGGCCGCGCGCCAGCCGGGCTCGGCGACTTCGCCTTAATTGGCGATTAGCTTCGGCTGAGCCCTGGGCCCGGCGGAACCAAGGGTCCGGCGACAGGCGGCACCTGGGCAGCGCCCCCCGCCAGCAACTCCCCGCGCCCGCGCCCCCTACGGGGGCGGGGGGCCTCGTGCACCCCGCAGGGCCGGGGACGGCCCCCGCCCGGGACGTCCTCGAGGGCCCGAGGTCCCAGCCCCGGCCCTTCTCCTGCCCGAGCCCGAGGGGCGCCAGGCGGACCCCGGGGGACCGGCCCCCCGCGCTCCGCAGGCCGAGCCGCGGGGCCGGAGGGAGCGAGCGCGGGGCCGGGGCGCGGGGCCGGCGCGAGGGCGGAGGCGCGGGGACGCGGAGCGGGAACGCGGGGTGCCGGGGGGAGGGGAGCCGGGCGGGATCCCGGCTCGGGCGGGGGGGACCGGAGCGGGAGGGCGGAGCCGGCGCAGAGGCCCCTCCCCGCGCGGCCCCGCGGCCCGGCCTGTTATTCCGCGCGCCGCTCCGCCGGGACCCGCGCCGCGCCGGGGACTCGGGGGCCGGCCCGCCCCGCCCCCGCCGGGCCCAGGGCCGCCCCCCCGCCCCCCCCCACCGAGGCCGGAGCCGGAGCCGGAGCGCCCGCCGCAGCTCGGCGCAGCCGCCCCACCGCCCTGCCCGCCCGCCGGACCTCTGGACCCGCGGCCCGCACCCGCGCGGCGCCGGGCCACCCCCCCCACCCGGCCCGCCGCGCCCCTCCCGCGCGCCCCCGGCCCCCGCAGACCAGACCTCCGCCTCCCCTGGACGGCCCCCCCAGCTCCCTCCCTCCCCTCCTCCCCCAGCCTGGACCTGGGTCGGAGGGAGGGGGGGGTGTGCGCTCTGCGCCGTCCCCGCCCCGCCCCCCGTGACCCCCCCTGCATGGCCGGCCCGGGCGGGGGGTGCGGGGGGGCCCGGGCGCCATGCGGGGGGGGCACAAGGGGGGTCGCTGTGCCTGTCCCCGTGTGATCCGAAAAGTGCTGGCAAAATGCGGTTGCTGCTTCGCCCGGGGGGGACGTGGTGAGTGCGAGCCCCGGGGGCCAGGATTGAGGGGGGCGGGCTGGGGCGCCGGGACCCCTCTTCGCTCTGGCCCTGAGGAGTTGGGGGTTGGAGGCCGTACCCGTGTTTTCCAGGAAAGTTACTTAAGAGACGATCCCTAAGATCCCTTCTGCCTCCACGTTTCTGATAGTTCAACCTAAGGAGCCCGGCAAGGGCTGGGGGCTGCTCTCCTGTCCCCCGGGGTGTGAGATGACCCCACACCCCCTCAGGCCTCCGGCTGGCCTCGCCCCCCGGATCCTCCTGCCCGAGCATCCACTTTCTAGTCTGAAGAGGTGGTGGTGGAATGAAGGGGCCCGCAGGGACTTTTATCTCCAGGGGGGACTCCTGGCCAGGCCAGAGATAGCCCGAGGCGCTCCCCGCCAGCCCCCCTCCTGGGCTGGTGTGCTGGGGAGATGGCCTGAGGAAGACTTTTCTTTTTATAGTGATTCCTGCAGAGGGTGGAGGAGGGGTCTGGAGGTGGCAGATGGGCTCTTAGCTCCCCACTGCCCCCCTTTCTCAGGGAATGGTCTGTACCCATGGAAAGGGGAGGGCTGTTGGCGAGCAGATGGCCACCCCCAGCTTCTAATTCTGCCCAGATGGTTGCCCCCACCCTCATATCTGTGCGATGCTCATGGGGAAACCTCCACATGTAACTGGGGGTTCCACATAGCCCGGGGGGCCTGGTGTTTACCATTCTTCCTCCCAAGGAAGAAGGAAATTTTCTTCCCTGGCCAACTCAAAGGAGGACATCCAGAGAGTGAGCCCTGGGGGAGAGTAGGGACTCTGGGAGCTCCCTGAGAACCCAGAACCCCAAATCTAGAGCTGGAGCAATATCTATCACCCCCGTTCTCCCTCCCCCCACCCCATTAGAATCCTACTCCGTGGCTGGCAGTGAGGGAAGTATCTCCGCCTCTGCTGCCTCGGGCCTGGCTGCCCCCTCCGGCCCTAGCTCTGGTCTCAGCTCCGGCCCCTGTTCCCCGGGCCCCCCAGGGCCAGTCAGTGGCCTCAGAAGATGGTTGGATCATTCCAAACATTGTCTCAGCGTGGAAGCGGAAGCGGACAGTGGTCAAACCGGGCCGTGTGAGGTGAGCAAGGAGCCTCACGGAGGCGCTTGGAACATTCAGGAAAGACACTGGGGCAAGAGGGCAGGTGTTGTACCCCTGGCCACTGGGAGATGCTGCTGCTGTTTCTGACCTTGACACTTGACCTCACGCTCCCAGACCTGGATGCTGGAACCTACTCTAGCCAGCGGAGAGGAGCTGCCAGAACTGACCCTGTTGACCACCTTGTTGGAGGGCCCTGCGGAGAAGGCTGAGGTGAGCGGGAAGGGCCCGGGAAGGGCCCCGGAAGGCGCGCGTGGCCCTGGAGGCCCTCGTCTGCTCACCGTGGGCCGCTGTCTTCCAGCCTCCTGAGGAGGAGACGTCTTCCCAGGCCCCTGAGAGCGAGGAGGAGCAGCAGCAGAAGGCTCTGGAAAGGAGTATGTAAGTGTTCACATGTCCCACATCCCCGCCCCATGACAGACACCCGATGGACTGCCCCTCGCCGCTTAGATGGGAGACTAGGGATTTCCGGTTGGGCTTTTAGTCCAGGGGGCAGGACCTGGCGAAATCAGAGCCGCGCATCTGCTCTCCCCCTAGGTATGTGCTGCGTGAGCTGGTAGAGACCGAGAAAATGTACGTGGAAGACTTGGGGCAGATTGTGGAGGTAGCGCCGGTTCCCTGCCCAGTCCTGCCCACCCGCCCCCGGCCCAGGCCTGCCTTTAGGAAATGCCTTGGCGCCCCTTGGTCCTGCTCTCCCTGAACCCCCTGCACCGGGGCGTCTTAGGGAGGGGTTCCTGCCCAGGTGGACCTGCAGCCTCACGCTCGGCGCCCACCCCCGCGCAGGGCTACATGGCCACCATGGCTGCCCGGGGCGTCCCGGAGAGTCTTCGAGGCCGGGACAGGATAGTGTTTGGGAACGTGCAGCAGATCTACGAGTGGCATCGAGAGTAAGTGGCGGTGCCCTGAGGGGGGGCGGGCATAGATCTTCCCCCTGTGGCCTGAGGACGGGCCTCATGGGGCGCCCTAGGGGACAGAGCTCTAAATCGTTGGGGGTGCGGGAAACTGACCTGCCTCTCCCTGGCCGCCCCCCAGCTACTTCCTGCAGGAGTTGCAGCGCTGCCTGCTCGACCCTGATTGGCTGGCTCAGCTCTTCATCAAACACGTGAGGCTGGAGAGAGGGGGCCTGGGAGGGGGGCTGCGGGGCTTGGGGGGACCAGGGCTCTCCAGACCAGCCCTCTCCCTGCTCACCTGTCCTGCCCTGTCACGACCCCCTGTTAGGAGCGCCGGCTGCACATGTACGTCGTGTACTGTCAGAATAAGCCCAAGTCAGAGCACGTGGTGTCAGAATTTGGGGACAGCTACTTTGAGGTCAGTGGCGGAGGTGCGGGGGTCCGGGGGGGCCGCAGGACAGAAGTGACGAGAGCAGGCTCTCCCGGCCCCATGACCACCCTGTCCCTGTCCCCAGGAGCTCCGGCAGCAGCTGGGACACCGCCTGCAGCTCAGCGACCTGCTCATCAAGCCTGTGCAGAGGATCATGAAATACCAGTTGCTGCTCAAGGTCAGGGCCGCTGTCCCCGGACACCGCTGCGTGGGGCCGCCCTGGCCTCCCTATGTCCCCTTCCCGCTTCCTCAGCCGCTCTCCCTCCTGTTCCTTTCCCTGGGGATCTTCCCGTGCCCTCAGGACTGCCCCGAGCGTTTCTTCTCCACATCTTAGGATTTTCTCAAGTATTACCAGAGAGCTGGGATGGGTTCCGAAGAGCTGGAGGTAAGAGCCCGCAGCAGCCCCGGCTTTCCGAGTGCACCTTATCTTCTCAGTCCCCCGGGCCGGCCGCGCCTGGGCTGGGCGGGGAACTGTCTGGCTTCCCGAGGGGACGCGGGCTGAGGGCTGGACACGGTCTCCCGCGGCCGCTTCCCCGGCCGTGACGGTGTTTCTCTCCGCTGGGCCAGCAAGCCGTGGAGGTCATGTGCTTCGTGCCCAAGCGCTGCAACGACATGATGACCCTGGGGCGACTGCGGGGCTTCGAGGTACGGGCCGGGCAGGAGGCCGGGGGCCGGGAGCAGGAGGAGCAGAGTTGCTCCTGTTCTCTTCGCACGTCTTCTCAAGGCCACTGTCCTGCGCTTCCAGGGAAAACTAACCGCTCAGGGGAAGCTCTTGGGCCAGGACACTTTCTGGGTCACGGAGCCCGAGGCTGGCGGGCTGCTCTCTTCCCGCGGCCGAGAGAGGCGCGTCTTCCTCTTTGAGCAAATCGTCATCTTCAGCGAGGCCCTGGGCGGAGGGGCGCGCGGGGGCTCGCCGCCGGGATACGTGTATAAGAACAGCATCAAGGTGGGGCGCGGCCTCGCGGGAGGGGTCCGGCCCAGATGGTGTGAGGCCGCGGAGGGGACGTCTGGCTCTTGGATTTGTCGGAGGGGGCGGGCACCGAAGAGGGCCTGAAAAGTTTGGGGGCCGTCTCCTATCTGCCAACCCAGGTGAGCTGCCTAGGACTAGAGGGCAACCTCCAAGGTGACCCCTGCCGCTTTGCACTGACCTCCAGAGGGCCAGAGGGCGGGGTGCAGCGCTATGTCCTTCAGACCGCAGACCCTGCCGTCAGTCAGGCCTGGATGAAGCAAGTGGCTCAGATCCTGGAAAGCCAACGTGACTTTCTCAACGGTGACGCTCTCCCCGCCTCCCCCCACTTGCTCCCTCAGCCCTTTGACCTCCTGAATCCTCATGTCCAGGCTCTATACTCTCTGACCCTGGCTTATCCCCCCACCCCACCCCCTACTTTTCCACCTCCAGCTCAAAATTTGGCAACCCAGAATCCCTTAAGCTCTGAGACTTTACACCGACGGCCAGTCCTGGGGGGAGAGGGCAGCAAGACGGAGGCTGGCCTGAGCGGAGCCTCTGGGGCCAGGCCTGCCCCTGCTGTAACCCTCCTCCTGCCCTTCTCCTTGCTCCAGCGCTGCAGTCACCCATTGAGTACCAGAGACGGGAGAGCCAGACCAACAGCCTGGGGCGGCCAGGAGGGGCCGGGGTGGGGAGCCCTGGGAGGATTCGGCCCGGGGAGCGGGCCCAGGTCAGCGCACAGACACCCGTCAACGGCTCTCTCCCCTCCTTGCTGCTGTCGCCCAGAGGGGAAGTGTCCAGAGCCCCGCTGCTCCTGGATACACAGGTACGCCTCTGGGGATCCCTGGGGTGTTGGGAAAGAATGGGGGGGCCCTCTTGTTCCAGGACCCCTCCCCACCATGTTGTTCTTTCCTTCCACCACCTTCCTTTCATCTGCCCCTTCCTCTGTGCCCTGGCCTCCCTTGCCAGCTAGGCCCTGGGAGGAGCGCCGGGCACAGACAACCTAAGAATCTGTCTGGTCACTGGAGGTGGCTCGGGTGGGGGCGTGGGGGGGGCTTACACTGAAGAGACTGGAGCCAGGCTGGATTCCTCAACATTTCGATCCTCTGACTTGAGTCTCTCTTCAGGGTCTCAGCGACACCCCCCAGACTCCTCGTGACCCTCCTCCAGTTCCACCGATTCCAAACACCCCTCCCTGCCAGGCCAGACTCGCCAAGCTGGATGAAGATGAGCTGTAACCACGAAGGCCGCGGGGAGGTGCTGACTGCACCACTCTGTTCCCTGAGGAACTTCAGGGCTGTCCTCCCGGCACCTCCCAGGGCCCCCCGCCTTTGTCCGGAGGGTGGGCAAGGCTGGGAGCAGTGTCAGCCGGGAGAAGGTCCCTGGACCCGAAAGGACTTCTTTCTGCCCAAGGGCCCTGAGTTCCCTCACCTCCCACCCCGTGCATGCATCATCGGTCCCCCCAGAGGAAGCCGTGTGGGAGGGAGGGCGGGCTGGGGCGAGGGCCAGGGAGAGAGAACTGATTTTGCCTTTGATTTTGGTTTTTCTGTTTTCTGAGAATAAAGGTTTTGTCATATCACCCGGCTGCTGCCTCGGCAGAGGGAAGGGGAGGCTGGAGGGGGGGCGGGTGGCATGGTGTGGAGACCCGCTGGGCCCTCATGCCAGCTGTTCAGAGAGCGCGCTAGGCAAGGGAGACGGACTCGGCGTGAGGCTGAAGAAGATGCTGCTGTTTTTGTCCGGAAGCTGCAGCCGCCACATCTTCCTGTCTGGACCTGGGGCTCGGGGCCGCTGGAAAGCTCTAGGCCCTTGCTGTGGCTGCCCCTTCACGCCGGCCTTTCCCTTCCCTCCGGCCTCCGTTCTGGGCCCCACCGGAGGGCCCAGTGACTTCCCAGCCTCCCCCAGATTCTAAAGCCCTCAAATGCTCAACGTACCTTTCTTTCTGAGGTGCCCGTGATGGGCTGAGGGACAGCGGGGGGATGAAGAGACTCCCAGGGCTGCGGCCCCGTCCTGGCTCTGGGCTGCCTGGGCTGTCCTACGTCACGTCCGTGCTGGGCGACCAGGAATTCTCCAAGAGTAGTGATCCCAAGGGGTCCTCAGGCCTCCCTGACGCGGTCCCAGGGGCAGAAGCAGCCAGGCACGCAGGGAGCTGAGCCCAGATGCCCTGTCCTGGGTCCTTGGGCATCGGTGTGTCCACTGAGTGTCCCCTGGGCCCAGTCACGTGCGCTTGAGCTTCCTCCACAGACAATAGACCACTGGGGTGGGAGGTTGCCGAGGGGCTGGGGCCTCCCTGTGGGGCTGAGGTCCCTCTGGCCGACAATGGGGGGAGGGGCCTGTCAGGGGGGGACAGGACGTACAGCCCAGATAAGATTTCTGGGGAACAATAGGAGGAATTGAAGAAGGGAGACCCACCCTCACTGCACCCCACCCCCAGGACTTTGGGGTCAGGGACTGGGGACCAGCGGGTGATGAAGAAAGATGCTGAGGATCCTTGTGCGTGTTAGCAGGCAGGGGGCAAATAGAATTCTGGAGCCTAGAACCTTCGTATTTCTTGAGGGACTTAGGGGTACATGGAGTGGGTGGGTGACCCTTTTGCACTTAATTTAACCGCAAGTATGTTTGCCTATTTGTGAGTTTCTCTTGAACGTAACACATAGTGCTTCTGTGTTTGGGGCTTCTAAGAAATAAAAGAAAAACACCCTCTCAGCTCAGCATTTCCCCTGAGGCCCTGCACCGGGCATCTGAGGCGGCCACTCGGGCGAGGTGTGCGCAGGTCTGCCTCTCCTGCCCCATCCCTGCCCTCCTCAGTAGCTTGGGAGACTCCTGAGGCCAGTGGAGCCCTGACACTTTCTTGGGGCCAGTCATGCCCCGTGAGGATTTTGGAAGGCGGGGGTCCTTCTCTGGGGTGTGTAAGGGGCAGGAGAGGGTGGCGGTCTCAGGATGCACACTGCACCTCCTCCGGGAGACGGGCACATGCAGCTCTGGGGAGGAGAAGCGAATCTTCCAGAGCCGGCCTCTGTGTCTGTCCAAAGTGCAGGTGCCGAGACCTGGGAGTGAAGAGGCCAGTCATAGGCCTTAGGGGTGGGTGTTGGGTGCTGAGGGTGCTTGTCTATAGGCTTATCTCTCTGGTCCCTACACTTTTCCACAACAACCCCACAACAGGCTGCAGGGCGGGCAGTCCGGTCAAGGACGTCTGAGGAAACACCCACCAGACACACCCTCTCCCCGGGCCGCAGCCCTCTCCTGACAGCAGAAGGTCCCCAGGAGCAGCTCCCTGGGGCGGGGATTGGCCCCTGCTCTCGGAGGCGGGGCTCGGGGCTGGGGTGGCGGGCGGGCGGAGGGGTATTTAAGACTGGGAGGGGCTGGAGGCGGCCACGGGCACAATGAGTGGGGTCCTGGGCGCCAGGACCTGTCCAGGCCCGGGAGAGGCTTCTGACCTTAAGTACCCCCTGGGCGCCAAGCTCAGGGAACCGCTCACCGAGGCCCGGTTCCAGCAGCTCTTCGGGGGCGCGGAGCAGCCACCGGAGCTGCTGGCCGAGCGCGCCTGGCCCGGGCTGCGCGGGCCGTGGAGGCGGCGGGCCCGCGCGTGCTCCGGTCCGGGGGCGTGGCGGCTGCTGCTGGCGCGGCTGCCCCCCTGAAGTGGCTGCCCCGCTACCGCTGGCGGGCCTGGCTGCTCGGGGACGCGCTGGCGGGAGTGACCGTGGGCGTCGTGCACGTGCCCCAGGGTGAGCGAGCGCCCCATCGCCAGCCAGCCCGGGGAGGGGGGGCGGGACTCGGGGCTGGGGAGGCGCAGGGCTGCTGGGAATTGGGGGGCCAGCGAGAGGGGTGGTGTGGCTGGGACAGCGGCCGAGACCAAGCTCTGGACGAGGGCTGAGGCGCCCCACTAGCTCTCCCGCCCCGGGCCCGCATCTGCGCACGCCTGCAAGTGGCCCTGGACAGCTCCCGCTCAGGGGCCTGCCAAGGGGCACCCGCCTACCCCCCAGGACTCCCCGCCGCCTCCCACACAGTCCCGTGAACCCTCCAGTTCCCCCACGTGTCTCGCGCCCCGGTGCTGCCCTCGGAGTGTGCGGAGCGTGGGCCCCGGGCTGGGCACCCTCCCGCACCCCGCGCCCAGGGCCTGCCTCCGCCCCCCAGGCATGGCCTTCGCCCTTCTGACCTCGGTGCCGCCAGTCTTCGGGCTCTACACGTCCTTCTTCCCGGTCCTCATGTACACCCTGCTGGGCACTGGGCGACACCTCTCCACTGGTGAGTGTCCTGGGCGCCGCGGGCGCGCGCGGGGCGCTGGGGCTGCGTGTCCCCCCAACCCCCGCCCCCGCGCCGGGGGTGCCTGCGCCCCCGACCTAGCGGCGCCACGGGGTGGCTGGAGGCTGGAGTCTACTCGGACTTTTCGCTCCAAGAAATCTGGTTAAAATGAACACCCCCGCGCCTTGGAAGGGGGGGGGCGTAGAGGCAGGGTCCCCCAAAGAGTCACGGCCTCTGGAGCCGTGCAGGAGGGGACCGTGAGGCCCTGGGGGGGGCAATTCTTGCTGGCGTGCGCCCTCCTTTTCTCATGAGCCCAAGGTCTCCCCGAGTCTGCGCGCGGGGGGCGGGGGCGCCCCGGGGCACAGCCAGGCTCTCGGGTTTGCCCCCCGCGCTAGGAACCTTCGCGGCGCTCAGCCTCATGACGGGCGCGGCCGTGGAGCGGCTGGTGCCGGAGCCCCTCGGGGGCAACCTGAGCGGAACCGAGCGGGAGCACTTGGACGCCCGGCGGGTCGGGGCGGCCGCGGCGCTGGCCTTCGGGAGCGGGGCGCTCATGGTGAGGGGCGCCGGGGATCCCGCCGGGGCGCGGGGCCGGCCAGGGCAGCGGGAGCGGCGGGGCGCGGGGCGAGGAAGCCGCTCAGCGGCCTCTCCCCGCAGCTGGGCATGTTCGCGCTGCGGCTCGGCGTCCTGTCCACCTTCCTGGCCGAGCCCGTGGTCAAGGCGCTGACCAGCGGGGCCGCGCTGCACGTGCTCGTGTCCCAGCTGCCCAGCCTTTTGGGGCTGCCCCTCCCGCGGCAGGTCGGCTGCTTCGCCCTCTTCAAGGTGGGGTGAGGAACAGCGCGGGGCTTCCAAGAGGGAACCCCGAGAACGGGCGCGAGGGGGGAGCGCGTCTCGGCGGCGCGGGGCGGGGGTGAGGAAAGGTCGGAGCCAGCGTCCCAGCGGGCGAGGCCGCCGCCGAGGGGGAGCCCTGGCCGGGCGGGGAGGCCTGGCGGCGGCCGGGCGGCGCTCTCCGGGCAGCCCCCCAGGCCCTCGGCCCCCCTCCGCCCCCGCCCGCAGACGCTGGCCGCCGTGCTGACCGCGCTGCCCCAGAGCAGCCCCGCCGAGCTGGCCGTCTCCGCGCTCAGCCTGGCGCTGCTGGTGCCGGTCAAGGAGCTGAACGTGAGGTTCCGGGACAGACTGCCCACCCCCATCCCGGGCGAGATCGTCATGGTGAGCCCCCCGCCCCCCGCCGGCCCGCGGGAGCCCCGCTGCCGCCCCCTGGCGGACGCAGAGAGGTCGCAGGCGCGAGGGCCCCCCACCCCGTGTCGTCCCCCCAAACCACCCCCACCCCCGCCTCTGTCCCGGGCCTCCTCCTGGACACTTGGATCCTCGGGGCCCCCACCCCCGCGCCCCTCCTCTCTGGGCACACGTGGGGGGCTCCCAGGGTGCCTTCCCGTCCTCCAAGCGCCCCCGGCGGCCTCACTCGCGCCCCCAGCGCGCCCCCGCCCGACTGCGCGAGGCCCCGCGTCCCCGCGTCCCCATCGGGGCCCGCAGCCCCTCGGCTGCGCCGGCCTCCTTGGTTTGCGTGACTCCGTTTGACGCTCCGCGCCCCCAGGGGCCCGCCTGCTCCCGCGCCCTCAGGTGCTCCCCTTCCCAGGTGCTCCTGGCCTCCGCGCTCTGCTTCACCTCCTCGCTGGACTCGAGATACAACGTCCAGATAGTGGGGCTGCTGCCCGCGGGGTAAAGCGCTGAGAAGACGCCGGCTTTTCTCGCCCCACCCCCAGCGCCTCCTCTTGTCCTGCCCTGTGCACCCTGTTTCCTCTGTGTCCCCTAGATGCTGACGACACCCGGCCCCCCCTCCCATGGACCCCTGTCTCTCCAGATTTCCCCGCCCCCGCCTCCCCAGCCTGGCTGAGCTGCCCGGGATTCTGGCCGACGCGCTGCCCATGGCGCTGGTCACTTTCGCCGTGTCCGTCTCCCTGGCCTCCATCTACGCAGACAAGTACAGCTACGCTGTCGACTCCAACCAGGTGTGACCCCGAGCCCCCTCCTTCAGGAGACAGCCCCCGGGCCGAGGCCCCCATCCCTTGCCTTTGATCCCCTCCTCTCACACTGTCCCCCCAGGAGCTCTTGGCACACGGTGTCTCCAACCTCCTCTCGTCTCTCTTCTCTTGCTTCCCCAACTCGGCCACCTTGGCCACAACCAGCTTGCTAGTGGATGCTGGGGGCAACACACAGGTAAGAGCACCCCTGCAGGAGAAGGGGGTGGTGCTGGAGGCCGAGAACAGGTGGGAAAGTGGCAGATTCCGAGGTGTCCCCTACATGAAAGAGCTTGGGAATCTGTGACTGGGGGGGGGGAGGGGGTGGGTTTATCCTGGTAGGAGAGAGAAGAGAACAAAGTCCCACTGAGACCTTCGTAGATTCTGAGCCCTGAGAGAGTTTATGGTGGCCCGAATGTGGTTCCAAATAAAAACACAGCTGAACTCTAAGATAAATTAGGAAATTTTGATTTTTTTCTTCCCACAAGGACATTTTCCTTTAAAAAGAAATATCACATATCTAAGTCTCCCCCTAGTATTTTTGGTTTTCTTTACTTTGCTGGGGCCCTAATCATGTGGCTGGTCGGCCTTTAGGGTCACCCAACAGTGGCTTTTCAGATGGAGGTGGGCAAATTTGATGGAGGTGGGAAGTTGAATTAGATCTAGGGGAGACTGGTGACAGGCGTTTGGGGAAAGGCGGGGGTTGGTGTGACTGTCAGAGTAGCAAGAAGGGAGTTGGGCAGCGAGGGGACTCTGCAGGTGGGCACTTGGGAGGGGGGAGACTTCGGGGGGGGCAGGGCCGGCGGAGACCAGTCTTGCGCCAGTGTGAGGTTCCCTTCGTTCCTCGCTACCACCCCCTTGCCGCCCCCTCCCCCAGCTGGCAGGCCTCTTCTCCTGCGCTGTGGTCCTGTCGGTGATGCTGTGGCTGGGGCCCTTCTTCTACTACCTGCCCAAGGTAAGCAGCCAGACAGTGGGGGGGGGGGCGCGGAGGGTGGCCTTGTTCCAGGACCCTGGGATGGCCACTTGCCTTCTCTGCCCAAGGCCGTCCTGGCTTGCATCAACATCTCCAGCATGCGCCAGATGTTCTTCCAGATGCGGGAACTGCCACAGCTGTGGCGCATCAGTCGCCTGGACTTCGTGAGAAACGCAGCCTTCTCCCCAGACAGCCCCTCCCGTTCCCCGCACCCCCAGCCTCTGCCCTGGAGCAAAGCTAATTGTCCTGGTCCTAATGTTGTCACCCACCCGCACCCGGCGTGGGCACCTCCTCATCCCTGTGCTTGGAGGCAAGGTGGAGGGTGGCATTTGAACCCCTGAGACCTGAGTCCTCTAACTTGCTGACCCAGGTCTGGGGCCACTGCACGGCCTGTGTGTCCCTTGCTGGGCCAGCCCTGCTCCTCCCAGGTGTTATTCTCTCTCTCTGGGCCGTCCCTGCCCATCATCTGCCCGTTAGTTGCTCCAGAGCCCTCCCCTGGCAGCGATGATGCGGCCTTTCTTCGGGCACTTCATCCCCACCCATCCCGCAGGCTGTGTGGCTGGTCACCTGGGTGGCTATCGTGACCCTGAGCGTGGACCTGGGCCTGGCCGTGGGCGTGGTCTTCTCTATGATGACCGTGGTCTGCCGGACCCAGAGGTGGGAGCAGAGAAGGTGGGGAGGCGGGGAGAGGGGTGGGAGAGAAGGGGGGCCTGGAGGGGACGCTCCTGCCGGGCCAGGCTGGGAACCTGACCCAGCTCCCGCCCAGGGCGAAGTGCCTGGCACTGGGACTGGCCGAGGGGACGGAGCTCTACAGGCCGCTCAGAGAGAGCCGCAAGGTGGGTGAGCTACAGCCCCAGCAGGGGGGGCCATCGAGCCTCCGGCCCCTGACCCTCTGGCCCCTTAGCTGCTCCAGGTCCCGGGGCTCTGCATCCTGAGCTACCCCGCGCCGCTCTACTTCGGGACCCGAGGGCGGTTTCGCCGCGTCCTGGAGCAGCACCTGGGGCTGGGAGAAGGGCCAGGCCAGGTGAGGGCGCGGTTGGTGGGCACGGGGTGGGGGGGCGGCAGGTGGGTGCTAGGGGGGCAGAGCCCCGTGCTGGGGGCCTCTCATCCATGCCCGGGCCCAGTGGCGCCTGCTTCTCCCCTCCCAGGAGACTCTGAAGACGGACGGCCCGCCCGCGGCAGGTGAGACGGGAGGACAGGAAGGGCTACGTGGGCGTGACCCATGGAGGCCACTGGGCACTGCTGCCTTCTCCCACCCTAGCTGCGCCGCCAGTCAGAGCGCTGGTCCTGGACTGCGGAGGCGTCCCCTTCGCTGACGCTGCGGGGGCCAGAGAGGTGGTGCAGGTGAGGGAGCGAGCGGGTCGGTGCAGGACAAAGTCCCCTCCGCGCGTGGGAATCCTCTGATCGACCCCGCCCCACCCCTGCAGCTGGCCGGCAGGTGCCGAGAGGCGGGGATCCGCCTCCTCCTGGCTCAGTGCAACGGTGAGCGCGGGCGGGGGTGGGCCCGGGCGGGGGTGACCAGCAGCCGGGGGGCCGGGGCACAGCGCGGACCTGGGACCTGAAGCTGACCTCTCCGCACAGCCTCGGTGCTGGGCACCCTGACCCAGGCGGGACTGCTGAACAGAGTGACCCCAGAACAGCTGTTTGTGAGCGTGCAGGACGCAGCTGCTCACGCCCTGGACACGCTGGTAAGGGGGGGGGGCAAGTGGGACTGTGCCGCGGGCGGGGTCGTGGGAAGATCCAGGAGAGGGGCCTGGGAAGGGGGCTGAGGAGCAAGGGCCGGGAGGACATGATGAGCGGATTGAAGACTTGGTCAGGGAGCCTGGGCTCCGCCAGAGCGGAGAACAAAGAACCCAGCCCCCCGGGGAGGGGGGTGCCCCTCAGAGAACAGCTAAATCTTGGGGCACGGAGGGGGCACCCGGTCTATCCCTGATCTTGGGGCACAGAGGGGGCACCTGGTCTATCCCTGACATGTCCCCTCCCTCCTCAGGAGCTCACTGGCCCAAAGACTTGCACAGTGTGGGTCTGACCTGGTCACTTGGAGTGTGAAGGGCACAGGACGCGTGCGTGAGGGGGGCCGCGCCCCGGAGCCCGCTTACTTAGTGTGACTAATAAAATGAAGCTGAGAGCCGCTGGGGTGCATGAAGTGAGCCTGGGTGTCTGCGCATGGACCCCCTGGCGCCCCTTCCTCCATGCCCACAGCATTGCAGAGACACAACTAAAAATGTCTTTCACCCGTGTGTTCACCCCGACCCCCCTGCAGAGTCCCCAGTTCTCTCCCTGGGGTGGGCAGTGGACCCGGTGCGGAGTCTTGGCTCCAGAGACGGGGGAGGGGGCACAGCCCTGGAAATACATATTGGGGGCTCCTACCCCCTCAGTCCAAGGAGAAGAGAGGACGAGTGTTCTTAGAGTCCCCCTGGGCTCTTTGGCACTTGGAAAGGGACCCCCACTCCCTGCCCCTTGAGGAGGGGTGCTGCGGGGAGGACTTGGCACTGGCTGTGGGACAGTTATGGCTACGTCACACCCCTGGGCACTGGCAGAAGGAGGGGTGTCACCAGGACAAGCCCTGTTTGGGGTCAGGCTCTGAAGAGGATGAGAAGGGGAGGCGTCCGGGACAGGGCGCAGAGGGTCCCTGGGTGGCAGGGGTGGTGGGAAGCCCCGGGGGGACAGGGAGGCAGGTCCAGCCCGGCGGCGGGAGGCTGAGTGGCGTCACTCTGCGGTCATGCACTGCAGCCGGTGCTTGAAGAAGAGCAGGCGGTGTTTGGCCAGCAGACTCCCGTCCAGTGTCCCGGGGTACCGGTACCGGGCGTAGGTCTCCGCACTGGCGTCCCTTGACGTCCAAGGCAGCTTCAGCTTGGATGCGTGGTCCACCACGACGTCCGAGCAGGACCCCACCCGGAGGGAGCCAAGCCCGTCCAGGAAGAATTCTGTGGGGGGGAAGGGGAGTACAGGGAAGCATCTTGAGGGTCAATCCTTAAGGGGGGCCTCCCTGGTGGTGCAAGGGGTTAAGTCTCAGCAGCTATCAAGCTAGTGGTCAGGCCCCCGCCAGCCAGGGAGCTCCCCACATGGCGCCGCAGACCTCTCCTGTCTCCCCGCTGCGCCCCTCAGCAGTGGATTTCAGTGGATCCTCCCGCTCTGCTCCCCACTCTGTCTCTGGTGAATCCTTTCACCCCCCCACACCTCTGGCCTGTACCCCAGATCTTGTGTGCATAAATAAATAAATCTTAAAAAAAATAAAAAAAAATCCTTAAGGGGGCGCTGGGATTTGGGGTGTGCAGGACACCAAACAAAGACTCCATTTCTAAGGACTCTGGACACACCACTCTTTGGGGTCTTAATTTTGCTCTTGTGTAAAATGAGTCAATAAATTTATCTTGTGCTTTGAAAACAGACGACCCTCCCCTTGCCAACACACGCACACGCACACGCGCACACGCGCACACACGCAGAGGGTCAGTGAATGCCCAAAGCATGGCTGTAGGTGTGGTCCGGAGCAGGGAGCGCAGCTGAGAGCGGGGTGGGGTGGCGATCTCCCCTTGAACTTAAGGGGGGAGTTAGGTGGACCCCGAGCCTGTATGGGGTTCAGGCTCTCAAATGACGTGGGGGGCTCGGGAGCACCGGAGCGCAGGCTCCTGCCAGGCGCAGGTCTTGGGAACCCGTGTAAGCGGCCTAGGAGCCCCCGGGGGGGGCTTTGCGGGGGCTGGGCCGGGGCGAGCACCCCGCGACCTCGGGACCCCCCCAGCCCCGCCTCGCCCAGTGCCCCGCGGGGCTCCGCCGGGCCCGGCCGGGAGGGGGCGCACTCACCCAGGTGCGCCACGCGGCTGAGGCGCGGGTCGAAGCCGACCTCGCGCACCTTGTCGGTGCGCGCCAGGAAGAAGTTGACCACGCCGTCCGCGACCACGCAGCCCGGGAAGCCCGGCAGCTCGTGGTGGAAGCCGCGCCGCTGGCGGAAGCAGCTCCCGCGGCCGGGCGCGCCGGGCTCCACGCTCAGCAGGTGCCGGTAGGTGGTGGCGAAGCCCGAGATCTCGCGCACCGCGCCGCCCACCTGCGGGAGGGGCGCTCCGGGTCGCGGCCAGGCGGGGGCACCCGTGCCCGCCCCTCGCCGCCCCCCGGGCAAGACGGACGCTGCGGGCTCCTGCTCGTCCCCTCGGGCCGGCGGGTCTCCCCAGCGGGGGCCTAGCCCGGGCCCTCCCGGCCCCTCCCGGCCCCTCCCGGGCCCTCCCTACCAGGTCCAGCGGCGTCCGCTCCAGCACGTCCACCAGCTTCTCCAGCCGCGTCCGCGCGGTGAACACGAAGTCGTCGTCCACCCACAGCACGTACTTGGTGGTCACCTGGGACACGGCGAGGTTCCGGCCCGCGAACCAGCCCTGGGGGGAGGCGCGTGTGGCTGCGCAGGCCGCGGAGAGGCTGCCCCTCTCCACCCTGCCTGGCTGCCTCCCGCTCTCCACAGCCCCACGAGGGACGGGAGCTAGTTCCCCCCGGAGAAGTGCAGTGTCCACTCCGGGCGGAGGGTCCTGGGACGCCTTTAACTCAAGCTGCGATCACGCATTCACTCATCAAGCACTTATGGAGCGCCCCGAGGTGCTAAAAGCCTTTCCAATAACGCAGAGCTCACAAGGGAGGCAACATTCCCGCTGCCTCGGAGCTCCCACTCCAGGGGCCCTCAGGCGGGTGGGCCTGAGGCTGGCGACCCTGGACTCCCCTACGCTGGAGACCGGCCGCCAGCAGGCCCCCTCCCCGGAGCCCGCGGGCCGCGCACCTTGCCGAAAGGCATGAGATAGTGCTCGATGTAGGGGCCGCTGACGCGCTCGGGCTCAGCGCTGTCGTCGGCCACGATGACCGTGACCGTGGGGTAGAAGCGGCGGATGCTGGCGATGAGCGCGCGCAGCCGGCTGTAGCGCAGGAAGGTCTTCGTGGCCACGGTGACCAGGGCGCTGATGTCGTACTGGGCTGGCAGCGGGGACAGGGCGGCGCCGAGTGAGGAGCAGGGAGGCCGCGTCCCCAGGGCCGCCCTCTCCAGTCGCGCCCCCCTCCTGCCAGGGCCGGCTCCCTGTGCCCCCCGCGCCAGCCTCACCTCCCGCGGGCGGAGCCCCGGGCGGGTAGAGCCGAGGGTTGGGGGGGTGTCTGACGCGGATGGTGAACACGGCCAAGTGTCCCTCGGTGGCGAACCGGACTGGGGAGAAAGGACATGGGGCGGGCCTCCTAAGGCGGGGACAGTGGTCTCGCCCCGTCCGTCCGTGTTGGAGATATTTAAGCCTTGCCCTGTCCCCCCTCGCGGAGGCCCTGGTGGACGGCGCGGGCTCTTACCCCGCGGAAGCCACATGCTAACGGGTGAGAGAACGACCCGGAGAGAGTTCGGTAAGAACGAACCTTGAGGGATCGCTCTCCCAGGCCGGCACTTTTAAAAGTACCTTCATGTGGAGCCTCGCGGTAGCCCACAGAGGCCTCGCCATAGCCCACGACAGCCCCCTCATGGCCGCCCATCACGGGGGAGCGGTGCAGAGACACCAAGTGGCTTCCCGTTGCCATACAACCAGGGAGCCCCAGAGCTCAGCCGGACCCCAGTCAGCCTGACTCCAGGAGAGTCAGACAAGCCGGGTACCGGCCGAGTTTGGGGCAGACAGGTCACGTGACCGTGGAGCAGAGCCGTGTGAGCTGGGGCGACATGACAAGAAGGGACGGGCCGGCCGCGGGGAGGCCGGGAAGAGCGTTACAGCGAAGGGACGGCAGGCCCAGAGGCCCAGGCGGGAGCAGGCTGGGGTGGAGATCCGGGAGAAGCGGGAGGGTCTCGCTAGAGGAGAAGCAGGAGTGAGAGGTGGCAAAGCCCTGTGCCCCCCGGAAGGCGCTGGCTGGGACTAGCCCTCCAGCTATCTGGCTCCCGGGCCTGTCATCTCCCACAGCGCCCAAGGCGACACACCCAAGGCTCTGGTTTCCCTCGGGCCTACTCTGGCCCCAGATGAACAAAGGCCCCTTTCTCTCTCCCTGCCCCCTCGGGCCTGGCTGAAATGCCCATTGTGTGGCCGAGTAGCTCCGCTCCTTGCGCCAGTGTCTCCCACCCCCTGGGGCTTGTCCTGCCCCTATCTCTCTGCAGGCGCTCTGTTTCCCCAGCTTGGCCCTGTGCCTGCCCAGACCCGCACCTGTGTCTGCTGTATTTGCCTGGTAGCTTCGGCTGCTGTAAGTGACCAGTTGTAACTGCCGATTGAGGTGGTCCAGCCCCGGGCTGGTGAGGGTGAGATCTGGCTGCCCCTCTCCAGTGACAGTCACTCCAGCCACTTCCCCTGCCACATCCCAGGTGCCCAAGGAGGCGCTCAGGTTCACCTGGGAGCGGGGGTTGGAGAGTCGGGGTTAGATCCCAGGCCAGACTCTGCCTTTGTGGTTCCTCCCTCCCTCTGTTGGCAGCTCCATGCCCGCCTGGCCTCCTGTTTCCTCTCACCTGGTATGTGTCCTGGCCAGACGCTGCCTGCAGGCTCAGCCCTGGGAGGGAGGTGGGGACAGAATCAGCAGCAGCCCTCCCTCTGCTCACTCTCTTCCCTCTTGCGCCACACACAGCACGGAAACATCTGAAACATCCCTCTTGTGGAGATTACAGCCAGGCCCAGTGCCCAGCGCTGGACAGCCTGGAGTGGCAGATTCTTTTACTCTTTCTCATCAAAACAGCAGCTCTCCACGGCCTGGCCTCCCTGGCCATCTTGCCTTGGTCAGTCGGCAAAGAGCAGACGCTGCTCCCTAGGCCCGCCCGGTTAGTCTCTGCAACCTGTGCCACCCTGAGTCCCTCTGCCTCCCGCCGCCCATCTCATGAGCCTCCTTTGACCGCCAACCCCCTTTTTATCAGAGGACCCCCCAACTCCCATCTCCATCTTGCCTCATTCTTCCCCACCCTGCCCGAGGATCTGCTGCCCCCACAGCGGCCCAGGCCAGCCCCCGGGACCCTCCTCCTCCCTACCTGGCACCAGGATGCTCCTGAGTGGCGGGACCTCCACGCCTTGCAGGGGGTACTGGAGGGGGGAGTTGGCAGGGGCTATGAGCAGCTGGTCAGTGGCAGATTGGCTCCTGGCAGTGGAGGCGGAGGACAGAGGGGGAGTCAGGGAGCAGGTCCCTGCAGGCTCCCCTGCCCAGCCCTGCGCTCCGTTCCTGCTGCTACCTTGCGAGGAAGGCCTGGAACTCCTGCTCCCGGGAGGCAGAGGCAGCCCTCAGCTCCTCAGGGTCAAAGGCCTTGGTGAGGTCTATGGCTCGGACCTGCCGCTGGAAGGGGAGGTGAAGACCCCCCCCAGCCGGCTCGCAGCTGCAGTTGTTCCACGCCAGCAGCCTGGAAGGGCGGGAAGTGTCCTCAGCGCCCAGCCTCCAGCGCCACCGAGCCCACAAAACACGGACACGGTGCCCGGCCGGTGTCCGTCCCCTTCCGAAGAGTCCCCCGGAGGAAGGACCGCGGAGGGGGCGACCCACCCTTAAGTCTGGAATGTACAGAGGTGTGGAGTGGGACCCAAGGCCAGGAAGCCAGGGTTTCCCCCTCTACTCAGCACCTTCTCCCCAGGCTCCTTTCCTGCCTGAATTAGGACATCCGAGTTTTCCAGGGCCCTTCCCTGCCTGCACACCCTCCCCACGGCCCTTCCCTGCCTGCACACCCTCCCCATGGTTCGACAAGGTTCAGGGAAGGGAAGGCAACCTTTCCCGAGCGCCAGCAGCCCCCTCCAGCTCCCGCTTCACCCCCCAGTCAGCCAGGAGCCCCAGGCATCGCTGCTCATCCCCCCACGCCACCCGCGGCGCGCCCCGCCTCGCCGGGCACTCACCCCACCACCTGCTCCTTGATCCTGACGGGGATGTGCGCGTAGCGGGGCTCGGGGGCCAGGGCCGGCAGCTCCGGCCTGGCGGGGGTCCGCAGCGGCGCCCACAGCGCCAGCGGGGCCGGGAGACCCTGCGCGCCCCGGGTGCTGACGTACAGGAGCCCGAGCGAGGCGCAGGCGAACAGCAGGACGAGCACCCCGAGGCCCCGGCGGCCCAGCCGCATCCTGGGGGGCGAGGGGCGAGGGGGTGAGGAAGGCGCGGAGGGAGGGCGCGGGCCGCGACCCCCGGCCCCGGGGCTCTGGGCGCCCCTGCGCGTTCCCGGGGGCGCTCCGGACATCCGGCGCTCCCGGCTCTGCCGCGCGGGCGGTTCCCCCCATCACCCCCCGCCGGCCGCGGGGCCCTGCGTCTCCCGGCTCCCCGGCGGCCCGTCCGCCCTCGCCCTGCCCGGCGCCCTCCGGCCCGGCCCTCCCCGGGCGGCGGCGGCCGGGAGCGGGGTGTCGGCGCGGCGCGCACCCGCGCAGGAGCCCGCGGGGGAGCCCCGGCCCCGCCCGCGCCCGCGGCCCCGCATCACCTGCCCCGGCGGCGCGGAGGGCGGCCCGCACCTCGCCCGGCATCCGGAGCGCACGGTCACGCGCGCTGGCGGGCCCCGGGGTGGGCGGGCGGGCGGCGCCCTCGCTCGCTCGGCCCGGTCCGCGCCGCCCCGACCCGCTAGCGCCCGCCGGCCGCGGCGAGGGTCGGGTCCCGGCCGGGGCGGGCCGTGCGCCGGGGCCCGCGGGGCCTCATGGGGCCGGAGGCGGCCGGGTGGGGGCCGGGCCCGAGCCCGCGAGGGGGGCCTCCCGCGCGCGCCCGCCCCTCCCGCCCGCCGCGCTCGGCTCCGGCGACGTCCAGGCGCGGGGGGACGCCCAGGCCAGCGGCCGCCGCGCCCCGGGCGCGAGAACAAAGCCGGCGCGCGCCGCCCCGCGTCCCCGCCGGGCGCGAGGCTCAGGCCGCCGCCTGGCTCCGCATCTCGCGGCCGCGGGCTCCGGGGCGACTCGCGGGGAATGCGGGCGTCGGGGCGCCGTCTGGCGGCCGCGCGGGGAGGTGGCCGCGGAGCCGGCCCGGCGGGCGCCCGCGACCCTCCGCCTCCGGGCGGCCCCCCGCGCGCCCCGCGCGCCCCCAGATAGACGGTTATCAGCGGGGGCAGCGCCGCTGCGCCAAGACGCCCGAGCCCGGCCGGCGGGGCCAAGGTCCCAGGCGCCGCCTAAGGTGGTTCTGCTAACGGCCCGGAGAGGTGGCCCAGACGCAGACGGCAAAGGGGAGGCGATCTGAGAGGCTCGTGGGCTCCATGTTCGTGACCCTGAGGCCTTCGGCAGCTTCCAAGGGAGCCACCGGAAGCTCCCCCCGCCTCCCCCAGACGGGACAGCTCCCCTGGGGAACCCGCAGGGCGGCCGACCCGCCCCTGGGCCGGTCTCTCCAGCTTGCCCAGGGCTGAGTCGCTGTGAAGCTGCCCGCAGCCGCCAGCGCGAGCTCCCTCCTGAAAGGTCTCCCGGTTAACCCACCTCCATCAGTGACCTGCTTGATACCGAGGTCAGGAGCTGTTTTTCTGCAGGAAGGTCCTCGTAGTCAGTCTTATCACCCAGGCCCCAGGACGTGTGGTAGGGCTAGAAAATGCTAGAAAAGTTCTCATTCTCCCACTAGCCTAAAAAGTTTCCATTCCCCCTGGTAAGGGCCTCCCTGGAGGTGTGAGGGGTGAAGATGCAACCTATGAAGCTATTCGCAGCCTCTGCTGCAGTTCGAGCCCCAGCCAGGGAGCTACCCACATGGCGCAGCAGACCTCTCCTGTCTCCCCGCTGCTCCCCTCAGCAGTGGATTTCAGTCAGTCTGCCTGTTCTGCTCCCCACTCTGTCTCTGGTGAATCCTCTCACCTCCTGCACCTCTGGCCTGCACCCCAGTTCTGGTATGCATCAATAAATAAAATCCTTTTTAAAAAGGGCTGATAGGATCTCCCCGGTGGCGCAGCGGTTGAGTGCTGGGCTGCGAAGCTGCCCACAGCCTCTGCAGCGCCAGTTTGATTCCCAGCCTCCAGTGAGGGTCCCACATGGCGCGCAGACCTCTCCTGCCGCCCGCTGCTCCCCTCAGCAGTGTACTTCGGTCCTTCTGCCTGCTCTGCTCCCCGCTCTGGCTCTGGTGAATTCTCTCACCCTCCTGCGCTTCTGACTGTACCCAGTGCTTGTATAAATAAATAAATAAATAAATAAATAAATAAATAAATAAATCTTAAAAAAAAAAGGAAGAGACAGTCCCCTCCACTTCCGGCTCGGCTGTGGTTTGAAACTATGTCCCCACAGTTTCTCCTGGTGACAGTAGCAGCCTCTGCTTTTCTGCTCTAATAAAACCTCTTTTACTCCATCTCCACTTCTCCTTGTTTCCTTTTGACTCCAAACCCTTTCAGATCCCCCACCAGGGAGCTACTCACATGGCGCAGCGGACCTCTCCTGTCTCCCTGCTGCTCCCCTCAGCAGTGGATTTCAGTGGATCCACCTGTTCTGGCGAGTCCTCTCACCCCCGCACCCCTGGTCTGTACCCCAGCCCTTGTATGTGATGGAGGAAAGGAGATACGAGGTCAAGCACCTGACTCACGCAGGAGGTGGGGGTACAAGGGATTAGTATAATCCATTAACCCAGTTATAGAAACCAAGACCCTGAGGCACCGACGCCCAGGTCAGGAGGCGCAACCCCCAGAAACTAACAGACTGCTACAGGGAGTGCCAACAGCACAGACCATCCACCCGCAGAGATGAGCCCCTCCCTGAAGATGATAAAACCTGACACAGCCCTCATAAGGGGGCGGCACTCCGTCTGCCCATCTGTGCCTATGCAGGTGCCTCTTTTCACCAACCCTCTCCCACCGCAGGGCAGCTGCCCCCTGCCTGCCCGTGACCTGTTCCCTCCGGGACGTCTTCTCCTCCCTGACCCCCTCAGCGGAGCCCGTTTTCTTCAAGGCCACCTGCCTGCAGCCATGCAGGCCTCTCTCGGCAAACCTGTCCCTTTGCGGGCAGCTCTTCCTGCCCGCTGGTGTCTCTGCAAGTGTCTTTTGCTGTTTTATCCCTGCCCTAATAAACCTGCGCTTTGCAGAGAACTAACCTCTCTGTCTTGTGGAGAAACTCGCCGGGAAACTCGCCGCATGTCGCTGAAGTGGGAGCTCTGGGGACACCTTTCTCAGAGTGAACCCGAGGGCCCCGCGCTAACTCCAGAAATGGCATCATATGCATAAATAAATAAATCTTACAAAAAACTATTTTAAAAAAGGAAGTTTAAAAAAAAAAAAGGAAGTTTGTGGGCCTCCCTGGTGGCGCAAGGGGTTGAGCCATAACCTATGGAGCTGTCCACAGCCACTGCAGTGCGGGTTCGCTCCCCGGCCAGGAAGCTACCCACATGGTGCGGCAGACCTCTCCTGTCTCCCCGCTGATGGCAGTCAGTCTGCCTGTTCTGCTCCCCACTCTGTCTCTGGTGAATGCTCTCACCCTCCCCCCACACCTCTGGCCTGCACCCCATTTCTTGTATGCATAAATAAATAAATCTTAAGAAAAAAGAAATTTCAGACCTCATGTAACACTCCCTGTCATTGAGATGGTAGGCAAGGCTATGCCGTCAGGGCTTTAGGGGAAGGTGGGGAGAGAGGGCCCAAAAGCCCATTTCAAGGAGAATGTGGGTAGTCAAAGAGCAATAAAGGAAACCAGACTAGGTCCTGGAAAATAAAGACCCTACTCAACTGGCAAAAGGGGATTTACAGCCTCCCATCAAAACCCACCCTATTATCTAACTCCCAAGACTAATTCTCAGTCATTCAAAAGCCTGCTTCCCCTCACGGCCCCCGCTGCAGACTTGCAGGGGGACGGAACCGCCAAGTTGGGGTTAGTCTGACTGCAAGCTGTAAACATGCAACTTCCTTTCCCAGCAGCTCCATTCCTGACTTGCCCAACGTCCTGCGGTTCCGTGGTTCTCATCAAGGATGGATCAAGACTTAAGAGGAAAAAATATATAATAAGAAAAGTAAGCCGTAACGACAATGGGGGAGGGAAAGGATGGACTGGTGACGGAACTGGATACAAAGAAGTGACTGATCGGCTGGGAAAAAAGGGGAATTCTCAACTCCTTTATACAAAAAAAAAATCCAGGTCTAGCAAATATTTTAATACTAAAAAAGAGGAAATCATAGAATTTCAGTTGTTCTGTTTTTTTTTTTTTTAAATATTTTGGAGTGGGGATGAGATCTCTAAGCAAGATAGAAGGGGGGCATTAATAACTTTGCCTATATTAAAAGTTTGATAAAACAAATTGTAACAGGGTGGTGCCCAGGAAAGGGGGAGTTCCAAGTTGCCTGCCCTACCCAAGGGAGGGTGGAGCTGAGCAGGGAGGAGGAGAAACAGGAGAGGATACTGGGGGGGAAGGAAGCAGGATGGGGGGCCAGGAGGAGGTCTGGAGGAGACACGTGGAGCAGAGACACGTCAAGAAGCTGCACCTGTTTCTTGGTCCTGACAGGTTGAAACAGACGCAGGCAAGAGACCCGTGGGGAGGTGACAATGGCAGCTTTTATCTTGATTTTTTTTCTGAAAATTTATTTATTTATGCATACAACAGCTGGGGTACAGGCCAGAGACACAGGGGGTAAGCTTTAGACATGTAGACATGTTCCCCACTCACCAGAGACAGAGTGGGGAACAGAACAGGCAGACTGACTGAAACACATTGCTGAAGGGAGCAGTGGGGAGACAGGAGAGGTCTGCTGCGCCATGTGGGGTGCTCCCTGGCGAGCCGGGGGATAGAACTTGCGCTGCAGAGGCCGTGGATTGCTTCACAGTGCGGTGCTCAACCCCAATTATCTTGATTTTTATTTTGTTCTTTTCCTCCCAGACTTGTCTGGTTGTTTCTGATCCTTTTCTGTGGGTCCCCACCAGATGGTGCTTTAGACGGGGGCAGGCTTTTGGGTCTTGCTCTGGGCCAATCCCATTTGCTTGGACTTTTACCCACAAGGGGACAGGTAACTCTGGGTGCTTGATTTAGAAACTATATTCTTTGTCTTTTCTATATTGTTCGCTAATGGTATTAAAGTTCCTTTCCATTGAAGATCTTATATGTTTTGTCTTGATGTGGCGGGTGGCAGAACCTATTTAGAGCAGGCAGGTTTGGGGGTTCTGGGGTACCCCTCTCCCTGCCCTGTAACAAAATGGGACAAAAAGTCAAACATTGGTTAAGCCGGATAAGAGATATCCGGGAATGTCCTGCGTGAATCCTTCAATTGCTATATTTGAAAATATTTCAAAGTAAAAATTTTTTTTAAATTCTTGCTCTTCCTCTTATTTTGGTTGAAAGTGAGCATCTATTTAGGAATTTAGTGATGGGCCTGAGAAGGTGTTTCAGCACACTGCATCCAGCTTTACAAAGTGACAAGTAAACATTTCTAATAATGTAATTGAAATAATAATTAAAATTTCTAGTGGAACTTCATATTAATTCCTGTATCACAGCATTTCATTCTTTCATGGTGATATTTAGCATCAGCTCAATATTGAGTTTATCCCTCTTTTTTCACTCTCTCTCTACACACATACACAAACACACACGTATACCACACACATGCCATATACTATCACACACATACGACCCCTCCCATACCACATACATTCCTTTTGCTTAATCAATTGAATTAGCGAGGACATTGTGACTTTTTACTCCTAAATATTTCAGTAGGTAGCTCCAAAGAACAAATATATTTTTCTGATTAATCACAGTATGATTTCCAAGCTCAGGACATTTATCATGGATACAAAACCATTATCTAATATACAGTCCAATTAAAATTTCTCCAATTGTCTCAATTATGTTCTTTATAACATTCAAAGAATTTCAATCAAGAATGGTTTACTCCTCATATCTCTAGAGTTCCCTTATCTTTGAGGATACTAAATGTATACTTATTTAAATGGTTTTTTGGGGGCTTGCACTATTTCCATTTACTCTAGAGTGAATTTTGGGATCCCGGGGCTATTGTCTTGGTTCCCAGGGTTCTTGCTGGTCAGCCAGGCGGAGGCATCTCACCAAGGACAAAAGCCCTGGTAGGAGGAACTTCCTGGGAAACCAGTGTCTGCTGAAAACAGCAGGCAGACGTTAGAATATGCTTTCACTGGCAGGGACCGTGGAGCCCCCCCAGGCAGTCGCCCCTGGTCACTCCACCCCAACTTAGACCCCCCAATAACTGCTTCCCCCACGCACGCACACTCCCTAATACTTGCCCCACCTCTGTCCTTGATTCTAGTAAATCTGAGACCCCTTTTGAATGGGGCTGCCATTACTGCCGGTGTTGCCCCTCTAGGCCTCTCATCCTCCAACACACTTGGACTTTGAATAATCTTTCCCTTGTCCTGTGCCACTCCCAACGCTGCCGGAAGCTACTGTGAATAGGTGGGCAGATGTCAGCTGAGCTCAATGTTCCACAGTGAACAGAACAAGCCTGTGCAACAGACATGCGTTTTCCTAGGTGCCAATGGAGATTCAATTGAAAACACTGCTTTTAGGCAGGTCATTTAGGAACAGCTCCCAGCCTCCAAAATCAGAGCCCTGTTGGCATCATGCAAACAGGTCCCACCTGCAACAAGCCTCTGACAGCAGGAAGCTGCCAGATGCAGGACCCCGCGGCCTCTACCAGACTTCACCTCCTGCAGAGGCAACACCTCCCGCTCCTCCCCCAATGTAAGGCCTAGCTAAATTCAGGTTTCCCGGGAGTACATTTGACTGGCCATAGGAATACTATCTGCAGGGGATTTAGGGAAATGTAGGTTTTTTTTTTTAGCACTCTAGCTTCTGCCACTAGGAAAAATTTGTAGTGTGTGCTAGATACTTGGGAGTTGTAGGGCAAGTTCCCTCTCATTCCTTCAATTCCCTCCATACCAAGTGGGACGAGGCAGAACAGCCGGCTGGGTTCCTGGTCCACAAGGCCAGTGGAACTGCCCGACACCCCGCCACCGTCCCGGGCCACCTGAACTTACCTGCCAGGTGCAGGGCACCAGACGCTGGAAGTGGAAAGAAATTTGACTCTTCCCCAACAGAAACAAGCCCTTCAAGTTTAAGCCAGGTGAGTAGGAGGTGATTGGAGCCTGGGAAGAGGGGGGCTTATCTCCCCAGAACCCCCTAGGGTGCCACTGGGCACCCTAGCATCATCCCACCAAAGGCCACTCGTCTTTGAGGTGGAACCCTGGTCCTGGCATGACAGGAGTGACTGCCTTAGGCCCCAGGCCTTGTGTGTGCCCTGGGGGTCTCGGCTCCTCTGGACGCCTATGTCCACATCTACATGAGGTTTTCTCCTCCTGTTCCACTACAGGACTGTGTGCTCTGGACAAACACTGATGCTGACTCTTCTATCACCCACCTTTGCTCTTTGCCCTGATCCTTGTATGTACATTGATCTAAACTACAATATATGCCACAAATATCAAGTTCATTTTATTTCTTTTTCATTTTGGGGTGGAGATTCAGTATCAGTCTTTTGACTATCAGTCTTTTCAGTGGAGCGATCAGTCACCCATTACCAGCACAATGAATGGGTTAACTTTAATTATTTTATTTTATTTTTAATAGATTAAGTTACATTTTGTTCTATTTGATGTCTTAACATTTTTTTTTTAAAGATTTACTTATTTATGCACACAACTGGGGTACTGGCCAGAGGTGTAGGGGGTGAGAGGATTCACCAGAGACAGAGTGGGGAACAGAACAGGCAGATCTACTGAAATACACTGCTGAGGGGAGCAGCCGGGAGTCAGGAGAGGTCTGCTGTGCCCTGTGGGTCAGCTCCCTGGCAGATGTGGGTGGGGGGTGGTGGTGGTAGAGACACCCTAAAGAACCCGCCTTAACATCTCATTTCTAGCTGCCTTTTTATAGTGAGTTGAACAAAGAGAGTTCAGTAGTAAGGTGGCCTTCACTGCTGCCAGAAGATTGTGATGTCCATCCCCGGAGCTCCTGACCGCTCTGCTGACCTCAGGCTGGGCCCAGTGTGCTGGGGCTGGAAACTGAACTCAGAGCAGACAGGCCATAAACAATAAGCATGCACAGATTTCCTACTCTGCTAGCTGAGTGTCTCGCCCGACCTCCTCTCCCTCCCGAGCCCTGTCATTATCACAGAATTAACGGTGTGCTTAGGGGCACAGAATGAGGAGGTTGGACATGGTTGCACAAGCAGGCGGTTTGGCGGAGTTATTTTTGGGAGAGTTTTCTCCAAAAGGCACGGTCATTTAAATGTTTTTCTGACTTCTCTCTCCAAATCAGACTGATCCGATTCCCGGGACATTTTCCCAAAGGTATGCCCACGCTCTTGTTGACCCTGGCTCAGGAATCATTGTCCTCGGGTTGCTGAACTAGCCCCCGGCCTCCAGAGCTCACCATGCAGAGGCCAGCGTTGCACAGTAACTGGGTTAGCCACAAGAATGAACTTGGCAGGAATCCAGCGTGCACCCGCACACGGCCACGATTCGCCGCCTGGCGGGAGCCGGGCACAGGGCAACAAAGGACCGCAGGGTGAGCGGGTGGAGATGCGCGCGGCCGCCGCGCGAGGACGGAGAAAACCCGCTTTAAGGGCCGGGTTCGGCGACCGCGCCTCGCGGGGACTGGAGCAGGGTGGGCGGGGCTGGGCGCGCCAATGATTGGTTGGCCTCTGACCAATCACGCGTAGCGAGTGCGTTCGCTCACCGTGGTGCTCCACCCTCCCGGGGGCGTGGAGCCACGTTTACAAATCACAATGGAGAAGAGAAGAGTGACAGAATGTCTAGCCAATGAAACGCACGGCCTTGATGGGCCCGGTGAGGCCGCTGCCAGGTGGAGGGCGGAAGGAGCTGCTCTGCTAGGAAGGGGAACGAAAATGGCGGCGGAGAGGCTGCTGTCCAATCTGCTGGGGCCGCTGCTGCTGGGACTCCTGCTTCGCGCGAGCCTGACCGCTGGCGTCGGGAGCCTGAACCTGGAGGAGCTGAGCGAGATGCGTTACGGGATCGAGATCCTGCCGCTGCCTGTCATGGGCGGGCAGGTGAGGCGGCGCCGCGGGCGAGGGGCGGGGGGCGGGAGGGGCCGGGCGGGGCGGCGTCCGCCGGGGCGCCTCGGCCGGGGGGTCGCTCCCGAGGGCCGCCCGCCGAGCCCGGCCCCTGCCGCAGCGGGGTGGGGGGGGCTCCCCGCTGTCAGCTCCGGGCCCGCCGCCGCCGGGGACCCGCGGCTCTCTCTGACCCGCTGGCGCCTCCCCGGGAGCTGAAAGAGGGGTCTCGTTGCCCCCTGCCCCGACCCCTGCGCCGCCAGAGCCCGGCCTCGGACGTGGTGATCGTCTCCTCCAAGTACAAGCAGCGCTACGAGTGCCGCCTGCCCGCCGGGGCCATCCACTTCCAGCGCGAGCGCGAGGAGGAGGCACCTGCCTACCAAGGGCCTGGGATCCCCGAGTTGCTGAGCCCCATGAGGGACGCGCCCTGCCTGCTGAAGGTAGAGGGGCCGAGAGGGGTGGGAGGAGGGCTTGGGAGCTGGTGATTTGCCTGCGAACCAGGGCGCCTGTGGCGGCGAGGGCCGGGGAGCACCTGTAGGAGTTGCCGAGGGTCAGTAGACACTGCCCGGCCAGGACAGAGGCGAGGAGTCCGGCCAGCACTGATGACATTTTGCTGAATGTAGGGGCGGCTGAGGATAGAAGATCTCAGAATAAGGGTCAGCCAAGACCGAGATAGATAAGGCCAGTCCGTGTTGGGAGGGGGGCGGCTCCTCTAGAGAGAACTCCCTTTACTCACCCTTGCCCTGGTGCGCTGCCCCCGCATACTGCTTTATTTTCCCTGGCACTTTTGATGTGAAATCATCTTATCAATTGAATCATCGGTTTGTTTAGTTTTGGTCTGGGTCGCGGCACAAGAATATAAGTCCATGAGGTCAGAGAATTTATCCTGATCACAGCTGTGCCCTCAAGGGCTGGAGCGGCGCTGGACTGGTGGACAAGTCCAATGACTATGTGATTTGGTCCGTCTTTTGTGTTACTCTGACCTAAGTGCTTTGAGGAAACCCTGATATCTTATCTTTATGCAGGGGTAAAGGATTTTTAAAAATCTTTAAAAAGGAAGGGGTGGAAAGACCACAGGTGGGAAACAGCCGGGCTTTAAAGGTAACTTTCTACGTCTCAGGAGAGCAGCCTTCCCTGCACACCAGGAATGTGGACCATTGAGCAGAGGGAGATGAGAAGTAAATAAGGGGACATGTGTCTCGCAGCCTGGAGAGATTCCAATTCCAGGAAGAGACACCTGCACTCCAACCCCTGATTGGTTTTTGTTTTGTTTTGCTTTTTTTATTGTCAGACCAAGGACTGGTGGACGTACGAATTCTGTTATGGACGTCACATCCAGCAGTACCACATGGAAGGTGACTCGTGGCTACCTTTTCCCTAAGTCCTCAGCGACATGTCCTGGAAGGTGACCCGTTGCAGTCCCCTTCCCTCCTCGTCCTGTGAGACAGGATAACCCTGTAACCCTGCTCTCCTGTGGTTTCTCTTGCAGATTCAGAAATCAAAGGTGAAATCCTCTATCTTGGCTACTACCAATCGGCCTTCGACTGGGAGGATGAAACAGCCAAGGTGGCAGGAGTGTGGGAGTGGGAGCAAGAGGGCTGCAGACCAAGGGCCCTGATGAGAGTGGGAGGGTCAGGATTAGCTGTTGTGTTTTGGTTTTTTTTAAAGATTTATTTATTTATGCATACAAGAGCTGGGGAACAGGCCAGAGATGCAGGGTGTGGGCGGGGGGTGGTGGTGAGAGGACTCACCAGAGACAGAGCGGGGAGCAGAACGGGCAGACCGACGACATACACTGCTGAGGGAGCAGCGGGGAGACAGGAGAGGTCTGCCATGTGGATAACTCCCTGGCCGGCCGGGGATCGAACTCGTGCTACAGTGGCTGTGGATTGCTTCGTAGTGCAGTGCTCAACCCCCTGTGCCACCAGGGAGACCCCAGCTGTTGTGGTTTTTAGGGCTCGGCGGCCATTAGGACGAAGCGGCGTTCTTTCTCCCCGCTGTCTTTCTCATGCCTCTTCCCTCCTGCCGGATCCTCCCCAGGCCTCCAAGCAGCATCGCCTGAAACGCTACCACAGCCAGTCCTACGGCAACGGATCCAAGTGCGACCTCAACGGGAAGCCCCGGGAGGCCGAGGTTCGGGTGAGTTTTGAGAGGGGGCGACGCTCGCCACGGGACAAAGCAGGTCGTGGGGGAAGAGGGCAGGTTGCGTCTTGCGGTCAGGAGAGCACCTGCCGGCCCCCAGCCCCTAAGTTTAAGACCCTGATTTCCAGCTGCCTGGCTATTCGGAGGCACTTGGAGGCGACATATCCCAAATGCCCCCTGAGAACCTCACGCGCACTTTCACCTTTTTCCATGTTTCTTCCTTTGATCACCTACGCCAGAAACCTGGATGTCCTCACTGGCTCTTCCTTCTCCTTAACTCTGTCCTTTCTTCACTGACAACTGCCAGCAGGCGGTGTGGTACTGGGCTCTGCTGTGGGGACGCCGGTGGGCCAGCACGTGGCTCTGCCCTCGGGGAGCGTGCACAGTGTAGCGAGGAAGACAGGGGCGGCGCACCACAGAGAGCAGTCTGATGACACACTGAGGAGACAGGTGAAGACAGGAATCTAGTTCTCGTGGAGACCAAAACACGCCCATTCACTCCATTTCTCGTTTTCTCTCACAAGCTCCTCTCCTGCATTCAGCTCCTCCGCCTCTCACCTGCATCACTGCCAGCAGCCTCTTCCCAGTTACAATGTCTAATAAAATGCCAATGCTTTGGAAATGGTTATACTGTATTGTTTAGGGAGGAGCCATAAGAAAAATATCAGTCCGCGTTCAGTACAGACACAGTCATCACAGGCCTGGCATTTTCAATCCCAGCGGCAGGTTGAACATGGCGGCAGAGGCCCCAGGCGTGGGGGAGGGGCTGCACTGCTCTTGGCACAGACTTGCTTTTGCGGGCGAGGAACAAGCCAGATGTGCTCAGGTGCTGGTGTCACAGTACCGGGAGGAGTCTGCAGAGTTCCTCATGCTGCCTTCCAGAAATGAGACCTTTCTTTTACTTTCCCCTTTCTGTTACTTTAGAAATTGCAGCGGCACAAACTTCATTTATCAAAGGCTAAAGTTAATTGATATCTTTGTCCTCTTTCTGAATAACACAAGGACCTTACATCTGTTTAACTTTTTGTATCATCTAACCACAAAGAAATACATATTTATATATGCATGGTCATATACATACACAGTGAGGTGGAACTGTGTAGCTACATGGACGCGCGCATGCGCTGTATTTCTGTAAAGCAAGCGTGTGAAACCAAAATTGCCTGGTTACTTACAGATCAGCTCCCTGAGTTCAATTCCTGTTTTTGCCTCTTATCTGCTGGTCAACCTGACTAGACGCCTCACATCAGAAAAAGTTTCTTGACCCACAGAGTTGAGCTACTAAGGCTTCCCTCATGGGGTTTCGGATAATTAGATAAGCTAATTATACCAAGTGCCCATGCCTGGGGGTGCCACCAGTGCCTGAAGCCCGGTGAGTACCCGACAAAAGGCAGCGGCTCTAAGAGCTAGAGCCACTTACCGGTGTAATGAGCATGCGCTGGCTCCTCTGTCCTCAGTTCCTGTGTGATGAGGGGGCTGGTGTTTCTGGCGACTACATTGACCGTGTGGATGAGCCCTTGTCCTGCTCTTATGTGCTGACTATCCGGACTCCTCGGCTCTGCCCCCACCCTCTCCTGCGGCCTCCCCCCAGTGCTGCCCCCCAGGCCATTCTCTGTCACCCCGCCTTGCAGCCTGAGGAGTACATGGCCTACGTGGAGAGGCAGGCTGGTGAGTAGCCAAAAGAGAGGAGAGACTTGGGGAGGGACAAGCAGGAGGGGCCCAGAGAAATGTGTCCCGTCTTCTCTGGAGTAGACTCCAAAGAGCATGGAGATAAAATCATAGAGGATCTGCAAGGCCTGGATCCCCCGGCGTGGAGTGAGACCAAGCCCGAGCCGGTGTCCCCAGAGAAAGCAGGTAGGCCCTGTTTCACCTTCCCCGTGTCTCCACGTCTTTCCTCCCCCGATCTCACCATCCCGTGCTGGCCGTTGGGGGTGGGGTGACAAAGAACTGCAGGCCCAAACCCTTAGTAATAGAGGCGGGGAATTACCCCATGCGCCTGCTCCCTTCCATGTCACCCGTCCTGTCAGACTCCCCCTATTCTCTGAATCCTAGGTGCAGACCCAAACAGGGATGAAAGGCAGGAGCCAGATTTCTGGAAGATGCTCCAGGAGCCAGAGGGCCAGGCCCAGGGAGGGGAGGAGGTGCAGTCTGAGGTGATCGCCCGCCCCCAGCCATTTCTCTGATGAGGCCGGGCCTGGGCCCGGGTTTGGGCCTGGGTCATGACGAGATGAGCAGCACCTCCCTGGGGCGTGGGGCTCGCCCTGGCCCGCTGCCGCACAGCGTGGGAGGCACCAGCGAGCTGTGTGCCTCACCCTGGCCCTCTCCCACCAGGAGCAGGAACCCAACCTCGAGGCAGCAGATGCAGCTCCAGGCTCTCCCGATGGTGAGCCAGCCCTCCACGTCCACTTCACTGCGTGGATGTATTTCAGGGCCGGCAGGGGCTGGGGGTAGGAGGGGCCAGCACTGGGAGGGCAGAGACTTCATTTTTGTCGGTGTTGCTACTCCTCGTAGACAGCAGCTCTGTTCTGGGGTGGTAGCCACCCCCGTGGCGCCACTTCCTGCTGACTTTGTAATCCTGGATGATTTCACTTGACCTCAGTTTCCTCACCCATGAAATGGGGCTAATAGCCCCACTCTGGAACTGAACAGACAGTAAAGAGTCTGTGTGTGGAACAGGGCGAGTGGGACCCCACGAGGAGGCACCTGTGGCCCAGGCTCTCTCGTTGCCCTAAAGGCTGAGTGACTGCCAGAGAGGCCCCAGCAGTGTGTGGAAGGGCAGGGCATGGGCGGCCTGTTAACATCCTGGGGTGCCCCTTAGGACAGCGGTCTGGGGGGGTCTTTTGGTCCCCATCTCGCTGACCAGAAAGGGCCTAGGGGCCACATCCTTCCTGGGTCTCCATCCCCTCTCCCGAGGACTTGAAATAGAATTTGAGACATGACGGGTCATTCCTACTCTTTCACCCCAGATTTTCAGAACAACGTGCAGGTCAAAGTCATCCGGAGCCCCGCGGACTTGATTCGGTTGATAGAGGAGCTGAAAGGCGGAACGAGAAAGGTGTGGGCCCTGTGGGCGGGGCGGGGCCTGCCTCCCTGCTGGAGCAGGTGGGAACCCCCTGCGCTGGGCCAAACAGCGTGCCTCCCTCCCTTTGCACCTCCCCAGTCCCCCACGGCACCCCCCAGTGTGTCTCTACCAAACACTCAACTGCCTTCCTCTCCCCTGACCCCACCCGCCCAGGGGAAGCCAGGCGCGGGCCAGGAGCAGCCCGAGGACAGGACAGGCGCCCCGCAGAGGGAACCCGAAGGGAAACAAAAGGGGGACGCGGAACCTCAGAACAGGGTGGAGGAGGAGGAGGAGGAAGAGGAGGAGGAGGAGGAGGAGGAGAGGCAGCTGCTGGGGGAGTTCGAGAAGGAGCTGGAAGGAATCCTGCTGCCGCAGGACCGCGCCCAGCTGCGCTCGGAGGTGAAGGCCGGCATGGAGCGGGAGCTGGACAGCATCATCCAGGAGGTGGGCGCAGCCAGGCCGCTGCTGTGGGGCGGGGCTGGCCAGGGGCTGTTTACTTAATTAAAAGGGGGCTGGGGGGCGCAGAGGGGAATGAGGCGTGCACACGAGGCTCGCCTGCGGAGCATGGCCCCCGGGCCCCCGCCCCCACCCTGACTCTCCTCCCCCTTGGGCATTCCAGACAGAGAAGGAGCTGGACCCCGACGGGCTGAGGAAGGAGTCGGAGCGTGACCGGGCCATGCTGGCCCTGACGTCCACTCTCAACAAACTCATCAAAAGGCTGGAGGAAAAGCAAAGTCCAGAGGTGGCGAAGAAGCACAGGAAAAGGAGGGTTGTCCCCAAAAAGCCTCCCCCACCGCCCCAGCCAGCAGGTGAGACTGTCAGACAGGACAGAGCCGCCAGGTCCGCTGTCTTCATCCCCAGTTGGTGTCCCCGGAGGAACCCCCCGGGAGTGCTCCTCCTCCCCCTCCCGGGTGCTCCTTCTCTGCCCACCGCTGTTCCCTCTCGCCGTCCTGCCTCCTCCGTCCCTTGGCCCGGTGACCTCCTCTCCCCCTCCGTCCTTTCGGAAGCAGCTGTCAGAGCTGGTCAGTCTGGTTTTCTGGCTGAGCCTGCGCGCCGGAGCCAGCTGTGGGCCGGAGCCAGCTGTGGGCCGGGCGCAGAGTGGGATCAGTAGGTGCTGAGCGGACGACGGTGAGCCTCGGTGCTGAAGACCGCACGTCCGTGCAGGATGCAGCTGACGGCCAGTTAGGGCTTCCCACCCTAGGGAGGAGGCGTTCAGGGGACCCAGCTGCTCTCAGCCTGGACAGACTTGACGTTGTTCCTTCTTCTCGCGCCCCCTTGTGGCCACTCTGCGGGCCCTGCGGTGTCCGACATTCCCGGTGGAATGTTCCTGTTTGAGACGGTCCATTTCAGTATCTGTCAACCCTGAAGTGTCTTTTGAGAGCCACCGGGGAGGCCCAAACCACAGATTTCCAACCGCTTTTTAAAACAAAGCTCGGTTGGCCCAGGTGGCCTGGTTTTTGCTTCGGAAAACAAAGCCTTTCCTGCGGGTGATGGGCAGGGCTCCTGGGGGAGGCGAGAGGGGAGGCTCCAGTTGGTGGTGGGCGCTTTGTAGGCCGGAGCGGGGCGGCGGGGGCGCACACGTGTGCGCTGAGGCCTGGCACACCTACACTTGGTTGGGAAATAAGCAACCTCCGAAGGCGGTGGCTGGCTTAGGGGAGGCGCCCGCCTTGGCCCCGGGGTCACGCCCCTGCTTTGTGTCTCCCTGTGTGTCTCCCCTCCAAGAGGAGGATCCTGAGCACAGAGTCCGGGTCCGGGTCACCAAGCTCCGTCAAGGAGGCCCCAATCAGGATCTGACTGTCCTCGAGATGAAACGGGAAAACCCACAGCTGAGACAAATCGAGGGGCTGGTGAAAGAGCTGCTGGAGAGGGAGGGGCTCACAGCTGCAGGTGGGCCCAGGGGGCGGCTGGGCTAGGAGCTGAGGCCTCCACGGAGGGGCTGGGCCCAGGTGGACTGGAGCCCTCGGCTGGGGGCCGGGGGGCAGAGGACCCGCGCTGGAGCCCCCCCATCCGCTCCACTCACCTCCCATCCTGCTCCCATCCAGGGAAAATTGAGATCAAAATCGTCCGACCCGGGGCTGAAGGGGCAGAGGAGGAGGCGCGCTGGCTGACGGATGAAGACACGAAAAACCTCAAGGAGATTTTCTTCAATATCTTGGTGAGAGGACCCCGCCCCAGCCCCGGGCCCCCGGGCCCCTCCTGCACCTGCGGCGCGAGGCAGTTTAGCGCCCCATGGGTGCACCCCCCCACCCCGCCTTTCTCTCAGCTTCAGTCTCCTCGTCAAGCCAAGGGGGGGTTTCTGGCAGCGGCGCGTCCTGGCTCCCCGCTGAGCCCCAGAAGCAGGCACCCCCTCCCGCCCTCCCGCCTCCAGTCCCTCCCGCCGCAGCACCCAGTGTGCGCCTCAGCGCTGGCGGCAGCCCCAGCTCACCCCACGCCTTCCCGCAGGTGCAGGGCGCCGAGGAGGCCCAGAAAGAGCGGCAGCGGCAGAAGGAGCTGGAGAGCAATTACCGCCGCGTGTGGGGCTCCCCGGGCGGGGAGGGCACGGGCGACCTGGACGAGTTTGACTTCTGAGGCCACCGCTCCCGCGGACTCTCAGGGGGTCCAGAGTCTTCCCGGACGGGTCTCGTCGCCTCCCACCCACCACCCGGGGCCTGAAGGCGAAACAGCAGAGGAGAGCCGAGCTGTGGACTTGGGGGGCCCGCCTGGGAGTGTGGAGGGGCGCAAGGAGTGCTGCTGCTGCTGCTGGAGCCACCTCAGAACCCCAGGCCTGCGAGTCCCCTTCTTCCAGGCCACTCCTCACACGCTCCCTTGCCCCGTCTCTCCAGGGGGTGTCGCCACCCCCTAAGCCACTGGTTCTTGTCCCCTCCCTCCCTCCCTCGGGTGTCCGTGGAGCTGTCGAGAGGCTACAGCTGGGGCTCCCGGGCCCTGCACCCCGGCCTCCTGCCGCTTGGCGCCTCCCTTCCCCTTGCTCCCGACAGCCCGTGCTTCCGAGAGGAGGCAGCTTCCCTTCGTTGCTGAGGAGATGGGCGAGGGTTGCCACCGCCTCTGACACAATCCCGGTGGAAAGGTGGGTGCCGACCTGCCCGCTGGGTTCTGGAACAATCAGGTTTCTAAATAAACAACTGGACCATCCGTCCGCCGGGCTCTTTTTTCTTCTTTCTAGGTGGCAGGCGGGGTGGGGGCGCAAGTCCAGATGAGGCTTAGTGTTCTCTGCGGGGTGAGGGGCACCTCCAGGCAGCATCGGTGGGGGCTGGGGCACAGGAAGGCAGACGGAGCCCACTGACCTGGTGAGGGCCGAGACGCCTGCAGGGCTGTGAGCCTCCGTCCCCTCATCTGGCCTCTCCCACCCCTTTCTGCTCGATACCAGGACACTCACCGGGGGGTCACTGCACCCCGGGGACCCTCCGCTGAACTCCCCCTGCAGGAGGTCACAGATTCCATTGAACACCACACCTGTTCCCACCTGGCCGTTTCACCTCCCACGCCCGAGAGGGGGCTGCTGCCCACGCATGCCAGCCTCCTAGTGTGCCAAGGGTGGGTAGGTGGGCCCGGGTGTGTCTCCATCTTTTCCTCATTGCCAAGGGCAAACGTTGGCCCCTACACCCCTCTCCCCTTGCTCCCCATCTCTGAGGTGCGCAGCCTTTCTGCTTGAGACGCTACAAGCTCCCAAGAAAAGGGGCTGAAAGGATGGAACGTCAGGTCCCAGAAGTGGGAAGGGAGGCCTGGGCCTGGAAGGGAGCGCCGCAGCGTGCGCCTTGCCTGACCGGGAGGCGTGAGCGGGTGGGCGTAAAGCCTGTCGCCCTGGATCCATTTGTGTGTCTTAAAGGGGAGGGAAGCTTCACTGGTACACGATGAGACGTCACCTCAAGGGCAGCAGGAGTCAGGATGCTGGGGCCAGGTCCTCACCCCGCATCTGCTGCCGTTGGGCCTTGAAGTTACACGACTTTCCAAGCGCTGTTTCCTCGGGGCTAAATCATGGATCGGTTAGCCGCCCCGGGCGGTGGCTGTGGGGACCGAATGAGCTACACGCACATCCGTTCTTGGCACGGCACCTGCACCACTGTAAGCGCCTGAATTCCCAGATTCTGAAGAGACTCGGGGCGGGGCACTTGGAAGCAAGAGTCTTGGGAGACATCCCAAAAGCTGGTTAAGAGCTACAGTCAAGGGCCTCGCTGGTGGCACAGGGGGTTGAGCACAGCACTGTGAGGCTGTCCGCAGCCTCCGCTGCACGAGTTCGATCCCCCCAGCTGGACAGGGAGCAACACACATGGCGCAGCAGACCTCTCCTGTCTCATCCACTGCTCCCCTCAGCAGTGGATTTCCGTCAGTCTGCCTGTTCTGCTCCCCACTCTGTCTCTGGGGAATCCTCTCACCCCCCACACTTATGGCCTGTACCCCACTTCTTGTATGCATAAATAAATAAATCTTAAAAAAAAAGAGCTACAGTTGACTCTTTTACAGTGGGAAGGTGGGGCAGAGGCTGGGGTGGGTGAATTATTGATGGGGATGGAGACTTAGCAGAAAGCTAAGTTCTGGAAACTTCACTAGATTAATAAATGCATACTTTTAATTATAAATTCCTTTCTACTTCCCTTTGGCTTTTGGTAAAACTCCCATGGGGAAGCTCCAGCTGTGCTAAGGCAAACAGAAGGAAGAAAGGGGGCTGGATGTGACTCCAGGCGGGGAGGGGCACGGCAGATGGCAGCGGGCCCAGCTGAGGACGCTGGGATGTGCAAGGGCAGCAGCTCTCCCTGGGCCTCCAAGGAGCCCCATTCAGAGTCCCAGTCTGCTCAGCTGGCAGGGTTCGTGTTTCGTCGCCCCACCCACTACCTCTACGCCTCCCAGGTGAGCGATGCAGCCCGTGGGAAAAAAGAATCCAGTATCTTGCCCGGTGCTGAGGTTTTCTGTAGGGAATGCCAAGGTCTGGGCCACCTTCTCACTGCTGGAAATGTATCCCACGGCCTGCGGTTGCCTGTGGTAATGTCTTCCTCCCAGTGTGCTGTTTCCTCCCCAGGCTCTTCTGAGGACGGGAATGAGCTGTTGTCACCAAGGAGGAAGCGGTGATGCGTGGGAGCATCCAGAGTGAGCTGGGGGGCCAGGTCTCCAGTTGTCTTCTGTGCTACTCCCCCTCTTCCGCTCGCTCTGCCCTTCCAGTCCACACACCTGCATCTGCACCTGTCAGTGCACCTGTACCCCCAAATTCGCACTTTGCCAGGTCAGGCAACCCAGCCCAGCATCTGCAGAGTCAGGGCCTCCATGTGCCTGGGACCTGGGCCCAGTGCTGGGCCCATATTTGTCATCCGGGCGGTGGGCATCAGTGTGCAGCTGAGGTCTGGGTCCCAGAGCCATTCGCTGGCTCCTCGGGACAGCGTGGAACGGCTGTCCCCAGCCTGCGCTGCCCCCTGGCTGCCCCTTTACCTGGGCAAAATCTTTGGCGATAGGGGCCTTCCTGGTGGCACAAGGGGTTAAGTCATAGCACTTTGAAGCTGTCCTCAGCCTCTGCAGCGCCTGTTTGATCCCGGCCTGCCGGCGAGGTTCCCACATGGCACGGCAGACCTCTCCCGTCTCGCCCGCTGCTCCCCTCAGCACTGGATTTCGTCAGTCTGCCTGTTCTGCTCCTCACTTTGTCTCTGGTGAATCCTCTCACCCCCTACACCCCAGCTCTTGGATGCATAAATAAATCAATCTTTTTAAAAAATCTTTGGCTACACACACGAATGGCAGGGCTGGCCGTGTGCTGGGCCACGGCTGCTGCGGCTCAAGGCAACACTGCTGCCCCCACGTGGCCACAGTGACCGTGCAGGTGACACGGCGGGGACAAATGGCTGCTTCAGCTGCCCATGGTTTGTGGACACCAGCGATCTCTATGGCCAGGAGACCCTCCACATCTCCCCACCCCTCTCAGGAGAGGGACCCTATCGTGAGCGCCACTCCTGTACCAGGTGACGAGAGCAAGCGGGCAGGCCGGGGCTTCCCCAGTCAGCACGGAACCCCTACCAGGTGCTCAGGCCGCGGCCCAGGTAAGCAGTTCAAGGCCTCCTCGCAGTCACCTGGAAGGGCCGATTTCAAACTCAGACCTGACTCCGGGGACTCTGTTCTTAACCCAAGCTGCCCCGTCTGATCAGCTCTCACAACGGCGTCCTGCCCGTCTTCTGCGCACGCATCCCAGCTCCTGCTCAGAAGAGGGTCCTCCGGGAGCCAGTTGCTTCTCCGCGCCGAGTCCGCTGCCGCTCTGACCTGCCTGTCTCTCTCCACTGGGTGAGCCTGAGCAGCCGCACAAGAGGGTGAGTCTGACCGCCGCGCCCTTGACGGCCACCTGCCGCCAGCCCCGCGGCCCCCTCCCGCCTGGGCCTCCCCCCTCGGCCGCGGCCATTCCCTGGGGCCTCTGCGAGAACAGACCAGCAGCTCCACCCCTAGACAAAATCACTTCCTCTTTAATTGCCGTTGAAGAGTCACACCACCTGCCTCAGAGGAGATGGCGGCCCCCCGCCCCATCCCGCTCCTTCCCCGATTACCTGGTCCTTTGCAAAATATTTTAGCCAGGAAAAAAAAAAAAAGAGAGACCGGAAACCACTGACACAGACGGCCCAAGGGCTGGGTGGGCTGAGGGAGGCAGGACGGGGTCAGGGAAGCCACCCCACCTTTCTGGAGCTGGGGCAGGGGACCCGGAGACCCTCCCGGCAGCCCACACCCTCTTAGCCGCGGCCGGGAGGGTCACGGGGAGGGACAGAGGGTGTGGAACCGCTGGGGGGGCTGGACAGGAAGAACAGGGGGGCGGGGGGCCACTGCAGAGGTACCCCTCACCCGGTCACCACGGGCGCTGCACAGTCACAGGTACGCAGTCACGGTCACAGACACTCACAACCCGAGGGCACCCACCCCACCCCACCCAACGCCCCCCCACGGCTCCCCTACCCCAGCCCTCCCCAGGCCGCCGCCCCTGCCCCCTTGTGGGGAGCAAAGCAATAAATTACAGGCCCCTCGCTGTCCCCGGCCAGCCCCGGCTTCTCTCCTCCCTCGAGATGGCAGTGAGGGGGCCCCGCTGTCGGCGCCCGGCCGCTGCTTCCATCCAGGGGTGGGGGACACACTGACTTCCACTCTCATGGTCCCTTTCACGGAAAGGGTTGGGACCCCTACCCCCGCGGGCAGCGAGGGGTCCTGCCCCTCGCTGCCCTTCCCCCTCACTGGGCAGTGAGATTAGCATGGAAGGGGGGTCCCCGCGTTGGCCGAGTCCGGGGGCAGCCCCCCACGAACGACCCCTCCCTGTGGCGCGCGTCGCCCCAGGAGCCAGCCTGGGTGTGTGCCCGCCTCGGGCTGTCAGCAGGGCCGGACCGGGCTCTCCCGCCCTGGGGCGCAGCGGGATGTCCGGGCGCGAGAGCAGGTGCGGCGGGGTGGGGCGCCCCTTCGGCAAAAACCGACGGGCAGACGCCGAGCAATCCAGGGGGCGCGGGGCGGGGCGCGCTGCGCGGGGGTGTCCAGGCCGCGCGGGGCGGGGCGGGTCCGTCTCGGGGCTGCGCCCTGTGCTGTGCGGGGCTCCCGCGGGCGGCGAGCGGCGTCTCCTTCGCGGCTACACGAGCGCGACCGGGACGTCCGCGCGGCCCACGCTGGCGGCGCTGCTCCGGCGGCGGGGGCTGGGCGTGGCGGCGAGGCCGGGGGCGGGGGCCGCGCCGGGGGTGGGGGCCGCGCTGCCGCCCTCGCCGGGGCAGCCGTGCTGCAGCAGGATGTCGGCGCACAGCTGGCTGCCCGCCTGGCGCGCGTAGAAGAGCGCGGTGCGGCCCTGCGCGTCGCGGGCGGACACGTCGGCGCCGTTCTGGAAGGGGACCCCGCGTCAGCGCTGCGCCCCCGGCTCCAAGCCCCTCCCGGAGCCCCCGCGGGGCCGGCCGCCCCCCCCCCCCGCGCCCGGCCGCGCCCCGCCCCAGGGGGAGCCCTCGGGGAGCCCCGCGCGGCCCCCGCGCACGTACCCACAGCAGCAGCTGCGTGATGACCACGTGGGCGAGCTCGGCCGCCAGGTGGAGCGGGGAGCGCAGCTGCGGGTCCTCCACGCTGGTGTCGAGGGGCCCGTGCCGCGCGTGGGCCAGGAGGAGGAGCACCGCGGCCACGTCCTGGGCCTGCACCGCCGACCACAGCTGCAGGCCCAGGGGCGCCTCGGTCGCGCCCAGCGGCGCCAGGAACAGCAGCTGCTCGTACTTGGCGCGAATCCACGACTCACGCTCCTCCCTGCAAGCGGGACCCGCCCGCGTGAGTCCTCCCCGACCGCCGGCCGGGGCCTCTGCCCCCCCCGGGGCGTCCGGGCGGCCCCTCCCCGCGCGCGCACGCACCGAGAAGAGTCCCGCGTGGGCTTGGCGCGGCCTCGCGTGTCGCTCTCCCACACGCGGTTGGCCATGTCGTTGCCGATGGCCGTCAGCACCAGGGTCAGCTCCCGCGGCCAGTCGTCCAGGTCGAGCGAGCGCACGCGGGACAGGTGCGTGCCCAGGTTCCGGTGGATGCCCGAGCACTCGATGCAGATGAGCGCGCCCAGGTTCAGGCTGGCCCACGTGGGGTCTGCGGACAGAGCGCAGGTCGGCGCGGGCGCCCCGGCGGCGGGGGGGGGGGGGGGGGGGAGCCGCCCCCCTCCCGGGCCTCGGCCGCCCCCTGGCGCTCACTGGGGGCCCCGCAGTCCACGCAGGTGGCGTTGCCCTGGGCGTTGCGGATCGCCTGGATGGCCACGGCTTCGCTCTGGCTGTCGGTGCGCAGCTGCAAAAGGCCTGGCGTCAGAACCGACCCCCGCGAGGCCTTCTCCGGGCCCCGCAGGCTCCCCTGCGCCCCGCGCCCGCCCCTGGCCGTTACCTTGACCTTGCTGCTCTCACAGCACTGCAGGCTGGCGAGGATCTGACTCTCGATGGCCTGGACCCAGGCGTCGCGCTCCTCAAAGCTGGCCGCCTCGAAGTGCCACGTCTGACCCGTGCTGGACACAATCAGGAACTCGAAGTTCTCCTCTGGGTGGGGGGATGGGACGGGATCATGAGGGGCAGCGTTCAAACCGGGGCGCCATCCTCAACCCCTTCCTCCCTGATGTCATCCCAGGCCCCTGGGGGGGGGCTGACGGGTGGGGGAAGCAGAGGGCGCGGGAGAGCAGGAAGCCCCAGCGCATGCAGGGGAAGGCAGGGGCACCCCCATCGCTCTGCACCCCAGCTGAGCGCCCCTCCCAGCTCCCCGCTTGTTACCTGCTTTATAAATATTTCTTAAACTACCAAAGGATTTTAGTTTCCACATTTTGCGCTTGGCTGGTTTCCCGAAGCGAAGGAGATAGAGACAGAGTGGAGAGGGAGCGGGCGCAGGAAGAGACCAGGGAAGGAGAAAGAGAGGCAGCGGAGAGGTGGAGAGAGAGGGACAGTGCCGGAGACAAAGCAGGACAGACAGGTGGGGAGAGAAAGCAGAACCAAAGTCAGTGGCCCCGGAGCAGAGTAGAGCGGAAGCCGAGAGCCAGAGAGGAGGCGCCCTGGAGCCTGGGTGCGGGCCCAGCCGTGGGCAGGCGGGGCCGGTGACCGTGACCCCCAAGGAGCCAGGTTCCCGGGGCGGGGAAGGGTCTGGTGCACAAGGAAAGGGGGGCAGAGCAGGGTCACCAGCCTGGGGGGGGCCCTGGGGTTCAGGAGTCACAGAAGTTCGGGCAGAGTCCCTGGGAACAGGAACGGGGATCCCTGTGGTCAAGGACTTCGGGGGGGGGGTTGGCCATGAAGGGACAGTCTGGAGACAAGGGGCTGCGTGCTCCCAGAGTCCGGGAGCTGAGGCGTCGGTGGGGGGACACTGAGGTCAGGGATTGAGGAACTGGGGGTCCTGTGGGAGCAGGGGCAGCCATGGTGAGGGGAGTCGAGGGCATGAACTGGAACTTGAGGGTCATCAGGCAAGGAAGTCAGAGGATGGGGTTCACGGAGGCCAGAGACTGGGGGCCCCTGGGATAAAAGGCGGTGGTGCTGAGGAGTGGGAGGTGGGGCAGGGGTCGAGGGTCTCCGTCCTCTGTCACTGAGTTGCGCGCGGAGTGGCGCTGGCGGGCAAGCGCGCAGCTCAGGCGCCTTCTCGCCCCGCAGGGGCCAGGCCGGGGACCTGGAGTCGGGGTGGAGGCTGGAGGGGGTGGCGCTGCCCGCGAGGGCCTCACCTTCAGCCTGCCCAGCGGAGCCTTCAGTCTTGGATGGTGTCGTCAGCTTTTTCCTCCTCTGCTTCTTCACCATGGGAGAAGGAGGGGGTTCCCGACTCAGGGGGCTCAGGTCTCCGGATGGGGTACAGTCTTAGGGAGGAGGACACAGCTGCCTCAGCTGCCCCCTCCACAGGTTTCCTGACTTCTCCTTAGCTTATCTCCTCCCCAGGACTGATGTTGGCCTCTAGGCCTCCTGTCCTCAGCTCTCCCTCTCCCGGCCCCCCGATCATTCCTCGGGAGTCTGGCGAATTAGCAGTTTAGAGTAAGACCTGCACGCAGGCCCTGGCTCTGCCACCGACTGGCCTGGAGGCCTCGAGAAAGCCACTTAATCTCCTGAGCCTCCGTTTCTTCATCCCTAAAACGGGGACAATAATCTTGACCTGGGCCTCCCTGGTGGCTCAAGGCTTAAGACGCAACCTATGAAGCTGTCCGCAGCCACCGCAGCTCCAGTTCGATCCCCTGCCAGCCAGGGAGCTCCCCACATGGCGCAGCAGACCTCTCCTGTCTCCCCGCTGCTCCCCTCAGCAGTGTGTTTCAGTCGATCCGCCTGTTCTGTTCCCCGCTCTGTCTCTGGTGGATCCTCTCACCCCCCACACCTTTGGCCTGTACCCCAGCTCTTGTGTGCACAAATAAATAAATAAATAAAAACAACCCTCAGAGACAGAAGAGGAAACTGAGCAATGCAAAGGCCCAGTAATGTGCCCAAGCGGCAGGTCAGGGTTCAAGGTCAGGCAGTTTAGCCCTAGAACCCACTTGTCTTCGCCGCTGTGATAAACCTGGTAGGAATGTGATAAGCCCAGGAGGCGCTCAGTGCGTCACGTGCCAGTCACGCGTGGACCCGGCCTCCGGCTTCCACCGGGTGTCAGTGCCCACCCACACCCCCTGTGGAGGAGGCGCGCTCCTTACTGACCGGTGCTGAGCGCTCGGGCCAAGCTCCGGTCTGGCTTTAGCAGGTGTCTGGATGTCTGGTCTGGCGGGGGCTGCAGGGAGCTGGGGCTGGGGCTGGGGCTGGGGGTGGGCGTGGTGGCTTCGGCTGAGGGGCAGGAGGAGGAAACCTCAGTGAGCCTCCCCGCCTCTGGGCCATTCCTTACCCTCCGCAGCACCCGCCTTCCCGATCCCCCACGCCCAGCCCCCGCGTCCCCGTTCCCTCCTTGCTCCCCACCCGGGACCCCTCCCGCCCCCTCGCCGTGAGCCCCACGCACCGGGACCTTCGCCCATCTGGACGGTGCTCATGTCCTTGACCAGCCCGTTGATGCTGGCCGAGGGGCCAAAGGCAGAGATGGCTCGTGGGGGCCGCTTGCCAGGGACTTTGACTGTCGTTCGCAGCAAGTCCATCTCCTTACCGTGGGTGCTGTGGATGTAATCCTGGGGGGCACAGGGGTGTCAGGGAGGGAAGCATGGGTCCCTCGGTGGTGCTGCCAAGCGTCCAATAGGGAGGAGCTGCAGAGGGAGCTCTGGGGGCCGGAGAGGGAGCTCTGGGGGCTCCCGGGCTGGGACGAGCTCCCGGAGAGCGAGGCCCGCCAGGAGCCGGCTCTGTGTACTCCGGAAAGCGTCCCCGAGTGACAGGCTGGGTGGGGGTCCTTCCTCCATGCGCACCCCCAGGACTGCAAGTTGGGGCGCTGGATTTACTTTTCCATCCCCGGCATGGGCCACGGACGCGCCTGCACAGGACACAGGCCTTGAGCCGCGCAGAACCAAGTTAGTGCTCGGCGGCGGCCCAGAGGAGCAGAGCGGGGGGCACCCGCGGCCCGCCCGCCCCACTCACGTTGATGCTGGGGTGGTAGAGGAGGAAGCCGTTGCTGGACAAGGTCACGTATTTCTTCTTCCATTCTTTGTTCAAGGAGTTGCCACTCCGCTTCAGCAGGAAGCTCTGGGGTGCGCGACGCGCGGGAGAGGAGCCAGTCAGGACCCGCTGCCCCCCCACGGCCGCCCCCCGCCCCCATGTGGCCCCGGCCCCCAGCCCGCCCACCTGCTTGATGGGGATGGCTCGCCCGCTGCCCGTCGTCTCTCCCCGGCTGTCCAGGCTCCGTTTCTCAGAGTCACTGCCCCGCCGGTTCTGGAATGACGGCGGGCGCCAGTCAGGGGACAGAGGGGGTGATGCTGGACGGACGGGTGAAGAGGGGCCCACCGAGGGGCCTTGACCGCGCAGGCGGCAGGGCGGGGGAGGGGAGGGCGCCGCAGACCCCGTACCGCAAAGAGACTCGTCCTGCGCTTGGCCGCCCGGTGCAGGGACCCCGGGGTGCTCAGCCCCGCCACCGCCGCCTCTGCTCGGAGCTCCCGGTGGCCGACATTGGGGGAGGACGGGAGGGAGGAAGAGTAGTCGCTGGTGTGGCCGCCGTTACTGGCCTGGGGGGGACAGAGGGGTCAGCGGCACACGCGAGGCGCCCCCGCCCCACAAGGCCGCCGTGACCCCTGGACGTGAGAGCTCGAGAGTTTCCCTGATCTCGTCGCTATCCGCTCGCCTCGCCGGCGACAGTGGAAGTCCTCGTGCGAGTTGCGCAGCGCTTCGGTTTTGCAAAGCCGGCTTCACACGCAGCGTGCGGCTGACCTCCCGGCCTTGGGGGGCTTGGGGACTGGCTCCAGGGTGGCGGGAACCGCGGTTCAGAGCTGGTGGATCTCCGGTCCACGCACTTTCTACAAATACTGTCACTGCCTTGTCCGGCTGCCTGCCCCGGCCTCCCGGGTGGGGTCCTGGGCCCAGCGCCCTTCCTCTGCATCTTATCGGCCCCCGCGAGGGACTCGGAAGCCACAACTTACCTGCCCAGCCACAGGCGTGGAGGCAGCTGAGTGGCTTGGAGAGCTGGGCAGGGACTTGCAGGCCGCCAGAAGCTGTTGCTGTTTGCGCAAAGTCACCACCTTCTGGGCCACTGAAGGGGAAGGGAGGGTGGAGCAGGACAGAGACCCAAGACCCTCTTCGATCACTCGTCGGTGCTCAGATCTGACCAATTCCCAGGAGAGGACCCAGGCCCCACGTCCCCGGTCACTGTGGCCTCCGTGCCGCTGCCTGTAAGCTCCCAGCTCCTCCAGCCCCAAGGGCCTGGCGGCCGTGAGGCAAACGTCTGACCTCGCTGCTCCCTGCTCCCACCCACGTGCTCCCGCCCACGAAGGCTAATCTCCCATCTCTCACTGAGAGAGGCCTAGACGCCTGTCCTCGAAGAACCTGCCCTCTAAGAACACACCAGGCTCCCAGCTCCCTGGCCCCTGCATGTGCTCGGGATCCCGCGCTCACCCTCCTGGAAGACCCGGTCCACGTTGAGCCCGTAGGTCGCGCAGGTCTCGTAGTAGCTGCAGCGCTTCATGTCTGCACACAGGGCCCGGGCGCGGGCGTCGCCCACGACCCGCGGGGAAGAGGCGCTGATCCTGTCTGCAAACAGGACAGGCGCAGGGTTGGGGGGTCTCCCTCACTGTCCCTGCTCTCCTTTCTGTGCGCCAGCCCCAGCGAAGAGAGAAGGTCCCTCTCAAGGCCACCTGGGTGGCGTGTCCAAGCCCTGAGCGCCGAGCACAGGTCCAGGCCCCGCGCGGCGTGAGCAGGGCTGAGCTGCGTGTGTCCAGAACATGCCAGAGGGGAGTGGAGATTTCTGACAAGGGGTGAAATAGGTGAGACTCGCGAGAGACCTTCATCCTGCCTGGACATCCAGTGAGCTCTGAGCTGCAGGGCTGGACACCTGTGGAAACCAGGAGGTGCCCACGCCCCCGGCAGGCCGCTGGCTGTGCGAGGAGCAAGGCGGCGAGCAGCAGGAGCCGGCAGGCCCTGCAGGCCAGGCTTCCAGGCGGAGAGCCCTGCCCACTCCACACAGGGGTCCTCCCTGGGCCAGATGGACAGTCCGACAGCCTCCGCATCACTCCTTTGAGAACTGCAGGTCTGTTGCCCTCTGCTTTCTCCCATGCTGGCTTTGGGTTTTCTCTTTGTTTTCAAATACCTTCCTTTAAAAGGAATCAGCCTGACCCAGCTGTAGCAAGAGGCCGAAGCGTCAAAGATTTTCTACCCACACCAGGACCTCTGAGATTTTCTCTGTGTTCCGCCATGGTGGCATGGGGTGTCCCGCCGTGGTGGCACGGGGTGTCCCGCCGTGGTGGTATGGGGTGTCCCGCTGTGGTGGCATGGGGTGTCCCGCCGTGGTGGCACGGGGTGTCCCGCCGTGGTGGTATGGGGTGTCCCGCTGTGGTGGCATGGGGTGTCCCGCCGTGGTGGCATGGGGTGTCCCACAGCGGTGGCATGGGGTGTCCCACAGCGGTGGCATGGAGTATCCCATGGCATGGTATGGGGTATCCTGCAGCGTGGCATGGGGTGTCCCACAGTGGTGGCAGGGGGTATCCCACGGCATGGCATGGGGTGTCCCACAGAGTGGCATGGGGTATCCCATAGTGGTGGCACGGGGTGTCCCATGGCATGGCATGGGGTATCCTGCGGTGTGACATGGGGTGTTCCGCAGTAGTGGCATGGGATGTCCTGCACTGTGGCATGGGGTGTCCCACAGCGGTGGCATGGGGTGTCCCACAGCGGTGGCATGGAGTATCCCATGGCATGGTATGGGGTATCCTGCAGCGTGGCATGGGGTGTCCCACAGCGTGGGATGGGGTGTCCCATGGAGTGGCACGGGGTATCCCGCGGCGTGGCATGGGGTGTCCCATAGTGATAGCATGGGGTATCCCACAGTGTGGGATGGGGTGTCCCATGGAGTGGCATGGGGTATCCTGTGGCGTGACATGGGGTGTTCCGCAGTAGTGGCATGGGATGTCCTGCACTGTGGCATGGGGTGTCCCACCGTGGGGGCATGGGGTGTCCCGCCGTGGTGGCGTGGGGAAACGGCAGTGTGTGAGCCCAGGGAGGTGACATCTCAGGAGAGGGGAGGAGACTGCTGCTGTCTGTCCCTTTCTCCTGGGAGAGTCCCCCCTCTGCCCAGGCCTTGAGGCGTTGGCGCTGGGCTAACGGCTGCCTTATTTGGAGAGCAGGCGCCTCCGGGCAGCTACGAACATCTGAAATGTGACCATGTCCGGCCCTCACCAAGCTGTCACCTCTGTGGGCATCTCAGGGCCTCCCCAGGAAGCAGTGCTTCCCCAGCCCCACCTTACCTTGTGTCCCCACCAGCGCCAGGGCCAGACCCCCTCGGCCCTCCCCACGGAGGGAGCTCAGCTGCGCGTGGAGATGGCTCACGGCCTGGAAACTGCTCTCGTCCTCCAGGCTGAAGACCAAGATGACAGCGTCTGCCCAGCCTGAGAACTGGCGAGGAGAAGGGAGCAAATGGAGGGTCAGAAGAAGCCACTCCCCTGGACGCTATCCGCGGGGTGCCTAGGAGGCCAGGCCTATCCCTCGGCCAGAACCGGCCCCGGCCCACCTGCCGACCCCTCCCCTCCCCCCTCACCTTGGCGTCAGGGGCCCCGGCTTCCTCTCGGATCAGCACCAGATGGGTCTGTCCGTCCACCAGCATCTCTTTCTTGTGCTGTTCACCTGCCCGGAAGGAGCGGAGGAGGCAGCTGATCAGCCGTCACGGTCGCCTGACACCCCCCCCACCCTGTGCTTGAGCTACCTGTTCCCCTTGGGGTCCGCACCTGCCTAGTCACTGATCCCGACCCTGAGCCCACCCTTAGCTTCCGGTGACTCCTGAGAACTCACTCTCTGTCTTCTCCAGCACCTGGTATGACCCCGTCAGGAACCGGTGAACCAGGGATGACTTCCCACTCCTGGCGTCTCCCAGCACGCCCTGGGGACAGAGACGGAGCGGAGATGGTGGGGAGGAAGAGGAAGCGGCACTTGGCTTGGAGCCTCCAGAGAGCTCAGGGGACTGGCAGTGCCAAGTGTCGAAGGAGGATCCCGCAGGGCCGGGATGAGAGTGGAGGGCAGCATTGGGGGAGCTGGGCCACGAGTAGGGGAAGAAGTCACCCCAAGTGGCTTCCCTCACAGTGGACCCAAGTTGAAGAATGTCACAGCTCAGGACCAACTTTTGTGTGTCATTTCGGAAACACACCAGTTGCGTGTGTGTGTGTGTGTGCGCATGTGCACGTGTGTGCATGTGGCATGGCACAGCCTGAAGTATTCGTGGGGAAGTTTCACCCACTTCCAGGCAGCAGAACCCGAGGTGCTAGAGGGAGAAACCAGAAATGCGGGCGGGTCTGACCGTGGACCCACGGAGGAGCCAACGGTGGGAAGTTCGGCCCAGCCCCAGGGCAGCGCCAGGAGGCGCGGCTGCAGGATTCAGGAGAGCTGGCACGCCCGGTGGTGCTCGCAGAGAGGGCGAGCGGGCAGAGGAGAGGCGGGGAGGGTGCGGCCGGCGGGGCATCAGCCTCTGCACAGAGGCCCGGGCTACCTACCAGGCGCAGTTCGGGAATGGAGCGGCTCAGAGTCCATTCCTGGCTGTTGACCACGGCCTCTGCGAGCGAGAAGGCGGTAAGGGGGGCGCTCCAGGCCCGGGAGCCGCCCCCCTCGGCGGCCTCACCCCCGCGGGACCCTGCCGGGGCTGGAGGCCGCGCGGGCGGGCCCCCCAGGCCAGCGTCTCCCGCGCGGGGCCGCGGCGCGCCGGTTGCCTAGCAACAGAGCCAGCAGCCGCGAACCCCGGAGTCGGCGCCTCCCCGGGCGCGTCCCCGCCGCCGCAGGTCCCCGGCCCGGCCCGGGCCCGGCCCAGACGAGGCCGCCTCCTCCCTCTGGAAACGCGCGGGGGGAGCCCCTCTCCCGAGAGCCGGGCGCCCGGGCGGGTCCCGGGGGGAGCTCCGGCCGAGGCGGGGGGCCCCCCATCTGCGTGTCGCGGGAGAGAAGCTGAGGTGAGGACCACCCCGTCCCCGTCTCAAGGTCAGCAGCGAGGCGGCCCCGACCCCCCGCAGTCCCAGGAACGGGGCGCGGATTCCCCCGTGCTCCCTCTCCGAGGCCCCCCGCGCGCCCCAAGAGCGGCGGGGAAAGGCCGCGTGCCCGGCCGGCGCAGACGCGGGCGGGGAGCCGGGCGGCGAGGCCGAGCTGCTCCCGCCACCTGCCCGCGCCCGGCCCGCCCGCCGGGGCCGCCCCCGCGCCCGACTCGGGCCGGGCGCTCTCGGGGCGCGCAGCTGCGGCGGGGACGCTGGGATCCGCCGCCATCTGCTCCCCGCCCGCTCCGGAGCCAGAGCCCGGGGCCGCCCCCGCTCCCGGACCGCCCCCCTGCCGGGAGCGCGAGCCGGGCGAGGCCCGCGCCGGCGGCTCCCCTCCGCAGGAAGAGCCGCCCCCGGGCGTGGAGGAGCCGCGCCGCCGTCTCGCGCCCTCCAAGCCCGGGGCGCGCGGCCTGCGCCGCGGCTCCGCCCCCTCGGTCGCTCGCGGGGAGCCCCGGGCCTCGGGCAGCTCCAGGCCGGTGCGCGGCGGGGACCCGGCTGCCCGCGGCGCGTGGAGGGCCCGGCCTGCGCCCGGGGGGGTGGCCTGCAAGGTCACTCTCACGCCGGCGGCCCAGCGCCCGGGGAAACTGAGGCCTCCTCGGCCCCTTCGCCTGAAGGTCCCCCCGGGCAGCGCACACGCGGTGTCCACGCTCCCGGCGCCCAGCGAGGCGGGAAGTGGCTCGGGGGCTTCCCTTGGCGCCCCTGCACCGTCCCTCCGCCCAAGGGCACGGGCTTCCCAGCCGCTCCCGGCCGTCCAGGCCCTCCGAGACGCGTCACTCTCCAGGCTCACAGGCAGCTGCTGACCCCCGAAACCGCACTCTGGGCCCCAGCGCCCGCAGAGCCCGGCCTGGCTCACGGCCCACCCGCGAGGCTTCCCGAGTTCGAGTCCGCCCGCCGGCCCTCCCGGGCTGAGCACCCCGCGCCCCCCCAGGCCCGGCCCTACTCACTAGGGGACGTGCGGAGCTCTGCGCCCAGCAGCTCCCTGGACCCGCTGCTGGAGGACAGGCCCGGGGGTCCGGCGGGGGGCCCGGAGCCGGGCGGCCCCCCTGTGCTCTTGGTGAAGATGCCGCTGATGAACTTGAGCATCTTGCGGTCGCGAGTGGAGGCGCGGCCCCCCTCGCGGCCCCGTTTCAGCCCCGGAGCCGGGGGCTCCAGCGTGAGCGGCGGTGCAGGCCCGGCGGGCTGCGCGGCGGCGGCGGCCGGGGCCGGGCTGGGCGCCGGGACGGCCAGCGGGGGCGGCGAGCCGGCGGGCGGCCCCGGGTGCAAGTCACTGTTGTCCAAGGTCTTGCTCTTGCCTTTGCGCGGGGACAGCTTGCCTCGCGCGGCGGGCCCGGCGCCGGCCCCGCCGGGGGCCGCGGCCGCCCCAGCCCCGGCGCCGGCCGCTGCGGAGCCCGCGCCGCCCTTCGGCCCCTTGGCCCGGGGCTTGGCCTCGCCCTCGGGCCATGACAGGCGGCTGCCCGCGCCCTTGGCCGCGCCGGCCTTGGCGCCGCTCGTGGTCACGGTCTTGCCCGGCTTGGGGGCCGGCGGGGGCGGCGCCACCTTGAGCCTCCGGCTGCCGGTGCCGGGGTGCGGCGAGGACGAGCCGGGGACGCCGCCGCCCGCGCGGCCCTCGGGCTCGGGGCCCCCCCAGCTCGGGCTGCTGAGCAGGGGGCGTCGCGCGGCGGCGGGGGCGCCCCCGGGCCTGGGGTCCGGGCTCAGCCCCCCGGGGAGCGCGGGCCCGGGCGGGGCGGCCCAGAGCGAGAGGCGGCGGCCGGGCGCGGGGGACGCGGGGCGCGCCGGGCTGGCCGGGGCGGGGGGCTCGGCTCCCCCGGCGCCCGCGCTGCTCGTGCTGATCCACAGCGCATCCTGCCGGTGGAACAGGCGCTCGTGCCGCTTCTTGCCCGGCTCCTCCGCGCCCCGGGGGCTGCCCGGGTCCCCCGCCTCGGCGCCCCTGGCCCCGGGGGCGCCCGCCGCGGCCGCGGACGGGGAGGGGGGCGGCGGGGGCACCGACTCGAGCTTGACCAGGGTCAGCGAGATGAGGTAGGTCGTTGTCCGGCGCTGCAGCGCGCCCGCGCCCCGGCTCATGGGGCCCCGAGACCCCCGAGCTGGGGAGGGGAGGGGGCTCCCCCGGACTGCCTCAGGGGGGCCCGGCCATGGGGCCACCCTGCGCGCCGCCCCCCGTCCCCGGACCCCGCTGAGCCCCCGGCCCGCCTCCGCCGCCGCCTACGCCCCCCTCCCATCACACGGGGCGCCCCCTCCCCATGCTCCCGCCCTGCGCCCCCGCCCCGCTGGAGCCCCGGGACCTTGGTGCCGCTCCAGGGAGGCGCGCCGGGCCGTGCGCCCCGGCCTGGGTGGGGGCGCCGGGAAGGGCGGGGGAGGGCGCGGGAGTGGGGGGCAAGTCGGGAGGGAGAGGGGCGGGCGGGGGGCCCGAGGCCGGGGACGCGAGCCGCGCGGGGGGCGGGGGCGGGGTGGGGGCGCGGGGCGCCGAGGCTGCGGCCGGGGCCGGGGTCTCGGGGAGGGGGCCGGCGGGCCGGCGCGGGGGCTGCGCGGGGCGCGGGGCAGGCGCCGAGACGGGGCGCAGCGCGGGCGGCGAGGAGCGAGGCCGGGGGCCCGGGCCGGGGCTGCGAGGGGCGCGCGCGGTCCGGGCGCGGGGTCCGGGGCTCGCCAAGGCTCGGCCGGGTCCGGATGCGCGCTGTGTCCGGGCGCTCCCTCACATTGAGGAGGAGGCGGCCCCCGCCCCCCCACTCGATCCCCCCCACACCAGCAAGACGGTCTGCGAAGGCGGCGCAAAATCCAGGACTGGATTTCTCCTCCAAACCCTGGGCTGGATTCCCGGGAACCGGGGCGCGCCCGCTGCGCCCGCCCTCCCCGCGCCGGGGCCGGGGCCGCCGGGGGCTGCGCGCGGGGCGCGGGGGGAGCGGCCCGGGGCGGGCGGTCGCGGCAAGACGAGCGCGTTCGGGGCACTGACATTTCTGGAGAGGCTGAAGGGGGAAAGTGGGAAGCCCTGACAGCACCCCCTTTCCAAGCACCCCCTCTTCTGCCTCAGGTACTGGAAAGCAGTCCTTTCCCTGCGCCCCCACCCCTCCCCCGGCCCCCAATACACCGCCGGGCCGAGGCTGCAGGCCGGCTGTCCCAAAGTGAACTTGGACAGTGTCCCCTGGGGATGGGGACCAACACGGGACTCAGTGGGGTGGGGAGGGAGGGAGGGCGCCTCAGGAGGAAGACATGGGGGCCCCAGGAGCCGCGGCCTAAAAGAGAGTCAAAGGCTCCAGGTCAAGGTGGAAGGAAAAGGAGTCTGTCTACCGTTGACACCCCCCAAGCCAAAATGCATCCGGTCTCCATAGCAACCGCAGCTCCAGGAGTACCTCAGAAACAGCGGGGAGAAGCAGAGAGGAGGGATCCGTGTGGATGCTGGGTGGGGGACCCGCCGGGGGATTTTGGGTTATTGGAGGTTCTGTCCTCAACCCAGGTACCCACGAGTGGGGTACTTAGCACCCCCAACTGACAGGACCCCTCAGACGAGGCCCTGGAACCAGCCTCTTCTGGTTTTCCATCCAGTCTCCTGAGGTTTGTGGGCTGGGACTCTTTTAGAAGGTTAAAGAGGAGAGAGACAAACGGGTAATGTCTGCTCTGTGTCCCCCACACTTCTAGGGGCCCTGGGGTCCAATGCTCACTTTCCTCCAGTCCAGGGAGAAGGATGGAGGGGTTAGGCCAATGGGGGACAGAGGCTGAGACCCAGTAAAGATAGGGTGGGAGTTGGGAGAAGTCTCCCCAAGCCTTGGGGACCCCTCCCTGGGACATGGGGAGTCTCAGCATCCCCCTAATTTGGCGTCCCACCCTCCTGACGCAGCCGAGACTATAATAAGTGCTGTCGTGGGCGGCTCTTGGAGGCAGGAGCCAGCGGCAAGCTCCAAGCTTGCTAGGCCCGGTAGGGGGTGAGGGTGGGGGGTGGAACCAGGGCGCTGGGTGCCCTTTGTTCTCCCAAGACCTGTACCCACTACCTGGGAGGTGCTGCCCTGAGGTCACCCAACTTCCCCCCCACCACTCCCTGCGCCAGGATGACACAGTCCCCAGGAGAGGACATTTTCCAGTAGGCTCTCCGAAAGGGAGGGCGCTGGCTTGATTTCCTTCCTCCTTTGGTGGCCTCAGTTTTCTGTGTGTTCAATGGGAACAGAAGCGCGACTTTTCGGGAAGGAGTAGACACAGGACTTATAAGGAAAGAAGGGATTCCAGACTCTGCTCGTATCCCAGATTCCACTCTGCTCTTCCTCCTGCAGAGCGAAGCAGACCTCCCTCTTCCACCTGGCCTGGACAGAATTCCTCCCCTTTCTTTTTCCTGCAGGGCTGGGGCTTAGTTTTCCTCCCCAGCAGCTCCCATGGGGCCACTCCCCCTAACACGAGCCGCCAAGGTGGGGAGATGCCAGCTGTAGCTCTTGGCAAAGGGTGGGAGACAGGAGGTGAGAGGGGCACCCATTTCAGAAGGGCAAGGGGAAGGGGAGCAGACTGTTCCCCTGACAGCCTGAACCACACTGTTCCTCCCCCAGCGGATGCGCTGGGGCCTCTCCCAGCAGAGGGGCCTGCACGGGGCGTCCTCCAGGGAGACCACGGTCTCCTGGCCCATCGGTGAGGCTGCTCCGCAGGAAGAGGTGGGACGAGAACACACGATGGAAGGCCTGCTTCTCCAGCACCTCTCAGGAGCAGAGGAGCCTGTTTCTGGCAGCTCCGAGGGGCGTGAGATGAGAGCAGGCTGGAGGGGACCCCTGGTTCTGCCCGTCTCTTAGTGGTGGGGCCTTGTGGATGGGGAGCGACTGCTCCCGCCTGGCCCCACCGCAGGACTACAGGCTGGGGTGGGCAGGAGGATGTGGCGGATGGTGTTGCCATGGCAGCACTTCCTCCCTGTGTTGTCATCACTTGCTGTAATAGCAGGAGAGGTAGAGCGGAAGGTGTGGGGTGGGGGGGGGAGACAGGGGCAGGCACATGGGGAGGGGCGGACCAAGAAGAGTGCTGAGGACTTCTCTGCACTTTGCCTGCACACAGCACGCAGAGTGAGTGTAAGCACATGCTGGGAGCCAGCGTCTCTGTGTGTGTGTGTGTGTGTGTGTGTGTGTGTGTGCGCGCGCGCGCGTGTTTCTCTCTACAGCTGGAGAACAAGAGGTCACGGATCCTTCGTGGGGCCTGGGAATGGACACATTGTCCAGTCCCAGAACCTCCTGCCCCAGACTGCTTCCTGCTCAGCTCCCCAGGCAGGGTCCCCGTCCGCCGTGGGTCTGCTCCAGCCTGGTTCCCCCTCACTCCCCGACTTCTCCATTGCCAAAAAGGTCAGCTTAGCACTGACCTGGATTTTGATCCCTTGGGAGGAGGATGGGAATTGGGAAGAGGAGCAGTGATACCCCCCGCATCTTTTTCCATCCTTTTCCCAAATGCAGGCTTCCCTCGGGTCCCAGCTCCAGCCTGGGCACTAGGAAGTAGCTGATCGGGAAGTGACCCGGCCACTTCTGGTCCCTGATGCTCCCCAAGTGGGGAGCTGACCTCTCTCTTACCTTGTAGGCTGTCCAGTGAGGCTCGGAGGCTGTCCCGAAGTTCAGGGTCGCTCTCCCTCTCTGTCAGCTCCCTGAGGCGGTTCAGGGCTTGTTTGGCCACCTCATGTCTTCTGATTTCTGCTCTCACTGCAGCTGCAGTCACCTGCCTCTGGGCGTGCATGTTGCCCAGACCTGTTTTGCCAGGCTAACAGCAACCTCTGGCCCTGAAGCCCATGGCCCCCCAAATGCCCAGCCCCCAAAGCCCCCTTCTGCTGTGCTTCAGAACTCCCCGCCCCTGCCTGCCCTTCCGCCTCGTCTCTCGTCTGTGGGCCTCACTTCCTGACTGATGAGTTTCAAACCCACAGCTCGAGACAGCACTGCCTCCTGCACCTTCCACTCCCTCTAGCGTTGGTCTGGCAGCGCCGGCAGCCAGCCTCTGCGGATTCCCCAGCCAGGTGCGTGGGGAACTTGCATCCTAGGCCTCCTGTGGGAAGCGGGTAATTAAGACGGGTGCTGGTACAGGGAGAATGTGGCAAGCCAGGGCCCAGGTGCAAGCTCGGGCTCTTGGGGACCCACAGATTCGTGTTCACTTGCAAACGTTCACAGGAATCCATATGCACACATGGTCTGCCGCCCTCACAGCTCCGCTTTCCAGCTTACTTCTACTCACCTCTCACTGGACACATCCCAAGAGCCTGCATGCTTGTGTCTTGCAACGTAACCCTTCCTCAGTCAGCGACCCCGCTGCAAACACCTCCTGGTTAAAAGGGCCAAGTATCAGGCCTCCCTGGTGGCACAGGGGTTAGAGGCAGTGCTATCAAGCTATCGCCAGCCACTGCAGCACGAGTTCGATTCCCCGGCCAGCCAGGGAGCAACCCACATGGCGCAGCAGACCTCTCCTGTCTTGCCTGCTGCTCCCCTCAGCAGTGGATTTCAGTGGATCTGCCTGTTCTTTTCCCTACTCTGTCTCTGGTGAATCCTCTCACCTCCCCCAACTCTGGCCTGTACCCCAGCTCTTGTATGCATAAATAAATCTTTAGAAAAATAAAAGGGCCAAGTACCTGCGGGGCGGTTATGGAGGACAGTAACCTATAGTTAGACAAAACCTCTATGCTCCATGGTCACTTACTTTAATGATAAACGCGTTTATAGCCGCAGCACACTCTCATGTATATCATCCTCGCAGCAGGCCCGAAGGGTAGGGTTACTACCTCTTTTCTGCTGTAAAGGGAACAGCAACTCAGAGAGGCCACGAAGAGGTAAAACAGATACAGATCTGGGCTTCTGGTGAAAATTCTGATACCCCTTTCACTCTGCCACACAAACAAGGGCGCACATTTGTTTCCTTTATCCCTGACACCACTGTCTTGTCCTTGATTTAGGGCCTGAAGTAGAAGAGGGTGGGGTAGGAATTTAAGGACAGATGAAGACCTGGGTGGGATGTGAGTGGGAGGGGATGGTGGGTAGTTTCTTTGTTTCAGGACGCAAACCTTTCTGGCTCTTCCCAATGCTGCGTGTCTTCCTGATATTAATTTACGAGAGCAGCGCATGGGAACTGAGTGCATCTTTGTATAGTTGGAGGTAAGGAAATCGGGCTGGGATTACTCACCAGAAGCTGTAAAATAGCCTGAGCCATAACTGAGTGTTTCCCAAGTGCCAGGTACTATTCCAAGCCCGCTACATTTAGTAACTCACTCAGTCCTCACAGGCCAGGAGGTAGGTGTATGGCTGTTAACCCGTTTTACAGATAAGGAAACAGAGCTTAAGTAACTCACGGAGGCTACACAGTTGCTAAGCGCAAAGGGGACTCTTGCAGCCTGGCTCCGGCAGAGAGACTATATACTCAGCGGTCGCAGAATCCAAGGACACGCACCCCGAAGTCATACCGTGGGGGCCACAGGGAGGGTTTTCAGTTTTGTTCTTACTAGGGCTGCTTCTTTTTCATGGGGTAGAGGGAGCGTGCCCTCCCCACTCTGGTGACCAGAGCAGTGTGTCAAAGCACTTAATAATAAACATATTGGGGGCCTCCCCGGTGGTGCAGCGGTTGAGCGCTGGGTTACAAAGCTGCCCGCAGCCTCTGCAGCGCCGGTTCGATCCCCGGCTGCTCCCCGGCCACCGGAGGAGGGTCCCGCATGGCGCGCAGACCTCTCCTGCCGCCCACTGCTCCCCTCAGCAGTGTCCTTCGGTCCTTCTGCCTGCTCTGCTCCCCGCTCTGGCTCTGGTGAATTCTCTCGCCCTCCCGCGCTTCTGACTGTACCCAGTGATTGTATAAATAAATAAAGAAATCTTAAAAAAAAAAACACACACCAAGATAAGATATTGAAAAATAAAGGAGAAAAATGTAATTTGATACTGTTTAAAAATAAACATATTGGGCCTCCCTGGTGGCGCAAGGGGTTAAGCACAGCACTATGAAGCAATCAGCAGCCACTGCAGCACAAGTTCGATCCCCGACCGGCCAGGGAGCTACCCACATGGCGCAGCAGACCTCGCCTGTCTCCCCGCTGCTCCCCTCAGCAGTGTATTACAGTGGATCTGCCTGTTCTGTTGCTCCCAACTCTGTCTCTGGTGAATCCTCTCACCCCCCGCATCTCTGGCCGGCACCCCAGCTCTTGTATGCATAAATAAATAAATCTTTAAAAAAATAAAAAACACACTGATTAGCCATCATGCCACCCCCAGAGTGTGTGGGGGTCCGCTTTCCCGTCATGTGTTATACTCCAGTCCCCCCCTTTGTCCGTTTTTGCGAGACCCGGATCAGGCAGGCCTTTGAAGGCGCGGGCACACCTGTGTGCACCTGTGGTCTGCGGCCACACAGGCGCGCGGCCAGGCCTCGCGCGTGCACGCCGCGCGCCCGGGCGCAGCCACCCCGGCCCCTGCGCGCGCTTGGCGCGGCCTCCGCGTGTGGCGCAACAGCCCCAGCCCTGTTGTCATCATGAGGTCACCGCCGGCTGCGGGGGAGGGCGGGGCGCGCTCCCCGGAGGCGGGGCCCCCGCGCGCGCCCCCCGCGCCCGCCCCTTCCCGCTCGGCGGGCGTTTCTCCGGCGCGCCCCCCGCGGGCCTGCGCCCCCCGAGCCGCGAGCCCGGACACCGGCCGTCACCCCGCGGGCTTCGAGCTCGGGGTCCGGTCCCGGGAGCCCCGACGAAGCCCCGCCCCGAGCCTCAGGGCCACCCAATAGAGAGCCCCGGGGGGCGGGGGCCGGGCCGGGGCGTCGCGCGGGCTGATTGGCGCCGGGGCCCGACGCCCGCCCCGCCGGAGGCGCCCATCGCGGGGCGGCGGGGGTGCAGCGCAGCGGCCGGGGCCGGCGGGCCTGGATTTAAAGAGACAGCGGCTGTCGGGGCCCGGGCAGACGGTCGCCGGGACCCGCGCCCCGAGTCCTTGGGACCACTTGGGTCACCGAAGTCGGGGACATGGTTTGCGGCGGCTTCGCCTGCTCCAGGAACGCGCTGTGCGCGCTCAACGTGGTCTACATGGTGAGCTCCGCAGGCCGGGGGTGGGGGGCGCCCCAGGGCGGCAAGACAAGTGGGGGGAACCTCCAGGGGACTTCCGCTGGGGAGTGGGGTGTCCTGGGGATTCCGGGAAGATTCCCGGGAACTTCCGGCCAGGGGGGATTCCGGGGGACTTCCGTGGGAGGAGGCGCGGCTTCCGGCGATCCCGGGGCCCGCGGCGGGGCGCGGAACCGAGGCCGAGGCCGCGCGGGCCCGTGACCCCGCAAGGGGACGTCGGTGTCTCCCCAAGCAGCAGCGACCGGTGGAGCGAGAGGCGCCGTCCCTACGGTCACGGATTCCGGCGCCCCCGCCTTCCCCCGAGCGCCCCGACCGCGCCCCGGGGATGCGCTGGCTCCCGCCGGCCCCTCCTCTCCCGCGTCCACACTGCTCGGCTCTTTTGGGGGGTCGAGCTCCCTCTGGCCCCCGGTGACGGCTCCCTGCCGCCCCCTCCTGTCCCCGCAGCTGGTGGGCCTGCTGCTCATCGGCGTGGCCGCCTGGGGCACCGGCCTGGGCCTGGTGTCCAGCATCCGCATCATCGGGGGCGTCATCGCCGTGGGCGTCTTCCTGCTGCTCATCGCGGTGGCCGGGCTGGTGGGGGCTGTCAACCACCACCAGGTGCTGCTGTTCTTTGTATCCTGAGCCCAAGGGAGGGCGCGCGGGGCTCTGGGGGGCCGCGGGGTCTGGGCGTGAGAAGGGCCGCAGACCCTCGGGGTCCCGCCCCCTACCACACTCTGAAGTCTGTTCTCAGCCGACAAGGTTGTGAGTGCTGGGGAGGGTCGGCTCTCAGTGGGACATGAAGGAATCATTCCCCCTAACTCTGGCTCTCAGTACATGATCATCCTCGGTTTGGTCTTCATTTTCCAGTTTGGAATCTCCTGCTCATGTCTGGCTATTAACCGGAGCAAACAGGTAAAGGGGGTGCCCTTGGAAGTGTTCGCATTCCCCCCTCCTTTAACCTAAACTTTCCTCCTCCCTGGCCCCAAAGATCATTCTGAGGTCAGTCACTCCCAGACGCTTAGCCACTTGCTCCCTCTGGGACGTCAGGCTGATTTTCCATGAGGACGACGACCACCTAGGGGAACCGAGGTGGACATCTACCCTTGCGCCCGCGCATGCCCTTGCTTCTGAGGGATGGTCGTTCCCTCTGCTGGGGGAGGGGGGGAGATGCACTTGAACTGAGACCAGCTTGGGGGCTAAGGTTCGCGGCACCAAATAACTTTCCTCTGCCCATGTCCCCCAGACAGATGTCATCAGTGCTTCCTGGTGGGTCATGAGCAACAAAACCCGGCATGAATTGGAAATAAGTCTTGATTGCTGCGGCTTGTTCAACCTCACCACCTTGCATGAACAAGAGCATACTTTCTGCGCTGCAGTGAGTTGGGGCGGGGGGCAGGCGGGATGGGGGCGGAGAAGAGACAGGAAAACCGGGTAAGAATAATGCCTAAATTGCCTTGCATCGGGGCTGTGTGGGGTGGGGTGCTGAGGCCACGGAATTAGCTAAGCGGGATCTTATCTGTAGGATACAATCAAGAGCTAGTAAATAATTCCAAGCGCCATTCTCCGTGGGCAGTGGGTTATGCTGCTTAGCAGTTCTGCATCCTAACACACACCTTCATCCTCAGAGCTGCACAAAATGGAACACATGCCAGTTATGTGGAGAAAAGTTTCTTAAGCATTCAGATGAAGCCCTGAAAATCCTGGGGGGTGTCGGACTCTTCTTTAGCTTTACAGAGGTAACCTTCCCTCCACAGCTCCGCGTCTGAGCCCGAGGTTCCGAATTGCTGCTGATTTTGTCTCCTCCTGTTTCTACAGATCCTCGGCGTTTGGCTAGCAATGAGATTCCGGAACCAGAAGGATCCGCGAGCCAACCCCAGTGCCTTTCTATGAGACCCTGGAACTGTCTGACTGCTCTCCCTGAGCTGTCTCTTCCCTTAGGGAAAACCTCGGGTCTATAACCCTTTTTGTTTGAGAAAAAGGAAAAGGCCCTTTGCCATATTCCCTAAAGGTGACGGAGTACCTAGGCTTTACGCCTGGATGTATTTCAGTGGGAACAAGGTTACACGGAGTACAGAAAACCTTCCCTCCCCCTAGGTGGGTATGACAAGCTCCACAGAGTGCATGAGACGGGATGGGAGCGGAGACATTGCTGGCTCTTTCTCCCCCCGCCCCCTTCCATATGCTGGGCCACCTGAGCACACCTGGCCTGCCTCCAAGGGTAAACAGACGGAGCCAGGGAGAAAACCACAAGGAACTCATTCTCGTGAGGAGCAGGGCCCAGTTTGGGGAAGTTCAGTGACTATAAAAATAAAAGCCGTTTTAACTCCATATTCAAAGAAAAGCTCAAGTGCCTTTCTTCTCTGGGGCCAGTGGAGGCCCGCGGGCTGTGTAAGCTCTGCCACCCGGGAGAGTCTGCGATTCTGCAAAGTTCCAGTTTACATCTGGTTTTTCCAAATCCCCAATGGCAAAATCAATCAGAGGAACCATTTTTTTAAAAAAGACCTTATTTTTGTTTTGTTTGCCCTGTATAAAAAAAGGACCCCAATATCAAGGTAGGGAAGGGGAGAACAAGGAGCACACCCCTTGTGAGGAAATCGGGAGAGAGAAGAGTACACCCCAAAAGGAAGGATGGAAGGGGAATGTCATTAAGGCAGCAAAATACTCTCTGTAAAAAGTTGGGGTCAGAGTCTCCACAGCCTCAGAGGTAAGAGCAGAGATGGCCCCAGTGGGGGGCTCTCCCCTCAGGTGTTCCAAGGGAAATGAAAGCGGCTCTTGGTCCCGGTGCAGCCACTCCACTGCTCACTCTGGGTTACCTTCTTTTTGTAGGTAACAGTGCTGCAGGGCTCGGAGAGCAGAGATTCGCTTGTGTGGGTTAAAAGCCAGCATCTCCTGAGAGGGGAGGCAAAGGTCAGAAAACCCGGTGGGAGAGACTTCAGCTCACCCCACTCAACCTAGGGTGGCTATTTCCGTCATCCCTCTGTCTGAATGACCACATACAGCCGCAGTTAAAACCGGCCCACCCACCAATCCAGCCTCCAGCAACCGCGATGGCCTGGATCCCTCTTAAGCTGCTGTTTCCCACCCAAGCCGGGGCCCGTCCGGTACCAGCAGCAGCTGCGCTCCAGCCTCCTCCATCTCGGGCACCACAGACTGCACTGGGCGGGGCCCTCTGGGGGAAAAGGCTCCGCGGGGCAGAGACACATCTCGGGGCCAGTCCTCTTCTGGCGGCAGCCCAATCAGGCTGTGGGGGACAGAACCCGGGTCAGAAGATTCCTCCTCCCGCCCCATCTCCAGAGACAGAGCCACCTGTTACCCGGGCTCAGCAGAAAGGGAGGGACTAAGAATGGAAAATACTTTCCCCCCTTCCCAGTCACTTACTCAAAGATCTTGCCCAACTGGTCAGCTTCAGAGTTTCCACAGAAGAGAGGCCTAAATGACGAAAGGACACAGGGAGCGGTCACTTTCAAAGATAAGGCAGTGGAATGATGGCTGCTTAGTGGCCCAAGACAGAGGATATGGGTAGTAAAGGGATATGAATTTCCTAATTCCACAATAGTTCAGAGCTGCTGACGTGTACAAGGTGGTCGACAGCATTCAGGGGAAAGAGTGGACGGGGCCTGAACACGGTTTACAGATAAGACATTTGAGAAAAGATAATTCAGAATACTTGGGTCCCTTACCTTCGGCGGAACATCTCTGCAAAGATACAGCCAACGCTCCACATGTCCACGGGTGTTGCATACGTAGACTGCAGAAGCACCTCCGGGGCCCGGTACCAGAGTGTCACAACCTACCCGGAAGAGGAAGAGTGGGTGGGGGGTCTTACAGCAGGTGACGCTGAGAAGCAAGTGACCTCACAACTGCCGCGGTCACTCTCCTACCCCGAGCAGGACCCATGTCGTGCCCCCCTCCCCCGCACTGACCACTGGTGTGAGCGCCATCTGGTAGCTGTAGATCCTGGCTAGGCCGAAGTCAGCCAGCTTGACTGTTCCACTGCTTGTCACCAGAATGTTCTCTGGCTTCAGGTCTCGGTGGACGATGCTGTTGGCATGAAGGAATTCTAGGCCTCTTAGAAACTGGCACATCAGATCCTGGTTTGAAAGGGGAGGTGCAGAAGCTAGACACCACACCTGAAGCCCAGACACATTCTACTGCACAGGTCCTGAGCTTTCCCGGTGTCCGCCCACCACACACTCACCTTAATGGTCTCCACTGGCAAGCCTGGCGGGGGTGCCTTGTCCAGATACGTCCTGAGGTCCTGGTCCACATGCTCAAACACCAGGGTCACTTTGGTCTCCCGATCCGTTCGTGCAGTGGCGCAGACGTCCATCAGCCTGGCCAGAACAAAGGGTGACTCGGCGATCATCACCTTTGACCCAACGTGGCCTCCCCTATTTCGTCAGAGCCCCCCACTTATCTCCTGACCACCCCTCCCCACTCCCAAAAGTCCACTTTCTCACCGGACCACATTAGGATGCTCAAAAGCCTCCAGTCGCCTCAGTAACGCAACCTCCCGCACTGTGCTGATGGGGAGGCCCCCTCCAGCACCGTCTCCGTTGGGGACTCTCACGCTCTTGAGGGCCACAAAGTGGCCACTGTGAGGGTCGCGGGCTTTGTACACAGTCCCATAGGCACCGACGCCAATCTCGGCCACTGGCTCGTATCGCGAGGTAGCCATTCTCAGGTCGGGGGACCCTACAGACAGAGACTTGTATCCCCGGAATTCCCTTCCAGAGGGCGGGCGGCGGCGGCCTGCCGCGGTGCGGTGACCCCCACAAGACATCACAAAGACCCCCCACCCCTCCCCCACCCCACCCTCCCCGAGGCCGCCCCTCGGGCTACACAATAACTCCACTGCCAACTCTGCAGCCACGTGAGGCCCTAGAATAAAAACTCTTTTCCCGCGGGGCCATCGCGCCCCGCACGGAGGCGATCCCGCGCGGCGCACCCCGGCATCGCACCCCCCACCCCCAGCTAGCACCGCCCTGAGCCCAGAGGCCCCACTTCAGCCCCGCCGGCTTCCCGCCCCGCAGGACCGCGGAGGCCGCATCCCGGGGAGGGCTGCGCGCAACTCACCCCGAGCCCGGGGCGCGGGGCCACCCGTTATCGGGGCGCGGCAGCGGGCGCCCGCCGCGCCCCGCCGCGCCATGCACCCCAGCTCCGTCCGCGGCAGCGGCAAGCGCGGGCGGGACCCCAGACTAGGCCGAGCTCGCGCGGCCCCTCGCCCCCACCCTCACCATGTGACCAGCTGCCCAGGAGGCGCGCGGAAGCCGGGGGGGCGGGGAGAAGGCCGGACGCGCGGGCATGTGACCGCCACTCATGCGCAGAGGGGCGGCCGGGAGGGGTTCGGCCTGGGAAGGGGGCGGGCGGGCAGGGGGCGGGGGCGACGCGGGCCACGTGACCTGTTGCTATCACACGTGACCGCCTGACATTGCTCGGAGGAGCAGGGGTGTGGCTGCGCGTCCGCACACGTGACCGGCTGCCGCGGCGGGGGGGCCGGGAGGGCGGCGCCCGAGGCGGTGCCATGGCAACCCGGGCCACCCAGCGCGCATCCCGCCTCCCGCCGCAGCCGGGCGGGCGCGCCTGGGGCTCGGCACCCGCCCCGGGCTCGGTGTGGGGCCGGGGCCGGCCCCGGGGTGGGGGCGGTGCTGTCGCCCTCCCGTCCACCGCCGTCAGAAGGCACCCCCTCGTTTGTGTCTTTGTTTCACTGACTCATTCATTCAGCACATTCTTACAGGGGTTCCGGCGTGGGGTGGCGGTGGGGTTTCTTGGTTTCAGCCACTAGCCCTTTGCAGCAGGGATAAGGCTAACCATAAAGACGCAGCCAAAGTGTGGCCTTATAAAGCGGGGTAGCCCGTGCCCCTCTGAAGGCAGCGTGAGCATGAAGGGATAAAAGGCAGATGGATAGTCATCCAACGGGAAGGCGCTGGCCCGCCCTCTTCCCGGCTTCCAGCCCCTCCCAGCGAGGTTTCAAGCGTAGACCAGATGCCATCTGGCTGAGAGGTTATTGATGATCAGGAGACCGGAGTACTTGATTTGAAGGTTCTTTTTGTCTCTCATTTCTTTTTTAATGCTGCAACTTTGGGTTACATTGTTTGCATTTTGGAAGTACAGGATCCCCCTGCTTCCAGTGATGTTACCATAGTGCCCCCCACCACTCCACTTTGAAGGTTCTCCTTAGCACTAAGATGTGCGTGTTTATTATTGTTTTTTAAAGATTTATTTATTTGTGCATACAAGAAGTGGGGTACAGGCCAGAGGTGTGGGGGGTGAGAGGATCCACCAGGGACAGGGGGAACAGAACAGACGGAGGAACTGAAATACACGGCTGAGGGGAGCAGCGGGTGAGTCAGGAGAGGTCTGCTGTGCCATGTGGGTATCTCCCTGGCCAGGGTTTGAACTCGTGCTGCAGTGGCTGCGGACAGCTTCATAGGCTGTGCCTTAACCCCTTGCACCACCAGGGAGGCCCAGTGTGTGTATATCATTAACATGTATTATGTGATATGTAGATAAATGAATAGTATTCCTGAGTAGAAGTCAAGAACTTTCGGGATCCCTCAGCACTCCGGGACCCCATCAGTACTATTACATGATATGCAGGCAGGTGAATAGGATTGAGCGGACGCAAGGAAGCTAGGCCACCCCACTGCATGACTGTAGATTGTGCCCTTCTGTAAAACTTGTGACTTTTTATTTGGGGGTCACTGTGCTTCTCTATTCCCCCCCACTCAAGCATGCAAACTTTTTTAGCTCTTGCCTCTTTCCAGGACACTTTTCCCAAATGGCCTCTGCCTACAATCACCTTGGCAGACACAGAAAGTTTTCTCTGTCTTACTGATTCTAACTTACTTATTTCTCACCCTTTTGGGAAGGAGGAAAGGACTCTGCTTCTAATAGTAAGAAATCATTTAAAACCATTTTATTACTCTATTTACCACTCCTTCCACCCTAACTTCTACGGTCCTTCACCATCTGACTGTGGATGTAAGAGTTTAGGTTTGAGAGGAACAGAAACCATCCTTCAGGGGGCAAATGAGAGACGTGTCAGTATAGACCCTCCCTCTTTGGTAGCTGTAGCCCTGGACTCCTGCTGGCAAGGACAGCGAGGACACTAGCGAGAAGAATCTCAAGATTTGAACTGGCTGGAGGGGCCTTGTGAGTTTATCTTGCCAAGATCGGTTTGTAAAGGTCTGGAAGATTCTCATTGAAAGTGTGTCAAGCTTCCTCCCTACAACAACAGTCTCTACTCCAGCCTCACCTTCCACCTAGTCCCTCACAGTCCATTGTGCTCAGAATGGAAATCGTCCTCCATGTGGATGTAGGTTCCAGCCCCTTTTCTGATTCATTCATTCATCTGTCCAAAACATTTGCATGTTTCATAAGAGCATCACTCTCCTTAGTCACTTTCTGTTAAAGAGTCTTAGTTTGGCGGTCTGTCCCTGATTTCGAACCTCACTACTTTTAATTACTCTTTTACTAATTAATTTTTCCCAGTGTGTCTGACCCAATGGGTTCCACTGGAATCCCTTTTCCCTTAGCATTGGGGAGGGGGAGGAACAGAGATTTTGTAAGTGTAAGGCAGAAATAATGTGAGGAGGGCTGAGGTGGTTCCCAGGGTCAAGGCCTGCATAAAAGCAAAGAGCTAAGCCAGCGTGTATGTGTGCGTGTGTGTGCGTGTGTGCGCGTGTGAGAAATTGCAGTGGTGGTGAAGGCAGGAGAACACCAGGCATGGACTCATCCCCTTCGCACTCCTGCTTCCCTTGCACACTCACCTCCTTCACACATTACAGTCACACTTGTGCTTCTCAGACGGTCTGATTCCACGCCTTACACACGCGCCTCCACAGCCCCCATCACGCACACTTTCCAGTCTTTTGTGCAAAAGCCTTCATTGCGTGTGTCCATCTCTTGCTCACTCACCTCCCTCCCAGCCCGGGCCACTTGCACGGCTCTTGCTTTGCACACGCCCATTTTGCACAAGCCTCTGCCCCCCCCCCCCCGCGGCACCTGTGTCTTTGCCCGCTCACCTCCGCCCCCCGCGCTCGCCCCGATCCCGCGCGGCGCGCGCCCCCCGCCACGCCCCTCCGCCCCCGGCGCGCCGCCCGCCGCCCGCGCCCCCGGGGACACCTGCTCGGCGGGCGGGGCGGGGACGCGCAGCCGCGGCCCCGCGCTCCCCGCCCGCCCCTCCCTCCGGCCTCACCGGCGCCGGCCCCGCCCGCCCCGCCCGCCGCCGCTGGGGGGGTCTCCGCCGCCGCGGCCGCCGGAAGGAGCCGCCATTTGCCGCCGCCGAGCGCACGGGCCGAGCAGGCGGAGCCGGGAGCGGCGCGGGCTGGGCCGGGAGCTCGGAGATGGGGGGCGGCCCCGCCGCAGCGGGACCCGGGCGCGCGACCCCGGGCGCCCGGCCCGCGCCGGACCCGGACCCGCGGGGCGCGGCGCCCTGAGCCCCTCCCGCCCCCCGGCATGGCCGCGCGCCTCGGCGCCCCCGGGCCGCCCGCCCCCCTGGAGCCGCGGCGGCGGCAGCGCTGAGCGCCCCGCAGGCCCGGCGCCCGGCCCGGCGCGCCCCCCTCCCCCGCGGCGCCCCCGCGGCGCCCCCGCCCGGCGCCCGGACGATGCTCAAGTCGCGGCTCCGCATGTTCCTCAACGAGCTGAAGCTGCTGGTGCTGACGGGCGGGGGGCGGCCCCGGGCCGAGCCGCAGCCCCGGGGGCGCGCGGGGGGCGGCTGCGGCTGGGCGCCCTTCGCGGGCTGCGCGGCGCGGGCGGCCGACGAGGAGGAGTACTACGGCGCGGGGCCGCGCGCGCGGGGCCTGGCCGGGGACAAGGAGCCGCGGGCCGGGCCCCCGCCGCCGCCCGCGCCGCCCCCGGGCGCGCTGGACGCGCTGTCGCTCAGCAGCAGCCTGGACAGCGGCCTGCGGACCCCCCAGTGCCGGATCTGCTTCCAGGGGCCCGAGCAGGTCAGGCGCCCGCGGCCGGCGCGGCGCGGGGGGGCGCGCCCCTGGGGCGCCCCGGGAGGCCGGGCGCGGGGGGCGGGGCCTGGGGCGGCTGGGCGGAACCCCGGCCCGGCGCGGGGGGGGCGTGAGCCGGGACGGGCCGGGGGCGCCGGGGCCCCGGTCTGGGGCGGAGGGGGCGTCGGGGCCCCAGGAGGGAGTGGGGCGTTCTCCTGGGAGGCGTCACCGTCCCCCCAGCGCGGGGGGCTCCCTGGCGCCCGCTTCTCGCCGGGGTCCCGAGGCCGGGGGGCCTACTCCCGGGGGGTGGCCGAGAGGAGGCGGCCTCCGCGCCCACCCGGGCGGGAGGGCCCCCCGGCGCCTCGCCTGGCTCGGGGTGTCCCCCGCGGGCACTTTCCCGCGCCCCTCCTGCAACTTTGCATCTCGGCCCCGGCGAGCTCTTTGTTCGCACGCCGGGTGGCTGTCCCGGGACAGTGCCCCGGCCAGCCCCGGCGCCGAGCGCGGGCACCCCGTGGTTAAAGGGGGCCCACCCTCCGCCGGTCCCCAGGGGTTCTCTCCCTTTTTGGGATTTGGAGCCGGGAACACTCCCCAGAGCAGGAGTGGGCAGGAGGGCACGGCCCGGAGACCCTCCCTGCTCAGAGCCGTCCGGGGCGACTTGCAGGCCGCGCTCCCCAAATTCTGGGAGGAGACGACCCCGCCCCCGCCCCCCAGGGCCTCCCCCCATCTGCGTGGCCCGGGGAGTCCACCTTCGGCTCCAACGCCTTCCTCTCTCTGTCACGGCCTTAGCTCCTGGCCCTGCTTGGGTGAAAGGCACCGGGGTTTTTGTTTTGTTGTTCTTCGTTTTTCCTTCTAAACGACCGAGGGAGGGGATTTCTCTCGGGGTCGCGGGGATCGCTGACGGGGCCCCCCGCTCTCCCTGCAGGGGGAGCTCCTGAGCCCCTGCCGGTGCGACGGGTCGGTGCGCTGCACACACCAGCCCTGCCTCATCCGCTGGATCAGCGAGAGGGGCTCCTGGAGCTGCGAGCTCTGCTACTTCAAGTACCAGGTGCTGGCGATCAGCACCAAGAACCCGCTGCAGGTGAGGCCCAGGGGACGCGCTCAGACCCAGCGAGGCCTTGGAGCCATCCGAATCAGAGGGTCGATTTCATCCGTTCAGCTTTCCCCAGAATCAGGGTCCCCCAACATCACGGTCTCCTGCCTGTCTGTGCGTCCTCCCACCCTCATGTATCCACAGACGAGCTGGGGCCACCTGTCCTCCAGGCACCGTCCTAGAAACTAGCACAGCACAGGGGAAAAGATGGTAGCCGCGCGGTGTTGTCTGTGTTACGCTCTTGGTGTGTGAGCCATTGCCAGGGCCCTCCCCGTTTTAAGGTGAGGACATTGATTAAAACACTCACCCGAGATTGCCAAGTAAGCGACGGAGTCAGGATTTGGAGTTTAAACCCGCGCGATCTGTCTTCGGAACGCTGGCCCGACGCCGTCTTTCTCAAACAAGACGGACGGCCTCAGACAGCGTGAGAAGGGCCGTGTTCGAGGTTTGCTCCAGGCATGGAGGAGCTGCTCGTTCACCCTGCCTGAGGGTTTTCCGGGAGCTCCGGGAGCATCCTTGTCCCCCAGGCCGCCCGTCGCCGGGCCTCCGTCCCTTTCGGTGACGTCTGGGTGCCCTTTTCTTCCCCACAGTGGCAGGCCATCTCCCTGACAGTCATCGAGAAGGTCCAGATCGCCGCCATCGTTCTGGGCTCTCTTTTCCTCGTCGCCAGCATCTCCTGGCTCATCTGGTCCTCGCTCAGCCCTTCAGCCAAGTGGCAGCGGCAGGATCTGCTCTTTCAGATCTGCTACGGCATGTACGGCTTCATGGATGTTGTCTGCATAGGTGAGGGCGCTTCCCCGCCCACCCGCCCCCCTTACCTGTTCAGAGTCTTTCTCCAACACTGACTTTCCCTGCGCTTTCCTCAGCGTCGTGGCCACACATCCAGCCACTTAGGTCTATTTTTTTTAAGATTTATTTAGGTCTATTTTTTTAAGATTTATTTATTTATGCATACAAGAGCTGGGGTGCAGGCCAGAGGTGGGTGTGTGTGTGAGAGGATTCACCAGAGAGAGAGTGGGGAACAGAACAGGCAGATTGACTGAGATCCACTGCTGAGGGGAGCAGCGGGGAGACAGGAGAGGTCCGCTGTGCCATGTGGGTAGCTCCCTGGCCGGCCGGGGATCGAACTTGTGCTGCAGAAGCTGCAGATAGCTTGATAGCGCTGTCTTTAGCCCCTGCACCTCCAGGGAGGCATTTAGGGCTGTCTTGGTGCTCACCCTCCCTGCGTCTCTAGCCCCTTTACAGCCCCGTCTCCTCACTCTGGAAAAAATGCGTGTCTCTCACCTGTGTCCGGGCAGCATTTGACCCTGGATTTCTTGTCCCCCTCGCTCAGGCCTCATCGTCCATGAAGGTTCCTCTGTCTACCGCATTTTCAAGCGCTGGCAAGCAGTGAACCAGCAGTGGAAGGTCTTGAATTATGACAAAACAAAGGACATAGGAGGAGATGCAGGGGGAGGGACGGCAGGGAAGCCAGGCCCCAGGACCTCACGGACGGGCCCCCCGTCTGGGGCCACCAGCCGCCCCCCGGCTGCCCAGCGAATGCGGACGCTCTTGCCTCAACGCTGCGGTTACACAATCCTGCACCTCCTTGGACAGCTGCGGCCACCAGATGCCCGTTCCAGTTCTCATTCTGGCCGCGAGGTTGTCATGAGGGTCACCACGGTCTGAACTGGACACCAGGAGCAGGGATCTCGTATCAGTGCGTCAGCCAGAGATGAGCTGTCATGGCTGCTGGAGGTACCACCTGGATAAGGTGTTTGGGGCACGGCACCCCCACCACTGAGGAGCTCTGTGGACAGCTTCAAGCTGGAGACATTATCTGGCCTGTACTGCTCGTTACGTGGGTAGAGACACCTGGATGACATTCCAGCCCCACTGACAGCCTCTCATCCTCATCCTGGGGCAGCCGGTGGGCAGGTGGGAGAGCAGCTTTTCTTCCATAGAGAACCGTCCTTACCTCAGCTCCTAGGGCCTCCAACCCCCCAGCTCCACCAGGGTGTCTTGGTGAAGGGGGACCAGTGCCAGAAGAAAGGGGCTGTTACCCCCCTCCCCCCACTCCCCAACCCATGGCCACAGGGCATCTGGCAATAAGACTAGTATACATTGACCTCCCGTTCCCTGCATGAGGGCGGGGCCTTCCCCCTGCCCCGCCCCCCATTGCATGGGGGGAGGGCATAAAGAATCATTTATATGCACTTGGAGACTCCTTTCTCATCTGGGGCTTTTCTGGAGGGTGGGGAGGTGTGGGGAGGTTTCTCTGCAGAGGTTGCAAATCCCAAATGCAGCAGTGGGTTGTGAGTTGGAGGTGTAGCTCCCATTTGCTGGTGAATAATTTCCATTGGCTGCTAGGTGGCAGTGCTCCGAGGTATCTAATGGGTGGACCTGCCACCTGCAAGTTGTGTGATTTTAAAAAAAAAACTCTGCTGTGGTTTTCCTGCCTACCTCATAGGGTTGGAATGAGGATAAACAGGGACAGGTTGAATGCCACTGTAAAGAAAATCAGTGATGGCAAAAAAGATTTCTAGACTAGTTGAGGGTCCATTTATTTCAAATAGTAGTTGGTGAACAAATTCCAAAATGTGTTTTTCATCTGGAGTTGCACAGAGCCTTGGAAACTTGTGTTGAGTGTCGTAATAGATATGGAAATTTAAGGGGGAAATAGACATTGCAAATGCGAGCGATGGTGGTTATTCGCAGGAACAAGAGCTCTTCCAGTCTCCTAAACGTTGGAGGCTGGGGCTAGGGGGATGCTGCAGCAATCCTTTTTGCTCTGGGGATCATGTGGGTTCTGTTAGTCCTTCCCAGGTAACGCACTCACTCAGACAAATGGTATGAAGTGAATTTGGACTCGTTTGGAGTGATCAGACACAACATCCTAACGTTACGAGTTTCTGATCCCAGGTTAAGCTACTCGTGCGATAGTTAAGGGTTCCAGGGCCGACCCTGGTGAGCCCCAGCCAGCGAGTGGTATAAACGGGAAAGTGTCGTGCTTGACGGCAGCAGCATCAAGGGCTGTTGTTCATAGAGAAAGGGTTTGGAAAGGACTGGTTAAAATATGGGTCAGCCGGAAGCCTGGTCTCTTTCTGGTTCCAAAAACTCTCTACCCACCATCTCCTTCCTGAAGCCTTGGGACTGTGTATTATATGAATGATGGTGTTTTTTTAAGTGAACTATTCATCAGCAATTAAAATAATTCACACATTGCTAAAGTCCGATCTAGAGGCCTTTGCCATTATTGGTTCTGCTCTCAGAGAAGGCTCTGCTCCACCTTCTCCCTGTGGCTGTTTAGGAAAATGCTTCTCTACCAGAGGTCGCATATCTTTGCCCAGGAAATGGTCATTTCCTACCCCTGTCCGAAAGGGGTCTGTGTGTTGGGGGCGGGGGAAACGCAACGTGGGTTGGCTGCTGTCCATGGTGCTGGCACCCAGACTTGCCTGGTTGTGTAAGACTCAAAGCTGAACTCAAGCCTGAGACACCTGGAGGTGTGGAAGTGTAGCACTGCCAACCTCTGAGGGGATTAAAGTGGGGGGTGAGTGAAGCTGAGCGCCCCCATCTTTCCAGTAGGAAACCCCAGAGAGTCCCTTCCCATACCCCACCTGAGAGAGAAGGGCTACTCTTTACTGATATCACAGTTACCTGGAGTGACTTCTAGTAACCTGTCCTAGCAGACGGGGTTCAGTTTGTCATGACACAGATGGGGTTCCCTGTGCCACACTGAGCCCTTCCCTGCGATGGTGACACGCGAAAGCTTAGACATAACCAGGAGCATAGACACACTCACATGTAATCACACTGTCTCCATTTCTACTCTGAATCCTCAGCCCAGCCAGGTGGGACAGGATGTTTCCCCCCTTTTTAGCACCATTAGACATCATGACACAGGGTGGGTACTAGCAGCCCCTGCTGTCCCCTCTCTCCAACAAGACATTCTGGTCCAGGCTTAGGGGTCACATGACCTGCCGTCCTTGAGGAGTGTGGGTGTGCAGAGTCCTCATCACTGATCCTCGGAGAAAGGATCTGAGAGGAAGCTGGACTTCATTCTCCCCCAAACTCAAATCTAACGGTGTTAAAAATCAGGTCTCTTAGGTTCAGCTGAACTCAGTGGTAAGGAAGTGAGGGCGGGGTTTGGGGGACAGGAAGGAGTCGAGAGGAGAGGGAAAGGCAGACCAGCCTTGGTCCGTGCATAGGCCTCAGGTACACCTGCCTCTGCAGGAGGCCTGGTGGCTGATGGAGTCCCTGAGGTCAGAGAATCAGGTCTAGGGAGGGGACTTGAGGTGATGGGGAGAGGGAGGAAGTGTCGTGTGAAATTCGCATCTAAATTCAGCTATTTGGAATGTGGGGGGCTTGGAGCAGAAGGAGAGGAACAGGGCAAGTCCTGACTTGGAAAGGGTAAGTTAGGATACAGAGGGAGTTTCTGAGAAGTGTGCTGAGAGATTTATTTGTGTGGAAGATGAGTTAATCTGTATACATCACAAGGGAGAACTGTGCCCAGCCTCTGGGGGGCGGGGGGGCAAGAGTGCTGACTCAGGGAAACAGACTCCCTCGACCCACCCCCTTTTCCTGACGGTGCCCCAGGGCTTCTGGCCACCCCAACACTCGCCTTCATCCTGTCTGACTTCACTTCTGTATCCCTGTCTTTCTCCAAAGGAAATTTTCTTGGAACAACTTTCCAGGGAAGGCAGAGTGACCGTTCACGGATGTCCTGGCAGTCCAGCTTCCAAGAGCACTTTTACCAAAGAGCCGACCATCTCTCCCCAACCCATTTTTACATCATAGCCCTTTCAGTTACTTTTCACCACCACCCCCTTAATCTCTTGTTGGGAGCCAGACTTGGCTGTTCCCACTACAGACGAAACTGTCTGGGTTTGAGATGCGCACCACTCCCCCAGGTGTCTAGGCCTCCCGTCCTGTCCTTACGCAGGTCACTCCCAGGACGTGAGAAGCTGCGTGGGGATTTGGGCAAATGTCTTGCCTCTAGGTCTTGCGGGAAGTGGGAATAGGAGAGAAGTAATAAGTCAAAAGTCAGGGATGGAATATTGGATTTTTTTATTTCAAAACTGAATATTAAAAAAGTTCGCTGTATAAAAAGAAGGACTGGGCAGGGACACACCCAAAGCTGCCTCTGCCAGGGCACTTAGTGGTGGGCCAGCCAACCTCCCAGAGTCAAATGAGTTTTTAAAAAGTCACAAACCAGACAAGGACAGACTCAACTTCCTAGGTACAAGATGAGGACAGCGCGGGGTAGACAGAGCCTGGTCAACTTGTCCCTTCTGCCACATGGTTCAGATTCAATCTGAGCATCTGCACGGTGTCACCTAGTTAGGGATAGGCCCTGGCTGCGGAATATAAAGATGGGATAAGGCCGCATCTGTCCTCTGGAAAGAGCTCACACGCAAGGAGCAGAGGGCCAGCCAGCTGCAGGCCAAATGCACGGTTACCTAGTAAATGCCATGACAGGTGCTCAGCCAGCAGCAGCAACGGAGCCGCAGAAGCCCCGAAAGGTAGAGGTTGAAATCTTCCTGACGCCACCCGGCATCATTAGTTAAAATCCGAGTTGGCCCTGAAGGATGCATTTGCTGTGGCCGGGAGAAGGGCCGAGCAGGCAGATGGACGACAGCCTGCTTGGTCATCCATGTGCACACCTCCCTCCTTGGTGAGGGCGGCCGCAAGTACTTTGTTATGGTTACTTGCTCTAATTTGGTCAAATAGGCTTTGGGGTGCACACATCTGTCTTAGGCCTAGTAAACCCCTGTGATGATATACAGGGTGGCGATGACAGCTTCCTTCCACAGGACTATCTGTCCACAAACTGTAGGTTGATGCTCCTCTCAGGAACAAGGACCGTGCGGGTCATGGGTCTGACTGGGGCAGCGCCTGGCTCGGGCTGCACCTCAAAGTGGATCAAGATCTAAAAAAGGAGGAAGAAGGTTATAGCTCTTGGAGGGGTCGATAAAGGTGGGCTTGATTGGTGAAAGACTATTAGTATCCAGATGGGATGGCACCTGTGGCTGGTCGGGGACTCCTTAGTGAATGAGGTAAGGGGTTGTGGTAGGAGAGATAGTCTAAGTACCTTCTCTCCCATTATGGGGGAGGATATGGCAATGGGAAAGCCATCCTTCAGAGGAGTAGCTCTGCCAAGGCTTATCCACTTTCCTATGATCGTCAGGAGAAGAGCTCACGCGCAAGAAGGCTAGGCCTCGCCCTTCCGGGGAAGGTCTGATCGCTCACCTGGGCCAGAGCCATCTGCAGCTCCAGCTCTGCCAGGCGCCTCCCCATACAGCTGCGCTTGCCGAAGCCAAAGGGGAGAGAAGCAAAGGGGTGTGGGGCTGGGTCCTCCCCCAGCCACCGAGCCGGACGGAACGAATCTGGCTCTGGGAACTGGGCAGGGTCCCTTGAGGTGGCATAGTGACACAGCGTGACCAGCGTCTGGTGGGGGGGGAACCAGAAATTCCTTGTCAGGTTGGGCCTGGGAGTGCCGGAAGGGACACGCAGAGGACATGGACTGGAGCAAAGGCAGGATCTGGTTAGTGACGGGGAAACTTTCTGGGGCTACTTTTGGTTGGAATAATTGCTCTACTGCCCCATTGTGTCCTAGAGCGAGGCACTCAGGCAAGGGGAGGGTTGGAGAACAAGACCTGGGCCCATGATAGCGAGGGGTGGCTCAGGAAAAGGGACTGTTGGGCTCTACTCACATTTTTGGGGATAATATAGTCACCCACACGAATGTCTTTGTCTGGGACACGAGAATTTCCAGGTACCACAGGGTACATTCTGGGTTGCAGAGCACAAGAGGGAGACAGTGAGGTTAGGGCCCTAGACTCCCTGTCGTGCCCCCACTTCCAAGCCCACGCTCGGCTGGGGTACAGAGTGCCATTTGCCCTGCCCCTGCTGTGCCCAACCCGCTGTCTGCTTCCCTAAACCTTCCCAGCGTCCTCTGGCTCCTGACGGCTGCCCCTTCACCTCAGCACTTCTTTGACCACGGCCTTCAGCAGGGGCAGCTGGGACAGGGCATTGGCGGGTGTGTGGGCACAGGAGCCAGGGCCCAGGGCCGCAGTGATCTCAGAATGGAGTGCAGTCTGGACCTCGGGGTGCCGGGAGAGTTCATACAGAGCCCAGGAGAGTGTATTGGACACCTGCGGGAACGAGCGGCGCATCAGCGGCGCTGGGCGAGGAGACCCACGATGGGCGGCAGAGCGGGAGGCAGGCGGGAGCCCAGGAGGTGCTCAGCGGGCGGAGAGGGCCGCAGCGGACCTCCTGCAGCAGGGAAGTGGCCCCCGAGACTGGGGGTGCTCGGCTCTGCAAGGGGAGCCTGCAAAGTGGAGGCAGAACCTCACCGTGTCCACTCCAGCCAGGAGCAGCTCCGTGACGATCCCCAGGATGCACGCGGCCGGCAGCTTCTCGCGGAGCAGGAGGTGGGTCAAGTGCGCCCCGGGGCTCGCGTCCTCCTCGCGCCCTCCCGGCCCCGCAGGGCTGCGTCGGCCTCGCGCCGCTCCACGTGCTGCTGGGCTGCGTGGGCAGAAGGACCCTCGACTCCCGAGCGGCGTCACGTTTCCCCGTCCCCGCCGCGCCCCGAGTCTTACCGAAGGCGAACATCTGGTCCCAGTCCCGGCAGAGGCGGCCCCAGGGCCCGGGAACCAGGCGGCGCAGCCAGCTGGGCATCGCCATGGTCAGGAGCGTGGACACGAACACGGAGCCCACGGCGCGGATGAAGGCCTCGGTGTCCGCGGGCACTTGGGCGTCCAGGCAGCCCAGGCGCGAGCCCAGCAGCACCGCGGCGACGCCTGCCGGGAGGGGGCGCAGTGAGGGCGCGGGGAGCCGGGTGGGGGCCCGAGCCGGCGGGTGTCGGGGACTCACCTTCCAGCCCGAACTTGTAAAACAAGCCCGCCACGTCCCGCACGAGGGCGGGCGGCCCGGCGCCCTGTCCCCGCTGGCGCCGCAGGCCCCGCACGAGGTCGCGGACCACGCCGTCCAGGGGCTCCGCGTAGCGCGCGGCCGCCCGCGGCCGGAGGAGGAGCGGGGCCAGGAGGCTGCGGAGCTTCTGCCACTCTTCGCCCTCCCTGCGGGCCGAGAGGGGCCGTCGGGGCCGAGCGGGTGCGGGGGGAGGCGCGCGCCGTCCCTGACCCGGGAGGAGCCGCGGGGCCGGGGCGGCCAGGAGAGGGGTGCGCCCACCCGCCCCGCGCGCGCCGCTGGCCCTGCCCGCGCCCTCCCGCGCCCTCCCGCGTCCTCGCGCGCCCTCGCTCCCCGCCCCGAGGGGTCTGGATCCCGGGCAGCCCTAGTCACGGCGTCTCCGCGGCCCCGCGCGCCGCCCGCCGCGCCTCCCCGGCGCCCCGCGGGTTCTCGCCGCGGACAAGGAGTGGGCCGGGAGCCCCGAGATGCCAGAAGGTGGGGGGCACGGCCTCTGCCTCCCGCCGCTCCGACAGGCTGCGGACCCGCCCCGGGGCGGGGGCGGGCGGGCCGCGAGGACTCACGCGGTGAGCAGCCCGCAGGCCCGCTGGCGGCGGCGCCGGTGCTCCGTCCAGGGCGAGAAGCCGCAGCGCTCGGGCAGGGGCCCCTCCTGGCGCAGCAGCTGCTCGACGAGCGTCGGGGCCGCGAGATACACGGTGCGCACCGGCCCAAAGCGGGCCCGCCACACCGGCCCGAAGCGCGCGGCGCCCTGCACCTGCCGAGGGGCGCGCGGACCTGAGCCGGGGGTGTCCCGGGGCCGCGCGGGGCTCGGCAGGAGGGGCGGTTTCCGCGCCTCGCCACCGCTTCCCCCACTTCCCATGCCTGGAAGTGGGAGTGGGAAGGGCCACACCTCGGAACTTTGCGCAAAGCATAGGTTCAGGAGGGCGCTCTGGCCACCAGGCCGGGCAGAGGAGGAGGAATCCCCGGAGGCCCCCCACGCGAACCCCGCTCTGGGCCGCCCCACTGAGCGCGCCGGAGCGCAAGCAGCTGCAAGAGCAGCGTGCGGAGGGCGCGCGGGCCCTGCATGCACCCGCCTCCAGACTTCGGCTTATCTGGGCGCCTCTGAAGCGCTTGTGGGGCGCCGGGAGGACTCCCCGCAGTTCGCCCACTGCCCCAAGTCTCAACTTCGTCTCTTCCGTAACCCGAGGACAGCCGTTCTCACGGGCTATCCCCAGGGCGTCCCGCCCTCATCTGTCCTGCATCACCAAAGTCGGTCTCCCCAGGATTCAGGCCCGGGTGCAGCTTCCCCCTCTACCTGCAGCTCGTGCAACCGCGACAGCCCCCCCTTGCAGAAAAGCTCTGCGAGGAAGCCGGGCACCGAGGGACCCGGGATGTCCGCCAAGCTCCGGGGTGCTGAGCCGAAGCCTCTGGAGCCCAGCAAGGGGCCCGGCTCTGGGACAGAGCGGCCTCGACGGAACAGTCTGGAGGCGAGCTTGAGGGTCTGGGTCATGGTCTGGTCCAAGCAGCCCGTCCTAGAGGCTTCTCTGGAACAGCTCGCACCCTTATTTAACCCTTGGGCGAGGCAGTGGCAACGCCCCCTCTCCACGCTCCTCAGCCAATCCCGGCTCCTTCGTGGTCCCTGCTGGGTACTAGCACCCAGAACAGTAGGGGGGGGCTGCTGACGCTCCCTGGATTTCCCGTTGTAACGGCCCTCTGGGGAGGAGTGGTTTGCCTCAGTTTCTCTAGTCCTGCAGCCTGTTTCTCTTCCTAGGAAAGGTTTGGTGAGGTTTGGGTGACCAAGACATGGCCAGTTCCTGGTATTTCCACCACTTCTGCAGGAAGCCAGCCCCTCTGCCCTCCCCAGGAATTCCCCGTCCTCCTGCTTCTCCGGGAAGAGGCACAGCTGCAGCCGACCCCGAATTTTCACAGGTCTGCACCTTCTCTGTATATGAGCAGGGCTTCCCTGCACTCCCTTATTTCCCCCACCACGGTACCCCAACACTGGGCAGAGGGCAGATGGGTTGCATTAATAGGGTTCAAAATGGTTTCCGGAGAGCCTTGGTGTTTGTTCCTTGGAGATGGGGGTGTGTGGTGGTGTCTCTGGGGGTCAACAGCGCTGTCTGCCAGTCATGGGAATTTTGGACTTGAGGAACAAAAATGAAGCAACTTTTTGCAAATTAGAAAAGTTCAGGTTGTACCAACAGGAGGGGAGGGGAAGGACAAAGAAGCAGAGCGATTCCGCCAGGCTTCGGCGCTGAGTAAGGGCCGCGTGTCCGAATCCCCGCTGGCGCAGTTGTGGGGCTCTCTGGGCGGCAGCCCCTTCCACTTGACTCTCAGAATAATTCAGGGTTCAGCTCTCTGCTCCTCACTCCCCACCCCATCCCCATCGACTCTGCGCTGGTCAGCTCTGAAATTCTAGAATGGAAGGTCAAGAAAAAGGACAGGGTCTCCATCCCCGCTCCCAGGACTCTCCAGAGACAGCGCATAGACCTAGGGGAGACGGGAGACAGAAGGCACATGACACACAGTCTGGCCGGAGCAGCTTGGACACGCACCTATGGACGGGTCACGCCAGGACTGCAAAGCCAACACAAATGGACAGCTGACTTGAGCCCAGCGGGCAGTTTAGATGGACAGCGGGGACCTGCACTCCCTCCTCCAGCTGAGGAGAGGCCCTAGGGGAGGGTTTGCTAAGGGACAGCAAGACCCCACACCCTTCCCAGTCAGTTTCTTTTGCTTCCTGCTGGCAGTGCAGGGGGTAGCTGCGAACATCAGGGTTACCCCCTGGCAGTTCCCCCGTGTCTTGCAGAGATTGCTTCGTTGGTCCTGGCAGTCTAGCTGGGAAGACCCAGAGGGATGCTCTTCTTTCCCTGGAAGACGGGCCCAGCTCAGGCAGGGCAAGCAGTCAGTGACCAGGAGGGACAGGACTGGGGGTCACCGCCTGGAGGATGGGGTCCTCTATTCTTCGGAAGATGGCGGGGAAATTCTTTCCTCCATTTCGCAGAACTTTCTTTCCCTCCTCTGTTGAGGTGCCCAGATGCCTCACAATGGGGTCTTCACTCTGGGAGAAGTGAGAGGCCATTAAGTCTTTGCCTGCCTTTCAGATGGCCCCACCCCTCGGTGCCCATCCCTGTCCCCTGGCACCGAGCTGGGCTCATAGAAGGGGAGGACAGCATCTTTGCAATGTTCCGCAGGCCCCCTGCTTACCAGCTCCTCCAGAGGTACGCGCTCAAACAGGGGGTGTTCTTCAAAATGGGTACACATCCAGTCGTGTAACTCCAGCACGTCGGTTATGGTGTAGACCAGGCCCTGCAAGGCAACATCACCCTTCCTGGGGCCCGCGTGCAACACCCCCCTAAATTCTTAGTGGAAGGTCCCTGAGCAGGTCACCCTCCTGCCTACTCCCTACTTACCCCAACTCTCAGCACGTAGGCATATTCTGCCAGCAGTGTGGGGCTGATGATTCGCCACTTGTGCTTTGTCCGTTTGAAATGTGGGTCAGGGAAGAGGAAGAACATCTTTGTCAGCTGGGAGAGAGGCAGGAACCAACAGGACAGTGAGGGACAGCTCTCTGTGCCCCACCTGCCCACCAGCCTAACCCACCGAGGTCCCTTCCCACCTGGCCCTTGTGGAAGAAATTAGGCAGGTGTTTCATGGCATTGCTACGGAGACAGGCGATGTTCTGGAAGCCGCCTCCAGGAGCTGCTCGCAGGGCCCGGATCCGGTCCTGTACATAGTCTGAAACTTTCACCCGGATCTCCAGACCTAGGATCAGCGTGTCTGGGAACAGTGGTGACAATTCCACTGGACACAGAAATAGGAATGGAATCATCAACCCCAAATTTGCAGGAAGCGCAAAGGGGTCAACACAGGCAAGCACCTCATTCTGCAGCTACCAACATTAGGGATGGCCAGTGTGCACAGAAACACCCCTACGGTTGGTTCTGTGCTAGGGAAAAGGGCTGGGGGAGACCCAAAAATTCTCAACAGGACTGGAAGTAGGAGGGGCTGGGAATGCATGCATATTTGCAAGTTTTTTAGCATTTTCACACTGTCTCATTTAGTCCTCATAAAGTGTGGTGAATTGTGAATATGAGGCAACCGAGTCAGAAATGACCAAGGTCATAGATAGGACAGAAATGGAAAGTGAACCAAGGTTTTTGCCACCAAGTGCCATGCTCTTCCTCTCTGTCCCACTGTTTTATCTCACCTGTTTTAACCTAAAAACAGGTGAGTAGCTCAGTATGCATGGCGGGACAATATGGACAATGCAAAAGTAACCTGAAAAAGTAAGAGAGAAAAGCAGAACGTTCTGGTGAGGAAAGGGGTAGGGGCAGATGGAGTGGTGGAACCCCTGAGAAAAACAGTTAGGGATCACTGGTCACAGTGGCTCCTCTCTGACGCTTGTGCTGACCAGCTCACTGACCCGGCGCCTGGGGAGTGAAACGGCTCAGGGAGGGACTGGGCCAGACAGGACGACCCGGGTTCTAAGAGGCACGTGAAGAAGCCCCCTCCCTTCTCCAGGGCAAAGGCCACAGGCCCATAGCAGAGGGAAGGTGGAGGCTCTCCGGCTGACGTCACAGCACTAATGTCTGGTCCGAAGGGGAAAGGTCAACTCTGCCCCCCACCAAGCCTGCTGAGCTGGCGGAGCCTCGGTGTTATCTCTCCTGCCCCACTGACAGGGCCAGAGTGTTACCTAACAGGCCACCGTAGCCACAGCCTATGTCTGCAAACTCCACTTGGGCCTGAGGTCTCTTTTCTCTCTCGTCCTTTGGGTCATCATGGCCCTGGGTTTGCGCTGGTGGAGAGAAGAACTCTGGATACAGCTCAGACCAGTCCATCTCCTCTGGCTTCACAGGGCTAGTGCAGAGAAGAAATGAGAGACACGAGAACGCTGGTCATCCCCTTGCACAAGCAGTGCTCTGTGTGTGGGTGGATGGGGGAGGGGGGAGGCAAATGGGAGGGGGGTTGCTCAAAAAATCTTTAACAACAGGCCCTGTGGCCTCCAGGAGAAACAATGGAAACCACCCTTAACCCCCAGTGTGAATCATAGGCCCATCATGAGGCCCAAGACTGCTGATCTGCCCATCTTCATTTCTAGGGGTTATTAAAAAAAAAAAAACGCACACACCCAAAATGGGGTCATCTGTGCAAAGTCCACGGTCACCAAACCAAGACTTTCTAACTTAAGTCAGTTTCAGCATCTCTTAGGAGTGGAATTTTAGATTGAAATGGTTTTGAATTTTCTTTTTCTTTTCTTTTTTTAAAAATTTATTTATTTATGCATACAAGGACTGGGGTACAGACCAGGTGTGTAGGGGGAAATGAGAGGATTCACCAGAGACAGAGTGGGGAACAGAACAGGCAGACTGACTGAAACCCACTGCTGAGGGGAGCAGCGGGGAGACAGGAGGTCTGCTGTGCCATGTGGGTATCTCCCTGCCCGGGGATCGAACTCGTGCTGCAGTGGCTGCGGACAGCTTCACAGGTTGCGTCTTAACCCTCTGTGCCACCAGGAAGGCCCTGCTTTTTTTCTTTTTTTTTAAGATTTTATTTATTTTTATTTTTTTTAAAGATTTATTTATACAAGAATTGGGGTACAGGCCAGAGGCGCGGGAGGGTGACAGAATTCACCAGAGACAGAATAGGGAACAGAACAGTCAGATAGACCAAAGACACTGCTGAGGGAAGCAGCAGGCAAGACAGAAGAGGTCTGCCTCACCATGTGGGTATCTCCCTGGCTGGCCGGGAATTGAACCTGTGCTGCAGAGGCTGCGGACAGCTTCACAGCACTGCACTCAACCCACTGCGCTACCGGAGAGGCCCTTATTTATTTTTGTATAGAAGAACTAGGGTTCTTCTAGGTGTGGGGCGAGAGGGGGATGGTGGTGAGACGATTCCCCAGAGACAGAGTGGGGAGCAGAACAGGTGAATTGACTGAAATACACGGCTGAGGGGAGCAGCAAGTGAGACAGGTTAGCTCCCTGGCCAGGGATCAGACTCAAGCCATTGCGGTGGTAGTGCTGAGCTTTAACCCCCAACCCCCAGGCCACCAGGGAGGCCCTGGTTTTGAATTTTCTGATCAACACTAGTAAGGTAAATTGGCTGTTAAGAGCCCTGACTCTCTGTCTCTCTCACACACACATACACACACACGCACACGCACTCACAGAGTAACCTTGCTAGAAGCAACCCTCTCCCTCACACCCACTCCCCTTTGTCAACAATCTCCTGATTTACTCTCTTTTTGGCTATAAAACCTTCTCTTGTACAACTTCCTAGGGTGTTCTTCTAGATGGGCTGCTGGAGTGCTCTTCTAGATGGGCTGCTGGGTGCTCTTCTAGATGGGCTGCTGGGTGCTCTTCTAGATGGGCTGCTGGGTGCTCTTCTAGATGGGCTGCTGGGTGCTCTTCTGGATGGGACGCTGCCCAATCAGTGAACCGGTGGGTGGTGCGGTAAACGCAGTAGGTCTTCAGGTTGATTCGGATGAACTCCGTGCTTCGACAGCGCTGACGTGACTCTGCCAGCGCAGTCCTCCGTCGGGGCGCAGGGTCCCGCGTCCCGAGGCCGGTGCCCGCGGGCTGGACGCTCGCTCCCGGCGTCCGGAGGGACGTGCGCGGGGCAAACGCGTGCGCGGAGCTTGGAGACGCCGGTCTCGTCACCCCCAACAGAGGAAACGACATTCTGCCTCGACCACTCCAGTCCCCGCGCTCACGGCTCTTTCCAGACCCGCACAGCCGGCCAGACCGGGCCGGGACGCCCAGCCCCGCCCCGCCCCCCTGACACCACCCGAGAGTCCTGGGGTGCGCCCTGAGCACGCTCACCCCTTCCCGCGCCACGGCCCCCCCCGCTGCCCGGGTTCCGGCCCCTCCCCCCGCCAGCGCACTCACTAGCGCAGCGTGTGGTCCGCCATGGGGTTGGAGTGCGCGCGCTGCCGGTAGTAGCGCTTCTGCGGCTGCGGGGCCTCGGCTCCCGCCGCCCCGGCCTCGGCCCCCGCCATGATCGCGCCCCGGCGCCGGCGGCGCGGCGAGCCCACGTGGCGACCCGGCATTGGGCGCAGGATGATGACGCGTCGGGCAGGTGGCGCGCAGGCCCCGCCCCTTAAAGGCGCCGGGTGAACGGGGCCGGGCTGCGGGGGCGCGAGGGCCCGCGGGGCCGGGGGCGCCTCCGCGCCCGGACCCTCCCGCGGGGCTGGCGCCCCCGAGCGCCCCCGAGCGCCCCTCCGCCCGCCTCCGCCCGGCCGGGGGCCCCTCCCGCGGGCAGACGCCCGGGCGCCCGGCGGTCCGCGGGGTGTGGGGACGCGCGTCGCCCCGGGGCGCCGGCCCCGCGCCGGGCGCGCGGGCGCGCGCGTGGGTGAGCCCGCCGGGAGCGCCGGGGCGGGCGGGAGGCGCGGCCGCTCTCCCCGCCCCCGGCGGCCGGGCTGGAGGGGGAGGGCGGCCCGGCGGGGGCGGGGCGCGGCCGCCGGGATGCGGAGCCGGCCCGCCCCCCCCCCGCGCGCCCCGCGCCGCCCGCGCGCCCCGCGCCCCGATGGCCGAGCCGCGCCGCGAGCCGGAGCCGGAGCCCGAGTCCGTGTTCCCGCGGGAGGACGGGCTCTTCGCCGACTCCTACTCCGAGGAGAGCCGCTTCTGCTTCTGCGGGCACGTGCTGAGCATCACGCAGCACTTCGGGGCGCGCCTCGGGGTGGCCGCCCGCGTGTGGGACGCGGTGAGGGCCGGGGCGGCCGGGGCCGGGGCGGCGGGTCCCCGCAGGCCCCCTCCGCCCGCCATACGGACCCGGCCCGCGACCGCCCCCCTCTCCTCCCGCAGGCGCTGAGCCTCTGCAGCTTCTTCGAGAGCCAGAACGTGGATTTCCGAGGCAAGAAAGTGATTGAACTGGGCGCCGGGACGGGCATCGTGGGGATCTTGGCTGCGCTGCAAGGTGCGTGGGCTTGCGGTGGGGGTGGGTGGGGACGGACGTGCAGAAATGGTCATCTTGGTTCCTGGAAGAGGGGAGTGGCTGGGCCCAGTCCTGGCCCTTCCTTTTAAAAAACTTTTTTTTTTCCCTTCCTTCTTTCCTCTCTCTTTTGTCTTCTCTGTTTCTGTGTTCCAGACGGCGCTGCTTGGCTTTGAAAGCACCAAAGTGGGGGTGATTTGGGGGAGGAAATAGAAACTGGGCAGACCTTAGTAGGAATTGTTTCCGTTTGCGCTTTATGAGCTCAGGGGCAATGCTGTCACTTAAGATCCCCTCTACTCTGGACAGGGTCTTGTGTCAAAATTCATAATGGGAGCACCCTGGAGGGGGAGCAACCTGGGGCTATTAACCCTCCTAAGTGCTTTCTAACTTGAGTGTATGAATGAGGTTTTGCTTGTTGGAGAAACAGGGAGTTTCTGGGGGTGTGTTTTGTGGGAAGTGGGGTCGACATTAGGTGCTGCCAATTTGGGAAAGAAAAGGTAAGGAAATTTTCACTTTAGTTTTGTCAGAAACCAAAGACTACAAAAGAAACCATCCCTTGTGATCTAACACAGCAAAGCCTCACACTCCAAAATTATTTATGATGTCATCTTCCCCAGGAATGAGAATCAATGTGTCCTCATTTATAGGGACACAACGAGGCCACCTTCAGGGAGGTCTTCCCAGAGGCGGGCATTCTTTCTTCTATCCATTCAACCATGTATTTGGAGCTCCCTACGAATATCCAGAGTCACGCTAGGTTATTGGGATAATCAGTGACTAAAACAGATTTTCTCCAAGGAGCTGATGTTTTAGTGGGAAGATGGGAGATGTCTCAGCACAAGAACAAGGGTCAGAAGGTGAATAGTGTGAATACCAGGTTCGGAAAGACCCTAGATTGTCAAGAGCAGTTTTCCACTGAGGATGGGAGGTGATTTAATCATGCTCAGACAGGAGAAGGCATGCCATATGGAGAGGGACGCTTACGTGCGTTTGTTTCCAGACCAGCTTCTCCTTTCTTGCTCCCTGTTCAGCTGCCAAGTCAGAAATCTGGGCGTCATCCTGCCCCTTTGCCTTCTCTCCTCACATTCCTGAAAGCGAGTCCAGTGAGTCATGCGGCCTTACTACTTTCCCAATTGTCTCCTGCTCATCCTGCCCCGTCATCGGCATTCAGACGACGACCAAGTATTCCCTAGATTTTCACCAACACCTTCAGGCTTCCCCTGGGGAAGTGTGGCATGCCCACACTAGATATGGGCATCGTCCTCCGCCAAACCTGTTTCTCCCGCAGGCTTCTCTCCCTGAGTAGATCCAACCAGCGTCCACCCAGTAGAAAACCTAGACATCACCCTGAACGCATCCCCTTCTCGCCCCCATGTCCAGCATTCAAATTCTACTGCTTTAGCTCCTGAAAAGCTCTGGCGCCTCCTCACGTGTTTCCTCGGCACCCGATGGCTCCCGAGTCCCTGCCGCCTGATGGGTACCAGTTGGTCCAGTTGGTCCAGTTGGTCTTCCTGCTTCACCTCCTGCCCCCTGCCTAGACCTCATGGTCTGTATTTCTTCCCTTCATGTTTTTCCCTCGATCCATCCTCGTCACTGCCCTCCCGTCATCTTCATTTCCAGCTCCATGTTGCACAAGAGTCAGTTATGGGCCCACTTCCTCGACTTCTCAAACTTATGTGTCCAGACACAAACTTACGATCTTCTGTCCACTCCTACCTCCTTGAGAGGCGTGGCAATTTCATCTTCTAGTTGGTCAAGCCGAACACCATGGAACCAACTTCAGTTTCACTGTCTCTCTGATATTTCATAATCAGTCAGTCAACAAATTATGCTGACTTTACCTTCAAAATATATTCAGCATCGGATTGCTTCTTAAATATTGCCACTGCCACCGTCATCTCTGCCTGGGTCATTGCAGTTGCCTCCTAACCGGTCTCCTTGCTCCTGATCTTGCTCCCCTGCAGTCCACTCTCACCAAAGTAGCCTTAGCAATCCTTTTAAAGCATAAGTCAGTACATGCCGTTCCCCACTTGCAGTTCCCCAGTAGCTTTCCAGCTCATCGCAGACAAAAAGCCAAATTTCTCAGTCTCCTTACAATCTCCTGGTTAGGATCTGGCCCCTACTGTTAGCCCGTCACACGCTCTGCTCCAACCCCTGACCTTTCTGCTGTTTCCTAGATGTGCTGGGCACACTCCGCCCAGGTCTCTGACTTGTACTCTCTCGTGCAGTGCTCCATCGCTTCCTTCAGATCTTTGCCCAAACAGTGTGCTCAGCAGGGCTTTCTCTAGCCACCTGGTTTGGAATTACACCCCCTGTTCCATCCTCAAGCAGTTCTCTCCTCTCCTCTCCTCTCCTGGCTTGACACTAAACCACGCATGGCACTTCCGCCCACCTGATGCCCAGTGCTGGGTTTGCTCTGCTTTGTCAACTGTTGCCTTTTTCTTGTAGCTAGAAGTGAATTCCAGGAGCTGAGGGCTTCTCGTCTGATTGGCTCACTGCTGTAGTCTCAGCACCTGGCATATGATACATAATAAATACCAATGACTGAATGAATTCTTAGTCTTTCCTGTTTCTATAATAGTCATCATGATTATGATGAATAGTTTTGTATTACCAAGTGTCTCTCTTCTAGAGTAAAACTCCAGGAAGGCTGAGGTTTTGTCTGGCTCACCACTATACCCCCAGAACACACACCCACCACACACACACACACACACACACACACACACACACACAATGCATGAACGAAGCTTTCTGAAATGCTAATCTGATCACCTTCACCCCCTGCTTCTATTCCTAAAACCTTTCCCCTCAATCTCCTCAGTATGTTGTAGTCACTTTTGTTTAGTCTCATGTCTTGAGACTTTTCTCCTTCCTTCCAAATCTCTTAAGATCCAGCCTTCCTAGGACGTGCCATGCTCTCTAAGCACCAAGCCTCTGTTCTCTGCGTGGAGAGCTCCACCTGACTAACTCCTGCTTCAGGGCTCGCTGAGGTTTCTGGGAAGGCTGCCAAAGCCCTGGCAGCGAGCTGCTGTTAGTAGGGGCAGTGCGCAGGCCATCTCCAGCCTCCTCCTGCCCGGCTTCTGCTGACATCTGATTGTGTGTTGGGCAGGGAGGTTGAAGATTAGCTCAGACAGAATGTTGATATTGTAGAATGAAGAGTAGCGAGAACGGCACCGGGTGAGCTGAGGTGATGCCAACTAAAAGCCCAAGTGTGGACTTTAGGCATCAAGATGTCGTCCTCTGGGCCGTGAGGCCTCCAGACCCCTGGGTGTGTCCCTCTGACTTTCCTTTCTCCTCCTTCCTCTCTCAGGGGGGAATGTTACCATCACTGACCTGCCCCTGGCCCTAGAGCAGATCCAGGGCAACGTCCAGGCCAACGTGCCGGCCGCATGCCGGGCCCGGGTCTGCGCCTTGTCCTGGGGGATTGACCAGCATGTCTTCCCTGGAGACTATGACCTGGTGCTGGGGGCCGATATCGTGTACCTGGAGCCCACCTTCCCTCTGCTGCTGGGCACCCTCCAACACCTGTGCGGGCCCCATGGCACCATCTATCTGGCCTCCAAGATGAGAGAGGAGCATGGCACAGAAAGCTTCTTCCAGCACCTCCTGCCCCAGCATTTCCAACTGGAGCTGGCCCAGCGGGATGAGGATGAGAATGTCAACATCTATAGGGCCAGGCGCAGGGAGCCGAGACCTGCTTGACATCACCCGCAGCTCTTCTGGACCCCTCGGCTCCTGAGGGAAGTGTCATATCTCCAAAACCGTAAACACGAGGACGAAAAAGGCTGGATCGCCCTCGTTCCTCCTTTTTGGTCTCTTCCCCCAGGTACTTTTGGGCATGAGGGAGGCACCTGCTTGCTAGGAACCCTCGGGCCCTGGCAGCTCTGGATGGGAGCATAGGAAGGCGGGAGGGGACCCAGGATGTTTAGGGACGGGGTGGTAAATGGAGTGTTAGAGCAGCGGCTGTGGAGACTGTCACTGAGCACTCCCGATGCTGCTTGCTTTGTTCCGTTTCTACCCAGTGGATTTTTTCTGGCTGTGCGCCAGATTCTAATGGATTTTTTTTTTTAAGGGAAAGAAATTGGCATTAGAAATCTCTCCTGTAACCAAAGAACTAAGGGTTTTGGTGGAGAGCTGAGAAGGAAGACCACCCACTTCTTGTTCCTAGAGCTGGAGTCTAGTGGGACCAGGGCGCTAGCTGGGTCAAGTCCCCAGGCCTCTTCATCCTTTTTGGAGTGGGTGCCCTGACCATTCAGTGCGGGGTTCTTTTTCTCTCTGGCTTTTCTTTAGGTTTCCAAGCCCTGTCAGTTCTTCCTTGCTCATGGCTTTGCCTTCGCTTCCTCACTTCCTATTTGGTGCCTGCCTTACTCCTTGGGCCTGTGTCACCCCTCTGCCCTCCTGGCCTCCACTGTGAGAGCCCCTTCAAGCCATTTGCAGACTCTTGTGATCTTTCAGAATCAGCGCTGATTAGCTTCTGCTGCCTGCCGAAGCCACGCTAAGCTCCTCTGCTTGGCGCTGATTCTACCCCCTGTGACCCCAATTACAGTGCTGCTTCATTTCCCGCTGGCTTCCTATATGGACTGCAACCTCTGGCCAACTTCAGGGGGTCTGCTCGTTGTTCCTTAAATCTGCACCAAGATTCCCTGACTTCTTCCTTCATCCCTTCTGATGATTCCTTTCCTGGAAGGGCTGTTTTTACCTGTCAAAATCTTCAATACTCTGCCTCTTTCCTGAAAGAAAAGGAAAAAAAAAGGCTATTCCAGAACTTTGTTTGGATGTGATTTCTCTCTCCCTTGAGACTACTGGTTTCTCATCTGACGGGGCTTGTCTTGTGGGGTCGCGGGTTCGCTCCCTATTCTCTCACCGCTCCATCATCTTGGGGAGCAGAGTTTACTGGTTTCTGATTCCCCGAGACAGCGCAGTTCCTGGCACACAGCGGATACTCAACACATATTCTGCTCATCCAACAAATATTTCCTTGGTTTGTAGAAGGGACTCCATCCCTACCTCTCTCGGCGCCTTGCCAAGTTCCTGACCCACCTTTCTACCTCACAAGTGTGTCCTGAGGCAAATGGATAATGACTGTGAGAACGCATTGAAAATAAACAAAAATGTTACGCGCTGCCTTGTATAATCATTTTGTGATGCTTTATCTCGTGATTCCCGTTTGCCCTCGATCTCCCTCGTGTCATAAATCCTTTGTCGCACGGGTTTTATTACTGGGTGGGGGGGGGAGGGGACTCGCCTGCCAAGGCCCCAGGACCCCGCCGGGAGGCGGATGCGCCCTCCAGCCCGCAGGGGGCGCCGCGCGCGGCCGGCGGGGAGGTTTGGCCCCGGCGCCGCGCCGTAGCCGGCCTCGGGGCGCGCGCGGCTGTGACGCGGAGACATGGCGCTGCTGCGCGCCCTGCGCTGCGGCCTGGGGGCGCGGGCGGCCGGCTGCCCGGTGAGGGGTCCTGGCCCGCCCCCCCATCCCCACCCCCACCGCCCCCGGCGCCCCCCGGGAGCCCCTGCGGGCCGCCCCCTCCCCAGGCCTCACGCCGCCTCACGCGCCTCTCGCCCTCTCCCTCCAGGCGGGGCCCCTGCGGCCGCAGCCCCCCCAGGGGCGCGCCCTCCGCGTGGGGCCCCGGCTCGCGTCCGCGGCCTCCAGCAAGGAGCTCCTCTTGAAGCTGCGGCGGAAGACGGGGTACTCCTTCGTGAACTGCAAGAAAGCGCTGGAAACGTGCGGCGGGGATCTGCAGCAGGTGTGGGCAGCAGGAGGGCGCGCGGGGGGCCTGGAGGGCGGGCCTCACGCCTGGAGCCGCGGGGAGGATTCCGCCTCGGCCGCCCTTGGCCTCGCACTGTCCTTTCAGCAGCGGCTGACGGAGGGCCCCGGGGCGACACCCCATTCCTTGCAAGGCCCTTGCACTGTTTCCCGCTGCTTGCGGCTGCAAGGGCTTGTGTGAACTTTGGAGTCATTGGCCAGGACGCGAGAGGTTGGTTGTGCTCTCACTACCTCTTGTGGGAGTGGTGAGCACTTACGTGAGGGGGAAATACACAGCAACCCTGTGCTCTTGGACGCCTTAGTTAATCTTTCAGAATAGCGTGTCCTTGTCTATGTAAAACAAATACTACGTCTTCCTTATGGAGTCGTTGTGAAGATTAAACCTCTTCAGCAGGCACGATGCTTGGTATTGTATTTAGTGGGAGGCCACCCGTAAATGATCATTTGCTTCAGTTTTTATTTTAGCATTGAGGATTAGCAGAATCAGGGAACCTGAGCTTTTTTTTTATTATTAAGATTTTATTTATGCATGCAAGAACTGCGGTACAGGCCAGAGGTGCGGGGGTGAGAGGATTCACCAGAGGCAGAGTGGGGAGCAGAGCAGGCAGACTGACTGAAGTACACTGCTGAAGGGAGCAGCGGGGAGACAGGAGAGGTCTGCTGCGCCATGTGGGTAGCTCCCTGGCGGGGAATCAAAGTCATGCTGCAGTGGCTGCGGACAGCTTCATAGATTGCATCTTTAACCCTTGCGCCACCAGGGAGGCCCCCTGAACATACTTTAGAACTCCATTCACTTCTGAATCTGTGGCTCTGTTCTTGAATTCTGCCCCGCCCCCCGCCCCCCTTCGATTTTCATTTCTAGGCAGAGAATTGGCTCCACAAGCAGGCCCAGAAGGAGGGCTGGAGTAAGGCGGCCAAGCTCCATGGGAGGAAGACTAAGGAGGGGCTGATTGGGCTGCTGCAGGAAGGAAACACAGCTGTGTTAGTAGAGGTGAGTTGTCAGAATTCCAGATACCAGGAGCAGCTGTCTCTTGGGTGTGGTCGGCCTTTCCCCTTTTTTGGGAGGAGGTAATTGAGAACCATAAGGGGTTGTGGGGATTAAACCCACAGTACTTCAGTTATCAGCAGTGGGATCAGGTAGTGTAGGAGTGCACGGGGGTGTGGCTAAGAAAAGTCCTACTTGTATAAAATGGGATTCTTAAATGTAAATACCTGGTCAGTGATTGTTTTCTGGAACAGCTAGATTTTCAGCAAGGACTTAGTTGCTAGGTAATGAGAAGCTGTTCTAGAGGAGATTTGGGGGTCACGATTGGTGAAGAATCAGATGTGGGGTGGTTTAGAGTGAGAGGAGTAAACGACCTGATGGCACTGGTGGTTTGGACTTGGAGGAAGCTGAAGAATAAGTTGATATGGTAGCTACACACAAATGGTGAACGCGCAGCAGGTCCTCTGGGGAATGTGCAGTCATTTTTTTTTGAGATTTATTTATTTATGCATATGAATGCTGGGGTACAGACACATGCAGAGGGTGAGAGGACTCACCAGAGACAGAGTGAGGAGCAGAACAGGTGGATTGACTGAGATCCACTGTTGAGGGGAGCAGCGGGGAGACAGGAGAGGTCTTGGAATTGAACTCGTGCTGCAGAGGCTGTGGATAGCTTCATTGTGCTGTGTCTTAACCCCTTGCGCCACCAGGGAGGTCCCTGTGCAGTCATTTCTAACTCACTGACACAGCACGAGTCACTTCATTCAGTTTTTGGCCTCCTGCTAGGGGAGAAACTTCAGCGTTAAAATCCTGGGGTCATTTATTTCTGTTTTTTCGGTCGGCACCTTGTTCTAGTAATACCTTGGTTTACTCTCCACTCTTGAGGCAGCTTTGGGAACTGTCGATAAGCAGTGGATACAGCAGCTTTCGTTTATTCCCACAGGTAAACTGTGAGACAGATTTTGTTTCCAAGAATTTAAAATTCCAACAGTTAGTCCAGCAAGTAGCCCTTGGAACTATGTTGTATTGTCAGAACCTCAAGGATCAACTCTGCACATACAGGAAGGTGAGTTTGGGGCTTGTCTCTTTTTTTTTTTTAATAGAGGCATGTTTTATTTATTTGTTTGTTTGTTTGCTTGTTTGTTTTGTTTATATATGCACTGGGTGCAGCCAGAAGCGCGGGAGGGTGAGAGAATTCACCAGAGCCAGAGCGGGGAGCAGAGCAGGTAGAAGGACCGAGGTACACTGCTGAGGGGAGCAGCGGGCGGCAGGAGAGGTCTACGCGCCATGTGGGACCCTCCTCCGATGGCCGGGGAGCAGCCGGGGATCGAACTGGCGCCGCAGAGGCCGCGGGCAGCTTCGCAACCCAGTGCTCAATTGCTGCGCCACCGGGAAGGCCCTGGGGCTTGTCTCTGACACGCAGGGTTTGTTTTCCCGTCTTAGGGATTTTGCTGTTCGCCTCTTCCAGGCATTTGCGTGTCTTATTTCTTTACTTCGTACGTGCTTAAATGTTCTCTCTCTGGAGAGGAGATCCCTTCTTCTGTTCTCCTTCCTTACTTTGCTTCATTTAGATTTTTCTTTAAATATGAGGAAAAAAACCCATAAAACTTTCTGTTAGTAGTGCTTATTTATTACATTTCTATTTACTTATATATTGTCTGTCTTCCCATATAGAATGTTAAGAGCACGACACAGGGAATTTGTCTTTTTGCTGCTGTGACTGGCACAGGACAAGTGTGCCTGGCACCTTGGTTGGGGGCCCAGTAAATCTATTAAATGAGTGAATGATAGCGGCCTAATGATTATTTTTCTAACTCTTATAATTTCTTTTGCATGTGCAGTTTTATTAGCTGGCATTCTACTGTAAGGATGAGACTGCCTTTTTCTCCCTTAGTGATTAATTTAGTACCAATGCTGACTTTTTATACTGTAGTCTAGAATCCATTATATAGTAATTATTCATTTTGATGCTCAGATTTCACCACTGCAAGCCAAGCCTGTGTAAGGTAGCTCTAATGTTCTTTCAATAAATCTCATTATTTTCTGAGTATTTCCTTTTTGGCATAATTAAGATATTTTGGGGTAAGGCACAGGGGTCCAGCCCTCAGCTGAGTCATGGGAACTGAGTGTTTCTTTGTTCTGCCTGCGGCAGGTTGGTGGTGAGCGCTTACATGAGGCAGGATATGTGCTTGTGTCATACGTTCTCTGCCGCAGTCATGGAATTGGCTACTTTTCTAAGGAGTCCTGATCCTTTTTAGTGGGGAAATAGTTTTTGGACGCCAAGATCTGTGTACCAGTTAAGCCTGTTTCTACTGAGATGTCGTTTCTTTTCTACTCATTCAGCCGACACAGCTGGGAGAGTGTTTGTGCTAGTCCCGAGTCATAGGGTGGGGCCTTTCCTCCCCCCAAGTCTATATTCCCTCTTCCTTCTCTGCTCAGCACACTGGCTCCTAGCGGTTTCAGCCTGTTTCCTTTCTTAGTGTTACAAGACACACAAACATTATTGCAGAGTGTATTCGACCACTGCAAATGACAGGTTTGCAAAGGAGTTCAAGGTTTCTTTGATCTTCTTTTTGTCCTTTGCCTTGGCATTGAGGTTTTGTGGTCAAAGGACTATATTGAAAGTTATTTGAATTAAGCTTTTATTCCCATTCTGTGAGGTTATGTTATTCATTTGAAAATACACTTGCATCTTTAGCTTCTGTATAGTTATTTTATCCCCAGATTTTTGTTGATCTTATTTAATTTTTGAATATGTAAAACATTAATAACATTCCAAAAGTTGAAACTATAATGTCTACGTATGTGCGTGTGCGCTTGCGCACGCGCACACACACACACACACACACACTCTTACTTAGAGAAGTCTTAGTCTTCTTTTTCTTGCTACAGTCCACTTCTGTAAAAATAACCAATTTTAGTGGTTTCTGGTTGTCTTTTTTTTTTTTTTTAAAGCTTTGTACCTTTATGACTTGTCTTTTTTTTTTTTTTTAGTATTTATTTATTTATTTATACAAGCACTGGGTACAGTCAGAAGCGCGGGAGGGTGAGAGAATCCACCAGAGCCAGAGCGGGGAGCAGAGCAGCCAGAAGGACCGAAGTACACTGCTGAGGGGAGCAGCGGGCGACAGGAGAGGTCTGCAGGCCATGTGGGACCCTCCTCCGGTGGCCGGGGAGCAGCCGGGGATCGAACCGGCGCCGCAGAGGCCGCGGGCAGCTTTGCAACCCAGCGCTCAACCGCTGCACCACTGGGGAGGCCCGATTTCTGGTTGTCCTTTATGTCTTTTGCAAAAAAATAAGCGTGTTTATGCAAATACTTATTTCTTACACAAATGGTATTATAATAAGTACATACTTGTAAAATTTGTTTTCTGCACTTAATATATCCTGGAAATTGGGCCTCCCCAGTGGCACAGCGGTTGAGCGCTGGCTTGCAAAGCTGCCAGCAGCCTCTGCAGCACCAGTTCCATCCCCGGCCACCAGGCGAGGGTCCCACATGGCGCACAGATCTCTCCTGCCGCCCACTGCTCCCCTCAGCAGTGTACCTCGTCACTCTGCCTGTTCTGCTCTCTGCTCTGGTGAACTCTCTCACCCTTCTGCGCCTCTGACTGTACTCAGTGCTTGTATAAAATAAAATAAAATAAATCTTTAAAAAAATATATATATATCCTGGAAATTCTCCATGGCAGCTCATAGAGATCTTCCTTTTTCCCAGCTGCATAGTACTTCATTGTGTGGCTGTATGATGGTTTATTTAGCCAATCTCTACCTGTATTTGAGCAGTTAGACTTATGCTTTATGGTTAGAAATAATTGGCTCAATGAATACCTTTGTGTCTGTGTACTCTTGTACAGGTGAAAGTGTCCTGTCATGGTAAATTACTATGAATGGATTACAGCATCAAAGGATAAAAGTACATGTAATCTTTTTTTTTTTTTTAAGATTTATTTATTTATGCACACAAGAGCTGGGGTATAGGCCAGAGGTGTGGGGGGTGGGAGGATCCACCAGAGACAAAGTGGGGAACAGAACAGGCAGACTGACGAAATCCACTGCTGAGGGGAGCAGCAAGCGAGCCAGGAGAGGTCTGCTGTGCCATGTGGGTATTTCCCTGGCTGGAGATCAAACTCGTGCTGCAGTGGCTGCAGATTGCTTCATAGGTTGTGTCTTAACCCCTTGCGCTACCAGGGAGTCCCCAAAAGTATATGTAATCTTGTTAGCTTTGAATTTGTACCAGTTTTTATTACTACCAACAGTCTACAAACCTTCTAGATTTAACATTTTATGATTGTATGAAAATACTGGTTTTTGTGGCTTAGGGGTTAAGTGTCAGCTATCACCTGTGTGGTCTGAGTTCAATCCCCAGCAGGGAGCTAACCCACATATCGCGCAGCAGACCTCCTGTCTCGCCCACTGCCCCCCTTAGCAGTATATTTCAGTAGATCTGCATGTTCTGCTCCCCACTCTGTCTCTGGTGAACCCCCTCACCCCCTACACCCCAGTTCTTCTATGCAAAAAAAACCCTAGCCGGCCTCCCCGGTGGCGCAGCAGTTGAGCGCTGGGTTGTGAAGCTGCCCGCAGCCTCTGCTGCACTGATTCAATCCCCGGATGCTTCCTGGCCACTGGAGGAGGGTCCCACATGGTGCGCAGACCTCTCCTGCCGCCCGCTGCTCCCCTCAGCAGTGTACTTCGGTCTTTCTGCCTGCTCTGCTCCCTGCTCTGGCTCTGGTGAATTCTCTCACCCTTCCGTGCTTCTGACTGTACCCAGTGCTTGTATAAATAAATAAACAAATAAATCTTTAAAACAAAAAAAACCCAACAAAAAACCCTAGCAGTTAAAAATAATAACACACATTAAAAAAAAAAATACTGGTTTTGATTTCTAGGAAAACTACATTATATGATGTTAGACCAGAGGGTAGGATGGGTATGAAGTTAGGGGTTCTGCAGTGAAAGAATATTTATAGAAATGGAACTTATCAATTTTTAACATCTTTGGTTTAATGAACACATCTATTTATACTTAGTATCTTGAGTCATTTTCTGAGAAATAGGCTATTTTTGCCTAGTCTCTTGATAATTTGAGTTATACAGAATTGATTCATGCTATTTTCTTTGTGCATTTAGGGCTTCTTGAATTCCTCTGAGCTCTCTGATCTTCCTACTGGGCCTGAGAGAGAAGGATCTCTCAAGGATCAGCTGGCTTTAGCAATTGGTGAGTATTTGTAAGGAATTCTGGAAACTAGAAACTAAGAACTGGATATCCTAGTACCTCTGGTGTTTCTCCAAATTCAGATCAAAAACTGCAAACTTATGTGCCTACAAGGGTCCTTTAATATGAATGTGAGAAGTGGGTTGGTATTAGAGATTAAGGAGCAATAGGTACTCTGAAAAGCTCAGTTTCTGCTGAAGGAAACTATTATCAAGCTCTAGCCACTTGTTACTGAAAAGGAAATGTCATCAGAATTTTTAAATTCTTTTCAAAAATTTAGGTTTGCCTACAAAAGTCTCATAGGTTTGTAACTAATTAAAAATTAATTTCAACACTGTGGAGGCATCACTGCTGACCAAAGAAAGCATGCCTTTAGGCAGAGCCAGCCTTTTGACTTCTCTATACACTAGTGGGGAGATAGTAGATCAAAGGTCATTTCACTTTCTTTATAAAGTGATCCAGGAAAATTTACGATTTTTTTTTTTTTTAAGATTTATTTACGCATACAAGAACTGGGGTACAGGCCGGAGGTGTGGGCGATGAGAGAATTCACCAGAGACAGAGTGGGGAGCAGAACAGGCAGAGTGATTGAAATACACTGCAGAGGGGAGCAGCAGGCGAGCCAGGAGAGGTCTGCTGCACCTTGTGCTGACACCTTCTGGTCAGCTCCCTGGCTGGGAATCGAACTCATGCTACAGTGGCTGCGGACAGCTTCATAGGTTTTACGTGTTTATCCCTTGTGCCACCAGGGGGGCCCTGTACTTTGTTTTTAGGAATCTCTCTCTATTTAAAAAAATCCGATCCTAAATTTGTGAAGGTGCCTCCTTTAGAGTGTGCTTGCTGTAGGCGCCGTGTCTGAGTCATTGTGGTGGGATTAGTGAGGGTTTTGCTTTTTGCTATGCGTCCTTGATGGCGGGAGGGAAGTAGGACTGAGGCTAGAGCTTGCTGGGAATTGACTGCTCATGTGATGTTTCCAGTCGAGGCATCACTTCTGATCGGGTCATCTTGAAGTATGTCTGATATTTACTTCAAGTGAGTCATGGGTGAAAAACCATGCCAGCAGCTGCGTGTGGGGCTTATTAAGAAATTCTGGAAGAACTGGGTGCTTCAGCTTGTCAGTTTCTGGGAATTAACTATTGGGTAGATGCTTTCAGCTCTTTTAGATTCCTTTTGGTGTCTGGGGACTCCCATTTTATGGTTTTCAGATTTATAACTACAGCTGCTGCAGGCGAAGTCATCAAGACTTCGTTGTTTACTCACCTGTCCCTTCTTTCCTTGTGCCTTAAGAAGGGAGTTACATCCTGACAAAGGGGAGAGAAAACTGGAATCTGTTTTTGGTGCTCATAAACAATTCTACAAATGTTACTTTTGTTTTTGGTGAGAGGAAATTGAAACCGTTGGATGACATGGAGTTGTGGATTTTCTGGGGCTTTCAGTCATGAATTTTTTTTCTGATACTGGGCATGAGCCAGCATCGTCAGTTGCGGTGGTGTTCAGAAGGGATGGCGGATGTGGTGGGAAAAAAAGCCCTGAGTTTCTTTGAAATCACATCTGAGTTTTAATCCCAGCTCTGCCGCTTTATAGCTGTGTAAGTGCAGGCATCTTGCTCCGCTCTCAGCCTCGTGAATGTCCTAATCATGGCCCACGTTTGAGTGTTCACTGCGACCAGGTGCTGTCATGTATTGTCTTTGTATTATTTCTCCCACTTACCTGTTTCAAATGGTGGTGTCTGCATTTTACAGATGAGGAAATGAGAGCTTGAGAAATTAGAATGTTGTTACTAGTTTCTGTCATTAAGTCACCCGCTCCAAGTCACGTAGCCAGTTAGAGGCAAAACTGAGACCAGAGTCCAGGGTCTGTGTGTATTTTTAGCTGTCAGAGTGCCTGACACGGGGCTGCTGCTTCATAAAGGTGTCCACTCGCCCCCCCTCCTCTGACTGCACACCCGCGGTGTAAGCGCAGAGTCTCCTAAACCCCCCGCTTCTGTCGTACTCCGGCGCTGCCCCAGGCGGCGTATTCTAAACGTGTGTTTTTTGTTTTGCTTTTCATAGGGAAATTGGGAGAAAACATGACTCTTAAACGCGCCGCATGGGTGAAGGCGCCCGCCGGATTCTATGTCGGGTCTTACGTCCACGGAGCGACGCAGAGCCCCTCGCTGCACAACCTGGTGCTGGGCAAGTATGGGGCTCTCGTCGTCTGCGAGACGTCTGGGCGGACAGCAGACCTCGAGGCCGTGGGCCGCCGCCTGGGGCAGCACGTGGTGGGCATGGCCCCGCTCTCCGTGGGCTCCCTGGACGACGCGCCCGGGGGAGAGGCGGAGACCAAGATGCTCGCCCAGCCCTACTTGCTGGACCCCTCCATCACGCTGGGGCAGTTCGTGCGGCCCCAGGGCCTCTCCGTCGTGGACTTCGTGCGCTTTGAGTGTGGGGAAGGCGAGGACACGGCCGAGGCCGAGTAGCTTCCGGAGACGCCCGGCCCGGGAGGAGACGTCTCTTCACTCTGGATGTCATTCCACAGAGAGTTTCCTGGGCCTCTTCAGACCCAGGATATTTCACTTGGCGCTCATAATAAAATTACGTTCTCTGTGGTTAAAGTTACTAAGTGAAGTCATTACACAGTAGACAGACTAGAATCGTCCTGGCTTGTGTACTCCTGGGTTTAGCTTTTTGGGCCTGTGGCGAGTCCTAGAAAAAACAGTGGGCCTTCTGGCGGCGGCTGTCGGTCTGAGAGGAGCTGAGCTGCCCCCTCGCCGCGGCTCTATCAGGTTTCCCGGCGGCGGCTGTCTCGCGCCGCCTGTGGCGGGCAGCTCTGGTTGTGCACACATCCCGGTCCCGTCCGCCACGTGCATTTCTTTGGAACTGTTGACTCAGACTTAGTCTGGAAAGTGTGCTTCATTTGTTGATGTCTCTTGCGTGCTTTGAAGGCTCTCCACAGCCGTCTACACACTGGTGTCGGCCGCATTGCTGCAATTGATAACTCCTGGCCCTGAGTCTCTTGAATAAGGGGGTGTGGACGGGTGGGGACTGAGGTTTCCTGGACAGCTGGAAGGCAGATTTTGACATTTTTGTGCCAGAAGCGCATCACTGTGGCCAGGTTCTCCAGAGCGCTCTCCACAGCGCCTCGCTCTCCCGCCCCGAGACGAGACGTTTCCCCCAGCGCCCCGTGAGGTGATGGCCGAACAGGCAAACCCAAAATGACAAGGACTCCATTTGCTCGTACGGGTGTCTTTATTTGAAAAGTTAAAAATCTCTGGCGCATACAATTCGGGGCATTTGGGTTTTGACTTTAGGGTATGAGTTTAGGGTAAATAACTTCAGTGACTGTGGGTTAGATAGGTTTTGGAAATACTCATCCTGGAATTTAAGACAAATTTAGGTCCTGGCCCTAGTATTAACTCTTTAAAATTAGTCTTACTGTCCCTTCGTTTTTACTTCTTCAGATTCATGCAATTTTTGCATTTTCTGCTGAGGCTTTAGTTCGAAGGCCATGACATCTAACAGTGGGTACTAACAGTTAAGGTCTGTGACAGTAGGGGGGCGAAGCAGGGAGCGCATGCTGTCATCTGCAGACCCGGTGGGATCTGAATCAAGCTGAATGTTAGGCGGAGACTGGTAAATTCTTTCCCGATCATTGGCACTGTTTGCTCTTTGCTGTGGTTTTACAGTAGGCGTGCGCCGTCTGGCCTTAGAAAAGCCCCCTTTCTTTCTTCATCTGGAGCTGTCTCCAGCCGGGCATGACAGCAAATTGCCCTCTTGTGATGCCAAACACAGAAACAAAGTCCTGTTCAGAGAGGTAATTCTAAGAGAGAAAACGAAGTTTCTGGTTAGAGATAGAGCTGGCAGGCATGGGTGCCAGCAGAGCTGGGGCGAGGGGGCAGGGGGAGGCCCAGCTGGGGAAGAGGAGTAAAGTTTTCGGGTCTGCAATGAGTGTCCACTAGAGCTCCTCAGGCTGTGGGCTCCTGCTGTGAAGAAACTGACCAGATTCGCTGCTCTCATGATACTGGTTTTTTTTTTTGTTTGTTTGTTTGTTTTTTGTTGAGAGAAGATAGTGGGTTATGTTTTATCTATGAATTCTAGAGATTAGATTTTTTTTTTTTTAGGCATTAAGAGTTTGCCTGAATAGAGAATAAATCAAATGATGGTTTTTCTTTATGTTCCTATCTGCCATTTTTACCTAGGTATTTTATTTTTTAAAGATTTATTTATTCACACAAGAACTGGGGTACAGGCTAGAGGTGTTGGAAGGGTGAGAGGATTCATTAGAGACAGTGGGGAGCAGAACGGGCAGATCTACTGAAATACACTGCTGAGGGGAGCAGTGGGGAGACAGGAGAGGTCTGCTGTGCCGGGGATCAAACTCATGCTGCAGTGGCTGCAGACAGCTTCATAGGTTGCATCTTAACCCCTTGCGCCACCAGGGAGGCCCCTATCTAGATATTTTTTTTTTTTTTAATTTTCTAGAGGCATGTCTTTTTTATTTTTTATTTATTTGTTTGTTTTTGTTTGGTTTGTACATGCACTGGGTACAGTCAGAAGCGCGGGAGGTTGAGAGAATTCACCAGAGCCAGAGGGGGGAGCAGAGCAGGCAGAAGGACCGAAGTACACTGCTGAGGGGAGCAGCGGGCGGCAGGAGAGGTCTGCGCGCCATGTGGGACCCTCCTCCGGTGGCCGGGGAGCAGCTGGGGATCGAACCGCTGCGCCGCAGAGGTCGCCGGCAGCTTCGCAACCCAGCGCTCAACCGCTGCGCCACCGGGGAGGCCCCCTATCTAGATATTTTAAATGCAAGAGCAGGGCCTCCCCTGGTGGCACAGCCGTTGAGCGCTGGGTTGCGAGGCTGCCCGCAGCTTCTGCAGCGCCGGTTCGTTCCCCGGCGAGGGTCCCACAAAAAAAAAAAAAAAAAATGCAGGAGCAGGTGGACCTTGTTGTCAGTATCAAATTCTGACATTTATTTAGTGATTATTAATGAGTATTTTCTATCCAAGTAAAATTTCTAAGATAAGCAACCTGTTTTCAAGAAAGTTATAGCTCAGATACTTAAGATTTGACTAGATGAGACAACGTGGAATATCTAGAACCCTTTCCCAAATCCTTCAAGGGGGAAAGAAAGTAATTCATTCAATACGAGCATGATAATTCATTTGATTAGAAGTTAAAGAGTGTCAGGGCCCCCTGGTGGCGCAAGGAGTTAAGCACCGCACTGTGAAGCCGTCTGCAGCCTCTGCAGCAGGAGTTCCATCCCTGGCTGGCCAGGGAGCAACCCACATGGTGAGACAGACCTCTCCTGTCTCGCCCGCTGCTCCCCTCAGCAGTGGATTTCAGTCAGTCTGCCTGTTCTGTTCCCCACTCTGTCTCTGGCGAATCCTCTCACCCCCCGCACCTCTGGCCTGTACCCCAGCTCTTGTTTGCATAAATAAATAAATCTTTGAAAAAAAAGTTAAGGAGTGTCTGCTTCCTGCTAGGACTGGAGAATGTGATAATGAACAGGATAGCAAAGTTCTTGCGCTTAAGGATTTGTCACTAGACGGGGGAGAGAGTGGACAAGTGTAAAGGAACTGGGGGTGGGGGTACAGGGGAGGCCTTCCTGGGGAGGCGACATTGGAGTGGAGACGTAACTAATGAGACGGGGATGACCTGGAGATTTTTTTTTCCGCCAGAAGCAATAGAAGGGTAAAAACAAAGACTGGGATGAGCGTGTGTGAGGAACAGGAGCAGCTGGGCGGCGGGGGGGGGGGGGGGGGGTTGAGGTGGGGGGTTGTGAGGAAGGGGTGATGGCGTGGGTAGCTGAAATCACAGGGGCAGGGGCCAGCTTGGTAGGGCCTTGGAGGCCAGAGTAAGAACTTCAGTTTCTTTTTTAAGTGCAGTGGGAAGCTATTCAGTGTGTTTTAAATAGAGCAACGTCATCAATTTTAAAAGCCCATTGGCTGTTACGTGGAGAACAGACTGTAGGGTGAGTGGCAACCAGTTTGGGGACGACAGCCGTAGTCAGTTGATGGCTGGTTCAGATGAACAGCAGAGAGATGGGCAGGAGTGGACAGAGCCTGGCTGGTGGGTTCATGTGGGAGGTGAGAAAACAGGAGTCAAGAAGGAGCCTTGGGATTCTGGCCCGAGCTGCTAGCTGCCGGACCTCTCCCCAGCCGCAGGCGGGGCGCTTAGGGAAAGCTTCACTCACACCCTGAAGGAACTCACCTCCTTTTTGGCAGGATTCACATCCTCAGGCAGCCCTTCATTCTGACTTTTCAGTAGAACTTCTAGAGGGTAATAATTTGGCTCAGCGTTACTGGAATTCAGGGAGAGGGTTGTGCTCCTCATGTCCTAGGTACGACACGGGTGTAGACAGGAAATGAAAGACATTTCAGGGTTTGTGAAGTTGCAGTTTTGTGTGTACCAGATTTAAATTTTGGCTTATACCACTTCATCCTTTGGGGTCACCTTCTAGAACAGTGGCCCCAAGCCTGGCTGCGTGTCCAAACCAGCTGGGAATCTAAAATACTCGGATTTGGGCCCTTCTTGGGAAGGCTGGCTCAGTAAGTTTGGTGAATCTGTGTCGCCACTGCGGCTTAGATGCCGGGCTTCACTCGCAGTTACATACTCTGTCGTCACTCCTCGGCACTTCCCCCGGGTTTTACCTTCCCAGCCTTTAAATGAATTCCGTTTAAAGACATGCTTTTCTTAAATGCGTTTTAAAGACTGCATGACCAGTAGCTTTGGAAAGTTGAGTTTGTAGAGCACGAAGGAGCGAATTGCCAGATGGTTGGCCCTGGTGCCCACTCCTGGCGGGAAAGCTGTAGGGTCGCAGGCCAGACACTAAGATAGAGGGACTGGCCTGAGCTCCTGACTCCGCTGTTAGAAACTGATAAACAGATCATGAGCGCTGGAAGCTTATTATTTCTGAAAAATACTGCCAGTAAATTTAGGTCCCAGATGGCGTGGGGAGTTCAATAATAAAATTAGTTTTTGTTTGTTTCAATAGCAAGTCTAGACTAGATTGCGGGGCGGGGGGAGAGGGGAGGGCACTTATGGCTCTGAAACTTGCGTTTCTATTGATTAAAACAATCTTTATATCAAAATAGATGGCTGGAGCGGTCCTCCGGGGTCGGGCGGGTTCCCCGGGGTGGCATCTGTGGGGTCACTGCTTCTCTTTGGCGCTGGTTGCCCGAGTGACTTGCTTCCCCCAGAGCCAACCCCACTCACGGCAGTGATTTTCAGGATAGCAGCAGTGTCCCCCAGCTCTTCTTTTAACTGTTCATATGATTTTCCTCCCTGAAAAGAAGAGATGGAAACCACAGAATGAGCTGTTGCTTGTAAGGGAGGCACATCTCAGACATACTTTCCCCTGCGGAATAGCACAGTAGCGGATCAGAGGGCACTTCTGGGATAAGCAAAAATGAAACCCCCCGTTCTGAATCCAGGCAGGGTTGGCAGGCACTAAAACATGACCTGTATGCTTGGCTGCGCCCCCTTAGGCCTCCGTACAAGACAAGACAGAGCAACGGATTAGGGGGCAGAAAAACCCGACTTCTTCCTACTGCTTTGTCTTGACTTTATTTTTTTTTTAAGATTTATTTATTTAGGGCCTCCCCGGTGGCGCAGCGGTTGAGCGCTGGGTTGCGAAGCTGCCCGCAGCCTCTGCGGCGCCAGTTCGATCCCCGCTGCTCCCTGGCCACTGGGGAGGGTCCCACATGGCGCACAGACCTCTCCTGCCGCCCGCTGCGCCCCTCAGCAGTGTACTTCGGTCCTTCTGCCTGCTCTGCTCCCCGCTCTGGCTCTGGTGAATTCTCTCACCCTCCCGCGCTTCTGACTGTACCCAGTGCATATATAAACAAAACAAACAAATAAATTAAATAAATAAATAAATAAAACATGCCTGTATATTAAAAAAAAAAAATTTATTTATACAAGAACTGGGCTACAGGCCAGATGCGCGAGAAGGTGAGAGGATTCACCAGAGACAGAGCAGGGAACAGAACAGGCAGACTGAAGAAATACACGGCTGAGGGGAGCAGCGGGCGAGACAGGAGAGGTCTGCCGCACCATGTGGGACCCTCGCCGGCCGGCTGGAATCGAACCGGCGCTGCAGAGGCTGCGGACAGCTTCATAGCGCAGTGCTCAACCGCCTGCGCCACCAGGGGAGGCCCTTGTCTTGACTTTAGAGAAATAACTGCCCCCAGCTTCCTCATCTACCAACACTTGGACACTGTTGGCCTCAGCTATGCAGCTTGAGAAGGAAACATATACGGCTACATTTTATAAATGCACTTCTGCACACTGCTCATTCCCCAGACAAGCTGTGGATTCTCTCATTGGACTTAGTGAGGAAGAGAAGAAAAGGAGAAGCAGGGTGTGGAGCAGGAGTGGGAGAAATGGGGTGCTGGATTTCCTCAGCCCTTGAGTCAGCACCCCAGGGAGCCCCTCCCACTGCAGCCCTCGGCAGTAAGGACACCTTCCCCGGGCTCTCTGCTCTTACGCTCCAGATGTGAGGATCCCAGGCTAAGAACCAGCCTGTGAAGTTGGGAGGCTCGAACCCTTGCTTAAGGATCAGGATCGGGGTGTCGGTGTCCCGGCCGCTGGGGTGCGTGTGCAGGTACTCCTGGGCCGTCCTGAGGGCGCTCTCCTTCTCTGTGGCGTTGGCCTCAGCCCCGAGCCACAGGAACACCTGTTGTGTGAAGAGTGGCCACTCACCACTGTGCTTGCGCCAGGCACAGGTAGCAAATCCTAGGCGCGACCCTGGCTTCCCTCTCAGCAATTCACAGCTGCCGGAGAACCTTCTCAGCCTCCTTATTCAGCAGAGAAACACTTCCTGAGGATCAGTGGATTTGTGATTTTCATGGCCGGGTGTGTCCCGATCTCTGACTCCGTCTCCAGCCCTGAGCGCCCTCCCTGGACTCCGGCTTTGGCTTCCCCAGCCTGACTTCCTGCGGAATCCCTCCTCCCCTTTGCTGTCACCCAGCACCTCAGATGTAACACCGCCAGAGCACAGCCCAGCGTGCTCACCTCTTGTCCGTGTCTCCACGCTGGGTGACTGTCACCCTTCTAGTCACCCAAGGAGACATCCTAAGGACCCCAAATCCAGTGAGTCGCCAAGACCAGCTGGCGCGGCTCCCGTGTGTTTGTCAAACGTGCCACCGCTGGTTCTGTCCCTGCCTGTTGCCCCTGTGCAGCCGGCCGCGGCCCTTGCTTGAGTGTTAGAGCTGCAGGCTACTCTGGGGTGGAGGGGCCACAAAACCCAGCCTAAACCAGGGGGGTCTTTATCATTTCTTCCGAATTCTCTGGCCATGTCTTTTTATTTATTTTAAAGATCTATTTTTATCTATGTATGCATACAAGAGCTGGGGTGTAGGCCAGAGGTGCGGGGGTGGGGGAGAGAAGTCCCCAGAGACAGTGGGGAGCAGAACAGGCGGATCCACTGAAATCCACTGCTGAGGGGAGCAGCCGGGAGACAGGAGAGGTCTGCCGCGCCATGTGGGTAGCTCCCTGACCTGGGAAGGAACTTAGGCCGTGGCGGTGTTCGCGATGAGCCACCAGGGAGGCCCCCCTCTGGCCATGTCTTACCTGGTCCCAGGTATCCAGGAGCATCACATCACCTGGATTCAGGTCATCTTGGGTGAAGTCTGTGATCTCCGTGACAGTGAACCTGCCAGTCTTATTGGAACATTCGAAGAGACGGGGCTGGACGTCCTGGGTCTCCTGCTGTAGTCTGCAATAGTGTCCATTTAAAAGAAGTGAAATCCTTAAAGGGTCCTATTTTTAAAACTGAAAAGGATCTTAGAGCCTGTGCAGCTCCCAAGCCTGGGAGGCAGGGGGAGCCAGGGGAGGGGCGCCCTGGTCCCATCCGTACCTTTTGTCGTTGGCATAGGGAGTTTTCCCTCCCAGCAGGTCCCAGAACTCGGCTGACTCCTGGCCCTCGGCCACAGTGTCTTCCGTGCCGCCGCAGAGAAGCCCGGCCAGCTCTCTGGCCATGGCCCGCTCATCCCCGCTGGAGCCCTGGGTGGCGGGAGAGCGCACAGCTAGGCGCAGCGCACGCAGGCAGCGGACGTGGGGCAAAGCCGAGGCTAAGACTCCGTGTCACCCAGCCAGCTGCTCAGCCACAGCCTCGCAGGTCCAGGAGACAGAGAGACGGTTCTAGAGCTGGGAAGGGGTTGGGGAGGAACCCTTTCCCCTGCCCCCAGTGGCAAAGTGCAGGTCTAGACTCCAAAACCCACAGCGAATGTTGACGAGAGACACCTTTGCTTCAGTTACGGTTGATTTTTAGCCCCTACTTTTGATTCTTTCTCTTTTTAAGAGAAAAATTTAAATCTACTTTTAAAATTATATGCAGGTGCGACCTCCCTGGTGGTGCAGAGGTTAAAGACACAGCACCTTGAAGGTATCCCCACCACTGTGGCATGAGTTCAATCCCCTGGCCAGGGAGCTACCCACATGGCGCAGCAGACCTCTCCTGTCTCCCCGCTGCTCCCCTCAGCAGTGGATTTCAGTAGATCCGCCTGTTCTGCTCCCCACTCTGTCTCTAGGGAATCTCCCACCCCCCACACCTCTGGCCTGTACCCCATAAATAAATAAATCTTTTTTAAAAATTCTATGCAGGAAAGTTCATCCTTTTTGGCATACAGTCTTATGAGTCTGGATAAACACACAAAATCTTGTTACCGCCGAAGTGGATGAACAGAACAGTTGCATCGCCCCTGCAAAAAACCCCTCAGGCTATCGCTTTGTAGCGAAACCTTCCCCTGTCTTTAACCTCTGGCGACCACTAATCTATTTGTCACCACTGTACTTTTGCCTTTTCCAGAATGTCTTAAGAACACCAAGTGGGCTTGGAGTCTGGCTTCTTTCACTTAGCTCATGTATTTGCGATTCATCCAGGTTGTGAGTATCAATAGCTTGTTTCTTTGTGTTGCTAGATAGTACCCCTTGCGCAGGTGGCCTCTGTTTTCTCCACTTTCCAGTTGAGTTGCTTCTGGATTTGATGAGTGTGTAAAGGTACTACGCGATACACTGGTGCATGGGTTTTTGTGTAAAGAGAGTCTTTTTATCACCTGGGTAAATACCCAGGAGTAAGATGGCTGGGTCATACGGTAAATTATATTTTGTAAGAAATTGTCCAATTATTTTCCAAAGGCTGTGCGACTTAACATCCCGTTCAACAATGTTTGAGTTCTTATAGCTCTGCATCCTCGTCTACACTTAATATTGGTAAATTTTTTTTAAAATTTATTTTAATTTACCTATGCATACAAGAGCTGGGGTGCAGGCCAGAGGTGTGGGGGGTGAGAGGATCCACCAGAGACACAGTGGGGAACAGAACAGGCAGCTCTACTGAAATCCACTGCTGAGGGGGAGCAGCGGGGAGACAGGAGAGGTCTGCTGCACCATGTGGGTAGCTCCCTGGTGGGGGGTGGCACTCTGCTGCAGCGGCTGCGGATTGCTTCCTAGTGCTGAGACTTTAACCCTGTGCCAGCAGGGGGGCCCAGTCAGTATTGGTTAGTTTTTAAAAGCCAGGCTAACAGGTGTATGGCGGCATCTCATGCAAGTTTTCATTTGCATCTCCCAGTGACTGATGATGATGTACATCTTTCCCTGTTCAATTCTCTTCTGTAAATTAATTTTATGCTTTTTAATGCAGTTGTAATCTGAATGGATAAAAATCACATTTTTAGTGTTTTTTTGTTCAGTGTTAGCTACAACCCGCCCAACTGCTGTGGAAGGATGAGGGGCGCTTTCTGCCTCCGTCTGCTCAGAGTCTAGGGAGTGTCTCCTGGGTGTGAGCGGAGCGGCCGGCAGGTTTCTCACCGGAGGCCTGGCTGAGAAATATGGGCAGTGCCTTTGCAGGGCCTTTAGGCAAAAGTTCCTCTTTCTGAAGACCGCTCCAGCCCGCCTTTAGTCCCTTTCTGGCCCTGACAGAAGGGCAGGTGCCGCGTTGGGTGCCAAGGGGCTGGGTGACCCCTGGGCCGCCGCCCTACCTTGCCGTACCACAGGTAGTGCTCTGCCTGGGTCTGCAGCAGGAAGACATCGTTGGAGTTCAGGGAGGAGGCCAAGGCCGGGACCTCTACCGCTTTGGTGTTCGAGCTGTCGTTTCCTTGAATCTGGAAGAGCCTTACCGGAGGGGCAGGCTCGGCACCTCCCTTCCTGGAAGTCCCACCCTAGAGAGAAGGAGAAAAGCTGTCTGGGCCTGAGGTGTAGCACATGAGCAGAGCCCTGGGCTCGCCGTGGGGAGAACACCATGTGTTTGACACCGTTTTTGCCCTGGAGACTTGCAGGCGCGGGAGAGGTCAGGGAAGGCTGGAGCTGCAGCCCTGACGACAGTAGCTTTTACTCTGAGGTCTGTACTGCATGGTCTGTGGCTGGGACCTCAACGACATCATTTCACTGATCTCCACAATAACTCCTCAGAGAAGGCAGTACGAGCCCCGCGCGCAGATGGGGAAATAGAGGCTTGGAAACCTGGCTGACCAACGACAAGACTCGAGCTTGGCCTTAGGCTGTGCGATAATACGCACGCAGCGTTACACGTTCCCGCTAGGACTTCAACCAGGGATTCGTGGAAAAATTAGAGGGGCCCATTTTGGGGTAGGGTTGTGGGGCATGGTGTGGCACACTGGGGTCTAGTGAGGACCCACTGGGCGTCGCGTGGGGCGCGGAGGTAGGGAGCAGAAGGTACAGCACCTGCACATCAAGTAGGCCGTGGCTTGGACTTGAGCCCCTCTCGGCAGCGGGTTTCCTGTGCGTGGCAGAGGGATGAGCCCCCTCCTGTCTTCATCTCATGCCCTGCTCCTCGCCTTCTTTCCCCTGTGGTGTCAGCTCTGAGCATGCCTATCACGGTGCCGTTTTACCTCCTGGGGGTTCTCACCTCAAAGATAACCAGCTTCCCTTTGAAGATAGCCATGAAGTGGCGTGGCTCCTTCCCCATGGCTACCCGGACCTGCATGGGGGCCCCGTCGAACTGCCGGTCCACCTCCACGGCCTGGTACGCCGAGGCTGCCAGCTCATCCTGTGAGGCGTGGCGGCCCTGCGGGGGCGAGAGCGGGAGTGAGGCCCCGGCTGCCTGCTGCCCCAGCTCAGAGGCCAGAGGACGCATCAGGACCCGAAGCTGGGAGCCGGCCCCAGGCTACCTGCCAGATGTACAGGATGTAATGTGGCTTCCCGTTCATCTCGTACGTGTAGAGGATCAAATAGCAGTCTCCCCCGTAAAAGAAGCCGTGCCACTGCTGGTCCACGGGGACCAGCTCCAGGTTCTCAACCCTCCAGACCTGGGCAAAGGAGGAGACACGCTGCTCCTATCTGAGGAGACAGCAGCATGCGGGCGGGGCCCAGCCGAGGGAGAACGCGGGGTAAGGCACGAAGGGCCACTTAAAGTGCTGCCTCCCCCTCTGGGTCTCTGCCAGTGGTGAGGGCTCATCACGTTTGCATGATTTGAATCTGGAGAACTGGATCGTCCCTGGCCAGGTCCGTCCCCATCATGGGGCAGAGATGATTTGAATAGACCTGCAGGTGAGTGGTTGGCAGCGGCTGGGGCGTCTGCCTCTCACTTCCTTGCAGAGTTGTAGGGAAACTGCAGACTTGGATCCCTCTCAGCAAATACTCTGCCAGAGGCGAGCATGAACACGACGCAGACAGACTCACCGCCTCCTCGACAGCGGAACAGCCGGCAGGCCCAGGGCTGCCTGCCCTGAACCATCGGCTCACCTGCACCTCTCCGCTGCCGTCGTCCACCATCCCTTCCCGGGCAGACACCTCCGGCTTGCTGTGCAGCTGAGTCACGTCAAATTTATCCTGGAAAACTTTAGCTGCAGAGAAGGGGTTGGCTGAAGCCAAGTGGGGGAAGCATCTGTGCCTGCCTTTCTAGAGAGTTCTAGCTGAGGGAAGACCTAGTGGGGGGCAACCTCACCGATTTTACCAACGTTGAACGTCTTCCCAAGGCCCGTGGTCTGGTCCTTCACAGTCCACTTCTGGAACAGCTGCTTGAACATGGCCGACTCGGCGCCGTCGCTGACGGCCTCCACGTTGGTGCTTCTCGGGTAACCCTTTATCTGGATGAAGTTCTGCGGACATCCCCCGCCCCCCGACGAAAGGCAGGTTCATCAGGGGCTGCCCTGAGTTCTCTGGCTGATGATCTCCCCCTTTGGAGTCAGAGCCAAATCTAACCGCCACGGGACCGAGTCGCCCGCCTCAAGGAAGGGCTGGCTGGCATCTCTTCTTTGGCTCGTTATGATAATTGCTAATTTTTTTTTTTGCAAGGGCCTCTGTATTCTTTCAATACTCATACACTGACTGAATCCCGGTCATTCGCTCGCTTCTTGCTTTGAAAGTACATCTTCCTGGTTTATCTGTGCAAAGTGTAAGCTCCGGGCGAACAGAGCCAGTGACCTTGCTACGTGACGCCCCCTTCACAGCCACCTTCTACGCGCAGGTGTGTGCACCACGCGGCACTGCGGGTGCTGCAGGGGTCATTAATCCTCACAGCAACCACAAGAGATGGATCCTAAGCCTGGATTTGAAGCCCCGAGTGTCTGTCTTGGAGACTCATGCATCTGCGAGGCGAACGCTCAAGTGCTTGGGGTTATCTTTCTCTAAACACCCCCAAGGGCTGCTGGCGGCGTTTGGGGCAACATCACACATCTGTTGCTCCTACCAGGGCTTTCGACATGGCGGACTGTTTCTCGAGTTTCGTGGCTCCTCTTCCTTTCCACACGTAGATCTTGGTCCCACTCTGGTCCAGGATGTAGCAGTCCTGAAGCAGGTGGGGAGCAAGGAGGTTATGGCTGCTCCAGACCTGAGGAAGGCTGCCCCCCGGGTCTGCCTCGAGGCCAGGTCTGGCCACCCCAAGCAAGTCCAGCCGGGTTCTACTTACATCGTGATTCAGCAAGTCCTGGACCAGTGGCCTCGTCGCCACCTCCGTGACCGTCAGCTGCCCGCCCGAGTCCGAGACGCTGGAGAAGGGGAGACATGAGGCTGTGCTTCTCTTCGGCAAAGCATCTTGTAGCCATTGGCTTTTTCCTGGCTTTGTTTTGGGATGGAGTTTCTGGCTAGTTTGACTTCTTAACACAGTCATGGCTTGACTGCGATGGGAATAGTGGACTCTGTTCTTTAGAAGACACCTAAGTTCTTCTCTCTTCTGGTCATTACCCCCTCCACGTTTCTTTTTGTTTGTTTGTTTTAAAGATTTATTTATTTATGCATAGAAAAACTGGGTGTAGGCTAGAGGTGTGGGGGGTGAGAGGATTCCCCAGAGACAGAGTGGGGAACAGAACAGGCGGAGCCACTGAAATCTACTGCTGAGGGGAGCAGCAGGCGAGACGGGAGAGGTCTGCTGTGCCATGTGGGTAGCTCCCTGGCTGGGGATCGAACTCATGCTGCAGAGGCTGCGGATAGCTTCATAGTGCTGCATCTTAACTCCCTGTGCCACCAGGGAGGCTCCCCCACCATGTTTCTGTGCATTATAGACCCAAGTGAAGGAAGTTGCCCCAAGAGAACAGGAATAGTTGTTCACAAGAACAGTGGGTAACACACCAAGTTCCTTCTGGAAGCTGCATTTGCAAAGGGCTAAAAGCAAGCCAGGTGCCAGGCGTGGCACCCAAACAAGGAACCAAACAGAGGTGCCTGGATTTTTAGGGGGTGGCCCTCCTACCCCAACTTCTAGCCAGCAGTGGGCTTTCGCTACTCACTGGTACAGCATAGTATTGGATTTCTGCTGCTGGTCTATGATCTCGTCGGGTACCGCGCCCTTGAGGATGGAGCGTCGGCCCAGGGTGTCCTGCAGGACCTTCATCAGCTCTGGGCTCGCGGCCTCCCTGTCCCCCTCGACCACGCCGATCTCAGCGCGGCCCCCGCGCTCCCTGTCCCGGATGTCCTTTGCTAGAAGCATAGCCTGTCAAGAAGCCCAAGCAGCCCCTGGTGCATCTGGGCCCGCCTCTGCCTGAACGCGGGAGCAGCATCCTAGACCCAGGGCGCAGGCTGCGTCTGGGGCAAGTCAGGGATTCTGTCCTCGGCCAGTCCTTAAAGCAGATTTTACTCAAGGCGGGGTGCAGCTTGATCTTGGGGAAGCCCCATGAGGAAGCAGAAGGGAAAGCCCCTGGGACCGCCGCCCCGGGACAGGCTGAGGGAGGAAGGGCGGAGGTGGGGTCTCACCTTGAGCCGCTCCCCGCTGTTGCTCTCCGGGCCGTTCCACTGAACGATGACTTTCCCCAGGTCCAGCAGGAAGACGTCACCTCGGTTAAAGCTGTCCCAGCTCACATCCACCTGCGGTGAGAGGCGGGTGTTGTCCTGGAAGGATTCCCAGGTGCCAGGTGGCGGCCCTGGGCAGAAGGAGCAGGACCCACCTCTGTGGCGCTGACGTTTCTCTTCCCCCTCACATGCAGCAGGCGCTTCACGTCGTAGGTGTTGGTCTCCACATGCTTCATCCCTGAGGCCACACCCCCTTTCTTGTAGCTGAGGGAACACCCATTCCGTTATTTTTTTTTTTTTTAAGATTTATTTATGCACACAAGAGCTGGGGTACAGGCCAGAGATGTGGGGGTGAGAGGATTCACCAGAGACAGAGCGGGGAGCAGAACATGCAGACTGACCAAAATGCACAGCTGAGGGGAGCAGCTGGTGAGACAGGAGAGGTCTGCTGCGCTATGTGGGTTGCTCCCTGGATGGCTGGGAATCGAACTTGTGCTGCAGAGGCTGCAGACTGCTTCATAGTGCTGTGCTTAACCCCTTGCGCCACCAGGGAGGTCCCCATTCCATTATTTTTAAGATTATTTATAGATACAAGAACTGGGGTACAGGCCAGAGATGTGGAGGGTGAGGGGATTCACCAGAGACAGAGTGGGGAACAGAACAGGCAGACTGACAAGATACACTGCTGAGGGGAGCAGCGGGGAGACAGGAGAGGTCTGCTGTGCCGTGTGGGTAGCTCCCTGGCTGGGGATCGAACTCATGCCTCAGTGGCTGGTGATAGCTTCACAGTGCTGAGACTAGCCCCTTGTGCCACCAGGAGGCCGCCCATTCTGTTATTTATGGAGCACTGTCTGTGTGCAGGGCACTGGCAGACAGTCATGAGTTCCACAGATGCCGCCTCTGCGGGGTGGGTGATGCAGGGGAGAAGCAAGGTCAATCAGGTGGTGGTAACCGCTGCCACACACATGGGCTCCGGCACTGAGTCCGGGGGGGGGGGCCCTTCTCGGAGGAGTAACATCGAGCTGAGATACTCCCAGGACCCAACAGCCAGGTGACTGGTGCTCCAGACGGAGGGAGCGTCAGGGAGCAAGTCCCTGCGGAATTTGTTTTCTCCCAGGAACCATCTGAATGTCAGTGTGTGACAGGAACGGGGTGTAGCGAAGCCGGCAGCTGCGGGGACCTCACAGCCTTAAGACCAGGCCACTGGCGCGGCCCTCCTACCCCCGCCCCCCACCCCAGCCCGCCTCCACCCCAGGCATCTGCACAGGAAGGGCAGGCGGGAGGCCACCCTGGAGCACAGGAACTGCCTGTGGGCTACCTGGTGCCTCCGTCTGGGGGCGGCCGGCCCCCAGGAAGCTGCCTTGGGTCAGAAATCCCGAGCTCCCTGGGATTCCTGTTTTCACTCTCCAGGGCAGAGTTTGCAGTTCAGCGCCTCGGCGCACGCGACACCATCAGCACCAGCCTTGTCAGGCCCTGTCTTTCGCCGCAGTGGCCGTCGACCTCTCTTCAGAATGCTCGTCCCACCCCGCCGCACCCCTCGCTGCCCATCCTGTGCTGCCCTGCCCGGCGGGAGTGGCGGCTGCTTCCATTAGCATTTCCCTGAGCGCTTCTCCGCCGTCTGGGCTTTCCCTTACGCCGCCGTTTCTGTCCCTGCTCCGCGAACTACTCACACGATGCCCTGCTTGAAGTAGCCCCGGAAGGTGTCAGACTCGTAGTACTGGACCTCGCGGTGCTGCACAGGGCCGCCCCCCAGGTAGTCGTCCAGCTGCGCGGTGTAGACGGCGGCGCAGCCCTGCTCGTCCTGGGAGGAGTCCTGCCCGATCCAGAAGTGGATGTCCTGGGAGAGGCGGCTGCCGGCTCTGCGGGTCTGGGCGGGAGCCAGAGGGACGGTTGGGTGGGGCAGCTGCCGCCTCTGCAGCCGCTGCCCACCCCCGGGACCCCGTGCAGGGGCTCCTGTCCTCCAGGGTCCGCCTGCTGCGCGCCGTGCAGCCCGCTCGCTGGCTCCAGCCGCCCAAATCCTCCCCACATTCGGGGGAAGCTAAGAGCTTGCTGTTCTCAAAATAAATGGAGGCCCATGGGGAACTTCTCCAAGCTGGAGCGCAGACACTTACCTTGTGCCTCCCTGCGCCGCCCTGCACTCGGGCCGGCCGGCGCTGACCCGGCCACCTGCGTGTCCTCGACTAGAACGAGCACTCGGAGGCCGAGGCGGCCTCGTAGGGATCTGGCCTCTCCTATGCCTCTTTAATCTGGGGCCGGCCCCTCGGGAGAGAAGCGCTGTGGCCAGTGACCCCACCAGGCTCTGAAGGAGGCCCTGCCTCGGATGCAAAATTTAAAACCCCAACGGTCTTTGATACTCAGACCGAGGCTTGCTCTGCACAGCACGGACCCGGACCCGGGGTCCAGACGGAGGACAGTGGCCTGATTAGCATCACCAGGAACCTCTCAATGAAACCCAGGGACCGGCTGCCCAGGGAAAGGGTGTGGGTGCTCACCGAGAGGATGACGTAGCAGTCCCCCTCGTAGAAGTTGCCGTGGGCACTCAGGGGCACCAGTGCCAGCTCCATTTTCTGGAAGGACAAGGGGTGTGTACGGCCGCATCCTCTCCTGCCCCATCCTCATCCCCAAACTCCTGCTCCTCCCCATCATTTGGCAGGTGGCAGAGGGGAGGCAGGGGAGGTGTCCCCACCGGTCTTACGGGGCGTGGCAGCCAGTCGTAGGGTTAACGGGACAACCCCTCTGGCTTCCGCTGAGCTCTGCCGGCACAGCCCCAAGGTCTGCATCTGGGTGCCTATCCTCACCCCCTCCTTCTCCCCTTTGTCTGTTTGTTCTTGCTACACTGTAAGGAGCCCTGCGAAGCCCTTCAGCCATTTGCGGGGGCAGCTGGAGATCAACTACCAAGCAGAGCCTGCCTCTGAGCGGCTGCGCCAGGGCCTCCCCGCTCTGCCCTGGCCAAGGTCTGAGTCAGCATCTGGGAATCCTGTGGGAGCCATGGGAGATGGGCACCAGCAGCGTGAGGGCTCCGTGCCAGAGTCCTTGGAGTCTAGGTGAGGGCCTTGATTTGTCACCCGCATCTCTGACTTGTCCTCAGAGGCCGTTCACTTGCCCACAGGCGGGGATTCTCATCCCTGAGTCCAAGTGCAGTTGACCGCGGTCATGCCAAGTGCATTCTGGGGATGATGTGTTAAGGGTAAAAACGTCCCACAGTTTTTGTAACCCTTTTAGGACCCACTAAATAAACTGGGGGCCTTAAAACAATGAAACGATCTGAGTGATGTGATGGAGGTGCGACTCCCTGTCCAGCGGAGGAGTGAGGTGCGGCATCTCGGGGGGTTATGTAGCACCCACACTGGGCTCAGAGCCGGGGGGATGCCAGGAGAGGAGCCTCACATCACCTCTGCAGGTAGAGCTGCCCGAGTCCCTGGAGTGCGGGGCCAGCCAGCCCCAAGCCCAGGAGAAGGCCCTGGTCTGTGCAGCAACCCCAGCCCCCCCTGCTGCTTTGCAGGAACCAGGGTGCCGGGGGAAGACAGGCTCTGTTTTTTTGGCAGAAGCAACCCAAAGTCTCCTGGGTGGCCCAGGCCCCACCCATCCCTGCAGGGCGTTTACTGGAAGCGCAGTCTCTGAGCAGATGGCTGAATAAAGGGCAAGCTTATTTTTGCTTGGAGCTCTGCTCTCCAGGGCAGGGTATTTCCTCCACCTGCCACCACCTGCCACCACCTGCTGTGAGCACGGGGGCGGGGAGGGTCACGGAGAGGAAGCCTGGGCACGGCCTCTCACTGTGCAGGAAGGCAGGTGACTAGGGGGCCTCCAGCAGGCCTGGGGGGCCAGAGTGCACCTCAGGTCCAGAGGTGAGGAGGGAGCTGCCTGGGCCCAGCTCACCTCTATTCTCCAGGTGATGATCCCAGGGTCGTGGCCCACAGCCCCGAAGGCGCTGCTCAGAGACATGGTCCTCCTGGACGGAAACATGCGGAGCCAGGGGAGATGACGCCTCCCGCCCGCCTCTCCCCAGTCACTCCCCAGCCTCGTCAGCCTCCCGCCGCGCCCTGTGGCGCCCCCACCCTGGTTCTCAGCAGCGGCGGAGACCGCGGTGAATCCGTCCAAGTGCAGGCTGGAAGCCGCGGGCCCCTGCCGGCCGTGCTGCTTCCCACGCGCCCTTCCCTCGCTGAGTTTGGTCACAGCCCGACTGTTTGCAGAAGGGTGATGCCCTGTGAGCCGTGCTGATCCGCTTTGTTATTTAAGCCTCATGGGCTGGTTCATCTGGCACCATAGGGAAGTCAAGCTTCGGAGGTTAAATAATTGGCCCAAGGTCACACCCTAGAACAAACTCCATCTCGCATCCTCATCCTGTGCCTGTAACCATTCGGTGTCTGCGGCCTTCCTAGTCTTGCCTGAAGTCAGCGGCTGGTGGGGAGAGCGGCCGTGTCGGGACGCGTCAGTTCAAAGTGGGTGCCTTCGCTCGCGCTCACTGCCTCCAGCTCTGCCCACGCCCACGTCCGGCCCGTCCTCTTGGACTTCTCTTTGGATTTTTACATGCCAGAATTTTTAAGCTACCCTAAATCTCAAAGAGCCCTTCCCGCTGTGGTCATGTGACTAACAGATTCCCTGGGCCTCACCAAAAAAAGGAAAAGTGGGGTGTCTGCGCTGGGTCTGGGGTGCAGAGCTCGTGGTGCCAGCAGGGGAGGGCGGGCGTGTCCTCGCTGACCTGTGGGCGGCCCCCGAGGGCCCGCGATGCCTAGGCTGCCCACAGGTAGGGTGGGGAGAGGGACGAAGGGGCCCTGAGAAGTGAGGGTGGTGTCCTGTGTGTCCAAGGGGCCTGGGGTTCTCAAGACACCCCACACGGCCATGGACACACAGGGGCTTCATCTTGGGACGCCTGCCTGGGGCTTGCTGTCGAGAAACTTGCAATCTGACAATCCCCATCACTGGGGAATGTGCCTGAGAGGCAAAGGGTGGACTTGATGGGTTTAGGGAGCATAAAAAGCCCCCCGGAGAGGAGCGGGGTGCGTAGTAGCTACCGGAGGCGCAGTGTGCCCGCGGAGAGGCCGTTCTTTCCCTGAGCCGTGGTGGATGCAGCCAGATCTGGAGACGACGTGCCGCTGTCTAGTATGGACAGCGGCAACAACCCAGCAACCAGGCTCCCTGTCTCCTGACAGCGGGCCAGAGCAGCGCCCGAGGCCGAGCAGCCCCGGCTCTTAATTTGATAACTTGCGTGGCCCCACCCTGTGCTGCTCGCTCAGAATTGCCAGGAAATATTTGTTTAGGTTTTCTTCAGACCCTGAACTTCAGCCACGGAAGGCAAATGCTGTGGCCCAACGAGGGGAAGGGGACCTGGCGGTGAGTTCATTAGTGGGAGGCAGAGCTGTCAAGCTGGTGAAGGGCCACACCGTGGGGCACGAATGACTGTGGGTGTCAGACGCCAGAGGCAGCGACTGGGCTATGGGGAAGGAGCTCCCCGGGCAGGGTCCCCGAGTGCAGGAGAGGATTTGCTCCGAGAAGGGGCTTCTCCTGCACTGACCCCTCAGGAAACTGGCTTACACCTGTGACCTCAAGTCCCCCAAAGCTCCGTCTCCTCTCCCTCCGAAGTCCGCACTTAATATTTGGCTTGTTTTGAGGCGACCGCGGAGCCCCCTGGGGTGGAGCAGGGTTTGGAAATCCCAGCTAAAGAACTGGTATCCCTTAATCCCCAGAATGGACCCCACACAGAGGAGGCTAGTTTTCATTTCCGCCTTGCCTCATGCCATCTTTCTGAGGCGGGGCAAAGGGTTTCCTCCATGGATTCCACCTTTTGAAAAAGTGCCCTGGGGGTCCAGAGGTCTCTAAAAGGGAACTTGACTTCTCGGCTGCGGCGGCGGGAGGTTTCACGAACTCCTGCTTCAACCCTTTAGCACCCACACTGAAGAAGACAAAGCCAAGGAAATCGCACCCTCCTCTTCCTCTCCTTTCCTCTAGCTCAGGAGGCTGGCCCTCCGGGCATGCACCGCCAGCAGAACAGAGCTTACCTGTCTTCTCTCCCAGGGCCCCTCAGTTCCGGCGAGACAGCAGTGGTGTTGAAGAACCACCCAAAGCAGAGGCTCCAGGTCCCGTGGCAGCTCAGCAATGGCTGCATAGACACCGGGTTATATTTGCTTGTGTTTGCATCTTAACCGCATTTTCCTAGCCCTGGCCAATCACAGTGGACCTAGCCCTGGGCTTGACTTATTCAAACCAGAGGGAAAGCTTTATCTGCTCCTATTCAAAACAGCAGAAACGAGAAGAGCCGACTTTTAAAGGCTTCTTTTTCAACTCCACGTCCACACCCTGCTCTAATTGATTTTTTAAAAGTGCACAGTCCATCAATAATGCAGGGAAGAGGGTGGGAGGATATGAAATTTGCCATATTGGAGATACAGATGCATTAAGCTGATGACAGGAGGCAGGGGCCGGAGCTGTCCGCTGAGTGCCCGGGATGTCTAGGCTGGCAAGGGCCTGAGAAGCTTCTGGACATTTCTCAGGGAAGGAAAGTCTGGGAGGCTGACTAGGAGTGTTATGAGGTCATCGTGTTTTGCTCTGTGGGGTCACGTAGCAGCACCAGCAACATCTGAGTGCCTACTATGTGCCACGCTTTGTGTTCTAGTGTTCCAGGGATCCTGGTGTGGGGGTATCAGTAAGGGGCACAGAAGACCCCATGCTCCTTGGGACTTCGATTCATTTCCAGAAGTCAACAGGACCCCGAGCACATGCTCGTCAGGCTCCGGGATGGCAGTGGCGTTGGTTGTAAAGCAGGCCCACTTTGGCAGCTGAGTTCACCTGCAGGCCTCCCAGCTGCAGGCAAGGCTGGCCCGCCGTGGGGGCAGAGTGGGGGGTGTAGCTGTAGGGATGAAGGGTTTTGAGGGCAGAAAGATGGCGGCTGGTTTGCACCCAAATAAACAGCAGCAGGGTCAGGAGGCAGCGCCCACTCCTGGGTGGAGTTTTTAAACCCACTTTTATTAATTAAGTGTAAGTAATACAAATATTCCAAAAATATAAACAGACACTTAATGGCGTCCTACATTTCAAGTTTTTGAGTACAACAAATTTATCAAACCAAGAATCTGTAAGCAAGGTAGTCAGAATCACCCCCAACGCCCGTCATGCTGGGGAGCAGACCCCTGCCCTCCAAATGGCATCGTGAAGGGGAAAGTGGCACAACAGGGAGAAGGTCAGTCTTGGGGTAACTACAAGCAAAGTTCGGAGGGCCTAGAGGGTCTCCTCCAGGAGCAAGCCCACAGCACTGAAGGAACGGGCAGCTGGCCAGACCTCTGGCTCCCCTCCCCTCCCCAAATGCAAATATCTACCAGCCGGTAAAAAAAATCCTAAATCCTCATGTTACAAAAAAAAAAAAAAACCAACAAAAAAAACCAGGTGATTGAGTCAACAGTGGCAACCAGGCAACCAACTGAAGACTCGAGGAAACCGCCCAGCTCCCCCGACTCTGGGTCTGGCTGGGCGCAGGACGCCTGTCCACGGGGCAGCCCCCCCTGGCGAGCCTGGGGAACAGGGCAGGGCAGGGCAGGACAGAACGGGATCCATTTCCCGGGAGACACTGCCATTTAGACTTCCATGCTTTTAGCACAAAGAAGCTTCTGGGTCACTTAAGAGGTGAGTTTATACATTTACAAAATAGTCAAAAATCTTTGGGAGGCAGGAGGGAGCTAAACAGAAGGTCCCAGGTTAAACTGAAGGCAAATTTACTCCACCCCTCTATAGCAAGGGACCCAGGGCCTGCAGAGCGCCCCCTCTACAATGTGCAGAGTGGACACTCCTACCTGGCCCTTTCCAAACTGGTCCTGTGTCCAAGGCTCCCCCTATGAGAGGGACACAAACGTCAGGCTTTTGATTTAGAAGCCCAATCAGAGAGACACGCTGTGTCCCTGAAGAGGCACCTTAAAGAACTGAACCTGGCAAGTGGGCAGATTCCTGGCATGGCTTGAATTGGCGCAGGGCGGCCTATCGCTTCCCAAGACCAGCCTCAGGTGGGAAGAGCAGGAAGGCCCAGAGCAGACCCTGGGCAGAACCGGCACCTCCTCCCCGCCAGGCCCTCCAACATGTCCGATTCCTCCGAGGAGCGCCCGCTCCTCACACACTGAAACGGGAAACCCAACAGCCAACAGTGACTGCGGGCGGCGTGACAGCCGCGTTTGGATTTATTTGGCCAATCTGCTCTCTGGGAAGAGGGGGGTTGGGAAGGGCGTTTCCGCTGAGAAACTGCAGGCGGGCAGAGCAGGGGTCTGACGGGAATGAGGCCTCGCGAGCAGGGGTCAGGCAGAAGCATCCGGACACTCCAGCCAGACGAGCAGCTCGGAGCCCAGGGCGCCTGGCTGCAAAGGAGGGGCCCTGCCCCTCTTGGACCCGAACAGGGAGACCCTCAGGAGGGCAGAACGGGACCAAGGAGCTGGGTCAGTTTAGAGCCTCTTATTGCTGGTTTAGTCAAAGCTTGGCTGGGCCCAGATGGCAGGTGATCTGGCCCACGGGCTGGCCCTCGGGGGGGTCTAGCCAGAGTCCCCCTCACCTTGGGCTGGAGGCCTAGCCTGGGCTGGGTCTGAAGCCAGAGTCGGCCTCAGCATCCGCAGCTCCTATTTTCCTACAGAAGATGGTTCCAGCTTGCACCTGAGCCCTCCTCCCTCCCTGGGGGGCCCCGCGGGTACCAGGGGTGGTGTTGGGGGAATGACACGGCATCTGGTTCCATGCCTGCCACAGCAAAGGCGAAGACAAGGCCTCCTGGCCTTGGGCCGGAGTAGACGGCGCCACCAGCTGGAGACACACCAGCAAGTTGCTCCCGCTCAGAACCACCCGCTGCTGCTCCACCACCTGGTTTCCTCAGAAGCGGCTAGTTCTCCAGCTGGGCCTTGTGTGGAAACTGAGGAAGAGATGGGGATGTGTCCTGAGTGGGAGGTGTCCTCGCACCTGAAGCAACTTACAAATGCTTTGACACCAGACTCCAGGGAGAACAGAGCCGGCTGGGCACTCCCACCCTGGAGGGCGGGGAGGGAGAGAGGAGAAAACCCACCCAGTCCCGGGGAGGCCATGATTAAGGCAGTGAGGGGCTGAGGTGGGGCTCCCTCTTGGGGGGGGGTCCCCTTGTGCTCCCAATTACAGCAGCACTTCCCCTTTTGTTTTCCATCCAGGGGAAACTTCCATTTTTTGACTTTTTAAAGCATTCACTGTTGAGAAACTTTGAAAGCAAGACACACGCAAAGGGCAGGTGTGTGAGGGCCACGCACACCTGCCCCCAGGAGGCTGTGCATGAGGCTGGCAGAGTGAGTGCTGGGAACCCCACCCTCAGTCCAGCAGAAGCAGGAGTGTGCCCAAGGCCCTGGAGAGAACAAGCAACAGCTGGGGGGTGAAGACTAGAGCGGGGGCCAGGAGCAGGGCGGGCCGGAGGGAAGACACCCCAGAAACAGGAGAGTCGGGGCTCGGAGTGCCTTCCCTGCCAGGCTTTGGAACAAGAGTCCTCGCACCAGCAAAGCAGAATCCCTGAAGAGCTGACGCACGGACAGTCCTGAGCTCAGCCGCTCTACAAGCCAAGGCGATACACATTCATGCTTCTGGGAGTTTCCTCTCCCTGCACCCCCAACGCCTCTCATACTCATCTCAAGCCCAGGACTGCAGCTTTGTCAGAAGCAAAACAGGTCCAACACTCCATGTTTAGAAAGAATTTTAAGAGTCAAAAGAACGGAAATCAGTTATCTGTCCTCCTCCAGGGCAGGGCGGCCACCTCCTTCCCCACAGGTTCACGGCGATGGCTAGGTGTGAGGAAGGCAGGCCCGGCACCCGCGCCTCGAGGAGGCACAGAAGGGCCGACCAGGCACTCAGCTGGAGGCGAGCGCAGCCTCTGGGCTGCAGGACTTGCCGGCCACGGGGCTGCCGGTTCTGGAAACAAGTTTTCCTCTTCCAAGAGACATCTTTGCCTGCAGCAGCTGACTGGAGGAAGGTTCCGGACAAGTGTGTGCCTGGGCGCCCGAAGGCTGCCTCTGACCCTTCCTTTCTGCTTGGCACCGCCTCACGCCGGGGAAAGGCCGTGAGTTTGGCAGTGGCGCCTCAATAGTCTTCATCCCTAGGAACTCAGTGGCTCTCCGGGTGACCAGATGGGAGATGAGTAACTTGGGGAGAATCTTGATCTTTCAGCCTCTCTCCCAACCTGAAACACTTATATCCCAAGGCCACAGGTCAGGGCAGGACAGTCTCTCACACTCACTCACTCTCTCACACACACTCTCTCTCTCTCTCTCATCCTGGGAACCAACTCGGAGTGGGGACCTCTGGGTATCGTCGGTCTGACAGCTGCCCATCTGGCACCGAGCCTGTTCTAGAGCTTTCCAGTCATTTCTAGCTCCAGGCCCCGTTTGGTGAGATGCGCCAACTTCCTCGTCAGGCTGATCTTGAAGGCACAGTGTAGGAAAGCCCCTGCTGGGGTGGCCGTTGCTCGGGAGCAAGGAAGGCTACGGGGCCCGCAGCTGCCCCAGGCTGGTGTAGACGTCCTCTGCCCCGCTTAGCTCCTCAAAGATCGGGATGAGGTTCAGCAACTCGGTGTCTGCCATGTCGTCAAACCAAGACTGCACGGGCACCTGGGCGGGGAGAGGTGGGGTCGGCCTCCAGCTCCTCCCCCCACCCCTCCCCCACGCCCCCTCCGCTGGGCCTCAGAGGCTGGCTGGGCCCGGCTGCGATGTGAAGCGCCGCTGTAAGGCCCCCGTCCCCACCCGGGGCAGGGCACCCCCCCCCTTCCCGCCCCTTTCGGCTGGGGGTGTCTGGACCACTCACGGCGTTTTCAGGGTGGAAGATGTAAGATGCAGGCGAGTTGTCCAGAATGAGGGTTTTCCGCAGGTCCCGTCCCAGGCGGCTGAGGTCCTTGACGTAGCAGCCCTGGTGGAACACACAGGACTCGCGGAACAGGCGGGCCCGGAACACCCCGCACCTGTCCAGCAGGTCTGTCACAGGGTCCGCGTACTGCGGGGGGAGAGTTTGGTTCGGATGAGTCAAAGCTGCCCCGAGGCGCCCTCGCACCGCCCCACAGCCGCACACCGCCCCGGGTACCTTGGCCAGGCTGGCGGTGAAGAGAACACATTCAAAGAGCTCCCCCATCCGTCTCAGGAACTCGTCCACGTAAGGCCTCTTGAGCACATACACCTGAGGAAAGGCAGAGCGGCTGGTGAGGCGCCCTGGGAGGGCGGCGTCTCCCTCGCCACCTGGCGACTCAGACCGCGCCGAGGGCAGAGTCCCACGGCCTGCCCCGGGGCCCGCCAGGACAGACGCCTTCTGCCCCGCAGGTTTCCGCTGCTCGGCGGTCCCCACGCGGCCCCAGCTTCAGGGGGAGCCGCCTCCGCTGTGCCCAGGGAGCCATCTCTGATTCCAGCGGCGAGCCATCAGCTGCCTCCAGAAACAAGTAATCGAGAATAGGCCTCACAGATGGAAACAGCCTATCCTGGATTACTTGAATCCAGCCACAGCCTCTGTGGAAGCGTCCTGTCCTTGGCTCTGGCAGGACATCGGCCCAGGTCATCCCCAGGCGTGGCTGCACACGGCGCCTGAGCCGCCGTGCTCACGCAGCTCCTCTCACAGCGCCAGGGAGAAGTGACGACCCGCTGGGCTGCAGACCAGACCAGCTCCAGTGCCCCCACCCGCTCTGCCACCCCTAACACTCGTGTCCCCCGCTCGTGACCTCGCAGAGTCTGGCCTAGAAGGCTCACTGGCCGCACGTCGCTCATCCACCTGTGTTCTGCCCCCAGGCTCCTGCCTCTCGCTACAGGTGCTACCAGAACCCTATCTTGAAGCAACTTTCATCACTCGGGGACGGAGCTGCCCTGCTGGCGGGCATCTGAACTGATCACCAGCTCCCCAGAGCCCTCTCGGGTCAGCACTCCAGATAGCCACACTTGGGTCCCTTCCACCTGCCACTGCTTCAGCTTTCCACAGGTCCTCACTCCTTCTGGTGATCTGTCAAGTCTGGCATTTCCTCAGCGCTCTTCGCTGAAAAGCCTCCTTCTGCAGGTAGGTCCCTCACGCCTTATTACTCACCCTGCCCCGTTACCCAGGAGCGCGTGGTCTACCTGCCTGTGAGAATACACCTGTTTCTTCCCCTCTGGGCTCTGCACCTTCAGCTAAACTCTGAGGGCTGCTGGGCAGAGGCTGGGCAGTCCACGGGCCAGGCATGGTTCTGGCCAGGGGCTGGTGCTGGGCCTGGTGGGGCACCTCCGTGGGGTGGTTAAAGGCTCCAGCGGACGGGGGGTGGGGGGGCGGCGAGCACAACCCAGGGGAGCCCCCACCCACTTGCCCATCAGTAGTGCTGCTCTCTGAGCGGGCGATGCACAGGCCGGCTCCCGGCATGCTGTTCCCCATGGCCCGGCTCTCGGGCAGTGGCGGGCCCCTGAGCGAGCACTCCGAGAGAACTATCAGCCCCCATGACACTCAGCTTTGGGGTGCACAGGTGATGTAGGGCCAGAGCCTGACCTTGTCTAGACTCACATGCCGCTGACAGACATGTACTCGGCACTTACTGAGGCAGAGCAGTTTAGGGACCCAAAGGGTGGTGGGGTGGGGTTCACAGAAGAGGAGTCGCCAGGGCTGGGGACAAAGAAATTCACTTGCTAGATGGAGGGGGTAGGGCCTAAGGAGGAGGGAAAAACTAGTCCTACCTCCGGCCTGCAGCAGGCAAGGACTCCCGCCCCTCAGGGCTAGAAGGTACAAGACAGCGCTGGCCATGGGGCATGAGTGACAGCTGCTGCCACTACTATTAAATGGTAACGGCTGAAGTTACAGGGAAGGATCACGTGAGGGGGCACAAGCCCTGACAGGGTGGCGGAGGCCTGGCTGGGTGGCCTGGCAGGCAGCTCACCTGGTGAGTGGTGCCCTCGATCTCCACAGGCACTATGAAGTCGGCGTTGTTGATTGGCTGGAAGGCAGAAAAGTAAATGAGGTCGGCATGGCAGGTGGCAAGGAGCCCCCACCAACTCCAGCGCACACCCGCAGCACCCCGGGGCGGGGGAGGGAGCGTGCCCCGGGCCTTGCCAAGCGCCTCCTGCAGCCACTAAGCTGCTCTGGCTTCAGTGCAGGGCGAGATCCCCTCCAGCTCTCCTACTTAGCACCCCCCTCGACTCCCTTCTACCTGAGCCAGAGTTTTTCAGAGTCTTCCTGAGTTAGCAAACTTCCTGATAAACAGTGGGGCAAGTCCCAGGTGCAGTCAAGCCCCTGAGGCCTGTTCTGCTCAGAGGTCTCTCTGCCGCAGGGGCAGGGCTGGGGGACAGAGGCCTCTCTGGCGGGGCGGGGCGGAGGGGTAGATGCAGCTTGGCAATGACTGGGGGAGCGGGTTCTTCCTCAACACGCTTCTCTGCGGCCTCCAGGCAGCCATGATGCCAGCAGCCTGTCCGCCCCCCCCCCCCCCCCAATGTACCAGCACCGCTGTCAAGCCTTCTCACAGCACCTGCAGCCAGGCTCCCCAGGCGGGTGTGCGGGGCGCTCCGGATGCCGAGTTACCTTGAAGGAGCTATGTACAAGCGTCTCATCCAGGTCGATGACCACGCAGATCCTTCCCTGGTCTTCTTCTGTCACCTCCGGGAGCAGGCAGGTCCCTGGGATCTAAAATCAGAGCTGAGCTGCTGAGAGCTGCCACCAAGAAAGCCCAGTCGGTCCCCTCAGCAGAACTCGTGCAGGAGAGCTGGACTCACCCGAGAGAGGTAAGACCCTCCCTGCCCGCAAATGCACCAACCCGGGACTGACCCCACACAGAGACCAAGAGGCAGAGACAGGAGAGGCAGACTGGCTCCTAAGAGGCTCCCAGCTTTCTCCTGGGAGTAGGAAGTGACCTGCACATTGGACGTGGAGGCCAGGGCTGGTGAGGTGGACACCAGCTCTCCCCCCAAATCTAAGGCCCTGCATGCAGTGGGTCCTCAGCACGTATCTGGGATACATGCTTCCCCAGGGCAGGCTGCTGCCACTTGGCACTGAGGAGTGCGGCCTCCCCGCTGGGTCACACAGGTCTCAGGCCCCGAGCACGTGCCCTGTCAGTCACGTACCTGATAAAACTGGTACTGGAGACACTGGAGCAGATCCGACTGGGGGAGAAAAGGAGGTGGTCAGTGCCAGCCCCATCCTTCCCGCGCTAGGTCCCTGCTGCCGCTCAGGCTGGGGGTGATTTTCTCCCTAAGGCCCAAGTCCCCTGGAAGGTCCTGACAGGACAGCAGTGACTGTGCCCAAGACTGGGCAGGAAAGGAGAAAGGCACGGTCTTCTTGTCCACGCAGGCCTGACGACGATGGAAAAGACTCCCTGCTCTCAGCCGCCACCGCCTCTCAGCTGGGAGACGGAGCTCAAGCTCTGAGGCAGGGGCAGGACCAGAGGCAGCACTGAGACCTGGACGACTCACTTGAACCTCTTGCTCAGCCCTGGAACCCAGGCTTTCCCCCAAGAACACGTTTTCTAGGCCCTCAGTTTCATGTCTGTTGGGGGATCCTGTGACTCTGCTATGTGGGTCACCCAGACACTACGCAAAGTGCCCTCCACAGTCCTACACCATGGAAGGATCTGAACTGCAGAGGCCTCGGAGCCACAGGGACATCCCGGAGGCCACACTGCAGACAGGAGGCAGCAGGAAGAAGCTGGACCGCCGTGGGCAAGAGTGAGGAAGGGCCTCCTTGGGGTGTGAAATCTTTGCAGCGTCAGGCAAGGTCGCCCTGCTCACGTGTGGTGGCTGCAGGAACCCCAACTAACAGCCCCGCCCCGTGGGCGCCATGCCACCCTGGCCCGGCTACCTTGGCAATGGTGTTGGCTTCCTCCTTGTACGCAGAGAGCTCAGTGGAGGAGCTTGACTGGCCAACATGCTGGGCGCGGAAACAGCAGAAAAGGGCCTTGAAGATGTTACGTCCACGAGGCTTCTTGGGAGAGGACTTGGAGACCAGGCCTGGAGCGGAGGGAAGGACAGAGGCATTAGCTACTGGACATCTCTGTCCACAGGGCCCAGCCCGCCGGGCCCGTATTCCTTCCCCAGGGCACACACAGAACACGCTGCGAGGACAACAGGTGATGCAGCAGCGAGACACATGTGTATTATAGCAGCTTCTCTCTAACGCATCATGAAGAGGGGGGCCCGTCTCTGGCTGGGGAAGAGCCCCTGGCAGGGGAGGGCACGCTCAGTAAGGCGACCAGTGCAGAGACCGGGTGTCTTCTGCCCCGGCACCAGCACACTGCACGTGCCTCTACATTAGTTCCCGAAACCACAACCCCCAAGACTACCATGCCAGACGCGGGGACCTAGACCCCTTCAAGCTAGCGGAGCTGTACCTCTGCTGGGGCCAGCCTGACCAGCAGCAGAATCTGCCGGGTCTGCCCCAAACTTGGCCTAGAAAACAACAATCTCAGGTAGAAGCTATACTCAGCTCAGGCCCTCGTCTCTCCCACACGCCAGCTGCTTTCCTCACAGTTCCCTCCCCTCAAAGACACGCCTGGTCCCGGGGCGGAGAATCCCTGGGACAGCACAGCCAGCCTAGGGCTCCGGGGTGCAGCTCCCAGACGGCAACTGCCGAGCCCTGCCTTGACGAGTCAGGCTCAGAGACAGAAGCCTGCGGCGCGGGAGGCTCGGCGAGGCAGGGAAAGCCAGACGGACCCAGACGGCGATGGGCATGACAAGATGAAGCGGAGAGGGACCGAGAGCCTCTTCCTTGCAGCTCCCTTCCAGTCCCGCAGTCGTGGGGCAGGAGCGGGCGCCACGGCGAGCCCCGCGGCCAGAAGGTGGCGCCACACACCACTGCCAGCCTCGCCCGCGGCGCCTTCCGGGGCTGAGGGGCAAACCCAACCGCTCCCACTTCAAGGCACCGGGCTTTTATTTTCCTGCCTGGCAAGGAAATAATGTCCAAATCGCCTCTGTCTTTGGGGGGAGGGGAGGGGTGACCGGTCACCCAGGAGAAACAGGCTCGGTCCCGGAGCTCAGAGGGAGGCCGTTCTCCAGAGAACAGCCGCCGAGCACCCGGGAACGGGGCAGCCCACGCCTGGGGAGGAAAGGCAGCTCCGTGCCAGGCCCAGGTGTCCAGAAGCGGCCATGAGAAGCAGCTGGGCACGGGGCAGTCGGCGCAGCCCGGGAGGGCCAGCCCCCAGCCCCCCTGGGCCAGGTCTTTGGTCCTGCTATGGCCTTTAGGGAACTGGTGACCTGGTGGTGGCAATGCTGAGCCCAGAACTCAGAAGAGCAGAGGGGCGGCCCCTCGGCCACTTCCTGACCCTCCAGCCCACGTGGAGATGGGGCGGACGGCGCCTCCGCGCCTCCACCTGCCCTGCGGCCCACGCTCAGGCCACGCCGGGCTTGGCAGACCCGACACAGCTCTCCCACCACAGCCGCACCAGCACGCTTCCTTTGGCTTATGGTCACTCCACACAGAACCACAAGCGGAGGCTTAACCCGAGCACAGAGCCTGTCTTAAAAGGCCGCAGAGCCCGAGGAGCTCCTGAAGAGGCCGCCAAGCATGCACGCAGCGTCTCCGTGACAGATGCTGTGAGGGGAAGCAACCCTGAGAGGCGGGTGAAAGGGGCAACGGCTGGGCACTGAGAGGCCTGGTTGTGCCCCGTGCAGGAGGCCCAGCAGGCAGCGCGACTTTGGCCCTCGACGGCCGGCTTGATGGGGCGGGGTGGGGGCTCCGCAGCTTGGCTTTGGACTCTGCAGAGGACGAGGGTCTTCTCAAAACCAACGTGACCAGGCAGGCGGAGCCCAGAGCCCCCACAGCAAGGTCAGCACCCAGGCCCTAGTCCTCACTACCCCGCCACGAGGCCACCACCTCTACCTCCTCCAGGCCGTCCGCCCACCGCGCCTTTACCAACACTGCCTCTGAGAACCCCAGGGTGACTGTGACTGCCTCCAGGGTGGCCCGCAAGGGCCCGGGTGGACAGTCACCGCCTCCAGCCCTCCGAGCAGCAGGTGCTCAAAGACCGACCGGCTGCGTGAAAGACTCTGGGGCCTCTGTGACTTTGAAAGACCCAGGACCTCTGGTTTGGAAGGGGTAGGAGCCAAAATGCCGCCTTCCTGTGAGAAGAGGAGGGGGCTCCGAAGGGCTGCGCACCCGCGCCGCGCCGGGCCAGACATCTGACCTCAGAGCCAACTCCCCCCACAAACCCACCTGTGGCGAAGACCCCCCAGCAAAACCACGAAGACGCCGAGGGGCTGGTTGTGATGCACAGGTGGGTCTGAGCCCGCGCTCGCCCGAACTAGACAGAGCCGGGTCTGACCGCGGCCAGGGGCTCTGGGAACTCTGGGCTCTGGCTCTGGGGTGCCGCGTGTGCTCAGGCACGCTCGCCAAGGCTGGGCGGCGGGGGACTCCCCAAGGCCTCCAGCATGTCTGCGCCTCTTCCCAGGGTCGGCTGGCCCAGCGTCAGCCGGGGTCAGCCCTGTCCCTGCTGTCCTCTTGGGTGAGGCCCCGCAAGGTGCCGGATGAGCACCAGGCTTTGGGGTTCCACTGGGGGCTGAGTTTTGCCCCCCGAGCTCTGCACCTGCCCAGAGGCAGAGACTGCTGGGGGATCTAGAGGACAATGGGGGTGCGGCTGGAGCCAGGAGCTCCGGCCCCAAACCTGCTTTGCCCCGTGGGTCTAAGGATGTGAGAGAGCACACCCCAGCACGGGGTCCAGACTCACCAGAGCCGTTCAACGGGCTCCTTCCGGCAGCACCAGGCACTCGTCCATGGTGGGTGAGGCACCCACCCTCCCTTGCACCCAACACCTGGCTAGGGTCGGAGGTCAGGAGACCAGCTCAGGCCGGGGGAGCGCTCGCTTAAGAAGACAGTGGCATGTGGCTGGCAGGGAGAGGTGGCCACCCCTCAGCTCCTTGCTCCAAGGCTCCCCATCGGGCAGGGTATAAAGAGAAGGGGGTGGGGGAATCCCTCCCCTCTGAGCACCACCAGGGCTGGGCTCCAGGCCCTGCCAGTTACTGATTCAATCACAGCGTCTCTGAGCCTCAGTTTCTTCATCCATAAGCTGGCACGGTAGCAAGGCCTCACCCCGGACTGAAGGGTAACCGAGATCGCACAGTGGCTAAAGCTAAGCGCTGTGCTCACGTCCACTACCCGCGGGGGGACAGCTCCACGTGGCAACACTGTGGGCCTCATTCTGGGAGGTGCACTGGGAGGCCAGGAGCCCCCATCCCAACGTGGGGCTGAAGCACAAGGACAGATGAGAGAAGGTGCCAGAGCAACTGTGATCACAGGCAGGTTTCACAAAGTCAAAACCACCCCTGCACCTTCTCCCAAATCACGTCAAAAGTTGTTTTTCAACTTGCAGACTCCTTGGCTGGTTCTGGAAACAGCAGGGAGGCAGGTGAGGCTGTTCTACTCGGGATGAGCCAATGCCCTCCCCCCATGGCATCCACCACTGCCTCTTTAAGAAGCGCGTGCCTATACGTGTGCGCACAGACACACACACATGCGTTTTACCAGGTCAACTCTGTTTTTAACCTTCTTTTGAAGGTTACAGGTATCACGGGCGCTCAGGTAGCCCTGCTGCCAACAACACAGCTTCGTGCCCCGCAAAGGAACTCCTCACGTCTGCCCGGGACTCGGCAGAAGGCAGCTCCCGGACGCGGGATGGTCACCAGCCCGTGCGTGCAGAAGGGTGCTTTCCCGGCTCATCTCTCCCAAGGACTTCCTTCCCGCCACCTCCCAGCCCCCACAGCAAGGATCCAGTCTGGCTAGCACCATAAAATGGCCTCTCTGAGGGGCCTCCCTCCCCTCAGCTTTGCAGGAAGGAGAGTATTTGGAGCATTTCCGGCCCTTCTTGGCCGGCTGCCTGGCCCTGCAGCCAAGATGCATCTGATTGGGACTCCCCAGCGAGGCGTCCTCCCAGCTCCCCAGCAAGGGGCATCCGCGCCTTGGCTAAGAACAGGCCCCACCGTGCCAGGTGGACGGAAGGGCTTCTTGGACCGGCAGGTGAGCCTGCGGGGAACGAGAGGGGGGCTGGCGAGACGTCCCACGCGGAAAAGACGGGGCGGCGGGGAGGGCGGGCCAGCGCCCCAGCCCGGCGCGGACACAGTCCCGGAGCCCTGAAGGACGGTGGGGGGGGGGGGGACTGCGCAAGAAGGGGGTTTGGCCGCGGTGTTGGGGTTGCTCGGCTCCTGCCAGCGTGTTCTATTCTGGTGCCCCGGCTGCGGCGGGGGCGGGGGCTGCTCTTCCCGGCAGCGCTTGCTCTTCCAGGAAAGGGCCGCTGCTTTAGTCTGGGGGGTCTCGATGCTCCCTGTGGGGTGGGGGACTGGTCACTCCCTACCCTGCCAGCCCCCCCCACCCCCACAATCTGTCACTGGTCCCAGCACAGGGCCTCAATTTTAGGGACTTTCTTCAAGAAGGACTGTTTTGGGAGCAGGGGAGTCCTGGCAACTTCGCAAATATGACCAAGAGACAGCACGTCCTCAGTCACCGCCACCCGCAGGTTCTTGGGGCCCGTGACCCTACGTGAAGGCCCGTGACATACGACAGAGCCAGCCGTCGAGTCGCGTCACGTCAGGCAGCGCCGACTGGGCTTTTCCTCACAAACAAACATTATCAAGAAATGACACCCCAACAACCAGGAGCCAGTGGTGTCCCGGGACCTATGTATGCTGTGAAGTCCAGGATCAGTCACGAAAAGGTATTGCCAGACCCCTTCCTGGGCCGCTCCAACAGACTGACAACATGTCAGGGTGGGGATGGGGTTCCCAGAAGCAGCAGCAGGTCCTGAAGGACCAGGGGCTCCTGCGGCCACCAGAAAGTGACCCGCGGCCCGCTGCAGGAGGCGGCCTCTCCCCACTCAGGGCCGGCAGGGGCATGTGTGTTATGGTGGGGCTGGAAACCACACCTGCCACCTGTAGCTTCCCGCTCCCCTGTGAGGTGCTCGGCAGGGCCCTGTGGAGACAGACGCTGAGAGAAACCTGCGCAGCGGGACACAGGCACCTTCTTG